ATTTAAAATAAAAATAAAGAAAACTAAAAATAAAGATTTCTTTAAATATTAGTTATTATATTTACTATTTAAGTATATTATCTATAAAGAGAAGAAGGGTATTAGAGAAGGAAGGGAATATTAATTAGAAAACTTAGAATTAGAGTTTATATATTTTCTATTTTAATAGCTAATATTAAGAAAATACTTACTTATAAAGTAATTATTAATCTAAAAACTAAGCTTCTATTATAATATTATAATTTTTTAAAATTATTTTAGAAATTTAATATTAATTAGTTATTATTTTATTAATTAGGAATAGATTATATTATTAAGATTAAAAAGAACTTAGAAGAGAAGGAGAAAATTATCTTATAGAGCTCTTTATATAATATATTTTAAAAAAAACTTCTAATTTTATAGAAGAACTTTAATATGTTATTTAAAAAAAACTTTATATATATAAGTAATTTACTAGCTATTATACTAGTACTATTTATATAGAAACTAGATAGTAGGCTATAATTTTATATTAACTATTAAAGCTTAAATATTATTTTTAAAAAAAAACTATTATTTATTCTTTTTAATTATAGAAATCTTTTAATAGTTTTCTAATATTAAGTAGTTTACTAAATTTAATATTTTAATTACTTTTTATAAAATAAAAATTAAGAAGAATAATAAATAGAAGATAATATTTTAAATATATTATAGACTTTATAAATAGTTTATTATATTTTTTAATTTTACTAAAGCCTTAGTAATATTTTAATAATATATTAATTTAATATTAAGAAAGTTTCTAGATAACTTTATATATATTTTTATTAATAATATTTTAATTTACTTTAAAAAAATATTTATAAACTATAAGGAAAAGATATAGAAAATCCTTACTAAATTATAAAAAATAAAATTATATATTAATATTAATAAATATAAATTTAAAATTAAAGAAATTAAGTATTTAGGGTTTATTATAGAAGCTAAGAAAGGTATCTATATAAATTTAGAAAAGATAGCTATAATTACCTAATAAGAAATACTAATTATAGTCTAAAGAATTAAAAGCTTTTTAGAATTTATAAACTACTATAAAAAGTTTATTTTTAACTTCTTTATAATTACCTAATTATTAAATAATTTAATAAAGAAGGACTAGATATTTATATAATCTTTAGTTTACTAGTAAGTATTTAATAAGCTAAAGTTAAAACTTATTAAAGCATTTTATTTTAATATACTTTAATTTTAATAAGAAGATAATAATAAAAATAGATTTTTTAAGATATATTATAAGAAGAATTTTAATATAAAAAGATAAAAAAAATAAGCTTTAATTAATTATTTATATATTAAAGAAGATATTTTTTATTAAAATAAATTATTTTATTTATAATAAAAAGCTATTAGTAATAATATAATATTTAAAGTAATAATAAAGTAAACTAAGATTTATGAAGTACTTTACTATCTTAACTAACTATAAAAACTTTATATACTTTATTATTTACTAGTAGCTTTTTAAAAAATAGATATAATAGTAAGAGATAATAAGCTAATATAACTTTAAAATAGTATATAGGCTAGAGAAGGCCTCTCTAGTACTAGATATTTTATTATATAGAAAATAAAATATATTTAAAAATACTAATAATAACTAATTATAAAAGTAAACTATATAAATATTATAGAAGGATAGGAAGGTTATTTAAGTTTCCTTTCTCTCTATTATTATATAAGGCTCCTAAGAAGGCTTTAAAAAGACTTTTCCTATAGATATATAAATAATCTAAGAGCTAAAATATAATATAGACTATATAGGAAATATAATAATAACTAAGACTAGCTTATTTATTTTTCTTTTCTATAATAATAAACTTATAGCTTTATAAAAGATAATCTTATAAAAAAATAATTAATATTAGCTAATTAGAAAATATATAATATAAGATCTTAAATATTTCCTTACTAATTTTAAAATACTACTTTTAATATTAAAATACTTAGTAAATAAAGTAAATAAGCTAAAATAAAAAAAGTAAGTTTAGATTTTTAATTATAAGCTTTTATAGACTAAGCTAATATAGAATTCCTATAATTTTCTAATTATAAGCTACCTAGGCTAGGAAGTAATATAGATAATATTAGTAAGGAACTATATATAATTAGACCTTAATAATAATATATAGTAATTTATAAGGAATTATAAGTTCTATAGATAAAGAGTAGTATAATAAAATATATAGAAAAAAGTTTTTAAATTCCTCCTAATACCTAATTACTTTTAAACTAAAATATTAATAGACTTTATTATAGACTTACCTTTAAATGGATTATATATAATAATAAAAATCCTAATAATTACTAATTAACTAAATAAAAATATTATTTTTAAATTAATATATAAAATAATTATAAAAATAATTATAGAAATATTAATATAATATTTTATCTATTACTATAGCTCCCTATATATAATAATATTAGATTAAGAAACTTAGTTTATAAATAAAATATAGAAATAAGCTTATTAACTTTTATATATTATTTAATATCTATTAATAATATACTACCTAGAAACTAATAGTATTATAAAATAGATAAACTAAGTACTAGAAAGCTATCTTTAAATATATACTATCTACTTTTAAGATAATTAAAATAGTTTTCTTTTTATAGCTATATTAATAATTAATAACTAACTTATAATATTAATAAAGATAAGCCTCTTTTTTATAACTTATAACTATAATATATTACTAATTAATATCTACTTTAAAGATATAATAAGATAAAATAAACTATCTATAAAAGTATAAAAAGAGGTTTTAATTACTTATTAGAAATATATTTAAGAAGTTACTTAAGCTACTATAACTATAATCTAAAAAGAGTAGAAATACTATATAAATATATAAAGATAGTTTATAGACTAGTTTTAAATAGGAAATAAAGTCTAATTATATATAAAAAACTTTATAATAAAATAGCTAATAAAAAAACTTAATTAAGTAAATAGAGAATATATTATTATTAAAATTATTAGTATATATACTATAAAGCTAGATATACCTTTAAAAGTAAAGAACCTAGTATTTTATATTAACTTTATATAGTAAGCTACTTCTAATTTATTTCTAAACTAGTACTAAAATAATATAATACTTCTAGTAATTATTAATAAGGAAGAAAAGTAATATATAAAAGAGATACTAAAGATATATAAATAATATAGATAATAGTAAGTAAAAGTTAAATAGGTTAGATATATTAATCCTACTTAAAAATTATTAAAAGAAGTAATAGATATAGTAGTATTAGACTATTATAAGGAGTATTATAAGCTACTAAGCTCTAACTAGCTACTATAGAGAAGGACCTATATAAGGGGAGGAGGAGGGGGATAATATAATAGACTATACTATATATATAGCTTTAGTATAAGCCTAAGCTAAGACACCACTACACTGGTACTATAGAGATAGTTTGGAGGCACAGGCCAGCTAGTGCTCTGAATAGTGTAATTATAGTAATAGTGCTAATAGGAATACCTACTTTGACTTCTTTTTGATTAGATTTCTTTTTTCTTCTTTTTCTTATTAAAACCTTCCTGTATATAGGCCTCTATTAAGTAGTACTACTTTGTAGAACCCTTATAAAAAATATCTAGGATAGATATATATAAGATTAATATACTTAGGTTTTAAGATAAATATAAACTAGAGAAAAGGTCTTTTTACTATAAAAGTCTAATAAGCTTTTAAAAACCTAAGACCCTTGACGGGTCCTACTATAATATACTCTCCGAGGCCGAGCTCAGGGCGCGAGATGAGGACTAGGTGGTTTTCAAGTAGTTCGAGCATATACTTCAGGGAGAGCAGCCGACCGGACAAGACGACTCTAAGAGGGAGCTATCTGGTACGTCTCTTCCCTCTCTTCCGCATTGCAATGGCAGACGGCCAGAAGCTAACATAGTGCACGGCGCCCGCACATAGAAGCGGCAAGGCCAGAGACAGTGGCATCACAACATGCGCTCTTGACAATGAGTGGAAAGTCGTCAAAACAGCCGGACGGAACTCTGAAATTCAACTCGACTACGGACGCGGACGAAAAGTCCTTTAGTGATTCCGCCGCAAAAGTCAGCCAGCTCCCCCGACTGCTGATGGTCCACCAGCTATGGCTTTGGAAACTCGACGAGGGTGAGCGCTCCTTGTTCCTATTTATGATTTCTCCACCAAGGACGCATAAGAGAGCCTCCAATGTTTTTTCGGGGCGATAGAACCCATGATTCACTTCTTGGTAGATACGGTCATCACGGCCTTCCCCGTCCGATGGCACCAGGGCGTCGAAGACTGTCTCCTCGACACCATCCGCCAGGGCGACATCGACTCGTATCAGAATCCGGAACAACTAGTCGAGAACATCATCTTCGAGTGCGTCACCTTCTCGGAGGAGTTTCGCTTTGCCGGCCTGGGCATCCACGTGCTAGATGTCTTCGAGAGCTCCATCGCCAGAAGGGTAAGCCTCATACAGGAATAAAGAACGAGAACCAGAACATTTGAACTGACACTAGGGCTCTGCTTCCCTTCCTATTGGGGCCAGTCCAACCAGGAAGTTGGCTACTTCAAGGCCTTCCGCGACTCTCTGAAGCAGCAGAAGCGCTCGCTCCACAAGCAAGTCAACGACGAGATCTCTCTGATCCATGAGATCAAGGACATCCGCGACGAACTTCATCTTATCCTTCGCATTTTCGAGACGCAGCGCGACGTTGTGAAACAGTTCTCCGGCGTCTTCTGGGCCCGCCGATGACGCTGAGCTTGGAAAGGCATTCGTGGGCGACTGTGGCTTGGACGGTCTCATCGAGCGCACGAGAGCGCTCGATAGACACGCTCAGCGGACGCTTGACTGGGTAACATGTCCCCTATGTTCCCCTCTTAAGGGCGGCCGGTCCTGGTATGCGGAGGACTGTCATGACCTGCTAACCGATCCAGCTCGACTACCTTGTCCAGATGAAGAAGGTACAGAGCTCGCTAGAGGAAGCCGAGTCGGCTAGTCGCTTGAATAACTACATCCTGCTCCTCACTATCTTCACCATCTTCTTCGTGAGTCATTCCGGGTACACGTCTGGTTGTTGGAGATAGACTAGTCAATCTGACTCGAGAACCTGCTTCCCAGGCACCTCTATCATTCATGACGAGCCTGTTCGCAATCCCCTTCGGCCACTTCCCTGAGAACGACGAGGGCGAATTGCGAGTCCGAGGAGATTGGGTCGCCTACCGCATGAGTAAGTGTCGTGTCCTTCCCCCCCAGATGGCCTCACCGATGTTCTATCTTCTGGGATGGTATCCGGCGACTAACGAGGTCCTAGTTGCCGGGGAGTTTTCAAGCCTGGTGGCAGTCGGGATTTTGGCCTACTGCATGTCCGCCGCCGGGTGGTCGCTCTGGCGGGGGTTCGACCGGCTCCTCCGCCAGAAAGGGAGGGAGTTGGCTTCGTCCGAAGATGCCGTCACTACAGGCCACCCAAGCCCGCACGACCGTGAAGACGTCGCCGTCTTAACCAGTCGGCTAGGAATCATGATAAAACTGAAATCTGATAGACAGGCGGACCTAGAGAGTCTTCTTTAGACTATAAAGATGAATAATTGAGATTCCCTGTCTCGAAACTAACTGCATGATCTAATTTACTTATACTTTTAAGATACTTGCTTTATACTTATTTTAAGTTAATAATAGAAATAAGAGTAAACCAACTAAAAAGATTCTAGGTTCGGTAACAATGTTCTACGCCGCCATTTATTTATTACTATCTATATTAGAAGCTAGCTTCTATGTAGAAAATCTAAAATCTAAGCGCTTGTTCCCAGAATCACGTGTAGAAGCAAGATACGTAGACCGTTCGTCCTGGCTCATATTGTTCCATACCTTGTCGCGGTTCCTGTTACGGAACGAGTAATACAAGTTCGTAAGAAGATACAGCCCGACGTTCAGGAAGGCCAGAGACACCAATACCGTGTTCCCGCGGTTGTAGTGGGGCGCATCATCTTCCCTGTAGATATTGGCAGCAATTATTCCTCCCCTAAGACATGGTCAGGATAATAAAGAACGCACTGTAAGACATCTGACGCTACGGTCAACAATGTGAACTTACGCTTGCACACACATGTTGTACATGGCCGCGCCAACAGTTCGACTTCTCACCGTGTTCGAGTTGCGGGATGCCCATCCGACTTGGATTGGATGGGCTGGAAACCATCAAGTTAGACTCCAATCCTTTCTATTGATGGGGTTCTCATTGATATGTTTACTTACCGTAGGGGCTTCCGAGGAACATTGTCATAATTCCCCAAACCATCCATTTCGAGACTGCCGTTGTATCTGTATATCGGAGCCAGAATAAAAAGGGCAAAGCCCAAAGCTGGGGTATTGCAGCGACAAAGGCGAGTTGATTCGTTATTTCGCTGAGATAGGTGATAACAAGCATGTTAATCACTTTTATAATGTTAATTAAACGACGAGGATAATTATCACTGTAGCTTCTTACAGGTCCAGGGAGACTATACCGTGAAGGACTTGAGATGGAATGACAAGGAGATTTGTTTGGAATGTGGAAAATCCTAAATCTTTCAACGAGAGTGTGAGGTAAATATTAGGAGTTGCGAATGGAATGTGATTGAAGAGGCCTAGGATGTAGATTGGCCATAGATCGTAGTCGAGGAGGCTCCTCCACAAGAGCTTAAATGTTATGGCTTCACGGTTATGCATCCCGCCTTTGGAGGGGTCATCGCGAAGAATTCGGTTTACAAGAATAACCTCCTCCCTGGGAATAGGAATTAGTAACAGGGGTTAGGGCACGTCCAGAGTCTGGACTCTCTAACTCACCTTGGAGTAAACCATCCCTCTTTCCCCCTGAACCAGCTTGCTGTTTGTGTAGGACCTGGTGGCATCAAACCAAACGAGAGTAAGCCAAACACAAATGTAATCATGCCCTAAGAATTACGCGTGAGTTCGCTTTACACGAGGAGTGGTTTCGCTGGTTGATGATAGCTCACCTCGATCAAAAATAGCCAACGCCATCCAGACAGGCCCAGAACACCTCTCATATGTAGTAACGCGAAAGCAGAGATTGCCGCAACTATATCCGCGAAAATCATCGCAGTCCAAAAGTACCCAAGCCTAATCGAGAGCTCAGAGTGCTTGTAAAAATACGACAAGTAGAGGACGACATCAGGAATGAAGCCACCCTGCAGAACGCCCAGCACGCACCTTGCCGCTAGGTATGTCGTTCTGTCTCGTAGGTAGAACTGGCTTGACGCCACGACTGACCATAAAACCATCTGCATTGGCACCCACCTGTCTGGGCCCATCATCTTACTCACGAGCTGAGACGGTACCTCGGCGCAAAGAAAAGAAAATGAAAAGAGGGTGTTCCCGAGGTTGTAGTCTACAGCCAGTCACATAAGCAATCCGAATACGGTAGATGAGGTGATGGAAATCTATACGGACCGTTGGTGGTAAGCCCAAGCTCGGGAAGTAGGTTGTCAGTGACAGCCTGCCGTATGTTGGCCCTGTCCATTTCTAGGGCGCAGAACATAAGACACGCCCAGACCATGACGCGCCAGTCTATTTTGCGTACTAGACGGCGCTCCTCAGCCCATGTCCACCGGGCCTTGGGGTTGAATCGATGGAGGTTTTCCCTACGGAAAATTTCATGTCAGAATGACGTGGCAATCACTCTCTCAATTCAGTAAGCCGTCGTGATATCTCACCATTCTGGACGTGGTCGATATTGCTCCGCTAAGTCAGGGTCGTCATACACGCTCGGCTATTGATAGTAATTTTGGTTCGTCATAAGTTCTTTGACGGGTTTGCCTGCCAAGGTGGTGACCGCGAGGACTCCAATATCTCACCTGTGTCGCAACAGCCTCTGAGTCGCCAACTTCACCCCTTGAGAACCAGAACCTTTTCCTAATTTCTGGCTGCCCCAGAGGAGATGCAGAACGGAGGAGCGCCGTGGTCACGTCGGCAGCATCTCCCTTGCTAATAGTCGAGGCGTCGTCGTCGTCTGGATATGTGTCCGAGTTTTGCGATTTGAACTCGGTAAGGCTAGCCATGGTGACAGTGTCAACACTGAAAACGGGGCTCGTGTTTCCAGGGCGAAGATTAGAGGACGTCCTTTAGGATGCCGTTCTCAGGAGGATACCTGCCTAATAAGTTGCCCACGGTTTTCAGCGGCAATACCGGTCCAGCTTCCTTCTCCAGCGTGCCAAGCTAACGCCATCTCACCTAGTACATATTATGCACCTGGGGCAGCACTTTTAGCATAGTCACATGGCTGGGTCGTTCCTTGATAGCGAAGACTTTGGTGTTGCGCCGACGCCGAGTACGGAGTCACGCAATATGGGGCACATTACAACAATCGCCAGGCATTTGTCAGATTTGGGCATGTTTTCAACACAGACTACTAGCGTACAGTTGAGGGCATGAGTTGCAAGAGGTTTGTTCAAAAGGAGGGTGTGTACGGCCGGCATGACGTGATTCAGGGGGCAGATAGCGTGTTTCCAGTCCACCACCCCTTCAACCGATAAAATGAATAATGAAGCTCCTCATTCTTATTAATGCATTGGCCGCCGACAAGACTGCGGATGTTTGAAGAAATTCGCGACCAAGGGAAGAAATAAAAGGAAGAGGAAGAAGAAAACGTAAGCCAGAGTAGAGTCCTTCCTATTGGCCGCGCGGTATCGCCCACTTCTAAGAGTAAGATGCTCCAGTAACCCCCAACTTTAGCCTACCACCCACGTAGGTAAAACTGCCAAGTAACCGCGAGAGAAATCACCCCCCATCCGGCTTCATGAGATCACGAGTCTCCGAGTTATGTCACATCCATTCTTTCCTGTCCTGTCCTTTACTCATGCTTTTTGAACCTTTACATTTGCATCAACTTCCGCCTTTCCCTTTTCATACCCGGGACTAGGGTCTTCTGGAAGGGGCTCGTTGGATGCCCTGAACTGAAGAGCGTCGAACCCAACGTCTTTGTTAGCGGGATTCTCCGTGTTATGACGGAACCGAAGGTTGAGTTTAGCTTGGTACGTTCGAGCATTCTCTAGGATAAGCTGTTCATCCTCAAACAAGTCCCAGGGATCGGCGAGAAACCTAATCTTAGGTTCTGTGCGGACATCTGAGATATGTACGAGAATTGAAACGTCGCGAGAGGGAGGGGCCTCGTCAGGGTGGGGTTGGTTGCGAACCGAGTTCTTACGCGCCTGTATATCACTTTTATTAGTACTAATCCCTTTCGAGAGATCCCGTGAAACCTACTCGGTCAAGCTCATCTTGTGTAATCTTGAAGTGCAGCGAGTCCATGGCCTTAACGTCAAGGTGATATATCAAGCGTGTATACCCTTGCGCCCTGCCGCGCATACCGTCGAGCCGCATGAGGAAGGCACCGAATCTACCTTGCGTATCTGTAAAATTGAAGGTAGCGCGGTCGCCGCCCCTTGAGCTCTTCGGCGCCCACATAGTTTTGTGATCATATTGTGGACCGAGGACGATAGAGAGTATGCCCGATACCTAGATGGAGATTAGCGATTACAAGTTAATACGACATCAGTAGGGCTACCATGTTGCTTACAATATGCTCCCCAATGTCAGAGTCACGTTGTGCGAGCCCTCTTACACGATCGATTATTGTCGGTGGATTGGCCGGAGTGCCAATCACAACACCAGGCATTTGTATGAATTCCAAGTCCCTCAAGACCCCAGTAACGCTAGACAGTGTATGCGGCCTGGAAAATGCGCGAGGCTCTACTGGACGCCCGAGAGCGCTGAGAGTAGACCGAGCAACCGCCGTGTCGTAAGTTGGGGGGAGGTCCATCAAACGGTTATTATTCCCTCTGAAGAAGAAGGGACTGAATCTCACGTGGCTGAGTAGCTGATTGAACCGTGAACCACCGCCCAGCTCAGGACGGCTCTTCTTGGTGGGTGTTTCTCGAATTTGAAGGATAGGCCTATACTCGCCTTCTTCTCCCTCGAGCTCCTCCTCACCTTCGAGCGATTCGACTTGGAGCGGAGCAATACCCCTTCCCTCAAAGAGCGGATCGAGCCTCTCTTCCGTGGCAGTCAGTATAACCGTAATGAGATCTTTTTGCTCGCTCGGTATGTTGAAGAAGTCCCTCAACTGCTCTGCGAGCTCGCAGGGATATACTTCCTTCTCGTAATCGGCGCGTAGGTAGATTCGAAGGTCGCCAGCGTAGTCGCATTCCAAAAACGAGGTGCCCTCGGCGAATCTGCTATAAATCCGTTGGAGTCCGAGTGGCGCATGCCAGTGTTGCGTAACTTTGTCTGCCACGAAAACTTCCACTCCGCGAAAAGAGGACCGTAGCTGAGGCCCATTGGCCAGGTTCTCGCCCATAAGTCTGAAAACTAAGTTAGTCAGGTAAAGAACTCCCCGTCACTGAAAACAAGGACTAGAATAAAGTGTAAAAAAAACTGACCGAAACAAGTAACTGGCGCGTGATCTATACCGTTTGGTAAGATCCTCATGGAGCTGCACGCTTCCATGCGCCTCTGTCACGCTCACCGCAATTCGACTGAGGAATCGTTCTTGTAGACCTAGGTCAAGTAGAAGGCGATTAATCCGCCATATAAACTCGGGTTGAAAAGCAAGAACCGGCATAACCAGCTCAAATTGAGTCCTAAAATATGTTCTATCGGCAATCAACCACGGGCTGTTAGGTGTGGCGGAAGTCAGGTACTCGTAAGGCTCATTGGCGAGAGTTTTCGTGATGGGAAATATCCTCATAGCCCGAAGTCTCATTGACTGGTCCCCGGTAAGACCATGAATCATGACGTGGGACACCAGCGTCAGAAATAATCGTTCGATATGGCGGCCAGGCTGCTGCCGCAACTGGGGTATTGCTGCCGCTTCTTTGATCAGATGTTCAATCCCGGCGTTTGGCACTTTCATTTGTATGCGAAAGAACCTTTCAAGATCAGGATACAGCCTCTCGAGTCCGACGGATTGGGTGAGCCAGGACGCGCCTCTCCAGAAACACTGGGATGGAGACACCCAGCGTCGATCCTCGTTTTCGTTCTTTGGTGGGACAAGAACGAGCTTCTCATTTTGGGCCGCATCACTAGAATCTGTCAGCGCAGGCTAACAGCCCTGATCGGAGGAGGCCAGCACTGTAGGGTAATACTTACTGCAACAAGTAAGCTAGGTTTCGGTCCTGACTTGCTAAGCTACATTCGTCTTCAAGTTCATGCATAATGCGTCGAATTAGCTCCACGGGTGTTGTGCCTGTTTTCTTGCACCTCTCAGGCAAGCTAGATAGAAATTAAAATCGGCGTTTCTATTCACTAGCAGGGTATCCAAGAGCGGCTCCCAATTAGGGTCATTGGCGTCGAGAATGTCGAGAAATGGAGCCACGGATCCGAAGTCCTTTGTGAGGCGGTTTATAGGGGCATATGTCCTACAAAGCTGTTCGGTCATTGGGCTCCCCGTACAGTTAACCTTACGAGTTCTCAAAAATCGGACAACCGCTGCGCCTTGATGTTCTAGCGACGATCTGTAAAACTCCCAGCCGTCTTTGAGTACGGTAAGCCATTTTTGACTGGGAAGTCGCGTGATAATGAGGTGGAAATCCTCGTGGACAGCATCTGACTGGATCGTGGTCAGGCTCGAGAAGCCGCGAGCCTGCATTCGAGGGTAGGTTGTTATCCCAAGTCTATCTCGTAAGAACCTGAGCCATTCTGTCTGCCGAACCCCCTGCTTCGAGATACATCGGGTGTAAGAACCCGTATGTGTGTTGAGCACCACGTGGCAGAATGTTAGAAGCGGCACTTGGAAGCTTTGAAGGCAGATACATGGCAGTACCTCGGCGGCAGGACCCCAAGTCTGACGCCATCCACAGCTGCAATGGTGACGTTTCATCGGATTCCCGGTTCTGGAACATGAATTCAGCGTGAGAAATAAGCTGGGTAGGAAGCAAGGCGTCTGGTTTGAACTCCGGATTACTATGAGTTTGGATAATGGCGCTCTTGATATGGTCAATCTCAAGCCGCAGGATGCCCAAGCGAATAAAAAGCTGGTTTCTGTCAAGGTCTGCGGCAGCTTCGGCGTCCACGATTGGTATCTCAATTCCACTGGGTATCTTCACGGCTGGATCGTCGCTTGGGAGGTGGATAAAAGTGTGCCTGATTGAGCTCGCTGCGACCCATGTTCCATCACTGAGAGGAATGATTGGTAACGATTGGAAGTAGGACAGGCTAGGTAGGTTGGATAACGCGCGAGCGAGACTAGCATGCCATTCCTGCGATTTCTTTTTCAGAAATGAACCTGGATCCTTCCGAAGGACTTTCATCATCTCATCGTAGAAACCCCTCTCATCCATGACCTTGACACCCAGAAGGGCTAACATGGTCTGGTCGAGGTGGCCATCATATTTTCCAGCAGCATATTTGTTTTCGTTGCTCTTATCAATCATGAACGGGCGTCCATTGGTATCCTTCCAGACTCCAGGGACCGTAATAAGGCTTGTCGGTTTCCTCTTTTTACCGTCCATGGACTCTAAGACCTCTGAGGATTTCAATCGCTTTAGAATATCCTGTCTCAAGGCCTCGAAAAAGGGACTTTGTGACGCAGTAGTAGGCAAATAATGGATCCAGAGATATCTGAGCTTGTTTTCCAGGCTGCCAATGTGACGGATGGCTTCAATGAAGGTTACCGCGGAAGCTTGGGCCAGAGATTTATTCCAGGCTGAGTCGACGTGGATGTCTTCTCGGTTTGCGGAAAGAAGAAAATCTGCTTGTAGGAGAAACTAGGGGGTGATCAGTCAGTATTATCGAGAGTAGGAGGACAAAATTAATTAAAAAGAATCGGTTTTAAAAGAAAGATGCCGTACAGGAAAACCATAGTTTCGAATTGGTAAGAAAGCATAGACATTCTGAGGCTCGATCACAGGTTGCACATGTGCGTCTCCGTTGATCCCAGTGTTGGGGAAGGCGACAACCACCTCGGAGTGTGTTATTCCTGGGCGGCGAGAGTCTGAGGGGAGTCGCTTCGCTGAGCGTCGGAAAACGAAGTAATGCCTCTTGGTCCCGTTATTCATTAGTGTCATCGTAGATGGGTTCTCTGAAGGCTGGCCGTGACGAGTAAGAACCGTCTCGAATGGCTTCCTGAGGGAAAATCTGTCCGGAGTGTACTTGATTTCGAGCCTCCTAAGTCTCCGGAGGAAGATCAGAAGCTTCTCATCATATGACTGCATTTTGCTGATAATGAGCTTCTCGTCGCATGCCTTGTCCAGCTTGAGCAGGATAGAAGTATATCCTTCTCTCGGCTTCTCTGGAAAACTATCCCAGATTGGAGCAATCATCCCCAGGTGGCCATCGCGGTCGAACCGAAAAGAATAATGTCCAGAGGAAATCCAGACGGTAGACGCGACCTTGAAAACTGCCTTGAAGCCTATTCCCTTCTCACCCACGAAACCAGCAGATTTGCTTCTGCCACTTTTCGTACTTTTGCAGATTCGGCAAATGGCCTCGACGTTCTGTTTGGCAAATCCACGCTCGTTGCAGTCGATTCTAACCTTCCTTGATGAATACGAGATGGATAGCGTCGGTGTTTCCGCCGTATAAGAGTTGTCATCGGCATTTTGTATCAGTTCCAGAAGAAAATGGGTCGATGTTTGATAGAGATCGTGGGAGAGGCTCCTGAATATCAGTATAACATCACGATGCATATGCCGACGCCGGGTGCGACCTGTGCTTACTTACATCTCCAAAGCGGACTCAAGGTCAGCTGCATTGTTGCCTATCCTCTCTGACCCATCTCCGAGTCCTTTGTCGCGACGGATCTGGCGGATGTGGGCTTGGGCTTCAAGGACAGACTGAGGGAAGTCGAGCTCCATGGTGGGAAGTGAGTTTGTTTGAAATTAGAATGGCCTTGTCGAGTAGTCGGTGCCTTGGGTTCAATTAACATTCCGCGGGTCGACAGACCTCGAGTCCTGCCAGCCACATTATATAGCCATTGGGTTTAGAGTAACCAGTGGGCACACCGCGAGGCTTTCTTCATTTGAGGTCCTGCTGCTGACGAATGCACTGCCTCAGACCATGATAGCTCTATGATGACAGCACCACATCCAAAGGATGCGTTTTCCAACGTGTGGTCAGATCGGCCTGGAGTTAATCCGATGTATTCTAGTAACGAGGCACATTCAAACATTCGTCCTACTACTTCATTCTCTACTAACTCCAATGTTTCAAAGGTGGTCATTTTCATGAGAAAAGCTAAAATTTAGTATACCCTGAGGCACGGCAAGGGGGAAGAGGTACAGTCCATCGTCAACAGAGGCGGGTAGCATCTATCATTGCTGCGGGGATTCCACGGATTCCTTGTCTGGGATTGCTACCTCTGCATTCGGCATATCATATACAAGATTTCCCGCATCGGTATAAAAGGATGATTCCTATTCTCTTCTCAATGCCCTATGGAATGTAATTTTATACCATCCCAGCATCCTCCCTTCTCAGTGTCCGACATTGAAATGACACGAGTGCGGGCATGAGACTGGATTTGTCACACACTGCGTACTCTATTGCATGTGAAGCTAACCTCGCGATCTAATATTTCGGATGAATTAATATAATAAAAGATGTGTGTGCTGCACTTGCTCCCATTGACTTCCTCCATTAATCAATAACGATTCAGTGATCACACGATCTTGCATACAAGGGTCAAAGGAACACAATATCATACATCAATTGACCTGCCATCAGTCGACTTTTCTCATTCCTCCGCTCAGTAGGGCGACCAAGGGTCCAAGGGACCAACGCATCCAGAACTATCTCTACGAGGCGTCTAAAAACACGACCTCGTTATAAAAAAACGATGCCCTTCCGCAATAGGAATCAGACCCTGAAGTCGGACTTAGGAGCCCGTCGCATTGCAAGTAAGGATTGTGTCCAGTGACTGCGTCCCGCGCATGTTAGTTGTGGGGATTGCACGTCTACTACCTCACATCGTAGACCTAGCCTCTTGATCGGTGGCTAAATGGTGTGCCGATTCTCTAAGTAGGCTTAAACGCTGGAGCTAACTTCCTACCTTGTTTTAATGGTGATGGCTCTACGGGCTGTGCCTTCCTTCTTCAATTTCCTGCTGGCCTGGGCAGCTGATGTGTCGGCAGAGAATCCGTGTTCTATAGTTTTCAGCTGCACTTCTGAGCCAGAGCCAGAGCCATCCTGTAGCTCCTCAAAAGGCCTACTGCCTCGTCCACCAGTCTTGTCTCTGGTGATGTTATATTTTAATGTGGTTGTTGTCGATGCCAATTTGCTGAACAAGGGTCGTAGATATGGTATGCAAGCTAGAGATATGGCTACTGCAGGTTCCAGCGCTGAAAATAGGGTCGCGAGGAGCCCTGTATATGTCATGTCGGCGAAGTCAAGGTGAGGTAGAGTAATCTGTTGGTAGATTGAAATTGCACAGGTCCTGGAAGAGCCAATAATGTTAGTGATGAGCAGGGGAGTGGTTTGAAGAAATACTCCTGATATGATGCCTACAGTAAACATTCCGATCAGGGCTATCTTTTTGAGCAATGGAAGGTGTAGCTTGTACAAAAAAGGCATCGGCAAGCCCAATACTAGAATATTAGTGATAATGTTGAATGCACTTATGATGAAATAAAAGTCCCTTTGGTAGCTACATTTCCCCTCGATGCTGAGGTCCCAATTCCTGGCGAACGGCTTGCAGATCAGGAGCTGACTGAGAATGTTGCCTGTGTTCTAGAGAATGATGAAGCCACCGAGGATGTGTGCGGGCACGATTATGTGGTGTATTGGCATGAGAGTCGTGTATAGTAAAAGAACGGATAGCTTGCTAAAACATATAGCCAGGTTCTATAGGATGTAGAAGGCCAAAATCCCCTACAGAGTAGTACCATTTAGTTTTACGCTTGTCTTCAGGGTGGAGGGACTCGGGATGCCTAAAAAGATCACAGAAAGGCCCTACCTTAAAAAAGGAAACTAAGGTCTGTGGGCCGAACCTGCTGGCTACCTCCGTCAGGTGGAAGCCAAACCTACTGTGCAGGACTATTACCCAGCAGTCGACATGGAGTCCGATGTTGAACATCTCGAGGTCGGCATGTTAGAGGATAGAGCAAGGTAGAGGATGGGATGGGAAGGTCTGTGGCCTACCAGTCCGACTAGAATACAGTAATCACTCCTATCCAAGGTCCTATGCGTGAGCTTCCTTGCGTAGAGGCGAAGGCCGACAAAGGCCGAGGGTACGGAAATCGATAGTGCCGATACTGCAATCATAGCAATTTGGCCTTTATTCTCGATGGGTATCGGTGATTCGAACTGTATAGGCTCCATGTTTGCGCAGCGAACGGAGCAATCGCATACTCGATTAGGGAAGAAGGATCGAGGAATGGGCGAGGGTTGGATGGCACTAAAGGCCCAAAATAATAAAAAGGCATCTCGAGGCCTTTTAGATATTTGTCTATTAACCTATCCCGGTGAATCGGAGTCGTGGATCTCGATCGAACGTTTAATGGCCCCTCCTCCATGAACCAATCCTCTTCTACAGTTCTGGCGCAAAAAGGATAATAAGCCCCTGACGGGGATCAGGAAGAGAAGAACCGGCGGCACCCGGAATTCTATTCTCGCTGCGGCCAGGATAACCCCTTCCAGGGCGACGGTTGGACCATCATAAGAGCTGAATCCTTTTTTCCCTCTCTTGTTTTCTTCGGTACCTGCTCCACCGTTGTTGGTGATATACCATTTTCTTCCGAACCAAATTATCATGAGGTACGTCTCCAAGCAAAGGATTCGAGGCCAATCGGGTGAGGTAATTACAGACCGGGTCTAATTGGTATGCATGAAGTGCCGACCCTGGCCATACTCCGAAGTATTATAAATGTTGATACCCATGTTTCTCAGTGTCGGTCAACGACAATCAAGATCTTTGGGAACTTTGACGATTTTACGGAACGATGGTAATCATACCCCGGTTCGTCCCCTTTACACCTACGTGCGCAATAGCAATTGCTCACGCCGGGATTGGACGAGATGTGGTGGTCACCAATAGCTTCCAATAGAGAAGCAGTGCAGCAGAAGATCGCAAACATGCATGGATGAAGTCGGGTCGCAGGATTTGCAAGTACTAGTGTACTCCTGCGCTGACCAGCCGGAATCCTTTCGACAAGGGTGCTTAGTCGGGAGGAAGAAAAAAACCAAACAAACATTCGAAAACGTATGATAAAACCCTGGCTACGGGTGGGGGTCACATGCAGGATCGATATCCTACGTTCGGGGTGAAGCTAGTGTTACTTGAAAAACAGAAAAAGAGGGAAAAACATTCTTTTCCTTCAGACCAACTCGGCACCCTTGCTTACAGAGGTACTTAAGCGACGTGAAACATAATCTTACAGGTGAAGTCGACAAACAACGGTCATGCAGGCCGAACCTGGAAACTGCATGTACGATGGTTAAGGGAACGGGAAGAGCTGGCCGCGTTTCAGAAGCTAATGGCACCAAGCTGGAGACTGCATCAATTGCCACCTGGGAGAGGTGAATCCTGGATTATTACATGCCATTGCCAAGCTTTTGTCAAACAGGTCTTGATTATGGAACCATCCCATTACGATTTGGTGGACCCTGGAGGGCATCTTCCGGCTCGCTCCTCTCCCCATGAATGATGGCGAACCAAGGCTCATAGACCTTTTCATTCCTCCGAGCTACATCGCCACTCTTATATTCGGGAATATCGTAATAATACAATTTGTCATGGCCCGTCTCGACTGCTTGTCCAGTAATAGTATTCCTCCCATCCTGGAGGAAGACATCATAGGCCGACATGAGACATGACTTGAGGGTCAGGCTAGAATCCAGTCAGAAGAGCGCACCGTCGGGTAGATCCAGTCTATAAGGAGACTTACTGTTCGGGCAGGAATGCAGTCGTGAATCCAGGCATGGCCGGGGTATCACATGCTCCCGGTAAGACACAATTGATGGTGATATTTTCCTTCTTGAGGAGCACCGGCGCCACGACACGACACCAATGGAGGACGCCGGCTTTCGCTGCACAATATTCAGGGAAGGTCGCGCAAGGGTGGACCCCAATCATGCTGCCAGTGACGATTATTTTGCCTCCCGGGGAAGGGTTGTGGCGCATAAAGTGAGTTGCAAGTGTGGTGGAATAGATGACACCTTTGAAATCGGTGTCGGTGCAAGACAGGTCGGGTTCTGGAGGCAGCTCTGTCACCGGGGCGGACTTCCTGGCAAGGTTATAGATGGAACCCTTATCAATGAAGCCTGCGCTTGCAATGACAACGTCGATTCGGGACCACTTATTCCAAACATCCCGGAAAAGATTTGCCTGAGAGGCATATGAAGAAACATCACTTTGGACAAAAATGACAGTGTGACCCTCTGGATCGAGCTCCTTTGCTATTGCTTCGCCTTCCTTAACCCTTCGACCGGTAACCGCGACACTGAAACCCTTTGAGAGCAGGAATTTGGTCAGGTCATGGCCGATCTCGCTCTTTTTGGAAGTTAGTGAATCTTGAAATGTATCAATTGACTTCGTTTGTTTTCATAGAAAATCTACTTACCGTTGATCCGGTAATAATGGCAACCTTCCCAGTATATTGGGCCTTAGAAGCCATCTTTGGTCGAGGATAACTATCTCACAAGTCTTAGGCCGAGCGGGATTTGGGAGGATGGTAAAGGACAACACTGCGTTGAACTGAGAAAAAGGAGTAGATCATTTCTAGTGTTGAAGGTTGTCGAGCCTATGTAGAGAGATAATCCCTTGGCCCACTGCGATGCCGGGGTCTCCAGTCGTTCCGTGTATCACCAATCTTCATGTCCAACGCTGTCCTGCGAAGTGCAGGTTGGGTTTCGGTTTTACTGGGCCGAACCATGAAATGCCCTGGACACCCTGGACACCCGGGGAAGCAAGGACGTTCCGCTAGACCAGCAGCAGGGGTTGGGCCAATGGCGGGGCCCAGACTCCAGGATGTCCGTGCAGTGACATTTGACGACGACGGTAGGGTTCCAAAAATCATAGGGACAGGAGGATCCAACCTCATGATTGCTGGAACAGTAATAGCGGAGTTGTATCCACAAAAGTAATATAACCTTAATCCTTTGATCGGCAGACTTAACCAACCCTGTTCAGGGGAACTTAGAAGACAAGGGAGCAAACCGGGGTCCGCTGGGGACATGTGCTCTCAGGTTATGTTCCATTGAGGGTCACGCCAGACAGGGAGCGTTCAATATTTCTCGTCCCATCAATGATTGCTAAAACCTCATGCAATGCTTCATCCTCGGAGTTGGAGATTCGGGAAAACGACGACTGGATAACTGTTGTATCATTTTGTCCAGGGAGCTGTACATTGCGAGCAAGCTTGCATTACCCGAGCCCACAGCAGTGGACCGTCGAGAGAGGAAACTCTAGGATCGCCCGCCGCTCCCAAACCTGCTAAACCATTTCAATCATATTGACAGGCGCACTAGATTATTTGAGCCACATTGGAAGATGCATATGCACCACTCGGACGTAGTACTCGTTCGTAACTCCGACCAAAGAAACAGAATTCGCCCAACGCCAACCTGGTGCTCAAGCATTAGTCCTGGTGCTACACAGATGTTACTCGTTAATTACGCAGTGCCTGCTTCGTGCCTTTTGTCAGAAAAGATTTGCCACCAAAAGTTAAACTTAATTTAACCTTTATTTGAGACGGATTCGGCACTCATGATCCGCCCTAGTACTGTCGACATGGTCAAGTAAGTATAGTTAGTTAGGCCTACGCAAGGTCAGCAGAGTAAACTTGGCCTAGCCATATATCCCCTGCCACACCAGCAGCGGTTCCCTTGTTCGAAGAGCGTGGGAGGGTGGGATATCCCCGACCACTATTCGGCAAAGTACCAAGTTATGAAATTGTGAAAGTATGCGTCTGTAGCGAGGAGCGTAGCATTCAAGGTCCACTGAGTGCGTCCCATGGAAGTTGTTATATTAAGGTGAGGGGGACCATCGCTGGTCCAAGTCGAGGCGTAGTCCGTCGTTGTCCCCAATCCTCCGTTCCTTCAAGTTGCTCATTCTACGAAGCGTGGGCGACTTTGCCCTCCTGTCCTGTCGCGTCATAATTCAGTCCCCCTATTATCCCCCAATACAGTTTTCGGTAGCACCGAATTCCCGACGAAGGCCATTCCCCCACTATCCTGCACCTATTTGAAACATGGCTAAAACCATCGCAGTCATTGGTGCCACGGGCGCTCAAGGAGGCGGAGTGGTGAATGTGATGAAGAACACACCAGGCTGGAAAGTTCGTGCCATCACAAGAAACCCGCAAAGCGAAGCGGCACAGAAATTGGCTGGTGACGGAATCGAAGTCGTCCAGGCTAATCTGGACGATGATAGCTCTTTGAAGAAAGCCTTTGAGGTGAGGAATTGCTCGCTACCTAAGAGACCTGGGCTAGTACCCCGGTTCTATATTTTCGTGCCTTGTTCGCGTCGTCTCACCTTGCATCTCGCAGGGCGTTAATGCCGTGTTCGCCGTGACGAATTGGTGGGAGCACCTCTTCAGTGGCAAATCCCCGGATGAGGCGGGTGCTCTCGAGGAGGAACAAGGTATGAAGCTTGCACGTGCCGCTGCGTCTCAACTCTCCACGGTTGAGCACTACATCTGGTCGACGACGCCCAGTGCTAAACGTAAATTCAACGGAGAGTATGTTACGCCCCATATGGACTACAAAGCCAATATAGACGCCAGGATCAAGTCCGAGTTGCCTGAGCTGGCGGCAAGGACAACATACCTCTACTTCGGTTACTACCCGCAGAATATGGCCTACTTACCTCTTCTCCGGCCCTTCCAAGTCGTGGGTGACCCTGACTCATGGCATTTCATGCCAATTACTGACCTCATCCATCGCCTAGCCGGATTCGGGGGCATTTGCTCAAGTCACGCCATCGAACCCGGACGCCAAGATTCTTCTTTCCGGGGACATGACAGTCAACCCAGGTATCTGGGTCCGTCAAGCCATCGCTACCGCGCCCAAGAGCTATGGTAAATATGCCAACGTCGCGTTGGAGAAGTTGACTTTCCGCCAGATGATGGAAGCTTGGTCCGACATCACGGGCAAAAAGGGTGTATACCTCCAGTGTACTCCTGAACAATGGACCGAGCTTTGGGGTCCAGCGGGTACTGAGGTGAGTGGTATCATAGCCTTGCGCTATGGCCACCGAATCTGCTGACTGTATTACTCGCCAGTTGGCTTTACAATTCAAATTCGGAGAGTTGTGTGATCCGTGGGCCGAGGATGATGAGTTCTTGAGCCCCGAGGAGCTTGCTATTGACCCTAGTGAGGTGGTGGGTTTCAGAGGGGCGATCGAGAAACTGAAGCATTTATTCTGATTTTCCCATTTTTGTGCGAATTTTTCTTGGAAATGCCAACAGTTTAACAGTCTGGTGCCTCTTCTCCTTGAAACCAAGAACGGATGTCGTGTTACGAGTCACGTGAACGTTGGCAGGGGTCAAGTGTGTCAAGAACATTTCGCGAAGTTGCCTGAGGCCGGGGCCAGCTCTCACATGAAGAGTTGAGCTCAATTAAGAGGGATGGAAGCGCTTGAGGGCTAGAGACAAGAGAGGAACTCATTCATTAAGGAGCAGGAATACCAGAAGATGCCCAGCATGCAGGTGATTCAGGTTCCTAAGTGCGTCTTTTAGGCATTGTGTTGAATCGATTAGCTCGTTCTTATCAACTTCACCTCCTCGCAAAGCAGCCCATAATTCCCGTTTTACCTATGAACCAGAGAAACCCGATAAAGCGCACCAAGGAAAGCAGAGCGGTGGCGTACAGTAGAAATCTAAAATAAACAGGGGTCCGGCCCGAGGATGCGGCCTGGGATATTTGTCAGTGGATGAGCAAGGAGGGCAGTGGCAGAAAAAAAAATTGTCGACAAGATGATAAAAGAACAGAAAACAACTTACCGGTACACCGAGAGGTTCAAAATCATCATTGGTGATGGCGACAATAATTGCTAGATTCGATAGAATCCAAAAGATCACGAGGCCAGTCCTAAAAGATCGATACGAATCCTCGGGAGCCCTACTCTCTTCCTCCTCCTCCTCTTTGAATGGAGCCAGCGCTCTGTAGACCGTCTTCTTGAACTGGCTGTCTATGTCTTCTTGCTCTCTTTCCACCTCCTCCACCAGAACGGCACTATCGTCACCCTTCTCTTTGATGACCTTCGCCGAAGGCAGGGCATCAGCTTTGTCAGACCCCTTGGTTCCCCAAGAAACGTCGTGCCAATTATTAAAAGCGTAGACCATGAGGATGTTTACATATGTCGACATCAAGACCAGGTACTGCGGGAACGAGTGAAACATATGCCAGGGATCTAAGTATAAAAACGATGCGACATAGTTCAGGCCGAAAATAGTAATAATAGCGAGCAGGATAACCCCGGCGACCCCATCACCAAAGAAGCTTTTGAAGAATGCTGCTGCTGAGTCTGTTGAGATTTGGTCTCCAAGCGGGGTAGAGAGGGCCCGAACGACAAGATAGAACGAGAGGACAAGGATATAAAACTGGATGAGTCCGAAAACGGCAAATGATGCGACATATGTATATCGGGAGGCCTTGGGCCTATTACCCAGCGCAAGGATGAACTGAACGAGGATGAAGATTATATAGACCCACTTGACTATCACGTTGAAGATCAGTGTAGCTGTGTCTCCAAACGGCCAGGCGTGATAATTCAGCTCGGGTTGGGGAGTGCCGACAAGCTGCATGATAACTGTAGTGGTGAGATAGTAGGAAGCCAGGGAGATCCAACTGAAGAAGACGTTGCAGAAATTATAAATCAACTGGATATGTAAAAAGATGAGGCGAACGATTCCGTGGCTGGAGTGATAGATTCGGCCAAAGTGCATAAGGGAATACAGGGAGGCAGCAAAGGAGCCATTCAGCCATCGTCGGCGTTGACTGAGGAACTCTGCTGCGCCTTCAGGGACGTCCGTTTCTCCCTTGGCGGCCTTGACATAACCCAAATGCCACCTCTGACCAGCCTTAGCAACCAGCTCAAAACAGAGAATTCGGTCCTCAGCCAGAAACATATTCTTTTTGAAAATGTTCATCCCATCGATTCCCTTTTTGCCAAGTATCTTGGAAAGAGTATGATCCCCATGGAAGTATTGATCCAACGGCCGGCCCATAATTGCGCGGAACCGGTAGGCTGAGAAGGCTCCGGGAAGAACAGTAACATAGCCAAAGGAACTTTCAAGGGGTTTATCAAGGATGTTTGATATCTTGTATTCGAAATTCTGAACCGCAACGAGTGGGTTGAGCAATTTTTTCCCCCGTGGCCCCAGCATTGCATGAATCTCTCCACATGCACCGCCGAGATTCTTATCATTGTAGAAAGCTTCCCAGAGAGCAAGCAAGGACCGAGGACTTGGCTTCGTTCCGGCGTCGATCAAGATGGTAACTTCGGGGTTCAATATCCGACCAAAGGCATTAAACAACCAGCGATGGGAGTTGATTTTTTTGCTGTTCTTTTGCTTCAGGCAAAATATGAATTGAGCTGGAGGTAGAGTTCGAGACTCTTTTTCATCCGCTGTTGGTCGTATGAGCTGCTGGTTTGGGGTGACAGAGAGTTGGCTGGTATACTCAAATATATGAGCAATGGTCTCCTTGCCATTGATATCCTTTTTCACCACACCATCTTGGTAGATGCCAATTGTTGCAAGAACATCAAAAACGTTCTTATCAACCTTGTCGATGCCGTCAAAAACCAGACACACCACGATCTTCTGCCATGCCGGGCCGCCGGCATTCCAAAATTTTGACTTTTTGAGGTTGACGATGTCGCGAATATTCTGCATCACGCCGTGTAGAGTACGGGCTAATAGGACCTTATTCTCGTTGTAGTACGTGATGGCAATCAGAAGTTCGGTATGCCGGTTATACATTCGAGGTCGTAAGTTGTATCCGTTAGAAAGAGTAAAATCGTTGGGATCGCAGGTAGCAGCCGTGTATCGCATGGTGAGAAATTCTTCCTTCTCCCCTTCGACGTCGAGGTACTTGGGCTGCACGGAGTTTTTGATAGCGCTTGGAACGGGATAATTGACACTGAGGACTGACCCCTGGACCAGTTTGATCTTTCTGGTATTGGCTCGTCTGAGGCCGCCGCCGCTTGCAATGAACGTTGGCTGCTGCTGTCGCGCAGTCCAGTTCTCCTCGGGATCGCCGGCAAAAGAAGCCGGCCGCTCGCCTGTGAAACTGAATCCATCATCCGTATCGTAATGTTGCAGGCCTGGAGCATCATCAACTGGATGTCCGAGGAGAGGGTAATTATAGCCTCCAGGTCTGGTTTGATCGATTGTCTGGAGAGATACGGGAAGGGACGGGGTAGGGGTAGTCAGTGGGCCGGTCTCGTGTGCGTACGGACCGGAGTCGGTCAGTGAGTATCGTCGACTTTCTGGCCTTCTCCCGCTCGAGTATTGGTGCTCCTAGGGAAATTAATGGTTAGAGAAGGTTCCGGATCCAAGGCGGAGTTGGGGTGCGAGTCACCTACTTGTGAGTCTGAGTCCAGCTCATCCATCGGGATCCCGCCCGAGTAGACGTAGTCGCGTCTTGGATTGCTCATCTTTCTACTGTTTCTTTCGTCGAAAACGGGAACTGCTCGTTTTAGGGATGCTCAAGCGCGGGGAGGAAATGGGGTTGTCTCTCGAGAACCGCCTGTCGGATGATAAGGGAATGTCATGCACGATTGGTAGACTTCCCCTTAATAGTTCGCCGGCTTGATTTGTCAAGTTTGCTGAGTCGGAGTGGAATTGAGACGGAATGTAAACGTTACGCCCTTGGGAGTGAAAACAAGACATCACTCCGTCCGGGCATTTCCTCTTGCTCTGTATCAGCTAGGGGACGATGTAGCAGCAGCTTGGGTGAAGTTCGAGCTTCGAGGTCGCCTGATGAAAATGTGCGTCTCCACCCCCTTTTCCCCTCGCTTTTGTCGGCCCAACGACTTTGGCCCCAAATACAGTTAAAGTTAAAGAAGAGTGGATGGTAGCTATTCGAACTGCGTCAGCGCGAATAATTGCTTCCAAGGAATTGATCCCGATCCAAGCGGGTCCATGCAGACGTAGTTTACGAAGGTGTGGAAGACCAAGTCCGTCCATGTTCGGGCACCGCCACTTGGAGACTGTCGTATTGGTTGACCCACTGATCGAACATCATTGATCAAATCCTGCCCTCAGCCCATAAAACCAGATACGAAGCAGTGAGGGCCGTGTCTTGTTGGATGTCTAACTCCACCATGACGTTGTCCGCATACTATTTATAATACGAAGTATTCTTTGCCACTCGCTGGCTAGGACGCACAGGGATCGGACGCGTGCTCTAGAAGTGGGGCCTTCAGATTTTCGTAATTGTTGACCCTTCATGTTGGTAGCCGGTCCACGTCAGCATTGATATTTCCACCGCGATAGGAAGACATGTTGGATCAATATTGTATTACGAAGTTCTCTGAATTATTCCTCTTGGTGCGTTAATAATTTCCTCCTTTTTTATAGAATCCTACCAAGTGGTTCGCCAGCACTGGAGGGTTTGGGATCCATTCTTAAACACCGAGTTTGACGTCATCTCTCCTCTCCTAATATTACATAATCTGACTTTGTTGAAATAATTCGGTAGCAGGGGTCGAACGGAACACATTTTAGAGTCTCGTTAACTCTTGTCTCAAACATCCAAATCCATAAATAGAAGCCTATTTATCAATAGTATCTGGGCACCGTCTTGGTTGGGGACGCCATTCGAAGCGCTTTTATATAATTCCGTAATCGTTCGCTACGTCTCGGGAAGTGGAAATTCCACAAAGGGCGGGCTTGTTCCTCTTCTCCAAGAATCCCATCCGGACCATTTCACCTCATCATGGAATTCCGAGATCCATCGAACTTCGCACCAAGCCCTCCAATATCCCAGCAGGATCGCGAAGGTGAAGAGGTCCCGGTTTAACTGGCACAACATATGTAAACTTTCGTTAGGTTTTGCGCTTTACTTCACGCGAGATATATGAGATACACTTGTGGACCGGGGAGTTTAATCCAACGATAGTGTGATGGGACCCGGGACACATCATAACCAGAGAGAAGACGGGTTGTGACGGAAATACGTACATGTTGATGTTGAGAAACATTCGTGTTGTCACTGCTTGTCCTTGGCTGGGTCAATGGGTCATTGCATGCTAACGTTGCGGGCTCTTGATGCATGGGTTGTATTACAGCATTAGATCGCGAGTCCATGAATGGAACGCCGTGGATTGAGGGGATCATCTAGTCAGAATTTCTACGAGGCGATATCAGATTCGACATCACATAAGAATTTCGTGAACTGTTGTAAGACGCATAAGCTGTCGACAGAGTGGCTCCGCCCTCACTTTCCCTTTACTAACGTGGCGCCTTTGGCGCTTGGTGTTTCTGACCAGAAACGGGTGTTGATGCTTCAGAATGCTTACTTGCTTCCAAGCCCATGGCTTTTGATACGCAGTCGACCGATGAGGATTTTGCCCTCCTTTCAAAAAGTGCTCCTGCATCAGCTACGGCATCGAAGTTCATCTTCTTTCACCCCAGCCAGCAAAACGAACAGATGAACAACCCGTTGATCTACACTATTAGTGTCTTTCACTAGAGGGCGTAGCGTGACGGATGGTAATTCGCCAATTTGATTCTCTGCTTGCCCTGGACCGTTATTTGCAAAATGAGTATTCGTTGCTAGTAGACCAGTTGTGTATAACTTTGCCACGACCCTTAATCTCAACCTAAATAGAGGGCGGCTAATTGCGTCCTGAGGTGATATTTTTGCGACGTTAAAAAGACTTGGCTAGGTACCAATATTTTCCTTGTTAAACGTTTTCGAATTCCGATTAATGCTGCCTTGCCATACGAAACTTTCCTCTACTTCCCTGGCCTAGAGTTGGCGTACCCATACCAAAACTGCCACCCACCCAAATATCCCTGCGTGCGTTTTTATATGCTTCTGTGTTCACTGCCTGGTTCTCCAAGGAAGAGGACGCAGCTCGTGGTATTAGTTCGCTTGATTCTTATTTCCTTGGAAGAAAAAAAAAAAAAAAAAAAAGGACAATTCAAGGAAATTTCATAGAACGCCACCACTATTATTACATCCGGGGCGGGCCATCACAAACTGCCAACTTTTAAATGCCGTTTCGATTAATGAAGCAAGCCTTATCAAGGACCACCCATCTTCAGTTCCGCGGGGTCTGGAACCGGCTAAAACGGAGGTGAATAGTATTCTTTCAGTCTTATTATTCTTAAATCAAACTCCGTAGACCGTTGCGATACCCCTCTTTCTCTTCTCTAAACGATATTGCCATGGAGAAAAGCATAATTATTGCCCGCATAACCCAGCTATTTGTCCTCAAATCTCGGCAGCGTGGCTTAAATACCCCAACATCCGCGGTGGAATTGGATTGAGGAATTTGAGGATTTGAGCAGCACGTCTGATAGCCCGTTTCTTTTTCCGTCGACCCTCAAATCATCACCCGTACAGCAGAACTCCTGATCGAAGTGATGATGAGACTTCACTCATTCGCACTAGCTTTACTATTGAGGCTGCTCCTTTATCATGTCGGAGCGGAGAGCATAAGGGGCATATTTCTATTCAAGGATGTGATGAAATCAAACACTACATCCCTTAAAACGTCCGGTTTCAACACGCTGATCATCTTTGGCATTGGTATCCTGGACAACGGAGACATCAAATACTACTCGAACACGCCAGGAAGTGAAGATGTCGTGGTTGCCTCCGACGGCAAATACGTCGGAGGTGAGGCACTTGCCACCAAAGTCAGATCCTTCAAGTCGGGCAACGATACGAGTGTCAATAGGCTCGAGATTTCAATGAACTCGCAGCATGTTGCCACGCTGATGGCGAATCCGGGCCCTGGTGCCGACACGCCGTTGTACCGCAACTTTGAGGCTCTCAAGGCTGCGTGGGGCCTTGATGCTGTCAACAACGACGACGAGTCCATTTACGACGTCGCGAGCACCGTGGCTTTTGCGAAGATGCTTGGTGAAGTTGGGTATAAATATACGATTGCGCCATACACCAACACGGGCTTTTGGACCGCCCTTAAGACTCAACTCAACAAGGAGCTACAGGAGCCCGACCTACTTCTAGACAGAGTATACCTACAGTGCTATGACGGCGGTGCCTACAATGATCCGGCAAACTGGCAGAGGATGCTGGGAATGAAAGTTGTACCGTTGTTGTGGGTTGTTAACGACTCTAAGCCTTCCCAGGGCACGACGGTCGCACAAGCCCGGACTAAGTTTTCCAACTGGCATGAACGAGATTCCCTTGCTGGTGGAGGGTATTGGAACGATTACGATATTGAGAAGATGGGGTTGTCATACACTGAGTATGGGGACATTTTAACGAGTATTTTCCTTTGAAAGCCGACTTGAAATGGACGCGACCGACCGGGGGGTCGAGCACCTTTAGCGTAGGAGCTGGAATTAGTGGCCATAATGCGATATCTTGATACTTGGCTTTGGGTGGATATGAATGAGAACCGCGAAAGAAGAACACAAGTAGGATTGTCGCTGTGTTACCCGCCGCTGATTTCCGTCAAACGCTTATCTTCCGGGCTATAAATCCCAGCCCTCGTTATGCAGCTGTTTTTTCGCCAAGGCTCATTAGCACGGCAGCTCACCTCCTCTTGCCCTTGAAGAACTTCCACCAAATGTTCAAGGTGCAGGTCAAATGGGATGCCAGGGTGGACAAGAAACGTCTCTCTGACCTCGTAATTTCAAGAACCTTTACGTCCCTTCATAGGACTGGGTAGACATGTCGGGAATACTTAGCGATGCTCTAAGCTCTGTGACATACACGCTTAAAAGTTCAAGCCAGCCTTCAGGATAAGAGGATTTCCGTCAGTCTCCTGGTCAAAGTTGACGAGTGAGGGCAAGTTGTCGGCGACAAAGAGACTTCCAACCACAGACTGGAACCTCAGCGTCAGCGCTGCTGCGCCTTCCTCTGCCTTGAAACCTCTCCACGAAGCGGCCCATTCCACATGAATTATAGTGATTGGTCCGACAAGGCGGTGCATCAACTCCACTTCGTGATCATATTTATATGGATAACCCCTCCCCTTTTGGTCCGCCTGCGCTCGACTGGGGACTTGGAATACTTTTCCGGCTTCAAGAGAGTCCAAAGACCGCTGGGCACACCAACATTCTCCAACGAGGAAGAAAGGGCTCTCTTGGCAGCGATCATGCATGAATCGAACCCATGATAGTGGCTCACTAACGCCTCAACCGTCGTCCTACAAAAAAATGGCATGAAAAGGTTCAGACGCATCTCGTCAGTTAGAGTTTCAGCTAGAATTTTCGGCCAGTTGCACTCTTGATCAGCTACTTCTCCTGTCATTACATTGATCTCGTTCAAGTCGGCTCTTATCGCCGACAATGTGCCGGGATCAATTCGCTCGGCACATTCTTCGTGTTGCCACGCCCTGGATTCCCGAGCTTGATCAAGAGTGCTATTGACGCCGAGACCAAGTAGAAGCAAGCAGTTTCCATTTAATCAAAGCTGCTATATTATTTCGGGAGTGCTCGCCAAGGTCAGGTGAGCCTGACCTCACGATTAACGCATGCAGCTTAGATCCCCAATAGTTGGAGTTGCGAGGTCGGTATGGTTAACACTGATGCAAACCACCTTGCAGATGACGAATCCGACCGCTCGAAATGAGTGGGGGCAGACTCCAAGCATCGGCTACGGCTCCCGGGAGGAATACCTCATCCCAGCGCCAATACTGTAACAAACGCCTCATTCTCAAAAGCACTTCATTGGTCCAGATTTGCCCTTCTTCGCTCTTCGGCATCGTATTAGCCATTTGTAGGGGATAAGGGCGGAGTTCGCCGGGTGTTTTCAACCCACGCGATGCTCCGGAGGGTCTTCATCATGGCCTATTACGGTCTAGATAATGAATCGCGTAATTGAGGGGAGCCCCTGGGGAGTTTCTTTCACAGACTGAAATCGCCCATTACAAATACACTTCGAACTGGGAAACTCGAGTAGGAGAGGTCCAGTATAAGCTCGCAAGTGTCTCTTCTCCGCTCCACACCAACAGTTCCCGACTGAATATTATCTCACAGTATTATCGCATCTCGTATTACGCCGTCATCCACGCAATGGCTCATCTAGAAGCTCGGAAGCATATATCGCAGGACTCGGGTTTCCCCGTGACTCTCCATCCGCATTTCAACCCGAAGATCAAAGACCACATTCCACCGGAGCCCGTGCGGGAACAAATCACTCCCGACTTGGATCGGGCTACGTTCGCAGACCCTGAAAAGAAGGCCCTGTTTGCGGTCGCCAAAAGGATAGATCTGACGGAGTCTCTCGGCACCGTCCTGGAGAATGTGCAGCTCTCTGAACTCACACCGGAGCAGCTGGATGAGCTCGCCTTGCTGGTAACTGAACGCGGGGTTGTCTTCTTCCGAGACCAGAATTTGACAACAGAAGGTCAAGTGGAGCTTTTCCAACATTACGGCATCCTCGACCGCCACCCCGCCCAGAAAGATGTCAAGCATGTTGTTATTCGTGGTAGCCGCGAAGATCATCGCGAGATACTGAAGTACACACCGTGGCCATCGGGAGACTTCCACGCAGACACATCCTTTGAGGTTAACCCACCATCATATTCCCTATTACGCATGGAGGAACACCCCGACGTTGGAGGGGACACCGCATGGGTTTCCCAATATGGGCTCTACGATGCATTGAGCGATGCCCTGAAAAAGTTCATCGATGGTCTTCACGCCATTCATACTTCTCGGCTGCAATACGATACAATCCTAGATCTCTGGGGAGTGGGCCCAAATCGCCCTCCTATCGATTCACACCACCCGGCTGTCAGGACCCATCCCGTCACGGGCTTGAAGGCACTGAATGTGAATCCTGGATTTGTCACCGGATTCGCAGAGCTAAAGAAATACGAGTCAGACAAGCTGCTCGACTTTTTCAATTATCATATCCATTCGGCCGACGACCACTATGTGCGGTGGAAGTGGAGTGTTGGCAGTGTCGCAATGTGGGATAATAGGTAAGGGCAGCCAAATCATCTTGTCTGTGTCTCATGAAGGCTCACTAAATGGATAAAGATGCACCATACATCGCGTAATTCCGGGAACATACGAGGCACCTCGAAGGGGAATTCGAACGACGGTTTTCGGGGAGAAACGTATGAAATTTCACACCACTAATCTTAATCTTCTGCGATGATCGTCACTAACGGGATAACACAACAGCGTATTTTGACCCATCAAGTGAGAGTCGAAATGAGAGAGCGAAAAGATTGCAAGGGGCGACAACTAACGGAGTATGAATGCCGGGTGTCTTAAGCAGGATCCGTGGGAAGCGTACACATGGCATCTTTACGGCATATCTTCGTACAAATATTGCTACTCTGAGAAACCCTGATCGCCTGGAAGTTCTGTTTTGCATGTAGACGAGGATCAAATACACGCTGGGCTCATTCTGCCCTTCAACATTTTTGTGGTCCCCCTGATGTTTGCAACGACGCTATCGCCCTCTAGGTACCTGGCGCCGATCGTTGACGTCGTTTAAATGCAGAATTTTGTGATTCGTGCTCATGCACAGGGTGGTGGGCGAGATGTAAATCAAGAAAGGAAGAGTTCAATGAACAACTGTGAGATATTATATTCAGTGGAGACTGCGGCTGACATTGTCCATTGTGCATCCCCACGGTGTACTCCGGAACGTCGTGATCAGGAGCGACCGGTTTTCGTGCCTGAAGTTTGCCTCCATATTCTAGATCAATTCTACACCTCCATCACCTCCTTTCGATACCTGAGCTGTCGGGATATGATTACCTATAACAAATGTCCCCAAAGCGCTCATGTACCGTGATTCCTGAGTGGCTCCTTTGCTTCGATCAAATAATCGTGGAGATTAATGCACCTATCTCGTCATGAATCGCACGCCTTTTAGAGTAAGGGTGAGACGGTTGCAAATGCAGTTCACTTACTAGCGCTAGACAACGAAGACCAGACTGCGCCCTGTTCCACGAGCTTTGGCGGACACCACCTCCTCGAATCGTCAGCTCAGAGACTTCAGGTACCGCCGATGCAGTATTCTGACTTACAAGGCGCCAGGTAGGCCCAGGAATTCACTCCAGTACCACCACACCACGGCATAGGTAAATAATCCAATAAGGCTATGGGCAATGAAAATGTAGCCCGCGAGATTCGAGCAGTAGCTCCCGGTTGGAGGGTTCCTCTCAAGGGGGATAGCGGGCTCATTCCGCCGTGTCCAAAACGGTACGAATATCATCCCTATAAGCACCATAGCTGGAGCGGCCAGCAACAAGTTGACATTTGTCTTCATATGATCCTTGATGACTTCATTGGGGAACCGCTTCCAAGTCACACCGACAAAGATAGCGGAGATAAGCTGGATGAAAAACTCGCATATCGCTGTAGCGGCATATGCGTCCGTGTATATCCACTCCGGTAACAGGGCTCGGCCACTTCGGAACTTCATTATATGTTGTCTTCCTCCGATGTTGAGCGTTCTTGTCTCTTTTTCCTTGAAGTTGATAAACTTGAGGTGCCTCTCGATGGTGATGGGTCCAACAACGACCCGCAGGAATGCCAGCCAAAGGAAATTAGCCCGGGGCCGCGACGAATATAGGGCAAAGATATTGAGCATGCTCAGATGCTCGTACCCTGGTGTGTCAACTATCAGTTTGGAGACGACGGCGTTGGAACCCACTTGGAGACCGAAAGAGAAGATCCATGTCCAGAAAGCCGACCTGGACTTTCCAGGTCTCCCAAGGAATCCACCCGTGAGAAAATGAATGAGCGGACGACAGCCGAAAAGCAGGACAGCAGCGGCGACGATGATGTTGATAATTCCGAACAGTGCTAGGTTCTCGCTTCGCGTAGGACACTGTCCGTCAGTGACGTTCGTCGGGGCGATGATCCACTCTATAGGAACAGGCGGGAGAATGCGCGTATCGTTCGGGAAGCTAAAGTATGGGCCGGTGTTGACTCCATAGTACCGCGTGAACCTCGGATCTGATGTCTTTGTGTCCCCTGCTGGCAACCTAACGTCCGAGCCCACGCGAGGTGAAGAACGGCCACTCGAGGGCACGATAATCACAATCTGTCTCTTGAAAATGTCAGCAAGGACGCGACTGGCGTATTCGATTGCTGGCATGGCGAGTCGTCGTACTGATTACTGACGTCTTTGAATGGAATGCGGGGTCATGGGGGGATTGCTCTTCTCTCCGGGTTGCCTGCGAAGGTGTTGGTTCTTGTGTTTGATCAAATCTATTATTAGAAACACAAGCCCGTGATTCGTCGCGTGCCCGCATGCTATGCTCTTCCCTGGCGCCATCAGTGGTACCCTGTCCATTGTTACTTGCAGGGGATTTCCTTCGTCCTCTAATTATTCCAGAGTCTCTCTAGGATTGTGCTGACTGGAAGCCTGGACAGATAAATGAGGTGTGGTGGAGATAATATCGCGGCGCCAACGCGACTACTTCGTAGTTCTCATCTACAGGCCAGATCTAACACAACCCATGATCCTGGTTCGAAAGCCTAGTAGCCGAGTCAAAGTCTGGAAAAGTGGGATGAGGCAACGAGGATCATACCGTGGCGGCAGGGACTCTGGTGCGTCGTGCCTGCCGTCCAAGTACACGACCTGGTCGCGAATACAAATTACGTCAAGAGGAGCCCGTTCGCGTCGATCGTGGGTTTCGCAACGACGCAGATCCTCCTGACTGGTTTTGATCTCTGGATCCTTGAGCTACGCACATAGAAATAAGTACCTGAAGTGGTGAGATTATTCGTCTCATCTGCGGCACAGCTTTTCTCCGTTCAATCCATCCACCAAGATCAAATATCTGCACTCAACTTCTCGACGGTTTTCTCGCGACCAGGTATCAGTGGCCCGTCTGCAACGGCAAAATGCGCATCACCGCTCGTGGGCTCTCGCCCGTTTTCCTGGTCACCAATGCCATTGTCTGGGTATCTGCTGCCATTATCATGGGCATCCTGTCATATTGGATCTCCCAAGAGGAGCAGCCTGACTCCATCATCTATATGGAGGTCGTGGTGCGTTATCCGAAACTGCCTTACTCACTAGAGCGAAATGTCGAATTGTTTTCTAACGAAGGTTATTAAATAGTCCGTCTTGACGGTTGCCTTCGCTCTTGCCGCGCTCTTCCTAGGAACATATCCCTCTTATCTGCAGCTTTTCAACCTCATTTTTTCGTATCTCTGGATTGTGGTCGTCGCTTTGGCAACTTCGTTGTTCACCAATGCCGAGAGTGAGCAGGCCCATGCAGTCCAGGCCTTTAGCTTCGTCGCCTTGTATGTCTATCCGATTATTCTTGTCGTTAAGCTTGCAGGCTGGACTGACAATTTCCCCTTGGGTTTTAGCTTCGCCCTCCTATTCAATGTCCTCTATAGTTGGTACCCCGACTTCGGACGAGAGCAGTGATCGGGCTGGCTGGCTGGCTCTCAATTTCTCAGAGGCGGGCAATGTGGTCGATTGAAGGAAGAACGAGTTGCATTAGCAAATTGAAAATGATTGAGCATGATCAAATGGCGTTTGTGGGACTCGTGATGGCTTGGTGACGATTCTTTTTGGAATTGGAATTTAGGGCGTCGTAATCCAGTCGAGTTTCATGGTCTTCCGAGATCACTCTGGAAGCAAAATTGAAATGCCATTGAATTCAGACCGCATGGTGAGGAGGATTAAAGACATCTTTGAGGCAGCGTATTGTCCTCTTCCTGCGTGAACAAACTAAAGATGCCAGTCTGACTGGAGATGGAGGCAAATGGGACGTCCCTGCCCATTCCGGTTGGACACGGTGGAAAGGAAAGGGAGGAGAGGCCATCATTTAAAGATAAACAAGTCTTTCCTGCATATGAGTTGTAAGTCACCATTGTTTGAACCTAACGCGTCGACTATGTGGGGTTCCCCCTCCAAAAATAGGGGCAGTTCCAGGCAAGCCATGTTCGATTCGCAGGGAAAGTTCTAATTCTTCGGTTGCTCAATGTTGGGTTTTCTTCCTCCCCCTCATCCTCGTCCTCCTTCTTCTTCTGCTGCTAGGAAATAATACGCTAGCTTTCAAACGGAAGGTGGCGAGACAGCGATCCACCGCAAGACTGGTGTTTTAACTCATATTTTTATTCAGGTCCAAGTGGGCAACGCTTTCTCCACAGCAAGGTTCCATCTGAAATAGTGGCAAAGTAACGGGGAAGATGGGTATTCCCCGCCAAGGACTTGCGAGATGGTGGCCCCAACTCTCAGAGAGGCCGGTAAAACGGATGAATGGATTTGAGTCTGAAGGGAAGGAGGTGCCCTTGGCGCACATAAAATTATCGCTCGTCAAGTGTGAATGACAGGCCCTGAGCCAATGCCTCGTCCCAGGTAGCTTCGCTGGAACCCTGAAGTATTGTTGGGTACTTCGACGTCGATGCGACCACACACGAACATTCAACACGCTTCGGCGCAGAGGCTAAATAGGCAGGTGCCTGTTCCTTCTGCTTCGCCCGCCTCTCCGATGTGAAATGGTGGGCGGCGGCGGCATTCCCGCAACTGAGGCCTTGCGGGACGTAATTTGTCCGTGGCTGCGTTCTGGAACGCGCGGCCAGTGGATATTGCCGTTTCGACCCTAGAATGCCTGGGTTCCTCCGCCGTCGGTGCTCACTAGCTCGCATGGATACGTGAGCTCCTTGGAACGCCAATATTTCGCTTATTTGGCTGCCAAGAGAATGGCGCCAGGCGTGCGCTGCGCCCCCTTCTTGCGAAAATAGGAGAGATTGAGGGATTTACCCAGCGGTTGGGGAAAGAGGGAAAAGGAAAAAAAAAAAAGAGGAGCACAACGAGTACGCGGCCCCTTTATATAGGAGTAAAAAAATGAGATATATCTTGGATCTCCTCTTGCCGACGCATCCGAGTCCGTTGTCCTCTCCCTACCATTCATAGCAGTAATTGCACACAACGCTCCAAGCACCCTACCCGTCCAGCCAGCCTACCTTTATTGACACGATCAGACCTGCCTACACCCCCATATTGAGGACCATTGAGATGGACCGAGACAGGCTCATATCCGCTCTGGAGATTGAAGGGATGATTGCCGACGGCCACGCCATTGTTATCCTTGAAGATGCCGTCCTACGACTGGATTCATGGCTTGACAAACATCCCGGAGGTCGTCTAGTAATCTTGCATATGGTGGGCAAAGATGCGACTGACGAGATTCATGCGTAAATAAAATTCAGCTCCCCGTGATCCATGTTGTCCATGATATATCCCCGGTCCCCAACAAGGGAGATGAGAAGGGAAAGAAACACCGAAGCGCCCAAGTATCGAGAAGATAAGGGAGGGATCAAAGAACTGGTGACAGTTACGCTAGACCCGTTTCTAGAAGACTTCGATTGACGATCACGAAAATTAAAGTTCTGACTGCTAATATATTCTGTGGGGAAATCCATGCAGGTACCATTCGCCCGCCACGTTAAAGACAATGAAATGCTTTCGGATTGGCCGGAAGCCACCAGGACTTTGGGTTAATAGAACACCTCCGATAAGAGGTGGCGTTTTTACGAGGTGTGAGACATCGACGTACGTGGAGACCGAATACACGTCAGAAACCGAGCTGGCGGTTCCGACCGATGATAGCAGCAGCAGCCAGGATTCCGACTTAGGCTCGTCGACACCTCTAAGCTCCGAGTACAGCGATGTCGATATAAGCTGCGTTGAGTCAGACCAACCCGCAGGGATTCGGCGGCGGGGTCATCCCATTCGAAGCTTTGGTTCTGAAAATAGGCGCCCGGATGTCTCGGATGAGGACAAGGTGGTGGTCCCACCTCCCTGCAGAGCCCAGCTTCGTTTCTCCGCGGACGGATACACGGATTGGGCTGTACGCCAAGAGATTGACAAGGACAGGGAGACCTACCCACCCGTAGATCCCGTTGTGCAGCAAAATATCATCCGAAGGTACCAGGTTCTTCACCGGCGGGTACACGATGAGGGATTCTACAAATGCCAGTACTTGGAGTATGGAAAAGAGATGGCCCGTTACACGGTCCTGTTCTTGGCGTTCCTAACGGCCTTACGCCTTGAATGGTACATGACATCGGCAATCTTCCTAGGGTTATTCTGGGTTCGTTCGCACAATCGCCACTTTTGGTCCGGGGGTTCTCCGTTAACTGTGTTGTCGATGTAGCATCAAATCATGTTCACCGCGCACGATGCGGGGCATTTGGCGATTACTCAGATATTCTTTGTGGATACTCTAATTGGCATGTTCATTGCTGATTTCTGCTGCGGCTTGTCCATCGGCTGGTGGAAGAGTAGCCACAACGTTCACCATCTTCTCACAAACCAGCCGGTAAGTCTCATCTAATCCAACAGCTGGACAAGGCCACGTCGCTACGTTTGACTGACTTTCAAAAAGGACCATGACCCAGATATTCAGAACATTCCCCTATTCGCCACCTCCCCGGCGTTTTTCAAGTCACTTCATTCTACTTACTACGACTTCACCTTCGTTTGGAATGCCGCGGCTGAGATGTTGGTCAGCTACCAGCGTTACACCTATTATCCCGTGATGGGCATCGCGCGATTCAATCTCTACCTTCTCTCTTGGCTACATGTGCTTTCTGCAAAGTCGTCTGCCCTCGGAAAGACCAGGGCGTGGTGGATTCGCCCTACAGAAATCGCTTTCATGGCATGCTACTGGTATATCTTTGGATATTGTCTGCTCTTACGCACCCTCCCAACATGGACTATTCGTGTGGCCTTTGTGCTCATCTCCCACATTGTCACCATGCCTCTACATGTCCAGATCACTCTATCCCACTGGGGAATGTCCACTTCGGAGCTCGGCGAATCCGAATCTTTCCCCCAGCGACAACTACGCACGACGATGGATGTCGACTGTCCGGCTTGGCTCGACTTCATCCACGGAGGTTTGCAGTTTCAGGCAGTCCACCATCTTTTCCCTCGGGTACCACGCCATAATCTCCGCCGGCTTCAGACACTGGTAAGAGAGTTTTGTAATGATACAGGGATCCCGTATTCGATATTGAAATTTGTGGACGGGAACGAAAAGGTCCTCGACCGACTGGGAGAAATAAGTGACCAGGTCAAGATACTGGTTGAGTGTCAGAAATATATGGCGGAGACGGGAGAAAGCGGCCTCCGCTAGCAATCATTTGTTTGTATTTGACTTTACTTTCCTGCTTTATTTTCTTGGTCTATTTTTTTTTCCCTTCTATTCTAAGGATTGATTTATACACTCGCTCCATGCCTCCTTTGCTTCTTATGCGTCATGCATTATTGACCCGGCTTCGAGGGTTAGCATGATGCTCGGATACGGAAATTTTGCAGATCAGCAGACCCGTGTTTTTGTGGGCGCAAAAATGAGAACCTTCAAAAGTGCTAAGGGTCGGCTTCATTGATACCCCGACGGGAAATCCCCGCTGTGGATATGCACTGCCTCGATATCGCTGAAAATGTTGGTGAGACTGATGCGGGAGGATTGACCCGGAGTGAAGTGCTGACTTGGAGGTAATTGGCGGGTAGAACCGGAACAAGCGGAGTCAGATCTCGGAATCCTAAAATCGTTAAAAAAGTGATCTAGTTTCCGATTCTACACCTGCAAGCCAGTCGCCGTTTGCTCCATAGACGAAGCGAAGCTTTCTTTACCCTTTGCGCAAACTCAATTACGTCTTCATCGCAATGGCATCCCGACGACTTTCCAGGACAATCGTGGCGCTGTCAGTTTGCGCAGCGCTCACTAGTACCGGGATTTACGGCTTTTTCGTGCACAAGCGAATCAAGGACGTCGATGGTAAGAAAATCGCCATTTCTAGGAGTATCCCCGAATCTTTTCGACATTCTTTGGCCGTTAAGGACATAGCGAACCCAAGGCAGTATCAAGACAAGTCGGACTCGCGAGTTATTACTCTCGAAATCCCGGCTCATCACCAGAACGTGTCAGACGAGTATTTGCTCTCCCTTTTTGTGAAGGGATTCTTCGGCGGACTGGTTATTGGGCCGGAAAGATTGGTTCTGCGGACTCTGCGACCTAGCTGGGTGCATTTCTCGAGTAAGTGATGAATCGGAGGCTGATGGCTAGCAAGTGTGAGTAATGTTCAGATAGAGATTAGCAACGAGGAGCCGAAGTTGAGAATATGGCAGGCCGATGAGCTATCGGAGACGCGCCTGCCTCCGTTACGTTCTGTCCTCTTTGGTGTCTTTCAGGTTGTGGATCGCAAGCTGAGAGCTGAGGGAGAAGAAGACGTCAGACAGAGCGGCGAGAGCTATATCGACTTCGCCTATGGCAGCGATGAGTCCCGGTTTTCCGGTGTCCATCGTTTCTCAATCGTTCATTCAGGCGATAAAAAACTCGACGGTTCGAGATCTGTGCAGATCCATCAACAAACCATGTGCTGCAATCCGTCAGTCGACAAACCTCTCAGACCAGAATTCATGGTCGAGTTCCACATGGCATACAGCCAACTTTTATTCAAAGAGGGAATCGCTGAGATAACGAAGTGGCTCGGACGGTGAAAGTCGCTTATGTCGGGCCGAGGGCAAACGCTGCTGCCCAATATATACGTGCCAGTGCGTGTTGTCTTACGCTACTTCTTTGAATTCATACCACCCATGCTCTCTGGCTCCCCTGGACGGAACGCGAGACAGATATTCACAACTCCTGTATACTAAGTGTAATAATAATAATGTGATGACGATCTCTTACCACCACTGGTGAATATTAAGTTTTGCGAAGTTTTTTAAGTATACTCCTATTAAAGCGTACCTACGGAAGGAAAAGCCGGTCGACCGAAATGATAACTCGACGCCGCAAACTTCATCACCTCGAGCCGGTCACTAGATCGGACGGGACTTGGAATAAGCAATTTCATCTATCAGCGGCCTTGCATCTTTGCCAGGCTCTCAAGTTTATTAGAAGTCAGTCTAGCTCTCCTGATAGTATCCAACCCCACGTTCACACTCAACAAACGAAACAAAGGGAATAAAATCCTCCAGCCATGGATGCCAATCACGTGTCGTTGGGGCACCTCACGGCAACGGGTCGATCAAGACGGCAGGTCCGACCGGGATGATTAGTGGCTCCGCGCTATTAAACACAATTTTGTGCCGGGCCTTTGCGTATCCTGAACCGTAATTATGTATGTTGGGTGCTGTTGTCTTGAAAAACGCGCCACGGGTTTCGCTACCTTGGTCCCAGTAGAGTCTCCGCAGCCACAGGTATAAAAGAGGGTAATCATGCCGGATAGACTTCAAGTTGCAGAGGAATACAGGGTAGTATGCAACGTCGAACCTCACAATGGTGGTGTAAAGACGAATATCAGCCTCGGTGAGATGGTCCCCTAGGACATACCGTTTTCCATGACCAAGCATTGCCTCGAGGCGGTCTAGAGACTTGAAAAGCGGGAATAGGTTGTCTTCGTATGATTCCTGGGTAGTAGCAAACCCCGTTTTGTACACGCCGTTGTTGACGGTATCGTAAACCCACGCGTTCACCTCATCTATTTCCTTACGCAGGGCGTCGGGGTAAAAACCACCGCCGGGTCTGTTGATCTCGCGCAGTTCCGCAGGCAGGAGGTCGTCAAACTCGGTATAGAACATGCGAATAATTTCGGAGGATTCATTGTTCACCATGGTATCTTGCTTCTTGTCCCACAGGACCGGTACAGTGTAACGCCCCGAGTAATTCGGGTTAGCAAAATGATATAGCTCTTTTAAGGTCTTAAAACCATGGAGGGGGTCCTTGGGTAAAGAGCCGTCCGATCCACTAAAGTACCAACCATCGGGGCCCATGAATGGATGCACTTGATAGACGTCGATTACTGACTCTAGGCCCTTGAGCAGACGCACGATCAGTGTGCGGTGGGCCTGCAGTGTGATGGTAGGTCAGAACTGGACATGGACTCTCTGAGTTATGATAACGGGTTGGACTCCTTACCCATGGGCAACCGGGGGATAAATAGAGGGCATACCGGCCAGCCTCAGCTGGGAACTGGGACTGCGGATCCTTCGTGATGAAATGACGAAAGGTGCTATCCGGTCGCACAAATCGACCGTTTCGCTGGTAGGACTGAGAAACAGTTAGCTTCGATGCCCTGGTGAACAAGCGGGCCACAGTCTTTGCGAAGGACATGGTTGATCGGGATTGTCCACATCGCTCTCTTACCTGGGTTGCCATTAGTATTAGTTTCGAAGCGGAGCCTGTCCAGTTATACTTCCGAGGGCAATGCGCCCGCTCTATGTCGCTTGTGTTGGGAGACACGTTGTAAATAAATCTCTGAGACTATGGAACACATTGGCGTCAAAAGAAGTACGAGAGCGGCATCAATGTTATGACGGTAGTGTTGGCATTATTAATGCTTACAAATTAAAACATTTCGGCTTCAAAAGTAGCAATTGTCTACCTCAGTCGTGTCTCCCCATTGTCGAGGGTCAGTGTCTAGCAATTAAAGCTCCCATCATTATGACGAATACCCTGATGACGCAGTGCCTGTCATGGCTGATCTCAAGATGCGGAGGCCAGGTGGATATTATATGATGAGAAGTCTTTCTTTAGAGAAGCTGCCAGATTTCCTTTCCAGTGAAGACGTATCCAGATTCTTAGGCGCACAAGATCTGAGCGAGATTTTCGTTCTTGTAGGCACCTGGCCGATTGGGAACACCAATCAAATCCGGTAAGATGGCCGAGCGGTCTAAGGCGCCAGGTTAAGGTTAGCTTAACGTGAATTCCTGGTCCAGGAAACTGGGCGTGAGTTCGAATCTCACTCTTATCATTGTTTTCCTTTTTGGTTTTATTTTTCCCTATTTCTTTTCCATCTCTCTCTCTCTCTCTCTCTCTCTCTCTTACTGTTATTTTCTTCTTCTTCTTTTTGCCGGTTGTTAGAGAGAGTGCTGCTGCCTCACGGATTTTCACGTTTCATTTTCTTCTGCTTTCTATCGTGCTGTTATTTTGACACTACGGCCACACGATCCTTCCATCTAAGTTCGCAAGTCTGGCGGGGTCTTCAATCAGCTCGAACTTCTTGGCCGAAAAGTGGAAGCTTGTGCCCTCGTATTCCCGTGGTGTATCAAATCGAGGACGTCCTCGCCGATGGAATGTGAACGCATGTCGAGTCCGATTGACGGGATGAAGTCATCCATTTACTTAATCACGAACCCCCCTTCTACGTAGCCGTCCCGTAGGTATTTGATATCTAGGTGGATTTAATAGCGATCGGGGTAGTCCCTGTCGTCCCTTCTTCAGGCTATTTTCAGAAGGCACTCAAATTCAAACTCGCTATGATCGAAATCAGATTTGTAAAGGGCCGATGCACGGAGATCCCGAGTGAGGCTCTGTGTTGTGCGTGGTTTCTATCTTTGAGCAGTACCTAGAGGGAGAATCGAGTGCATCGGCGGTTGACCCGTCGCAATAATCCGAGAACGTTGTAAGAATTGCACCGAACAAAGCTTGATTCAGAGCTATTATCTTGTCTCGCCGGGGAGAGGGGCCAAGACCCATGCCATTCCTCGTATCGACCACCAGCATTTACCACTGGTTATATTTTGCCGGCTTGTTCTCTTCAATGTCCATCAACTCAACCACGTCCGAATCTCCAGCCCGGGGCATGTATGAAACCGTATGCGTGACACTTTTCTGGATCGCGTTGCTTGGTAATGGGGATTTGCCAAAGTTGTAGCTTCTTCCCTTGTAATCTGCCGTGTGGCTCGTGCTGCCAAAGACTTGGGGGAAGACGCGGCGGAGATAGGAGAGGGTTGAAGGCATGCAACAACACATGATCGACACGTTGCACTCGATAACGCTGTATGTTGCAACCATGACATTGTTGTCTTTAACCCGTTAGCTTCTCATGTTCGTTTGGGAAGGACCCCTGGAACTTACAGGTTGGATTTGACGACGTTGAGTATGTGATCAAACCAGAGAAGCGGATGATGCTGACGACGGTGATGCTGTTCTAGGGTAAGCATTAGCTGAGGAGAATTTTGGGTAGTCCAAACTTACATGATGCCAACACTAAACATGAGGATTAAGTAGATCTTCTTTTTCGTGGAGAGCTGCAACTTCAGAAGCTGTGGGATTGGAAGAGCAATAATCCACAAGTCCGTCGCGATATTGATGGCCTAGCTCTTGTGTTAGGGCTACCGGTCATTCCAATTGGGGTCCCGCTTGGGGGATAACTAATTTCTTACCGAGTGCGCCCACCAGAAGGCATTGTTATCGTAGCAAACGCCCTCACCGGTGCCGGACCATGCGGACCATGCATAGGCGACAGGAACACAAGCGAGAATGGCAGTGATTGTCGTTGAAACCATGAACAGGAAGCAGTGCACAATTGTTCCGTAGCAGATGTGGCGGAATGTCTTGTTCGGGAAGACCCGAATGAAGAAGCAGATGATGGCTATCTTTGTGAGGTTGATCGCCGGTATGTAGCTCACTTGTGTGACCCATGTGTACTGAATGATGTTCCATGTTAGGGACGGGGAGCCCCCTTCGTCGCCAATACAGCCTTTCATGACGTACCTTGACAACATTCGTAATACTCTCTGGTGTTAGGGTCCATATGTCCTTACCCATTCCATGGGCCATCACTAGACACCCAGTTAGTCGACTGCTAACGCGATACGGAGACTTTCCGGAGAAATAAGCATACTGAAGAATTCGAACACATCCATAGGAATCGAAAACACCTTTTTATTGAACGTCAGCAGGACTCAAACTAGCATTTGAGCGTAAGAGGGAGGCGGTTTACTAACCATGGCGAGCACGGCGCTGAGATCGGCCCATTGGTATTCTTCTCGGATCATGCACTCGTAGACCCGAAGCAGAACGAATCCGAGAGCTAATCCACCAGATATCGCCGTCGCAATCGGTGCCACCAAGCTCTTGTCCCGGACGGGTTCTTTACAAATCGTGGCCGTAGCATTTCGAGCAGCTTCGGGCGGGTTAGCTTGGCTTGTTCCAAGGTCAAGTCCTCGGGTGGTCGACATACAAAGAGCTTCAACGACTGTGCATGTCTGTATTGAACAGGTCCCAACATTGGCCATCAATTCTTGGTCTGAACATATGCACTCGAAATCGGTGGGATCGCACGGCGAGTTTTCGAGATGGGTCGTGAGACAATCGCTCTGCGAAAGATGTTAGTACTAAGCCCCGGCACAATTCCGACTAGTTCGGCACAAGAGGGCCTTGACGTACTGCGCATGTTGGCATGGTTTGCGCGCTGGCGATGGCGGACAAGCCCGCCGCGACGAGGACCAGCAAAGCGTAAAATCTCATCGCTCGGCTCGAAGCTGAGACATACGAATAGATGTCGTTCGACGGGACAGGAAAATGACGAGTTGGGCATACGTGGGCCTCTTATCTCCCCGACGACATCGCTCTTGCCATTCACCCTGAATTCGGAGGGAATCTTGTTCAAAGAAAGTGATGGGGTCTGCGACCAACATGCGGGATGGACGAGATGCCAGTCGAACAGCCACTCTGCTCGAAAGGGAAAGAGCCCAGGGAGTCCCGGGACTGCCTCTGCCATTTGTAGCATTGTCCCCTGTTCGGGGTCGACGTGAGTCGCGCTGGCTTGCCCCATTTTGCCGGGTTCAAGCCTTCGGATCTGTAACCTTGGACAGGTACTATCGTCTCTCATTACTCCACCCATCCTGGGCTGTGTTGGGAGATTGGATCGGCCAAACCCCGTCTCCAGCCCGCCTCGGTCTGATTAGTGCCGCCGTTCTTGGCCGCCTAATTGTCCTACTCGTTAATCGGCCCTCCCTCCCGCTGCCCCCGGGCCCCAAGCCAGCACCTTTGATTGGAAACCTCCACCAACTGCCCAAGAGCCTCCAGTGGCTTCATTTGTATCACTGGAGCAAGAAGTATGGCCCGATAATGCACCTAAGCATGGGTGGTCAGCCTTTAATCATTCTATCCACTCATGGAGCGGCACACGACCTGCTGAGTCGGCGAAGCGCCAGGTACTCGGATCGTCCACGAATGGTCATGTCCGGCGAGCTCGTGACCAAGGGAATGCACATGCTGCTGCGTCAGTATGACGAGAGATATAGGCTACATCAACGCATGGAAGCACCTCTTCTCAATGTCCGCGCAGCAAGCGCCTATCGCCCCCTCCAGGACATTGAGTCTCGACAGTTGCTCTTTGATGTGCTGGGCGAGTGGGACGAGTTTGGGGAGAAGGGCATAGATTTCCACCATCATTTCGAACGCGCGATGGCAAGTACGATTTACTGCCTCAATTATGGTTACCGTCTCAAGACCGGTTACGAGAAGGAACTGATGGATGGCAAGAAAGTCCAAGCCGAGTTCGCCAGGACCGGCCAGGTAGGCGCCTACATCGTGGACTCGTTCCCCTCCCTCAACTACCTGCCCAAGTTCCTCGCCCCTTGGAAGAAGGAAGCCGAGGGACTGTACGAGCTGGAGAGACAATTGCACGTCGGGAATCTCGACAAGGGTCTAGGAAATGTGGGGTGGAACTTCAGTAAACACATGCAAGCTTCCCCTGAGGCTCAGGGAATGCCCAAGGAGGAGCTCGCTTTTGATCTCGGAATTCTTGCCGATGCTGGACTCGATACTTCCACTGTTGCCTTAGATTGGTTTATTGTCGCTTGGATCACCTGTGGCTCTCGTTGGGTGCAGAAAGCACAGCAGCTGTTAGACGAGGTGGTTGGAAAAGATCGACTTCCAACCTTCGAGGATCGTCCCAAGCTTGCTTATATCGATGCCATTGGTAAGTCTCCTTCTTTCCCGTGCAATGAATCTACGGCGACTAACCCAGGATGTAGCGAGCGAGACTCTGCGTTGGCGCCCTGTCGTTGTCAACGGTGTTCCTCACTTCACCAAGAAGGAGGACACCTATATGGGTTACTATATTCCTGCCCATTCGATTGTGCTTCCCAATGCGTTTGCCATTACCCGCGATGAATCTGTTTTCGGGGAGGATGTTGACAAGTTCATCCCCGAGCGGTGGATGGCCGAGGATGTGCCCGATGAGCCAACGATTGATGCCTGCGGATTCAATGTCACGGCCCTGAAGGACCTACCTCACACGGGCTTTGGCTTTGGACGAAGAATTTGTACCGGACGCATCATTGCCCGAAATCAGCTGTTTATTCAGATGGCTCGAATGCTCTGGGCCTTCGATGTTGAGGCTGGTGTTGTTGAGGCCACCGGCCAGCGGCACAAGGTTGATGACATGGATTGCACGGAGGGTTTCGTGACTCTACCCAAGCCTTTCCGAGCAGTATTGAGACCAAGGGGCCAATGGGCTAGGGACGTGATCCTTGAGTCGGGCACCACGCATGGAATCAACCATGCCGAGATTCTCAACCAAGCTAGCAGGGACCGTGAGCATGCCTGAGGTTAGCCTTTCCTTTCATAGGAGACGGGTTTGCACACTACCCCCGGAGAGTGACCTAACTATTATTCTATATAATTGCTTTATAGTATCGCGTTCTCTGGAAATACGATCGTGAGTACTAAAACATTATTAGGACCATCTCCATTTTTTTTATTTTTTTTTTTTTTCCACTTCGATGTGTTTTGCCTGCCTCAGAGCGAATAAACCAGTTTCTGGAATACCTAGCATGGATCCCTGTGTCCAGAAACCCAAGCCCCTAACCCATGGGCGCCGGATTGAAGGTCAAAACAACGAGAGGATTAATGGGCAATTCTGGATGGAATCATTTTCGTACGTGTACGGGTCGATTTAGGGTTGACCAGTGAAGTTCTCATCCATGTCGTTCCTGAGAAAAATCCCCATGCACGATCCATCCTGGAGCAGAAACCTAGAACTACTCTCCTTCGTGATAGAGCTTACCGGAGCTGATTCTCTCCGCGATGCCGGGCCCGTCATACTGTTACTACTAATATTGATTCGTAGATGTTCCAGTCTCTTCGGTTCGAATGAAGATTAAAACAAGATTCCAGGTTGATAAATATCGAATCCACTGCCAAAGTCGTGATAGGTCTCGTTTATTACCAACGGTCTGCTAAAATTAGTGTTCTTTCGGGCACAAGAGTCCTCGAGGCCGCACGTCTATCGATATTGACCTGGCCTGTCATCTTGCGGAGCAGGAGATCAGGTTTGATTCTGGCTTCAACGCAGACGGACAAACTCTCTGGACAAAGTCTCTGAGTAAGAGACGGCCCGAGTAATTTCATCCACGGCCCTCGTCGCCGGCATTACAATTGAACGGCCGAAGTCGGCCATCATATAACGACACGGAACTCAACCTCTCCATCGCCAACTCCGTACATGACATCTCTATCCTTCACCCAATGAAAAAGACAAGCACCGCAAGCGCTCCTCACACCAAATGTGTTGAGCTCCACTAGTTCCACCTTATCACGCGCATCATCATACCAGACATCAAAGGTCACCCCTTGCCGACGAAGCATGTCGTCGAGCTCATCACTAGGCCCTCGAAGATCGCTCAGTATCTGCAGCCGTATCTCTCTTGCTCCAGCTAGGATTCTCTCAGCGATGATCTCCATTTCACGGTCGGTCTTCTTTCCGAATCGCCACGGCTTATGCCACTGGTACTGGCTAATTGCACAAATGTCCAGTGTCTCAGGGGCACAGAAAACTCTGTATTCCATTTCAGTCTTCATCCGCTCGTCGAAAGGGAGGAAGTACAACTCTAGAGGCTCGTCAAGGCGTTTCCTCAAGTAGTTTGTCATTGTGATCCGAGCACGCGACGATGTCGTGAGCTGTAAAACGATGTCCTCGTAAGAATGCACCGCGGCTCGCCCGGGCACCTTCCACACACCATCTTTAGCTGAACATGGCGCAAAGCGCATGAACAGCCCATTAGGCGGGTACGTGAGACTTCGAAAGCAGGTCCCACCTCTTCCTCCAGGTCCTCAGCGAGCGCCTTATTGAGAACACGAGTGTGGATGGATGCGCTGGAAGCATCAACGAGGAGGCGAGTCATGGCGGGAGTGAACCGCACTATTTGGAGGTCTCTCTCTTCGATGTTCCTCGACCGCAGGATGAGGGGCAACCAGCGTCGAAAGGAGGATGGCAGTTCCGAGGGGATGGGCAAGTCGGGGGCTTCGTCGGCAGTGTGGAACGAAGAGTTGAACTTGACAGGCACGCCCAGGTCCAAATCGGCCTGAACGTCCCGGAAATCGATCTTCTTGAGCCTCATCGTCGCTGATGCGCAGCGGCAATTAGATTCGGCAGCTGCAGTGTAGTTGTCACGCGTCCAAATGATGAGATGGAGAGAGCTGTTCTAGAGTCGCACAGGCGGTTGATAGTCGGCTTAGCCTTGGCGATATTCCGATTGAGATTAAGACCAAGTTGAAATAATTCGATTCGTATCTTTATAGCGCGTTTTGGGGACTGCAAAAGATAGTGGCGCCTGTTGGTGGTCCAATTTTTTGTTTTGATGTCCAACGTGGTAGTTCGTCTTGTGACTGTCCGTATGACTCAGCCGGTGTCAAGTCCAAGTCTTGTCATCACAAAGCGAGTAAGGCACGGAAATAGGGTGCCTCGCTGATATCCTGATAGCTCAGCAATCTTAGATATGCTCATCGCTAGCGGGGTCTTCATTGCCATGTTGGAAAAAACGCAGTTTGGGGAGTGAGATTGTGTTGCTGTGTTCTAACCGTGCTCTATTAGGGCTAACGCGACGGGTATGATCACGAGGGCCCGGTAGTGCCCGCCTAATCGCGAAGGACACGTAATATCAGCTAGAAGAAAAAGAGAGGAGGTGTGCCCTAAGCTATCTGGGGATCAGGTTAGAAAATGTAGTTCCTTTGGAGATTGGTAGCTCTCGAATTTCTAGCCTCAATAACTGCAAATTCGCTCTTTCTCTGTTCAACCCTAGCCAGCCTACCATTAAGCCATTCCATGACATGATGACAAGCTGCGGAGGATAAAGGCCGGGCTATTGGGGTTTTCGTGCAGTCACTGCATGACTGCAATTCGTCGTTAGCACCCGAGCGACGACCATGCATCATTGATTGCGCCCACAAAAAGACCTGCACTACCACTTACATTTGCCAATAGCCATGGATTCTTGTGTCTCTCATGTCCTTGCGGACGCCAGCTAACAAAACCTCAAGTTCTGCTACACTCCAACCAAGTCCGCTTTCCTCCTTGGGCCTAGTGAAGATGGCGAGACTCAGCGCACCAAGAGCGTTGAGGATGTTCTCCGTATTCCAAATACCTAGGCAGAGGGTCAGAAGCAAGGTCCGTGGAAGCGACGACTACAGCGTACTCTACACACCGATTTGCTTGTATTTCTTATCTTTCGGCCAGTGGTTGGTCGGCCATTTCTCCCGTACCACCTCAATATCAACGAACCCGGCCTCGGCAAGCTGCTTCGGGTATGCCTTGGCGGAATCCATACCTCGTCCCATCCCCGCAAACGCGTCGTTGAGCATGTCAGACCACCTCTTCAGGGGTGTATCTTGAGTTAGTGTCCCATCATCAGAGCACATTGGATAAATGATATCTTGGAGCTCGATGACGCCACCAGGGTTGAGGAAGCTAGTGCTGTTTAGTGCATATGTTGCCAGACGCGAAAGGGCGATCGACGGAGGCGATTGGGACGGCAGACTCACCTGAAACTCTGCTTGAAGAACCTCGGCCAGTCGACGATAGACCCAGTGCAGAAACGTGCAAAGATAAAGTCAAAGTTGCTGGAAAAGTTCCAGTCATCCTCGAGGTCATCAACGAAAAAGGTCACGTTGGGAGGGACACTGCTAGCTTTTAGAATACACTTTCACTATTAGTCAAGTGCCACTTACAAGGAAGGCTGAATGGGGCTCAAGTCAATACCCGTAACCTAGAGGTGGGCAAGGGTCAGTAAGGCCACGACCATAAGCCCGTCTCAGACTCGCGACAAAAACTCACATGCGACTCGGGGTGTTTATCGGCTGGGATTGTATTAGCTGGGATTCTGGCTTGTTGCCGATCTTTATCGTGACAGTATAATATCGGCCTTCCGGGAACTTACCAAACTCGATGCTCCAAATGCCCGTGCCGCAGCCGGCATCTAGAACCCGGTGCGGCTCCGTGTCTAGGTTCGCGACATGGAGCCTTCCATCAAATGTCAAGAGAAAAAGATCATGCTGAACATCTGTTGGGGTTGGTAGCAAGTTAGAAGCAAACGACATATTTCGACGGACACATGACGGAGTCGCTGGCTCGATCCTTGTTGAGCTACATACCAAGTCGCTCATTCTCCGCCTAGGGCCCGGTAGGAGGGGTTTTGTGAGTTAAGCTGCGAAATCTAAGGTTGGAAGAGAGAGTATACCTCGTCATTGGGAAGCACATAAGCTTTTCGATAGACGGACAGTCAGCACTTCATTGGAGTCGACCCTCTGGGGCCTTGTTCTGGGCCATCAAACTCGTAGGTGGTGTTGGACAATGGGAATTGGGTACTGGGAAGTTCAGATGCACCGTTGACAACATGGCAGGCACTTACAGCCGTCTTTGTACGCGTGGTATGTCCGGCCATTTTCCATGCGGTATTTTAAAATGCTAGATCGTAAGGACGTTGTGTCACTTCCACCGCCCTACATTTTTGCGTTAGGTCGAGATCCACACAATCCTCGTCATACAGCCGGAGCCCATGCAGAGACAGTATTAGGTGGGGAGCTTCGGAGAAGAAGAGCCAACGGTGCTTCCAACAGCTTCCACTTACTACTCCGTAAGCCGAATCGCCATCGCCGTCGAATTCTTCGAGGTTCTGGACAAGAAATTAGTGAGATGCCATGCACACCATCGAGGTTTGGATTGGGGCGCTCAGCAGAGAGGCAAGGTAATCGAAAACTGTGTCATACATCGTCGGCGACCAGCAGAGTCTCACCCGCAGGCTGATTCGTCTCAACCGAGGAACCCGGGCTCTTCGGGGATCTGGGGGACTTTGGAGAAGTCGTGGCGGCTGGGCCTATTGCCGGTTGTGCCGGATCGCCCATGATGCAACACAGAATTTAGTGTCGCCCAAGATTCTCAGAATAGACCCGATCGATACCTCTCGGTATTGGGCAGCGGTACCTGTGTATGTTGGCACAAATTGTTTGGCACTGGAGGCACGGTGGGCCGGGAACGTTAACAAAGAGAGAAACTGGATGGGGAATAATATTCGCGACTCGGGGGTGGAAAAGTGATCAGGAATTATAAAACCGGGGGTAGGCAAGACAGGGTTCGTGGGGCGAGGATTTGCGAGATAATGCATGGGTGAGGAGACCCCGCACAATGCCTGCGCTTTCATTTGTTCAACTGGTGAAATGGCAGGTTGAATGGATTAGGCCTCGGGCGCGGACGCGGGCCGGTAGCGTCGACCCACAACAAACACGCTAAGGACGGGATTGCCCCTTTTAGACTAGCAAACGAGACTCCCCAACGACGATGAGTTCATGTCATGTGTCCTTCAGGTTCAGAATGAAGGGGGACACGACCATTTACGAAGCACTCCATGTCCGAAGGTCATTGAGGGGTAACCTTTTCCGTATCCACAGAGCCGTGATCTGGGATGGGAGAATCTCCTCGGTAGGACAAACTATAAAATCGCAATCCAATCTCAGCTGGAGACACGACCGGCCTACGGGCCACAATCCCACATCCCATTCTCATCTATGTTTTCCATGTCCCCATCCCCTCCGAGAGAAGAAAATGAAATGACCGGACAACAGGAACCTGAATGAGTAAGGAAAAAAGAAAGGAAAAAGAAGTCCAGGAAACCCAGGTGAAGGCGGGGTGGGGTGATGTGGTATTATTCGGCGTGCTGTTGGCTGGCTTCCCTCCATGCATGGTGCTTGGGGACAAGGTCTAATGCAAAGTAGATCACGCCAGTGACTGAATTGGCAACTTTAAGGCGATTAGGCTGATGTCCATTCACATTCACGGCCGCTGCCCAGGAAGTCGTGGCACCTTGAATGAACTAGATCTACCTCAGTAAACTTCCCAAAATCGGGCAAGTTTCACTACTGGGACGTGGCTCGGCGAGCAGGCCCACACCCACAACGAAAACTCCGATATACCTCCTCTTAATGCCGGGGAAAATGACATATCGAAGTCGTCGAGAAACTCGGTGGGCTAGCGTCATCTCACAACGTCTTCTGATGAGAGCCTGAAGGCGATGCCGAGATGGAATAGCTGTATCTTGTATTTCAACGTATTTAATGAAGGGAAAAACCAGAATCACTGTCGTGCATGAATAGACATTTGAGACGTCTGAGTTACGTCGGAAAAGTTGATGCATCTTTGTGAGTCTGTTCATTGAGTTCAGGAGTGCTTTTAAAAACAGGATCAAAAAAATAAGGGACAAACGATATTGAGCCTGTGACAAGATTGAGCTTCTTCGATTTTTTTTTTTTTTTTTTTTTCAAAATTCGAGGGCTGGTCTTGGCGGTGGGTGGAGTCCGCACAGTCAGTCCCCCAAGTGGCTCTTAAAGGCACCAATGCCACCGCCTCAACGTTTTGTTAACATTTGGCAATGTTCCCCCAAATCTCCCGTGTCTTCGAAATCTTGTCCGGGGTCACCAATCTGAAAACACTGGGCATATGATGGGTTGTGACGAGCTAGGCTCGGCTTCCAAGTGACAGCCTTCCATCCGCTTCGGTCGGCAGCACCGTGACAAAATACGAATGGAAGGATAACATGTAGCAGGGTGCTGCGGATGCACCACGCCTCCTATCTCGCGCTTGAGTGGTTATCATTTTCATTATGAATAGTATTACTATTTTCCCGATTGAACCAAACAGAATCGTCACCCTTGGCATGATATGGGAGCTTGAGTTCGAAGTCGATGATGTCGAATTTGTCTTGGAGTGGAGGGTTCAATCAAGGACGGGGCACTCGCACAAAAGGTTATGATCATTGATAACCTCAAACCTAGGCGCTGGGTTGAATCCCCAGAGGCGGCAAACACTCTTTACTCTAATGGCAACACTGCTGCCATCTCGTAGAACGCAACTATCATGCAGCGCTATAAGCGTCCCAACACCGTGTCCGGAGCCCGTGAATAGCGGCCGTCTTTGTAGTTCACCAATGTCTTCCCGTTTGAGGACATCGAATTCATTGCTTCGAGAACATGAAGATGGGGGGCGAAGACTCTGCCTCCGCCTTCTCCATCATGGCTTAGCTCACGAAGACAAAGGTGTACGAAGTCTACTGTTATGCAAAGTGCACCAATGATTACTGGGTATTTTGCGAAGAAAAAAAAAAAAAAAAAAAAACTCTCGGAAAAGCCAGCCGCATATGTGGGCATGGTTCCGTCAACTCCGACGCTGGAGCTGAACCTCAACTCCGAACACCAGGCCGTTAAAGGAGCTTAGTCACTATCAGTCAACATTAAGGTCATCGAGAATCCGAGACCGAAGATAAATACTCATCACGTCACTCATCACCCACTCGCCATGTCCACTTGTCTTGTCCATTCCTCACTACACGACTAAAATTTGAGAAGAACCACATGATTTTCAATAAGGCAAACATGGCTACAAAGACCACCAACTATACACAAGGCTATTCAGAAGCCACCGTGAGTAGCCATGCTTCACGGACAATCCACACAGACGCTGCCTTTTTACTTCCCCATATTAAATCGACTGATCGCATCCTTGATGTCGGATGTGGCCCCGGAACAATCACTATGGGGTTCGCCGGCCTACTACGCCAAGGGTCCGTGACCGGAATCGACATTTCTGAAGATGTTCTCGCCCGTGCAAAGGAGATGGTTGCCCGGTTGCCATCGCAAGCGAACAATATCTCCTTTCAGACAGCCAACCTCCTGGAAGGTCTCGCCTTCCCCGACGATACCTTTGACGTTGTCTTTAGCTCTCAGTTGTTCCCTCACCTAGCCTCCCTTGAGATGCGGCGCCAAGCACTGTCGGAGATGAGACGCGTCCTCAAGCCAGGCGGTATCCTCGCAACACGTGAAGCTGCCGAGTTGCACTTTTACCCTCGCAGCTATGACCTCGACAGGTTGTGGGCCGGGAACATGGTTCGAGCCCTGCGGAAGGGAGAAACAGTGGCCTCCCTCCCCGGGGGAGATATGCTAGCACTGTACAGGCTGGTGGGGTTTGATGCCGCAGCGGGAAAGATAAGAGTGGGGGCAAGGACGACGGTGCATTCAGGTCGAGAGGAACGCCGTTGGTATGTAGACAGGAACCTGGAGAAACTATCAGCAGGGGACCCATACCGAGAAAGTTGGATTCAGGTCGGGGTTACAGAGAAGGAGATCGAGCAGGTCAAAGAAGCGCTGAGTAGGTGGGCCGAGGATGATGATGCGTGGTATGTTGCGTTACAGGGGGAGACTATTGGCTGGAAGTAAATTAGCTTGTGACGAAGTTGCAAGATATAGCGAGGCGAAGGCAAATTCGATCCTTGACCAAATCTGAGTTGGACAATTACCAAACACTGCGCCGAAACTGCGGTCACCATAGTATTAAATACAACTGTGAATCGCGTTGACAGAATATGCATTCATTCCGCAACTCAGACTCTCAAGCTCTCATCCTAAACTCGTAATACTCACAGGTGAATTTGCCAATTTCACCCAGCCCCTATAATCCTTTCCCGAAACGGACTCAAGCTCAACTGGCCAATAAATGTTACAAATTCTGCTCTCACTGACGCCAACTTCCATCCCCGCAAAATTGTCCCAGATGCTCTCATTTTAGCCACCCTTTTAGGTTAGCGCGTTGGTGTGGTTTTCACAATATCCCAACGACCCGACCCGGCAGTCGGAAGCGGTAAGCAGCCCTCCGGCCCCCCGGCCTCCACGGATTCACCTTAACGTTCGCATCAATGTAATGCAGAGTGCCGACTAGGGGCCCATTCTAGGTCAGGTGAGCGATCCAACCGTCGAGGATCGCATCGGATCGAGTAAGGTCTGGATGCGGGATCTATTCTCATCATCTTGATCGAACTATGTTCGCGCCACCCCAAGGGCCCATGAGATCCCAATGGATCCGGCGTCCCACCTAGCCTCGCTCTGGTTCCCCTTTCCCTAGCTTGCCAAAAGCTGCAGCTCTTTGTCCGTCCCTACGTTACTTTCTCCGCACCATGTAGGAACATGCCGTAGATAAAAACGTTCTCTCATTTGGGCAGCTCGAATGAGTACTGCAGTGAGGGATCGGTTCATCACTATAACTGAGAGATCTACGGTCTCCGTGAGACTTTAGGACTTGGTATCGCAGCTCCAGACAGACTTCTCATAAAGAGACGTCGGCCTCTACCATCGCGGGCATCAGGAGCTGCGAAAAGGCTCATTCCACAGACCAACATCCCTCATCCTCAAACGAGTTAGACTCTTATCCTAGAAACTCATTCCTCAGCCTAAGAAAGAAGACGGAAAACACTATAATGTCGAGCGCATTGGAAGGCATCTACGAACCTGGCATCGTAGACCCCGGCTTCCCCTCCCCAAACAGCACCCACCCCTTCTGGCATTCCCAGCCCCATCTCCATACAAATCACCGGTCCGAATGGCCCGCGGGCGTATCCGACATCGTCATCATCGGTGCTGGCATCACAGGTATGAACCTCGTATGCACCCTGCTCAAGAAGCAACCCAAACTCCGCATCGTCGTGATCGAAGCCCGGGGTCTCTGCTCTGGCACCACCAGCTGTAATGGCAGGCACTGCAAGACTATGACTTGGGCGATGTGGGAGGAGCGCAAGCATTCTTTCGGCATTGAGGAAGCCATGCACATCTCGGCTTTCGAGCATGCGCATCTTGAGGCCATGGCGGAAGCTATTCGTGAAGATGGCATCGACTGCGATCTAGTGCTCACGGATGGGGTTGAGGCGTATTACGATGTAAAGGACTTTGAGAAGGCTGTTAATGTGCTGGACGATATGTGTGCCTATGTGCTGCATTTGGCTGCGAAGTATATGGTTCATATAGACAAGAATTACCTGTGTAAGGTGCTCGGGCTTTCTGATCGTGCTGTGGGAGCTATTTCTATCCTGGCGGCTTTGCTTTGGCCTTACAAATGGATAACCTCCGTTTTGGGCTCTTATATTGACCATGCAAAGATCAATGTTCAGACGCATACTCCAGTAAGATCAATCATTGGTAACGCGGAGGATTCATACGCTACGGTGCGGACAGACCGGGGCGACATTCGGGCTAACCACATCGTTCATGCCACCAACGCCTGGCTAAGCCGTCTTCTTCCCGAGCTCCGACCCTTCGTCTCCCCGGTACGTGGGAATGTCGTGTCCTACGCCCCGACCAAGACTGGAAACTCTAAGTCGGCTTTGGGCCTCAGCAGCAAAACCTCCCTCTGGCTTCGATACGGTGTCAAGGACTACGACTACCTAATTCAACGCGAGGATGGCTGCGCCATTGTCGGTCGCGCCAACACCGGCCGTACGGCAACGGGAGACGATAACAAAACCGACCTATCTCCCATGGCACATCTCCGCGGCTTCACCCATGAGGCGCTAGCAGCCCCGGCTTCCGATGCTTCTACCCACATCACTCACGCCTGGGCTGGCATCCTCGCTTTTTCTCAGGATGCCGTCCCCTTTGCTGGTCGGTTACCCTTCCCAGGTCGTAGCCACCAGTGGGTGTGCGGAGGGTTCCATGGACTGGCATGATCAAGGCCTTCCTTACGGCGCAGATGGTTGCTGGGCTTATACTAGGGGAAAAGCCTGATAACGAGTTCCCCAGGTCGATATTTGTGACGCCAGATAGGATTCGGCAACTGAGGAAATCTGTCGAGTCAGGGAAGCCGGTGGTTATCAAGGCGGGACTGTGAGCGAGCTGAGGGGCTGTCCCATCATCATCAGCCTTTGATGGTTTGGTAATCCCAACAAGCTGAACTCTTGATAAATAGACCTAGTTTCCGATATGTATCCCCAATTGCATGTTTTTTGTATAATACTATTAAATGGCCCCCGCGTATACACACCATAAGAAGAACCGCAAATTGTTCTAGCAAAGGTAAAAGCCTGTATACGAATCTGAATATCCTGGTATGTGGCACGCAACTCCTTGCCTTCGAGACTAGAGTGTTTTCTAATTCCTGCCTAAGTGCAATGCATTTTGTCCTCTTCATTTGGCTGGGCGATTGCTGCGGATTAGCCCGCGATAAGTCTTCTGATGCATTGTTAAATCGATAATCCGAGAACGATTCTTGCCGTCACCCACCCCGAAAATAAGTCTTCAAGTGATACCCATGTACAATGATTAACAATTTAAATCGCTACTCCGGGCGAATACATCCTCGCGCTTCGGTTCAGGGAGGTGGTTATATTTATTAGGAGTACGGATGCTAGGAGACATAATAAATAAGTTCCCGGGAGCGACGAGAATGTCAATATCTAATGGAAAGGGCAGGTAAGATATTTACAGACCTATCAGCCAAGCGTCATGAAAACATACGCCTGCACTCATTTCCTAGTCATTCTCAGCATTTTAACATTGATGTCTTCGGCATGATAATAAAGTTTCAGACACATGACTTAAATCCAACTGACAAGGCGTTTCTACGATACCATAATAGTAATTACTACATGTCCCGAGTTGATCATGCTTGCTACATTATCCTCCACGGCCCTCTACATATCATGAGCATTCTGGCCAACCTCGTCGGCCTGTTTGCCGAAGGCCATAGCCCGTCAGTGACCAAAACCTTACGGCAGGAGCAGGAAGATTAGGTTTTAGTACAATTTCTCCGGTCTCTTTACTTACTGAGGCTAGGAGCTCTGGGGAGCTTTTTACTAGACATTCATCACCAGGATAATATAGCCTATTTTGAAGCTATGACCAACGCGTCGCAGGTTGAAGTATAACTACTACGCTAAGACAAAGCCTATGGACAATAACTATAGTATAATACTTGTAATAAATAGAAAGCTCTTTATTATTATATTATTACCAAATTAAAGTTAATAGACGGCCATCTTGAGTATATAACGCTTGAGCTCCCTACTACTGCTATTGAGGTTTAGCTAAGATTAAGACTTTCGAGAAACGCGCTCTACGGACAATTACTGGCTTATTTTGGCACACTTTGAGCTCTGATATCGGCGATTCTGACTTTCTTGATTATTCTGAAAAATTCCTCCTTTCCACGCCTTTTATCCCAGGTTCTAATTGAGTGATGTTTCGACAGCTTGCTGGAGCGCATTCCCCCCCCCCCCCCCCCGGGAGAAGGGCTGCTCCGTACCGAGTCAATTATGAATCCATCTGCTTGCCATAGATAACCGCACTATCCACAGAATCCTTCTGTGTGCCGAAATAAGTCCAGGATCGCATACCCCGTCATCTACCCCAGTAGGGTTATTATCCTCCATATTGGCTGACGCCGAGCACTGTCGGACTCTGTAGATATAGCCTGATAATGTCAATATACTGTGTTACTGTACGCAAGCCCCGCACGCAGTCAAGGTTCTGCCAATGCAATCGAAGTTGGCGAGAGTTTGATCGCCTTCACATCTGCTGCTTAATCGTGGTTAACTGCGTACGATGAAGGCGGCATCGCACTTCTTCTTCCTATGCGCCGCCGTGAGTGGCGCACTGATCCCCAGGCACTCTACAATTGTATCTCGCGACATCGACTTGGAGTCCGAATACGACTTCGTCATCGCCGGCGGCGGTATCTCCGGGCTCACCGTGGCGGACCGCTTGACCGAGGACCCCAATGGTACAATCCCATTATGAATAGTCTCTGAGGCAAAGAGGACTAATTGTGTGTGGCAACAGTCAAAGTTCTTGTCATTGAAGCAGGGCCGTTCGACCTGGGCGAAGACAGTGTGCTAATCCCGGGCGCTTTCAATCCGGTGCCCTACCTGTGGATTCCTCTGCTCAGCGTGCCCCAGGAGGCGCTGAACAATCGGTCCTTCAACGTACCTCTTGGCCGAGTGGTCGGGGGAGGCTCCGTCGTCAATGCCATGGTATTCGCGAGGGCGGGTAAGGGGGAGTACCACGACTGGGAGGAATTAGGGGCGACCGGCTGGGATTGGGACGACCTACTGCCGTATTTCATCAAGGCACGTGTGCCATGACTTGGGTTTTGGGCTGGAACACTGCTAACCCGGAGCCTTTGGCTAGAGTGAAAACTTTACCGCACCAGACGATGAGTATGCCGCTACTGCAAACATCTCGTGGGTCGATTCAGTCCACGGAAACGAAGGACCTGTCCAGTGTTCCTATCCCAATTTCTTCTTCGAGGGAAGCGGTGCGTGCAACCTCAGAGATCCACTTCAAACTCATCAAATTAACTGGGAGATACGACAGAAAACTGGTGGAACGCCGCTCTCTCGGCGGGGTTAACCACCGCCGGTGATCCAAATGGAGGCAACGTTGCGGGCTTGACGTGGTTCCCCACCGTGGCTGACTTCACCACCCGCACGAGGAGCCATGCGAGACTGAACCACTACGATAGGGTCGAGGACGTGCGGCCAAACTACCACATTCTCCCGGAGCACACCGTCTCCCGTGTCATCTTCAACGGCACAAGGGCTATCGGCGTCGAGTACCTTCCTAGCAAAGGTGGGGATGTGGCGACGGTCACGGCCTCTAGAGAAGTCCACCTCGCTGCCGGCGCGGTGCACACGCCGCAGATACTGCAATTGTCCGGCATTGGGCCTAGAAGACTTCTCGAGGAGTTCGAGATCGAGATCATCGCGGACTTGCCCGGCGTGGGGCAGAACTTTCATGACCAGCCGAGCATCATCATCCCATACCGAGGTATGAACAGCCCCACACATCGCAATGGATTATTCACTATTAACTGGTAACTGTCCTACAAGTTACCAACAATATTGAGCCAAACATGGCGACTCTGAATACCGACGAGGAATATGACGCCGAACAGCGCGCCTTGTACGACGCGTCGAGGGAAGGTCCATACGTCCTCACCAGAGGACTAAGTACAACTCTCGCGCTGCCTCCGTTGTCCAACGTGACCTCCTCGTGGCGAGACATCATCGAAGAAGCCCAAGGCAGAGATCCAGCAGATTTCCTGCCGGATGACGTGGACGAGTCCGTTCTCTCTGGGTACAAATTGCAGCGGGAAATTACCTTGCGCCAGCTCGGAGGACAGGAGACGCCCGTGTCCATGATGCATTGGGACACCGCTGACTCCGTCCGTATGTACTTCCTCAGACCCCTGAGCCGCGGGTCGATCCGGATCAATACGACCAACCCCCTCGACAACCCGCTCATTGACTTTCGCACACTCACCGACCCGACCGACTTTGATCTCGTGGTAGCGTCTTTTTTAAAGAATCGAGACATCATGTCGCAGCCGACCATGGCGATCCTCGGCCCTGAGGAGCAGGCCCCGTTCGGAAACAATATTACTGACGTCGACGAGCTCAAGGAGATACTGAAGTCAGTCGTCGAGCCCTCTAGTGCCCACGAATGCTGCACGGCGGCCATGATGCCTAAGGAGCGCGGTGGTGTGGTCAACCCTCAGATGAGGGTCTACGACGTTGAGGGGCTCCGTGTCATCGATGTCAGCTACTGGCCAATGGTGCTCACGGCGGCGCCGACGGCTACGACGTATGCCTCAGGCGAGAAGGTAAGATTAGCATTTCCCGAGATGCTTTGTGTGCGAGTGCTGACAGGATGAATAGATTGCCGATCTTATCAAGTTGGAGTACTGCCTTGCCGGTGCGTGCGATGAGGAGGATTAACAGATCTTTGTCCAACGGTTGAGATTGGCTGCGTTGGGTATAGTTTGATTGAGTTCGCACTCGCTACTGAACCACGCATGGGCTTAACTGGGCCGATTTAAGGATTAGGCAATGCTCACGTTATGTAGCCAGGCATTGCATCTCGTGTATATTGGCCCAGACCGTGGTGTGACCCCTGCTGTTCAATCGTCAGTTCGTCAAACCATGAAGTGGACCAGCTAAATCAAGTATACGTATACTCGAAACCAGATATTCTCTTCCTTGACGCCTTGTTTTCCCATATTGAATTCCCTCTTGAGGAGCGAGAAAATCATTAAAAACTGTCATTTGTAATTAGTGTGTGCGCCATTATTCAAAAGTCCAGTTTCCTCTACTTACCTAGCCGTACTGGTATCGTTAGGAACAGGTCGCACCCGTGGCGAGCGTTAATACATCCCTTTCAAGCTGAATCATCGAGAAACGGAGAAAATTCCCCGTTAAATGTAATCATGTAGAATGCTTCTCAGTCTAGCACGGTCCCCAGCATGTTATAGAACGTAAGAATCACTTATCCACCACACACGGCGCATCCACGCCCCTACTTCAATTATCTCCAAGAACCGACGACTTGAGGAGCATCTAGTCTCCAATACCTGCCCCGACTTAGATGAGACTCCATTAATGGACAAATGTTTCTTAAGTTGCCCCTCCCCTTGTGGGAAGTGGCATGGAGCGGCATGATCAATCGGACGGCGAGTCACACAAGATGGGTCTCAAAATGCCGGCGGTATGTGTGTCGCCTTGGGAGTTTCTTCTCTCTCCGAACTAGTCCCTCGACGCCAAGTGTCAATCTCTGATCCTTTCCACAGCTCAGAAACTCATCGCTCCTGGTTGAAAAGGCCTTTATAAACGGAACCTTAACGTCATTTTCTTGAGGGCAAACCTTTGCCGTCTCCGATCCTGCTACCGGTCCTCTTATTGCCAACCGCCCGGATTTGACGCCTGACGAAAGTTTAGCCACCATCATTGCTGCTCATACAGCCTTTAGGCCTTTCCGCAAAACCAATTGAAGATACAGATCTACACTTTTAAGATAACGGCATCAGCAGATCCTGATTCATGCTGAGGACCTCGCGACTTTGATCACATGGGAGATTGGCAAGGCCCTCATCGATGCCCGTGCTGCCGTAGCATACGCTGCAAGCAACATGCAATGATTGCTGAGGAGGCCTCCCGGGTTTATGGCTCGGGTATCCCTGCCTCTGTGCCAGGCAAGCGCATATACATTTCCCGACAGCCCGTCGGCGTATGCGTACGCCCTCATCACACCGTGGAATATCCAGCGGCCATGGTCACTCGCAAGATTCCGCCGGCGCTGGCTGCGGGATGCAGTGTTGTCCTCAAGAGCGCGGGGGAAACGCCTTTGACTGCTGAGGCACTCGCTGAGCTAGCGCAGACGACCGAAATACCTCGCGGCGTCATCAACGTCGTTACAGCTCTGGAAAATACCGCCGCAATCGGTACCTTGCTGAGTACGCACCCACGAATCAAGAAACTATCGTTCACGAGCAGCACGGCGGTTGGCAAGATGCTAATGGCCCAGTGTACCGCTACACTGAAGAAATTATCCATGGAGCTCGGCGGAAACTCCCCTTTCGTCTTTTTTGACGACTGTAAGGATCTAAACAAAGCTGTGGCAGGAGCACTCGCTACCGTGTTCCGTAGCTCGGGCCAGACATATGTAGCCGCCAACAGCATATTCGTTCAGGATGCCATCTACGACGAATTTGCCCGGAGACCCACGGAGCATGTCAAGGAGTTCGAACTCGGTTATGACTTCGACGACGGCGTCATACACGGCCCTCTGATCCATTCTCTTGCCGTGGCTAAAGTAGAAGCTCATGTCCGTGAAGCGGTTGCGAGAGGTGCCAAGGTCGCGGTGGGCGGAGTAAGATTACCTGAGCTGGGCTGCAATGTTTTTTGCCGCAACTATGTTGACGGGAGTGAGGAAGGACACGGGTATATTTCGCGAGGATACCTTTGGGCCGTTGCTGCCCTATCCCCTTTCTCAACAGAGAGTGAGCTGGTTGAGATGGCGAATGCTAGCGAGGTTGGGCTGGATGGGTCCATGTTTAGCAGCGATATAGACCGCATCTTCCGCGTCTCGGACTCGCTTGATGTTGGTATGGTTGGTGCAAATGCCGGGATGATTAGCGACGCTGCAGCACCCTTTGGGGGTGTCAAGGACTCTAGGTTTGGCAGGGACGGCTCACGGTATGGCATCGAGGATTACACCTTGCTCAAATCCACCACGATAGAAATAAGTCCCGAATTAGGGACGGAGTTGTAAGCGCGTAATAGATTAACCAATCGATGCGTCTTCGATTTCGAACCTTGTCTCTGTATCCCTTTCCTCGTCTAAATCAGAAGGCGATATCACATGTTGCAGCAGGCTGTATGCAAGTCCAAAATTGCCGCCGCTGGCCGACGAACACCAAAACAGTAGGTCACTATTATCCCCGTATTTCTGCCCAGTAATACCACGACAAGACACAAAACCTTTAACCTCTTATACTGCAGATGATGCCTGGAATCTACAATATCAATTACATCCGATATAACTAGTGCGATCCTGTTATGAGAACACATTATCCACACCAGGCTTGGGGTGTTCTCACTCAACCTGCCCATTATATTAATGAAGACAGGTATTTTATAAACTTGCGAAAACTTGCTTATAACTACTTAAAGGTGGGAGGAGAGTCTGGAGGGTGTTTAGCTTAGGGGGCATGTTGTAGTTGATATTGCGTGATTGGCTGCAGGGCGACGTGCGTGTCCGGTAACACTATTCCCATCACTTGGGCTGCTGCTCCCAGAACTTACGGTCCCACATATCCATCCGGTCGCCCAACCTCTCGGAACACATTCTGATGATATCTAGAAATTGAGAGCAATCAATGTGTTCAGGATGGTATGTCCGGATTTCCTACAACAGTTCTCCTAAAGGCGACAAGGGCTTGCTTCCTTTCTCCTTCTCGCTTCTGCCCGCCGCTCGATTGTGTGCAAGTAGCTTGAATTCAGTGCCCTTAATCTCGTAAGGAGGCCTTCGAATTGCGGGCTCGGATTGGTTAGCTATCCACATGCGGTGATGCCGATTCTAAGGTTGAGTCTAATAACCTAGCGTAGTATCTCCCACTTGCCTGGGCTACTGCGAAACTGCTCCGACTGGGAACCGCGGCCTATTCTTGGCTTTTCTTCTCAATCCCAATCTATCCCTCCGGTTATTGCATGTATCTTGGCTCTTGAGTCAATTAGTCAAGAAGATAGTCGTTTGCTCTGTGAAGCTCGCGCCTATCACCGTCCGCACATTACCTGCGCACTCCTCAGAGACCCATGTATTGGACCACAGTTCGATGCCTCGATGCCATCTGGAATCGACCACCAGCGATTTTGAATCCAATTTACCGATTTCATATGTACCATAACCGGGAAATATACCCCCGGCCCTGCGAGGAGCAACCTAGGCTAACGTTTCTTTTATCTAGTGCAACAACTTCCAGCGTAGTACGGCGCTCCAACATTGCTCCTCAACGCAGTAAGAGATGGCGAAGAGAGGCCGAATTAGAAGGAGGAAGCTAGCATCCGTACCATTGGCTTATCGAAAGGGCTGGCTTATGGCGTTTCACTCTGTTTTTTTCAGGATTATTGTCCCCAAAGCCTAATGCAATCCGGTGCGGAATTCGGTGACATTGCCGCCGGTATATGCCTCGTCGAGTGACTTTGATTTCCCCGCCTTGTTGCACCTTGAGGGACTCACTATTATTAGTTTCTTTAGATGTCGACTCGAGATCAACGTGGGTGGTGTCGGAGAAATAAATATCCGACACATTCCCCCAACGCAGGGTTAGATACTTCATTCTTGAACATCTTGAACGATCATTCAGCTATTCCCCTTTTGAGGTGCGAGAACCTAGAGTCCTTTCAAGGCCCCAGTCTCGGCGATGGAAATATTTGACTGAAAGGGAGTTTGGAAGTTTCTGCGTCCCTCTTTGTTACATCATATTTTCTGTCAACCTGGAACTCAAGGATTTGAAAGACCCTCGTCAAAATTGTTCGATATTTTGCCCTTACCCCGAGACATGCCCCGGAAGTCTTGATATAGAAGAAAACTAAAAGCTGGCTCTTGAATCTAAACCCCGAGCTGCCTCCGATCCCCGGTTAGATTGCGCGGGCCGCGGCGTGCGGAAACTGCAGAGGTGACATGTGGAAGTATACATTAGCGGGCAGCAAGCTTTCTGGAGAAAACCACACTTCGTATTCGCTTGCCCCTGGGATCCGACCCCACGCCGTCATATCAAAATCGACAGCTTAAAGTGTAATATGGAGTGAGCTTACCATGCTGGCGGCGTGCATTAGCGCAAATCGGATCACTAACAGCCATCAGGGTGCTTGCGGATACACTCCTCTTACTTTTTTTTGGTTTGGGGTTTTGGGGGGGGAAGCTCATTCGGGAAATACTCCGGAGTAGAGTTCGAAGCCACACGTACAGTATCCAATAAAAACAAAAGAGCAGCTTCTGTTCCATCTTTACATAGCGCTGCCCTGCATTTACGTAGTCCACCCTTTGGCTGGATGACTTGTGCGGGGTGCTTCCGGCAACTACGGTTCAGACCATACAAATTCTGGGAGCATTTGGATCGTTATAGTAATAATGAATAGTTTTATTTCTGGTCCTGTTCTTTATAAAGCGAGAGTCCATGTTGTCGTCTGATCAGAACGAAAGCAATCCTAGTGTCTCGTTAACCAGCGTGTTGAACCTGGTTTTAACGGGCTAAAAGTCGGTGGATGGCGAAGGGAAAAATCTGCTGTCTACCTCGATCAGCTCGTGTGCTTATCATCCATAATGATGAAGACTTACTCATTTGCTGGCTGCCTCACCCATGGGTGCCGCAGTGAACGACGTACGCTTGCTGTGGGCAGAGGTCTTCTTCGTCCGCATCGTCGTGGCAGAGGACACCATCATCTGACCAAGTAGCGCAGCAGAAATGGCAGGCCTCTTGCGAAAGTTCAACACAATCGTTGTTATCGAGCAGCCAGGTATCCGTTGGATCCGCTGCACTCGGGCAAGTCCAATCCCGAGCAACTAGGGGACTTGATTCACTTCGAGGCAGGGCCAAGGTCCCACCAACGAGGGCAAGAAGGCAAAGGCGGAGAGCTAGTGGCGCCATGCTAGGGGTTTGGGTGTGTTGGTGGCGCCGAGGTAGAGCTGAGAAGGTGAAATTGCGTTCTTGGCTTTGGTGCACTAGGAATCAATGGAGCGGGGAGTCTAAAATGGGAGGACTGGCGGCGGGAGGAGATTAGTCGGAGCACGAGGCGCAACAGCCGATCCTTTATACCTAGAGGATTAAAGATCAAGCTCTCACGATACTATACGCCATTGGCTAAAAGGGATCCAGTTGAAGATTCTTCATAATGCACGACTTTCTAATTCACACTTGCTGCAGACTCCACCATATACCAGCGAAAAGCTTGTGGTTATCCACTTGCTTGCGTTCAGGAAAGAAATGGTGTTGATGTCTGACTCTGAAGGATTACCGTCGAAAGTTTCCTACAGATGCCCCACGCCAAGAGTTCTTATCTTGGGAGCTCCCCGACATCGTAGCATTCAGAGACCTTGATAGTTACTACCTGCAGATGCCCAAAAACCAATATTTCCATCACGAGCTTCCTCCGCAAGTACTAGTTACAGAAGAACCTTGCATCCCACATGGGGGTTATGAAATCTATGAATAATATTATCAATCCATTTGCAGGTGTGACCAGGAGATTGTCTGCTTTCCCCTGCATCTGTAGCAATGAAGACATTGATATCCTGATGAGTGATATTTCCATGAAGGACCCTGATGGTAATATTGACAGTAGCTGAGGAGGGGAAACCGGGGTATCATTGATATGATCAGAAATGCATCTTTCTCGCTTCTTAATATAAAACAGGTATCCTGTCTAGACCTCTATTGTATTTGTCCGTTGCCAATCTTCGTCGCACTCGTTAATATTTTAGCGCCAGACATAGGTCGCGCTGCCCCAGTCACAATGTTCAACAGTGGATTGCTCGCATTTAGCGGCCAACTATGGCTTGCTACACTTGCTCTTACCCAGGTCACGTCGCCAGCATCGTCATGTTTGTACGTCCAACTGGCCCTGAGCGCCACTGTTTACTTGGTAAACTAGCTAATCAAATACCACAGCCCTGTTACCTCAACATTCCGCCACATTGATCTTGGGATCAATTCAGATCTGGTGGCGTCCTCGTCCTTCAAATCGTCGATGGATGCAAAGTATAATACGCCTGCAACACCTACTCCTGTCGCAATTTATACCGCCTCCACCGTTATCGGTACCAGGACCTTGAGGGCAACGGGATATTACGACTACAATCCCCTGACGTCTGAAGGGTTTGAGATTTATACGTCTATCATTGAGACTACCTCTTGCTCCGCACTGACGACCCCTACCTTGCCTCCTTCTCCAACTGGATCTATTTGCAGCCCCCATGGTGATCACTGTAAGTAAACGCAAGACGCCGATCCCATACTGTAGGAAAGCATCTAATAAACCATAGGGCATTGTGAACCATCACCTACACCGAGCCAGTCAGATACACCACCAGACACCTCGGCTCCAGCAGAAACGTGTAGTCCTCATGGTGACCATTGGCACTGCCCGCCGGGCGTCCCTGAACCTACAACGCCCCCACCACAGGAGACCACTCCCGGGGAGACAAGTGCCGTAGGAACATGCTCTCCCCATGGCGACCATTGGCACTGCCCGCCTGGCGTCCCCGAACCTACAACACCCCCACCGCAAGAGACTACTGTTCCACCACAGGAAACCTGCAGTCCTCACGGAGACCATTGGCACTGCCCACCTGGTGTTCCTGAACCTACAACACCCCCGCCACAGGACACTACTGTTCCACCACAAGAGACATGCTCTCCCCATGGTGACCATTGGCACTGCCCGCCTGGCGTCCCCGAACCTACGTCGCCGCCACCCAATCCCACCACACTCGTGACGAGCTCCCGACCCGATACGACTGCACCTGCAGTTGTTGTCACGGCTGCTGCAGAGAAGGGCCGCGGCCTTTCAATTGCAGCTTTGTTTTCTATCCTCGCGTTCGCCGCCATTCTTCTCGTCTAATTGTGACTTGCGCGCTCTGCCAGTCCACTAAGTCTTGGCTTTTTTTTTTCTTTTTTTTTTTTTTTTTTTTTTTTTTTTTTTTGGCGGCGTTCCTGACTACTCTATATACATTCATTTCTACTAGAACCAAGATCTTACCACAGGATCTTTAATAATTAACAGCTATTCCCTTTCATATACGTTATACGTGGTGATGAAACATGGCTTCCCATTTGGTGTGCATGCGCAACTTATTGATACTTTGTACACTCCTTACGCATGTTAGGTGCTGGACGAAGGAAGGCGATTTATAATATATTTCTTCTTTGAAGCAAGCAGACGGCGATCTCAGTGAAACAAGATAGTCTCTGATGCGTAAATGCGTAACTCTATTCCGCTTGTGACGCTCAATATTTTTCTGCTGCTCCAAGGCCGAAACTTCTTGTTCGGGAGCCCCGGTTTTGCGCATATAACGGTCTAATTAGTCTAGCGACGGTTGAAAAGATCGGGGTACAAAAAACAGGCGCAAGAAATCACCTGCTGAAGAGGTTGGTTGAGGCTTTCCGGCCGTGTCCTGATTCCTGAAAGCCACTGTCTGGGCGCGGATGCAAAAGCCATTCCCGAAATGGACAAAGTGAGCGTGCCAAGACTGGAGCGGCCCAAATTTGAAAGCCTACTTTGGGGTTATTGGGCTCTCTCCAATATCTCACGGTCCTCACCACACTCAGATAGCGATGACTACCAACGCTTTGCGAAATCCGAGTGGCAAGGTGTAATTGGCGGGGTCGAACCGAACCCGCTCAAAAAAAGGCGTCAGTGATTCGGTAAGCTTAACCAAAAGCTAGTCCTCAGTGTTCTTTCTCCCCTTTAACGGATATGGGGAAGACGCAGATGTGAGCTTTGTGACGTAGGAGTCCGCGAGTCAAATCATAATGGCCGTATCTCCCTAGGGTTCAAACATAAACGATAATGGTCAAGGTCTTCTCGTCTCCGAGTATCTCGTCCCCAAAACCCATGGTGCCGAATCAGGTGGGCTGGGTCGTCGCGGGCAGCACGGATGAATTCGTGGACTCTTAGGCTCCCATCACGGCGATGGGAGAAAAGGAGTCATATTTGCTACACCGTGTTCATCTCATAGGGAAGATCTCGAAGTGAAAAGTGACAGTAATGACAGCTTGGTGAATGATGATTAACTCCTTGGGCGTGGATGAGAGAGGCCCAGAAGACCATGTACTCTTTTCTGCCACTTCGCATCACTCACCAGTGCCGTATCAGTTGTCTACTCTGCTGGGGATGATGCAGCAGGTTACACAAACCGTGGTGGTGCTACCAGTCCGGATTTAACATTATTATCAGAAACCGCCGAAAATCACGGATGCCTGCTGAAGGGTTCCGGTTACGACGCCGGGCACAGTTACGAGTGACAGAAGCAATGCTCAGGTGCATCCTCGGCAAACTCAACCACTGCATCAGCCTCGAGACGGGTGCTACAACATCTTGCAGTCAAGACTAGGGGTATGGATACATCTAGGCTCCTTGCATGATCTGCAAAGAAGAAACAGCCATGGCCAGATCTATGTATTCGGGGACTTCGGCTTGTAAGTGACCTCTGCTTTGGCAATCTTTTGCTTTCTAGCAACGGTTCTTTCATATCAGATATTGACTACTCGAGCTGGAGTTGAGCCGTAATGGTAGTCTCGCACAGAGTCATGATTCTGATTCCGGACGAAATTCGACCGAAATATCAATCCCAAATCCCGTCTCTAAATTTAAGTAGACGCTTTTGGCGAGCACATGGGAACCTTTATTGGCAGGGAACATGCCTTATCAGAGAATCTGGTCCCATGGCCAGAAAAAAAAAAAGGCATATAACACAATAGTCAAACAATGTTTATAGTAGACAGCGAGTCGGCCAGGCTTGTGTGCGTTTCTAAGGTGTGTGGGTATAGTAAACCCCTATGTCTAGCAGGTTATTGGAGCGTAAATGGCCATTGATAAGTGGCAAGAGAGTACCGACGCCAAATTTGACGGGTTGGCTATTTCTATTAAGAGATGGTTATCGCGCATCAACTTGCCGGGCTCGCGAGTGCCGAATGTTGATTATTAGAGAGCTCGTCGAAGTCCTCGAAGGACTTGAAAAGGAAAGGGAGGGCGATCGTCTGGGAGAGTTTTAAAATTTATCAATCAACAGAGAGACTCATCTCTACTTAAAAAGAGTCACGAGATAAAAATTAAACTAGACAAGATAACAGAGAAACCCGCCTCCCGGCCACCCAAAAAAAAGGAACAGATGTGCCTTCTTAGAAGGCGCATTGGGATTTGAGCCCAATGCGGGGGTCGAACCCGCAGCCTTGAGATTAAGAGTCTCACGCTCTACCGATTGAGCTAACCGGGCAGGTTTATTCCTTGATATTGAATAATGTTCTGGCTTTCACCCTTTGTTAAATCCCTCCGTTGGCCAGGCCGGTCGCTTGCATGATTGGACTGACAATGTTGAAATGCTTTTCCTGAGCTACATGACAGGTCTGGCGGCAGTTGGCAAAGAAAGGCCTTGGAATTAGCGCTCTCACTTCTCCAAGACTCCAGACACAACATCGAGCACGACCAAGCAGGATCACTCTCATTCATAGTAATATAAGCAGGACTCCCTGTCAGATCAGCAACATTAGCTTTGATAGAAAATTGCTGTGGCGGAGGCTTCCTACGAATTCGGAGCGCTATTAGCATTTAAAATTAAGTTTAGTGATCCAGCTCCAATGAATTCGAATGTTAAACCCCAAAAAAGCCATCATGTCCTTAGGGCTGACAAGCCATAGTTAAGACTAAAGAGGATAGGGTCGGGTCTTATATTCGGAGAAGTCCCGTTTGATTTTATCGCCTGCGGTTTGTTCTTTTGCTCTGCTCCTTTCTGCCTCTATCACACTCGTTTTGCTTTCTCGTTCTGTCTCTCGTTTACCATGAAGTGGGCTCTCTTCGCTTTCTCAGGACTCACCTGCCTTCAATCAGTAGCAGCAGCGGCAGCGGCCTGTTGCGGAAATGCTCGCTGTGCAAATGGTAAACATACCGGTTTCTGAAAGTCATCCTGGTGGAGGTGCCAAGCTAATCGATGTTCTGCCCTCTGCATACAGCTATCTTATTGGCCTCTCCCGCGGATGGCCTCCGGGACTGCTCATCAAACCTTGGGGTTACTGTGACAGCGGCGCAAAGGTGAGCATCGGTCTTTGTTCATCCACAGCAATTATTGAATATAACGAACGCTAATTTTCGACAACATTAACCGAATCTAGCACTGTGACCGAGACCGTGACCGCCATTCGAACGGAGGATGATACCATCATAAATACCAACATCCTCACGCTTACCGAAACGCTTTGGTTTACCGTTGGCGAAACCATCACGGCAACTGGTGATTCTGTCACTGTCACGGTCACTGCCAACGCTCTCAAGAAGGCACGCCGTGATAGCGTAGTGGAGGCATCATCTGTCCCGCACTATGCGTCTGCAGTGTGTCGGTCCTGGGGAAAATACACATCTGCCTGCCAATGTCTCGGGGTTGAGCCCACCACCATCACGATCGATGCACTGACGGAAACGGTGACCGAAGATATCACTAACATCGTTACAAACGATGTCCTATCGACTGTCTTTGTCACCAAGACTGAGTTTGTTTCAGTCATCGCCACGACTTCCGAAACTGAAATGGAAACCGCTACAGTCACCATCATACCGACCCAAACACTGACAGTTACGCCTCCTGTCTGTGTCCCGTCCGGCCAGCCCTGTGATCTTTCCGACCCCGGGGCGTGTTGCACACAGTGCTGTCTAAGAGTGGGAGCAGACCAATCTGTGTGCTGTTCGTAAATGAACCACCTGATGGCCCTGCCACGGTGTGCACCCTTGATGTAAGAGGCCTAGGTTATGCCCTATAGAGAGTTTTGTAAGCAAAGCGCATGAGTCAGGAACTCGGTCCCGGTTCTCGCAATGAGGCATCTGGCCGTCTATCAACGCAGCACTGGAGCAGGCAAATTCATCGTTTAATACATCGTAATTTAAACCTTTTAAACATTCTATCGATGCGCTGTTTCAGATTTTCCTCGCGGAAGCCTATGCATAGGCATCGTCCATCAAAGGTAGAATCGATCTCACGTTCCGCAGCTGTGTAGGTTCAGACATCAATGTTCTACGAGAAACTTGGCGGCATGGGGCGTGGAGGAACTTGACTCACCGTGGACAGGATCCGGCGTACTCGCCAGAGGAGAGAGTACGATTTTTGAGGAGAAAGCGCTAGAAAACCAAACTCAGGAGGGGTGGCATGGCATTACTTAATTGTCTTGTGCCTAAATTCCTCATCTGGACAACCAATCCGGAATGCGATCTTAGGCGGGAACTCGCCCAGTCAGGCAGTTCCTGGAGACTCTGCGGGCTGTCCATCTGACAGAGCCACGAGAGGTTGGATACAGCTTCTGGGCTAGGGGACACGCGTGCCAAAAGTACTGGTGAAGCCTGGACGCGAAGTACTTACTCATTTTAGTAAACCTAGAATGCTTTCCATTCCCCGCTGACCAGCCGCGTGGGCATGCCCCTCTTAGCACCTTGGCATTGTAGATTGCGAAAAGTTTCCTTCGGGTTCCACCGCCTCGCTCGAGAGTGTCCGGCCGGGAATGTCCTTTAACTCAGTGATTAATAGCCGAGTTTCACCTCTAGATCCAGGATGACTGGCAGCCGTTTTGTATGAGGCGAGAAGAGGAACGGGAGGAAGCTTAAGGTATAACGGATGGACTGATGACCGTGATCGGTATCGTTATTGCGATGAGTGGTGTATCTCTGTGTGATGGTTGCTGCGCGGAAGAAGAGTATCGCCGGAAAGCCGGGGTAATGAGGTGTTGGAACAGGCCCTTGTGAAAAGGTCAAAGTGACAAGGGAAAAAAAGGAAAAAAAAAAAAAAAAAAAAAAAAAAAAAAAACGGCCAAGGGTCAAAAACGGATCGAACTTAGCTGAGACCGGAATGCCGTTTTCGCCGTCCACAAATAACGCCTTTTGCCACTGGAGGCATTTTCCGACATCGGGCCCGAATTCCGGGTCGCACCATAGTCGCGGCACCGTTTCATCATGGGTATGCGAATCCATTCGGGAATAAAAAGGCAACGTTTTGTTGTCACGGTCGCTTAGGAGCTCTTTATCGCGCGGCGTTGCACTGCATCATTTCTCGCATCCAACGATCTATTTTGCGCCAGCATCCTCACGGACCCTACCTGACCAGAAACAGACCCGACGGCAAACCCTCCCCCGAGTCATTTCCCAGCCATCGACCTCCCAACCAGCTTCAGAAGCGCTCTTGCGGTTTATATTTCGCGTTGAAACTCTATCCCTTTTCCCGAATGTCCTAGCGGCGCATATTAGGGAGGGCACTCGCAAAAGCTATGGGCGAGACGGTTATATGGCCAGCGCCTCAAGATGGCTTAAAGTTGGTAGGCGTTGGCTCGGCAGCGTTCGTTTTATGAGGTGAACGAAAGTGCCGTCCTTAAAGCTTCTCAAACATATTGCAGCCCTGCTAAAGATGCTCCCCTCCAGGATTGGTGGGAATATTCCGACGCGACTCTTCAGTCTTTTTCTAAACCGCCAAGAGAAGACCATCCTTCGATTACTCGAGAACTACCCCATCCAAACAATATCGGAATTATCTCCGAAGATACCTTCCCTTGTCCGCGGTCGAACCAAGTTCTAACATAACAAATTACCTGATCGAAACCAGCCAGATGCGTTGCGAATGCTTTAAACGCAAATGCTGTCTAGCCGGAGCAGAACCAACTGACTGTTAGCAGCGCGTCCTTTATGAACCTTGGGCTGTAGCTTCCCTTCTCCATGTACCTGACTCCAATGCGAATACCATCTTCGTCTTGAAACTCCACCTCATGTCCAAAACCAACGTTGTTCGGATCAAGACAAGTCAGGCACGTGTGGACGACTTGAGCATATCTTGACCCCATGCATGCTGGCAATTCGTTGTGAGCCATCTCCACGAGTTTCTCCTTTAAGGCTGCTGGGTATTCTATGTGGACACCACCGCTGATAAGGCCCAAAGCTTCTAACGGAATAGGATGTCCGCAATTCGAGTCATAGCGGACGAAGGACCGCCACAACCCAATCTCGAGCAGGCATACCCCAAGACTGAAGATGTCGTGCTGCATGATGTAGTCGTCCCGTGGCGTTGGTCCTTGGCGATTAGGATGCCGGTATAAGTCTTTTGTCCAGTCACCGTCGTTACGGAGATATGTGCGGCCATCCTCCCTGCGAAAGTTGTCGAAGCCAACCAGGAACGTAGACCTCCTGACCGTTTTGGCACCCGCGAAGGTAAGCACGGTCTCCGGTCGGATATTCTTGTGAACGAAGCCGAATGTGTGCACATAGCTGACGGACTTGGCCAGCTCGCGCGCGATATCGAGCTTCTCAGACATCGAGCAGGGTGCAGACCCGGCTGTGAGGAGGTGCCGGAGGCTGCGGGGGTCGGTGAGGCCTTCGGGCTTCTCGAAGACTAGCGTAAAGGACGCCTCCGATAAAGGTCCAATCTTTGTTTCATCTTTGACGACGCCTTTGCATGTTAAGAGGCCAAAGGTCTGCGGGGTTCTGTGGCGTAATTTCCTGGCTAGGTCCCGTACGTCCTTCTTCACGATCTCGACGCTGGTTCCGAGAGAGCACTCGATCTGATTGAGGATCAGTTGCTTGCTGGATCCCGCTCTCTGGCCCAACACGGCATTGCAGAATGGCAAAGTCGTCCTGGCCATAGCGTCGAGCTCACTTTTCTTGAGAAAGACTTGCAGGCCATACTGCCTCTGATCATCCCTCAGACCATCTCTAATTACCATGGCAGATGGGATCGAGGCCACGATGCTGGTTTCTCGGCGCATACGCACAAGTTCGGTGTCGACTTGATTGTCCATTATCCGCATGATCAAGAAAAGTGACGACTCCACTTTCCTCTGCCACTGCTCGAGTTCTTCGATAGCCTCATCAAGAGATGACTTGACAAAAACATACTTTCCCTTTCTCACCGCCAGCCTTGCATCTTCGTCTTCCCCGGCTTCGTCCATCTTGGTGGGCTTCTTCAAGAGCCCCTCCAGAATGAGTATGACCCTTTTGAGCTTGGTAAAAACCATGTCCAGAATCCGGTAGTGCATCGTCCGATGATCCTCGTTCATGACGCTCTCCACGCTCTTCACAAAATCCAGCCCGAGAGCCGTCTGCATCCAGCTCGCCTCGACGGACAGAATACGTTCGTGAAGCTCGCCCTCGGCGTTTCTGAACGCGGCACAGGCCTGTAAGAGCCTCTTGCCATACCTGGGAGCCGAGTTAGAATCTAATCCATCATGATGTGACTTTCTTACTTGATGCAAAGGTCTGGGGCCGTGATGGCCCCAACGACTGCTAGACCAAGTTCGGCCATGTCATCAACCTCTCACGGTCTCCTGACGCTGTGAAACTTTGGAACCTTCTCTTAGTCTTCAATGAACTGGCCGATTAAATTAATAGCTTTCTCACAAGATCGTCCAAGAACTCTTGTCCCTGTGTCAGGCACTCTTTCGGTTGGGCCGCATTGGGTAGGCGACTTGGGAGATATAACGTTGAGCCAATCAAGGCGTGCCACGGGTGGGTTGGAGGGGGCAGGGCTGTGTGGCAAATGGACCAATGGGTTGTGCGAGTGTCTGTTGGTCCCCACAGAGGGAGAGACAGGGCAACCCCGATGTTAAACTCCACATGACCTCCGGCCCTTCGAGGGGCTGCACAACCATCTCATCGTCAACCCTCTCCCATTTTCAATCCAGAATCCTCTCGATTCAACATTTCTCACCCTCTATCCAAACGAGTTACGGTGCAACGGTCCTCCATGACTTAATGACACGAACATGAATCCGGCCTCTTCTGTCGCGCCCTTAACACGGCGCTCGTTGTCACCGATGGTAAGACTGCCCGACCTGGTTCGCGATTCGAAGCTCGAGACGCGCCTTGCCCGTGACGGAGACACGATACACATCTTCCGAGACTCTTCAAGACAGAGAGGGGCAACCGAAGAGGAGCGATGGAGATACACATTCCCAATCGGGAACGGAGGGGAGGGCATCGTTTGGCAGGAAAGAAAAGTGACGAGACGTGCCACTTCTGCTCCGGTTGCGACGCGTGCCGTCAAAGCGATCAAGATTCACGAACCCCGCGAACCCAAAGCGCCAAACCGACTATCCACAGCGGAGGAATACATGCGCGAGTTGGAAGCACTGGCAAAGTTCTCCCAGCGCAAGGTGTGTGTTCCCCCTTTCTCCCATCAAGAAACAAACAGCTGAGACTGACAGCGTCATCCCAGTACTCTGGTTGTTTCGTTCAGTTCTACGGGTGGTGGGAGCAAACGAAACAACACCGGTATTTGTTCATAGCCATGGAGTACTGTTCGCGCGGTGACCTGGAAAGTTACATTTCGTCGAAAGGCCCACTGCACGCGGATGAAGCACAGGAAATCACAGCTCAGGTGCTGGATGGACTGTGCTATATGCACGAAGAGGGATTCGCCCATCGCGACTTGAAGCCGGCGGTACGTATGTCTATCCTTTGCAGCCAGGTATTCAACCCTGATTGCCTTAACCCAACAGAACATTCTCATCAAGTCATCTCCACCGGATCGCTGGTGGGTTGTGATATGTGATCACGGCCTCAGCAAGCGTGTCGAAGATGCGGTAGCATTGACGACCATTGTGAAAGGGACGCCGATGTTTATATCTCCCGAGCGACGCGGTTTCCATCCAGATATAGTTCCGAAAAAGGCAGACCCGTACGCCGCTGATATGTGGTGCCTCGGCGAGACAACGTTCCGAATACTCTGTGGCAAGCCCACCTTCGGTTCGGATGAAAAGCTTCGCCAGTTCGCCCGTGGTTCGCTCAACTTCCCCACGGATGGCTTGCGAAATGCCAACGTGGGCGATCAAGCTATCGAATTTGTGACGTCCCTTATGCATCCTCAACCGAGTCGCCGGCTCACCTGCTTTCAGGCAAGAGAGCATGCCTGGATGAAAGTCACTGAAACTCAAGAGCCACCGAGCCCGGAGCTTGATGCCCATTCGTGAGTCAGTCATGCAAAATGCCACGCTTGCCATGGCATCACTAATGAATCTCTAGATTAGAGAATTCGGAATCGAATCTGGACCCGGATACTCTGCAACGAGAGCAACCCTCGGACGATCAGATTCCCGTCTCCCAGCCTGTCGCAATGTCCACTACCGCCACCCAGCATTCCCGGGCTTGGAGTCCGGTTACACAACCTTTGCAGGACATTGCCTCGAAGGACCCTTCCAATGTCGCGGGCCCCATGGGAGCATTGCCTGATTTCTCCCTGGAGGACTCTATCCTTACGAAAGTTAACACCGCAGCCAGAGGCTTGGTAGATCCAACGGCTACTGTCACTCGGACCGCACAAGATGTTCGAGACCGGAATATAAGATGGTCCTTCGGCCGTCTCAAGGTCAGGAAGAACGTTGATACTATTGGCAGATTGCTAGGTCGGACTCCACCGGGAAGCGACGGGTCATCGACCGCACACAGGCCAGAGGAGGTGCCGGCGGAGAGGCCTGAGGAGAATCCGGGGGAGACTCCAAAGAAAAAATGGAATACGAACTTGAAGAAGCTGCTCCGAAGACGTGGTAGCGATGAGAGTATATTCAAGCAGCCGCCGCCCTTTAGGAAAGGGCCTTCGATGTCCCACTCAAGTCAAGCTTCTCCCCAGGGCTATGAAGTGCTGCCTGGTGGACGGATTGCAAGAATGTCCGCGCTGGAGGGTCATTCTGAAGATGCGCCATCGCATCATGGAGGCTCCCAAGCAGCCGCCGCGGGTTCTGCTGCAGCAAGTAGGAAACGATGGTACAATGATGCTTCGTCGGACGAGTTCGGTGGCAGTCAGGAATCATACCACCGGACCGGGATTTTGCGATCACCTTCACTACGAAGTATGGCCAGCCCACAGTCAGAAATGTTGCCCTTCTTCAAAGACTATTATTCCCAAGATGACATTCATCCTGGGGACAGAGTGGCCGTTCTGGGCATATCAACCGCGTGCTTCGGGTGAATTTGAATTGGAACGTGGAGATATGCTCCGGGTGGTGGGCGTCTGGGACAACGGCTGGGCCACCGGCGTCATGATGAATGAGCGTGCTGAGGAATGGGAGGCCCGATGCCAAGCCCAAAGAGATGGCGGTGTTTCCAATATAGGAGGCGACGAGTCCCGACTTAGCGGAGAGATTAAGGCCTTCCCCTTGGTCTGCGTGTGCCTTCCAGAACACTGGAGGAAAACGATCGAAGGCGGCAGTTCGACAGAGACTGGATCCCGAAGCTCTTTAGGATCTTGATTATGAAGACCTCATTTTGAAGAATGTCTCAATGAAAGCAATATCCTTTAATTAGCATTGACATTGATAGGCGGCAACACGACAGTGACTCGTGGAAGACCTTGGCGTTCAATGAATATGTTGTTTATAATCCTTTGCATGTGCTGATACGGTATCTGTTTCGGATGAAAGTTAAGAATAGATAATTTCGTGTTAGATGGGAAAGGGAAAGGCTCGTCTCGCGATCTCTTCTTCTCAACTCTGAGCGACGATTCTCGACCTTCTCGCCGAAACGCGCTCACCAAGACCAAGAAGGACGCACGCCACCGACTTACCAACGATTTGTAGGCAAATACGAGGTCAAGTCTCTTGTCCGGCCGCTCCAAACATCTAACACGAAAGGGGATAACGTCGGCAGCACGCCGGCGAGAGCCTTAGCCACCCAATCCTCACGATCCGCGATGGGCCTATTCCAGGCCGATCTTTCGATATCCGCATCTTCAAAAATGTATAGTCGCGGGTCGGCAGTCCCGTTGCTAACCCTCAAGACTGGCACTATATTGAGGAGTTCGACTCTCTTTGTTCCTGAGAGGTACGGAGTCGAAGTACGGAGAGGATGTGGTTTGAGAGGTCTGAGAAGAGGTGAGAGCTATAAGCAATGACGGTATACAATTCTATTAATATTATAGGAAGACTAATTTTAAAGCCGTACTAGAGGGGACGCGATCAAATTACTACATGTGTTTTGACATCCAATAGCTGCTCCGGAGAAGAAGGGGGGGGGGGGGGGGGGGAGTGAAGGTGCGAGGACAATCGAATCGAATTCTTTCACAGAAAAACACTAGACAAACGAATCGGGGATCGTCGGATCGAGGTGGTGCCCCTTGCAACGCCATATTTCGTCGGGGTGCTCCAGTGCCTTCTTCCATAGCTCCTTCAAATCATAGATGTCGTCCTTCCGCGCAAAGTAGAACCAGGTGTAGAGCAATGGAAGGGGCACTTTGACTCTGCCTTCGTACCCATCCTCGTCAACACGGGAGTCGGGATCTGGCGGTGTCCAGTCTGGGTCATAAGCCCATATAAATACTGGTGGAATATCCTCTGGGAGCAGCTTGGCCAAGTCTCTTGGGGCTAAGTTGTCAGCTCCAAATTGTCTAGTACTGGAAATGAACAGAGGTTGGATGTCCTTGTGATCCAGTTCGGGCGCAATACAATCAGAAGTGATGACAAGGAAGGTGTTGCGCAGAATCCCCGGGAACTTGTCCAGAGTATTCCGGTGTTCCTTGAAGTGCCTATTGTGCTCCGTTAGTAGTCCGCGTCAGGTGGATAGGTGTATAACACCTTTTCAATCGGATGAAAAATGCGTACCTTCTTAGCGACGATGGATCGTTCTCAGAGAGAGTAGCGTCCACCCAGTCGATGCGGGTCAACCATCCCAATTGCGATGCACCCTTGATCTCATGATATATGCCGGATTGGTAGCCTGCAAAATTATCCGTCCGATCAGTGTCATTGAAAATGCCCATCCATCTTTCTAGCGCCTGGGCTCGCTGAGTCGCCTCCTCAGACTTGTAAACCGAGTAGCCATATTTGCGACGGGCATCAAGAAGTTCATCAACCCATTTCGCCCTCTCCCTAGGTTTCACGGTTTCCCAGATGGCTTTGGGGTTTGGAGGCTCTTCGCCTCGTGCTGCGGCGGCCTCGTACTCTTGCAAGAATTTACGCCCATAGTGACGTAGGGTCTTCTCGGTGACATCTCGAACGGCCTCCCTCGCAATCTCCAACCTTGCATTGTCCGCTTCGAGGCGCAGTTGCTCTTCATACATGGCCTGGATGCCATCAATTCTGCCATCGTCAGGAAGCCGGAGATCGCAGATAATGAGCTTGCACGCTTCCGGCGACTTCAAAAACTTGTATGGCGCCTCACAGATGGACCTACGGAGGCTATTGCCATATATTGCTTTGTTCTCCTTAGGCATCTCCTCTCCTATCACCTTGTACAAAAATTCGAGTTCGTCGTACGCGTAGGGAACCCTGCCGAGAAGGCAACCGCGGGCCAGTTGGTTTTCTAAAAATATACTAGGGTCTTGTAGCGCCTGGCTGACGAGATCCACTATGCCCTTCTCTTTCGCCAATCTGTCTAGGTTTTGCTTGCGACATTTGATTTCCATGTCACGGCGCCGAGCTTGGAAGACGATGGGATCTTCCTCCGCTTCTATATGGAGTCGCTCGTCATTGCGACGAAGGGACTCGGCCCTTCGGTCCGCCTGGGGCAGCTGCCAATTCAAATCGTTTTCTCGCTCTTCGATACGTCTGAAAACTTCTTCCATTTCGGCTTGATGTTCGGGAGGGAGATAGCTGATATCTGGTCGTACAAATCTCCGCGGCTGTTCTGGGACGCCCAGTTGAGCCTGCCTTTGTATTTGCCAGGATCGCTGTGGTTGTGCCCGAGGGCCTCGTGATTCTCGTTCTCGCCCCTGCCTTTCCCACTGGTTCTCTTCTTCGATCCCTTCCATCATTTCTCCGTCGATTCCGGAAAAAAGGTGATTAGAAACATCGTGCCGCGCGTCGAGGAAATCCATCGTAATCTGATTCTTTGGAATTCTATTGAGAAAGGAGCAGGTGAGAAGTGTATGTCTAGTTCTGAGGGCAAAAAAGGAAAATGTTAGTACGGTGCCCTTTCTGTTATTGAGGCGAAAACGCGGGGCGAGAGGTACGAAGTAGTTAGATGGATCGGATCAATGTGTTACCTCGATGATGATCATAAGCTTCAATGTTGACTTCGATGCGAGGCTGCATTGACGACTGGAACTGAAGTGATGCCAGCTCTTCCTATTCACGAACAACAATCTAAATTTAAGGAACCGGTTAGCAAAGATTCTTTGAGACCTCTCTTTGCAACGGACAGGTGGGTGATATCCGGGTCGAGTCCCTCGGGAAAAGCCACAAACATCACCCCATATCTCGTGATCATCCTGGTCTTTTTCCCTTTGCGGACACCTCAAGGCACTGCACATGGCACCATGCTGACGCCGACATGTCCGGCCCAAATTTAAGGATCTTTCACACGACCAGGTACCACCATTCTCTTATCTGCGTGTGGTATTCACGTGACAGTTTTGGTAGCTTGATGATCGGTGGCGTTTAAATTTTGGCAGTTTTCGTCTTCTTCATCAGTGTTCGCTCTCTCACTCAATCAATCTTACCACCCGCGAGACTCACAAATATTAACTGGATGATTGGATATTGGCGATTAAAAGGTAGATCTTGTCGTCGAGTCGATCCGCGAGTCCCTTCCCCGTTGCCCTAACTTCCTCGTGAATCAAGAGCCGGCACGAAGATACTCTTCTGTGCGACGTGGTTGCTTTTGTACGAGATGTGCCAGCCGGGCTATTTTCCGAAAGCAGCTCTAGGGCTGGGAACAAATGTGAGGGAAAATGCACCAGAGACCAAGACGATACCTTTCGCCCAGCTCGGCGGGGGATCCCACATGTTTCAATTTCCAGAGCATTGTAGCCATCACATATCCTTTTGCCCTTTGGGGATGGCATTGCCGCAGAGACAGGCCGATGTACGATTTAAGATATAAGACATATCGACTGAGCTCATAGCAGTATAAAAGGGCACGCGGCCCATCTCCATGGCGAGGTACATATTATTGACCTCCCCTTCTAATTTCCGACAGCCCTCGTCATATAACCAAAGGATGTCAGTCATTTGAGACACCAGAGCATCACCCCCTACCCCCCAAAACTCGTGCGAAACTGTACAAAGCCGAGGGACCTGTTCGGGAAGGGGAGGGATCACATCTCGAATGATGATAGTGGCTGTGATTCATTGAGCCAATTGAGCTAGGCACCGTGACCTCATGCCGAAACTTTGTCGTAGGTTGTTCATGAACGGCATGCCTATAACTCCGATAACACAACGCCTATCGTGAGCACGCCCCATCGATAAACAAGCTGTAGAGAACGGGCGCGGTTGGCACTACTATTGAGGGGGTCGATGTGCACCGTCTTCGAGATATTTTTGGCCAGACTCTTTCGGGCATTAGAGTTTCCGATAAAATGATCACGACACGCGCTCAAGTTCAGCCCGGTTCAATTTTGTCAATTCTCCAACAAGGGGGCACGCCGGAGGATTTGGGTCTTTTCTTTCGTAACAGGTAGAAATCATTTATTTCTATGAAAGGCACATTTAGATCTGCTTCTGTGATAATATTACGGAATTCTCTTTTGATTCTCCAGAAACCCATTGCTTGCTGGACGGCGGCGGCGCAGTCGTTTCTAAAATGTCGCCATGGCCAAGACGATATTTTGAATAAGGCAAACTTGCGGATGCAGTTTGGTGATATTACCAAAGCGGTTCTTGCTTGTGCGGGAAGCTTTGGTGGGAGAAGAATGAAAACCTTCGCTCCAAGGAGACATCAAGTATCGCGAGCGTCAATGCCCCCCTCGATGCTCAAGAAAAACGCCGCTGGAAGCCGACACCAAGCAGATGGGTCCCAGTATTCAGAAATACAATACTTCTTTTCGTATTCCCGACCTTAAGGAGCGCGGAATATTTACCTCAGAAGCTGTGAACTCAAGAAGCGGGCCGAAATGTGGGTCGCGGAAGAAGACTTTGCCGCCGCCACACTGGGGGGGCTTCCGTCCTCGGGAGTGCGTTGGGCATTTGTTGAAGTATTGTTGCGCTTAAAGAGGACCTATAAGGCCCTCGACGAGTCGGCCGCTGGTATACTACTGACGACTCAAAGTTGTATCAATATTATAGTTATTGTAGTCGGGTTTGAAGCGTCGATAATTATTATCTCCTTTACGGTATCACCTTACCATTTACTCTATTCCCAGCCCTCGAAGATACACAAAAGTTCCCATCATTCCTCACTTCAGCCGGCCATGTCCTGTCGCATCTTGATTCTTAACGGCCCAAATCTGAACCTTCTGGGCATGCGAGAACCGACCATCTACGGTTCGAATTCGCTGTCAGACATTCTCGAGGACGTCAAAAAGCAAACCGTGGATCACCCCGTCCAGATTGATACTTTCCAAGCCAACAACGAAGGAGTGATCGTGGAAAGAATCCATCGGGCCTGGGAGGACGGGGTAGACTTCATCATCATCAATCCAGCCGGTTACACGCACACAAGCGTGGCTATCAGAGATGCACTTCTAGGCGTGGGCATCCCTTTCTTGGAACTTCACCTTTCCAATGTTCACGCGAGGGAATCATGGAGGAAACATAGCTACTTTAGTGATAAGGCTGTGGGGGTCATCTGTGGGCTTGGAGGGTTTGGATATTCTGCAGCTGTGGACTTCGCAATCAGGCATGTCTCGAAGGGCAAGGCCAATGGCGCGCCAAAGTTATAGAGGTTTAAAGGTTTAAAGGCGGAAGTGAGAGGTGGGTACATATGCAACGGATCGTCTCGGGGAAAATGCACAGATCTGGTCGAATGTCATTCAATCGCATAATCGAATTTAAGCTTCTCGCTGAGTGACATGGTAGAGAGTGTCCCTTCTTGTCTACTAACACCGATTATTGCAAATCCGTTATATATGTGCGCTATCAAGGTGGCCTGGAAATTGGAAATTGGAATGAGAGTATTTGCATGTACCAAAGGCTGTAAACGGAGAAGCGACAAACAACCGCTTTGGCCGCTCGCCCTAGTTTCACATCATTCCTATTAATCTACGAATTTTAAGGCCAAGGGGAGTAGTGCCCCTATCGACCCGTGGTCGCGAACCCGATGAACGAGGCGAGCGGCAAGTGCAACTGGTGACAGGATACGGACACTTCGGATGTGCGAACAGTTGGGCTCGTCGACGACTTCACGTTTCGTCTGGCGATATCTGACTCTCGACCCGAGGTACACTCCTAGAGAGGCCGTGAAACCCCTGGACCGAAGGAGAGAAGGACACTTTACAATGGGATTAGATTGCGAAGAATCTCTCTCTCTCTGGAGTGCAAGAACAGAACTGTCGATCCAACATGTGATGTCTTCACGCGAGGTTTTTCCTTTCTGCCCAGGTCAGCCCTACACTCCTGAGATTGCATCGTCAGGCGGTCTCTTCATATTCCCGACACCCCATTGGGAGTAGTGGCATAGTTCGTAGTGCCACTGTGGCTCCATTAACGCCATTTCCGTCTCAATAAAAATGCAGCTGAAAAGCCAATATTGACTATCATGCACCGGATCGGGAATAGCGCCGCAATTGCGCGAGGACAAGGCTTGGGCTGAAATGGTATTTTACCAAAGAGGCGCTTCGACTCGCCTCCTTCTGCTCTTCCCGACTTGCGAATACAAACAATGTACGAAGTAATGTACTTCCAACGGAAATAGACGCAAAAGAATCCAATGTCCTCAACGACGAAATCGCAGTCTACCCAGCCAACCCCATGGGCTGCTGTCACCTCCATCTTCACACCCCCGTCTTTTTGCGGCGACTTTGTCGACAAGGAGTCATGGTTCAGCTCAGTGACCGAGCTAAGCCTGGCCTCCTGCTTCCCGGGAGACCCATCAACCACCAAATCCTTTGCTAGTTGGTACTATTCGCCAGCCATATGCCCATCAGGATACACGCCTGGATGCACAGCGACGGGGCTTGAACTGCTCCCCGGCGAGACTGGAATTTTCTGCTGTCCAAGGCAAGCAAACGCAAATGAGATTCCTTATTTTCAGGATACAAACTAAACGACGGAGCAGTTCTTTTAAGTGCGCAGAAAATGTGATGTTTGGCTGCATCTCGGGCGGGACAACTGCTCTTTCCGTGAACATCCGATGGCAAGAGTCAGATCTCGCAAACTTCGAAACACCTCCGTTGACCAACGGCCTCCCAACTCGAGAGCGCCATGGTGGATGGGATCCGGCAGGTGCTATGACGGATGTCTACACGTTCCCCCCTCACTGTGCATCCATTACCGACACTTGGATGCCCTTCACCGAGACGGCGTGCCGGCAACTTGATGGTGATTACTACTCGCCGGGTATCTGTCCCGATGGGTGGGCGGCAGCGTTCACTCGTCCCGTCCTAGGCAGTCGTGGACCTCCTGAAGAGCCGGATGAGACTGCCATGATGTGCTGTCCGAGGTAAGATTGTTCCCCCTCTCCAATCATGTCGCAATGCGGACGAAGTTATTAACAGCCGAGCTAGCGGTATGGGCACCATTCCTGGAGATGGGTGTGGGGTAAGATACTGTGCCTCCGCAACTTTCACTACTGATAGCTGGGGAACAACACTGCTCGATCTTATCAAGGTCCGTGACCCTATTCAGATCCGGTGGGTGTCATCTGATCTGTCGCTGCTTGAGACGCACCCGCTCACTCCGGGGATGATTCCCACCGAGCGGCTCCTGCATCCTAAGTATCCGGCTAATTATACCGGAATACTACCGCCCTTAGAAAAAGAATACAAAACGGCGATCGGAGTGGCCTTTGTTCCTCTTGCTCTTGCTCTTTTAGCCGCTTTCGTGCTTCTTTGGTGGAGGAGAAAGAAGCGACAGTATGTTGGAGTGCCAACAACACATGGAGGGATGCCCGCGCAGAAGCATTTTAAGCCGAAGATACTCTCCTGGCCACCTTTGCTCGTTCTTATCGGGGTCTCCCTCACAGCCATAGTTCTTCTTGAGGTCTCGTGCCATCAACTCCCGAGATCCCAGGGACCAATCCAAGTTCCATCGATACAGCTCACGAAAGTATATGTCAGAGACATTACCATCGAACGACGCCAGACCGAGGACATTTTCTCGATAATAGGAGAAATGGATTGCAGTGTTTCGGGGAGTTTTACCGTGTCTCCGGTCCTGACCGAGTATGTCATGCCCACTTGATTCCAGGTCCCGCCGCCACTACTTGATACTAATCTATTAGAAATCATGGAACGCAAATCTCAACTGAGAGGTCACTTGGTACCTATGAAACGGTGTGCGAACTCTCCAGTACTGCCGTTCTCCTCCCCACCTGCACACAGCCCCCCACTGCCCCCCCAAAAGATAAGTTTCTGTTTGACCCATTCGGACAAGGCGAATCAGGGACAACCAGCGCATTCCCCGGACAACATTTCGTCGCCTCGATGCTTGCTCCGCTTCTGGCCGCCCTATTCGCGATCCCCTGGAAGATCCTTCACCTACACGCCACGTCGTTGGAGTCGTTCCACAAATTATCTGGCCCGAAGGGAACGACCGTCACGAAGGCTATGATCCGGGACTACGCGGGACCGGGCGCGGTCTTTGCTCTCGTGCCCTTCATAACCGCGTGTCTCGTCTACTCGTCTGCGATTCTTGCTCCCTTGTCAACTGAGTCGTGGACGATTGGGCTGCTCGGGTCCTGCGCGGCCGACGAGAATAAAAATTGTGTTCCAGAGATGCAGGCCGTTCCGCAGGTCGTGCGTACGATGGAGGCCCTGCTGGCTTTAATTGTGCTTCTCGCCATTGCTTTGGCCGCCGCGCTTCGGAAGTGGTCTACAGGAGTACTTGCCGATCCAAGGAGCATCGTGGGGATTGCGTCATTATCGCAGTCGCCCGAATTGCGCCGCGTGTTCGGCTCGCTTCTCATTGGTCCCAGTGCTTCCCTGTCAGTCAAGGATATGAAGAAGCAGGTCGGCGGGCTCCAAGTCTATCTCGGTGTGTCGCAGAATGCATCAGGTGGCATGGACTACGGCATACAACTTCTCAACCCGCCACAGACACCACTTTCAAATGGCTTTTATGGGAAGAGCAACCAGAAGAAACCATGCCTTTCTGACCCTTTGTTGAAAGCCACTTTGCTCCTTGCCGCTTTTGCAGTTCTCCTAGCCGCGGTCATGAGCATCATCATTTACTACCGGCTAACGGGCGGCAGTTCCGGATTCGAAAGGTTTATGAGCGGCCAGAACTTTGGGCCCCGGTTCTTGTTTTCAATCTTCGGTGTCCTCATCAATTTTGGCTGGGTCAATGTATTTACTAGTGCGATCAACCATCTGAACCTTTCATATTGGCCCTCACTTGCTAACTCGTTCCAGGCGTCACTCGTCTCACTCCTTTCTACGCCTTGTCAATAGGCCAACGACACCCTGCAAAGACGACAATCCTCCTTCCTTACGCAACGGACCCCTATACACACCTTCCTAGGAGCATCCTAGCCGGCCATGTCCTCCCAGCCTTGGTCTCCTTTGTTACTATCCTGAGCGACTTCCTCCCCCTCCTCTTCGCCAACGTCCCTTTCCACCGCACCCGAACCTTCACCGAGCACCTCGTCTCCTGCTGGATGACTGTGGCCATACTAGCGCTTATGATGGTAATTCTAGTCATCCTTGCAGTCGTTATGATCGCCGCGAGGCCGCGATGCACGGCACTTCTGGGTGTCTTTACAGAGAGTCCCATTGTCGGGACACTACTTGTCCTGGGTCGGTCAGACTACTTTGTAGGGTGTTTTAGGGGTCTGGCTGGGCTGACGCCTAAAGAGAGGGATATGGCTGTGAGGGGGATGGAGTTGAAGTATTATCTGGCGGATGTCGGGGATGGAGTTCACGATGACGGGGTGGCGATTAATGTCCAACGGTAAAGTAACCTTGAGATTACCTGTTTATCTAACTTATTTGGAGATCTTTATTCTCAACTGCCTCGCTTCCTACGGACATCAGCTATGTTAAGATTAACGTTTACAGATGCTTCGCTCGGCGGAGAGCAGATAAAGTCTCAATAATTCGTAACCCGTAACATTCTTATTCTTGCAGTTAACCTCGATGGGTGATGAATGACCTTGCCAGTCGTCCAGATCCAAAAAGGCTCTCCGACATACATCATACATGCGCTCAACAGAAAACAAAAAAGACCTAACGATTGATTACATCATTCCTCGTTGTCAGATTTTTCATATTTCCTCCCTTTTAAGCAGTAGAAGGCGATGAAGTGGAGAAAAAATGATTTAAACAGGGGAGAGGACAAAAAGGAAAGCGGGAAAAAGATAATACCACTCTTTCTCCCATAACACACTACAAATGACTTCGATTCTCGCACGCCGTAGACCCGGTTTCAGGCCCCTCCCCTGAACGTGGAAAGATATCCTGAATCATCTTGTCAAAGGCCCGTGAAGCTCGCTGGGCCATCTCGCCAGGAATGCTCTGGTCAGGGTTGAAAAGCCGGTGGTTAAATATTTCGTAGCTCAGCCAGCCTTTGTATCCCAATCCACGGAGCACGACCAACATGATTTCTTTAATTGGAAGATAGCCACCAAGATGCTGCTCCCCGTAAAAGAGCCTACTGTGCCGAGACCAGCTCATCCTTGCAGGTTGGGTCTTGTTGTAAAGGATATGTCCTGGCATTATAGGCTCCGAAAGTTTTTCTGCATCTCCCATCTGCACGAGAAAGATCTTCTGGACATCGACATGATTCAAAAGTCTTCTCAAGGACTCGGTGATGTCACGTTCCGCATTGGGCGTCTTGCCTGAGGGCGAGGCAGGATCAGCATACACTCGACCGGCGAGATTGAACGTATCGATACACATTCCAAAGTTAGGCCGATCAACCCGAGTAACCATCTCCCAACTTTTCTCCCACACATCGGCGTGCGTACCCCAACAGAGGGACTCGTACGCTATCCGTACCGGCGGTTGCATCTGGGCGCCAAGATCAGCTGCCCTGACGAGATCAGCCACGTGGTCGTCGTCACACGTTGATATCTGATGGGCAGGCAGGAAGGTGCTTGGTATGAGGATAAGGTCCGTATGGAGGAGCTGTGCGAGGGTCATGTAGTGTTTAAGTTCGGTGAACCGGATTTCATGTTGGCCGCGGTCGAGGATGCCCTCATAATGGCGAAATGGTTGGAGGCAGATGATGCTAAGTTCGTTACTTTCGCAGAGTTCCCGGGTAACCACCGCTGCGGAATAGCGATTCTGTTCCAGAGACCTGCCACCAGGGAAGCTATCCGCTAGATGGTAGAGGTCTTCATCGAAGATTTCAACACCTTTGATGCCATGGTTATGAGCTGCCCTCAGCTTGTCTGAGAGTGTGTGACCTGCCGAAGACTGGCCTAAAGAAATGGTGCATATCCCTAATTTGAAAGGCATTCTTAAAGGACGTAGAGGTGCTGTTGGTAAGACGAATAGTCCGGATTGAATCAGTACGGGGAATCCTATATGATATATTCACGGCCTGGCTGGAGGAGAACTATGAAGGGTGTGAAACGGAACGCGGCTTGTAATTATGCAGCTATGTCGCCATATCTAGAAATCGACATACACTATTAAAGCTCATTGCCTGCTCCACTGGCCATCCTCTTCTCCTCCCGTGGGTGGAATGGTGCATGGCGACTCGCAAGTTCCATACCTTGCTTCACTGAACCGAAGGTTGGAGCCATGGCCGATAGTAACCGTAACCAGTTGCTTATTCCGCGGTGCCCATGAGCAAGAACGAGACTCGGCCCAAGGTTCGCTGCCAGATACTCCCCAATCCGAGTCTGATTGACCCGAATCTATCTCAATCCCACCCCGGTGGCTGATGCAAGCCGGCAGGGACCTCCAATATCCAGTATTCTTGTCGAAGTGAAGTGAAAGGGTGTAGACGGCCCGGCTAAGACCTTATCCGGGGATAGATGTAACTTTCTATGCATTTCACTGGGTTGCAGTGAGGTGGAGCTATCGGGAATTTCGGACTGAACTGGGAGGTGTGGGCGGTTATTGATTTATCCGACTTCGGGGCTCAAGAAAACTGCCCGTTGAGTATACGGAGGAGAGACGTAGTACTTTCTCTACTTGAGAGTCAACCAGAGAGTCATCCGTGACGGGCCTCGTTCGACCCTGCTCAGGGATGAAAGGCGGGGAAAAAATTGAATTGTTTTTGCAGGCTTAGCTCTTGGGTTCAACGGCTTGGCCCTGTCTTTTAGTGGATGGCAGGTTCGATATAACTCCGTGACTTCCTAGACTGGCTGCCGATAAAGTACCGTGAAGGTAGAGGACGTTTGGAATCTCAAGAATCTCTATCCTCTACAGGCATCGGCCACTCACAAACTTCCGGCAAGTCCTTGGACTGACAGCAACATCGCCATGACCTCATTACCTGAACCTGGCCTGCTTCTAACCACGCCCAAGGATGGTAAGGACAATCCTCTGGTCAGCCTCGATCGACACGGATATTTATTCGGCAAGAAGATCGCCAATTCCTTGTCGCCATACCTCCATAGCGTGATTTACAAGGATCTTGGCTTGAACTGGGCCCAGGTGCGGCTCGACTCGGACGATGTGGACGCATTCCTCCAACTCATTCAACACCCTCGATTTTATGGTGGGTCAGACAACCAATGAGAAATATCTAGTGCAACGAAAATACCTAGATATGCCCGGGAAAGAGGTTGAAGAATCCGTCACTGATATTGAGACAGGCGCTTCCGTGACTATGCCGAACAAGCTCACGATCCTCTCTCACCTTGATCAATTAACTCCCGAATGCAGGGATGTCGGGGCTTGCAACACTATATTCGTCCGCGTCGGCCCGGATGGGCGGAGGTTATACTGTGGAGCAAATACGGACGTGATTGGTATCCGTGAATCCTTTTTCCGCAACGTTGATAAGGAAGTCTTTGTCGGACGCCCTGCCATGGTGATCGGTGGCGGCGGAGCGGCTCGAAGCGCCATCTACGCCCTCCGCACATGGATGCAGGTCCGCGACATATATATCGTCAACCGTGACAAGCTTGAGGTTGACTCCGTCCTCAGCGAGTGCCAGGCCAAGGGGTTTGGGCGTGGTCTTGTGAGGGTTGACACGGTAGGCGATGCCTTGAAATTGGAGGCTCCGGGAGCTATTGTGGCTTGTGTACCTGATTTCCCCCCACAAACCGACGCGGAGAAGAGAGCGAGGGATGTTACAGAGACTTTTCTGAGGAAGGGAAAGAAAGGCGTCATGCTGGAAATGTGTTATAATCCCACGCCCTTCACAGCACTTGGCGCTCTCGCGGAGGCTCTCGGGTGGAGAGTGATTCTTGGTACTGAGGCATTGGTCTGGCAGGGGCTCGAGCAGGTTCGACATCTCCGAAACCCCCACACGATTTGCGAGAGAAATACTAGCTAACCATAACATCTAGGATCGGTACTGGACCGGGAGACAAATTGAGGACTTGCCAGTGATAAACGTTCAGCGGGCGATAAATGATGTGGTGACGAAGAAGGTAGCCGTCCCTCGCCTGTAGCAATGGTCGTATGGTTATCTGGATTGCCCATATATATGTTATATCTCTATCTATAAACAAAATTCCAGGATAGTACGGGTTATTTTGATAAGTGCTAACATCGTCACTTGATGCACCCCAACTGTGATCTATCATGTCGCGACCATCATCACTAGTCGCACAATCTGGAGAGGAAAACCTACTCCATCACCCCCCTGCAACCAATATTCTTTAGATTATCTACCTTCGGAACGGCCCTGCTATATCTAAATGCATTGACCTGTCCACAGTCAGCCCTTCTCAAAGCCTAAATGACTCACGCTGAGTCACATTAAAACTCGTTGGTGGGTGCAACTCTAGTAGGAAAGACGGGCGATATTTCGGGATCTTAATACGACATGCACAAAAGAACTAGAAATTTTCAATATAAAATAAGGATACCTGGTATTGAGCGGGGAAACTGTGCTTCGGAACAGCTGCGTGTATCATCTCATCTAGTCAACCAGGGCTTTCAGACATCAGCAGGAATGTTCTTCTTATCCAACTCTAAAACGACCGGCTTCTCCTCGCTCTTGTGGTCGGCGTTCTCATCACCAATACCCTCCACCTGCCTCAGTTCGTCCATGAGAATACCATGGGCACGCCATGTGGGTTTCAACTCGAAGAGCCGATCCATTCGCTCCAGTGGAATGGACTTGGTCTCGGGCACAAAGAAGTACACGAAAATGGATGACAAAATCATGAGGGAAGCAAAGAAGAAATACACCCCGTATCCCCAAGAGTTGAACATTTGTTCTGTGAAGCGCGCAATGATAAAGTTCCAGAACCAGTTATTGGCAGCTGCGTTGGCTTGGCCGAGTGAGCGGGTGTTCTGGTTGAACATTTCCGAGTTCACGACCCACGGAGTTCCATTCCAAGACGGCGTATAAAAGGCTGTCCAGAGATAGAAGAAGAATATGGCGGCAATGCCGGCGGAAGAAAGCTTGTTGTTTTGCTGACTGCCTTCGGGATTCGAGATTTTGATGTAGGCGCCAATGAACCACATGCAAAGCGACCCACCAACAGAGCCTACAATGAGCATGAGGCGTCGTCCGGCGTGATCAATCAGAATAAGGAGCCAGACGAAGGTGAGCGCGGTCTTGACAACTCCAAAGATACCTGTCGTGAGGAAGGCTGTGTTTGTGCCCTGGATTCCTATGCTTCGGAACACTGTTGGGCTATAGTAGTTGATTGCATTGATGCCGGAACCTGGAAGAATCTCAAGGATTAGCACACCGAGCTGGTCACAATGCTTGGTTTGACGAAACTTACCATTCTGGAACACGAAGAGGAGACCACCAAGCACAAAACGCCATTGCACCTTGCGGTCCTTAAGGGCCTTGAAGGGCTTCCAGAAACCAGTGCCGACCTCTCGGTGGTATCGTTCAATATCTTCGTCAATGTAGCTGAGCTCCTCTAGCATGTAGGGATGCTCTGCCTCGAGCTGCCTCATCCAGCACAGGATCTTGATGGCCTGTTCCCTTCTACCCTTTGACAAGAGCCAGCGGGGGGATTCTGGAATGAAGAAGCAGCCGAAGAAGAGCAAACCCGACGGGATAAGCTGTACACCGAAAGGGATGAGCCATTGCGAGTGGCTGGGCTCTAGTGTGGTATTGACACCATAGTTGATCCAGAAGCCGACGAGACCACCAATTTGCCATCCCAGTTCGTAGAGGCCGACGAGACGGCCGCGAACAGCGGGCGGAGCAAGCTCCGAAATGTAGATGGGGGTCATGTTAGAGCAGCCGCCGACGCCAAAGCCGCCCAGTACCCTGCCCCCAATAATCAAACCCAAGCCCTTATCCCCGGTGCAGGCCATCTGCATGATGCAGCCGATAGCGAAGATAACATTGAAGAAGATGAGAGAATAGCGACGGCCCAGGAAGTAACTGGTGGCGAATGCTGCTAAGCTGCCAAAGAAAGCGCCGGCCTGGTAGACGGAGACGATGTTCTGCTTGAGGACGGCCAGATCGTTGGCCTGGTAGGTAGAGAATTTGAATTCTTCGGTGAAGGATGGAAGCGCGAGAGTTGTGCCAAAGAAGGCCGACTCATATCCGATCAAGCATGATGCGAAGGACGCGACGGCAGCGCAAGCGTACACACGCCAGTTGTAGACTGCCTTTGGAGTAGGCCGATCTTCCTTGAGAGTGAGGATCGACATGGTTCTTATGGCGTGGGTTCCTAGCAAGCAGTCGGGTGCGAGCTTGCATCAGCCAGAGAAAGCGAAACAGAAGAGAGCTTGAGAGATTATCTACTCCGCACTGAGGAGCCGACGAAACTTCAGTGTTGATATTCTTCTTGACACAATGGCTTCTTCATGGGCTTTATATTACAGACCCGGCCTTGTTAAATGAAATCTCATTGTCTACTCCTTGGGGCCTGGCCATTTACGGAGAGAGTTGTGTTATGTTGTCTCGATTCCAATTAACGCTCATCCCGACACGCTAGATACCATCCCTTAGCGGATGCACCCCACAATCAGGGTGGATACGGGGAGGAAAACCTGGAGAAGACAGGGGATGGATAAAGGCATTGCCGGAGAAGACCGCAGGATGTCACCAATAGTACCGTCACTTACCAAGACGCATAGGGCAAATCACCCGAGAGGTCTAAATGTTCGCTCTTACACCAATGCTACTTCAAAGGAAGCACTAAATCTCATGAGAGCTCCAACCATGATTGATGTCAGCCCCGAAACGCACAGTGTAATCACGATCCAGATTGCAGATTGCCCGCGCCGGTCTGCTCAATTATCAGTTGTTTTCGGGTCACAGAAATGGGTCAAACGGGTATGTATTGGGATGCGGATGATGAAGAAAAAATGTCTAGAATTCATCAATCTCCCACCCCTATTTCCACCCCTTACATATATTAGTCATCTTTTCTTAATCACTTTTTCAAGGCTACCCCGCTTTACAAACGCCCAAGCCGTTCATCCTTCCTCATCATGTGGTTCAGAATCTGATCTCACGACAGCCAGACACCACTCCATCGCTACATTCCCAGCCGAATGAATTCCAGTCAGAAGAGCCAGATTATTTACGCGCCTTCCGAGGAGCCTGTCAGGGGAGTGAAATCCGTCTTCCTCGCGGGCACCACAAGCAAAGTCGACAAAATAGATTGGCGCGAAGTTCTTTCTGCCTCGCTCTCTGGGTTCCCCATCACAATTTTCAATCCATACCGCGCGGATTGGGACAGCACATGGCGCGAGGACATCGACTTTGCTCCCTATCGCGAGCAGGTCCTATGGGAGCTTGACAAGCAATCGAAGGCGGACTATATGGCGGTATATTTCCACCCAGCCACGCAGGCTCCGATAAGTCTCTTGGAGTTTGGGCTCTCCGCGCAAGTTCCCGGAAAAGTGATCGCCGTATGCCCTGAAGGGTATTGGAAGAGGGGAAATGTGCAAATAGTTTGCCAAAAGTTCGGGATTGACATGTTGGATAGTATTGACAAATTACGGGAGGCTATTGTAGAGAAGTTGTCGGAGAATCGATGACTACCGAGCGTTATATACCCCATAGCTTTTACAATCCGGCGAGAATAAATTGTGTTGCCAGTTAAACCGAGGGTTTCGGCCTTGATTCGGTCGGGACTCGGAAGATGAGGAGTTTGAATATTTAGGCCTGGTGTTCCTCAGGAGTCAGGAACCAGGACCCAGGATCACGGATTCAGCCAATGAGAACTCTAGAAATATCGAATGGCAGGACATGCAAAGGACTTCTGAGAAGTGAGTTACATAGTAACATACTCTCGTGCGCTTTATTTGCTAGATAACTTAGATGCGCATGTAGATGAGATCACGGGTAGTCCCATCTTATCGCCATGGGCGCAAGCTCCACAGGAAAACAGTCCGTCGCTGGCCCCTCACGAGCAGTCCGACTCCACCCTCCCAAGAATGCGGGGCAACGAGAGGACTCTTCGCTAGGCATACGAGTATCTGACGGGACAACACTTGCCCTGTAGGAACATGTGGCTCAATCAAGGTGATGAACATAGGTCTACATATCCTTGTTAACTTTTCGGTAGCCTAAGTGTCGTCCTGCTTGTTAGGAGAAACTACAACATGCAGTGTCTTTCGGTGCTGAATCTGGAGCAAGCGGACAACCACACCGAAGTGGTGCAGCGAGACACCGGGATTCCGAGCCTGCGCAATCTATGGTGGGAATCAGTCAGTAGTTAATTCCCGGCTGGAGGGAGCCGAAGATGTGCCTAAGATCAAGAATTCTCCATCTTAACCACCCTAGTAAGTTTTTAGCTCTTTGCATTCACTTTGGTCGGATGGGTAAGTCCCTGTAACAAGGGACGCTCATTCATGATTCACAGTCCCAGGATATTCCAACGCAGGGAATTAGCGGACATCGCTCCTTGTACGTGGAAATGTCTGATATTTGGTCTATCTAGACTCCTTTAATAAAACCTCCCTGGCGGCAATAATTATTACTTCCCCTCAACTGGGTAGCTGGGATTTATCACCACTTCTTCCAAATCCATCCATCACCATACCATCCATTCATCTAGTACAGATCCATCTTCGCCGCTTTCTGTCGACCCTGCATTAAGCGTGAAACTATGTCCCTGTGTATTGCCCAGTGTAAATGGTACCACAAGATCTGGCGTAAAGAATTGGTCCCCTGGCGATATCATTGTCAGCTTGTATGTGTTGAGCTGGGCGGTAGTTCCAGGCTCACCTCCATACGGAGTCCTTCTCTCCCGCAGATTCTCCTGTCCATCTTCGAATCCCATAGTAGCATCATTCCCACTCTCATTGGCAGCACGGCAGGGATCAGCTGGCATATTCCGTCTAGCTTCTGGGCCTTCGCTACCCCAGTCGGCAAGCCCGACATCGTAAGTGCAGCCTTCATCCGCCCTTGCAAGCACCATACTCACAATTCCCGCTGCCTTTTTGGCCTCCTGAGAACTGGCACTTCTCCTCATCCAAATCAATCTCGCTCTCCGTAACGCTGCCACGACTTCCCCTTTGCGGCTTAGCGTCTGACCCCGATGCAGTAATGAGCAAAGTATCATGGTCGCCGTTAGGAATTGGTGGTTCATGATAGAGGTTACACGCCAGCGCATCGTATGAAGTTGACCCCCGGGGCGTGTCTCCTCGTCTAGAACGTGCTGTACCTGCAGAGCGCCGAGCGAAGCATTGAGACAGGCGTCGCGTGAGTGAGCGACAGATACCTCATCTTTTGAGGGCGACTCTAAGTAAAGGAATCTACCATGAAGCATGACTCTCCCCTTGTAGATCATATGGCTGATAAATAACCGAGCCATGATGACCTGCGCTGAATCAGTGACGCTAGCCGCCATAGGCTTCATCTTCAGAGGAGTGGGGATATTTTCTGCCGCCTCTTGCAGTACGGCATCGACTCTCAGTACCTCCGCATAGGTGCAAGGCTTGATTGAGGATGTCAGATCTAGTATAGTGCCTAGAGTCATCAATATCCTTCTCCGAGCGATAATGCCTAGGGCCGCAGTGAATTCAGTCTCTGGCCGAGACGGCGGTAGCTCTGTAGTACCTTCATCGATGTCGGCATCGTTAAGGTTCCGAGGCTCGGCCGTGTCGCAGTCCCGGTCGGAGATCATGCGTGGCATGCCCATCTGACTTGATATGAGAATATCTCCCAGCAGAACAGTCGCCCAGAGCCTACGCCGCATTTCTCCCTGGAAGGGCGAAATGGAAGGAAAGTGACTGGGATCACGGTGGTAGCCCATGCGCATGGCCAAGTTGACCTCGAGCGCAAGTAGGAACCATACATCCTTATCGGCGTCAGATCGGATGGCGAATTCAACGTAAACGTAGTTGATGACGGTTTCCAAGACGTATGGCCCACAATTTGTATATTCGCCCATTATCAAGCACTGCACGACCCTTTCACGATATAGATCGATTTGCAGCCACTGCTGCTCCGCTTCGGTGCCGGGCATAGCATCAGCGTCGTCCGAGGCCAGGAGAGCGAGACACATCATGCTGAAGAGAAGGCCGATCCATACAATTGATACGCTACATGAGTCCGTCCAGAAGGCCGCATACTGCATCCTTCAGCATGCGCAAAAGAAATCATGACGGACTGAGGTATGTCACACGACTCTACTCACCTCTCGCAGAAAGCTAGGGCCATGAACAACGGCTATGGTCCAAGATGGCATAGTGTCAGCCACTCCAGCAAATGGCATTGAGCAGGAGAATGGCATTTGTACCAACATGAAGCAACCAAATCTACGCGGTTGAAGTAGCGTGAGATATAGCGATCTACTGCGTCCTTTGGCGGCAATGCGGCGAGAATTTCAGCCCGCGAAGTTGGCTGACGACATCCATACAGAAGCAGCGCATGACGCGGCGGTGGTCTTCCCCCACTCCCATTGTCGTTATCCAGATGTTTGTCAGGGGTATTGGCGAGCCTAAGATGCTCCTCCCGGTCGAAATGATCCCTCAGATCCGCGATGTTATCTAGAATCGCGGCCCAGTGGTCCACACCGACATAGCTGAGCTCTGAGGGACTAACGCGCATGCTTCCGCACTCAGAGCGTTCATCAACTAGCCTATCCCCTTTTGCCGTATCCGGTGGATCGGCGCGAGAGGAGTCGGATGTTGCTCCAGGGTGGGCCGTATTGATCGAGTTCGGTCTCAGATGCAAGACAAGGCGCTCAAGCTGCGCAAGGCGATCGTGCACACTCAGCGCCGGTGCATTGGCTGTCGGTCTCGGCAGGGAATTAGCTCTGTGATTGTCCGGATAGGTACATGGCTGGCCACGAGTCAAGCAAACAGAGCAGGGTTGCAGGCGATCACACCGCGATCTGAGGGCTGTCAGAGTTGCCAACTACAAGTAGGGGGCTCCCCGAGGGAGCGAACGCGGTCTCACTTGCGTCGTCGACAGTAATTACAAGACAGCTGCGGCTTGTCTCGGCGCCGGCTAACACTGGGCTGGGGGCTTGGAATAGCCTCACTCTCCGTTTGGCCCAAGGAGGGTGACGGAGCTGATGTTGGGAGTGGATGCGGAGCCGTTGACATGACGAAGGATGATGGAAGCTTCGCTGGCAGAGGACGTAAACAAGTTTCCCAAGATCTTTGCCTAGAAAGCGGATAAGGATAGAAGTAATGGATTGACGGAGTGAGAATTGCCGACGAGACGATGTCGTCGAGGCGAGAACAAAATGTGAGGATTAGTAATGGCCGAAGCCAATCAGAGCCCAGATATTTTCCATTTCCAACCCTACACAGCCCCTGCGATGACGGTCCGATCCGATCCTCCGACCGCCCGACCCTCCGCTCCGCGGCCCCACTATCGCGGACTGGTGCGGCATGGCGCAAGGTACTTTTATCTCGAGCTGTCTACAGGGCCGATGGATTTCATCTTGTCTTGCATTTGAAGTGTATGATGACAGGTGTAATCGATATCATTGAGGCGTTTACAACCCCTCTGTCCCGCTTGCAGGTGTGCAAACAAGGGCGGCTGGCCGGGGCTCTTCGCCAAGGACCCATCGATAATTATCCTCTCAAACAACCCCTGAAAACGGAATGCCATGTCAGTTATGCTTGGTGTATCCACGGCAATCCTTCCGGCCGAGGGTGAGGTCAGACGCCTATCTCCGCCTTCGCATTTCCGCCCTCGGTACCATGGATTTGGATTCTTAAACAGCTCGATGGCCTTCGTTTACGACTCTCCAATGCGAGCAACCAGTGTCTAGAAATCATTCAAAGGTAATCCTAACCAACAGTCATCGCAAATATCTACACAAGATTATGTCGCGGGAAAGTTCCAGCTCTGGCAAGCGGCCCAGGCAGCTCGAGGAAGAACCACAGAATGAGCGTGAGGTTAGAGTGCGCGGCATCTTGGACTGGGATGGACCCGACGACCCAGAAAACCCTCAAAACTGGCCTTTGCGCAAGAAGTGGTCACACATTATCGTGGTCGCCATCCTCGCTCTCGTCACGTAAGGCTTCCTTTGTCCGGTTCGACGTGAATTCTGTTTTGGGTAGCGCCTGCTAACATCAAACCTTCTGCCCACAAAAGGAACATGGGACCAACAATGTGTGCTCCGGGAATCGGTGGCCTGGCCACTGACTTCAATATCTCTTCACATCATGTCAGCACGCTAGCCATCACAATCTATGTCCTTGGCCTGGCCATCGGGCCAATGTTCATTGCCCCCATCAGCGAGGCCTACGGCCGTCTTTTTGTCTACCACACTGCGAGCCTGACTTTTGTAGCTTTCTTAGTTGGCAATGCGCTGAGCAAGAACATTAGCCAATTCATGGCCTTTCGGTTCCTCGCAGGTTGTGCCGGCGGCACGCCCATGGCTCTTGGCGGCGGGACAATAGCAGACATAACGACGCTAGAGAAGAGGGGGATTGCAATGGCCTTGTTTAGCCTAGGGCCGTTGACTGGACCGGTAAGTCTTATGCCCAGCCCTATTCTTCGTGTTATATTCATGCTAACTCGTGTGCACGATCTAGGTGCTCGGCCCTGTCATTGGGGGATTCATCGCGGACGAGATGGGGTGGCGCTGGACCTTCTGGATATTAACAATGTTGGGCGGGACCTCCGGCGCCACTGCTCTCGCCATTATGCGAGAAACACATCCCAACGTCCTGCTTCAACGTAAATCTGAGCGTCTTCGCAGAAACACGGTAGACCGGCATATTCTGCCGACGGCACCCTCCAAGTCTCTTGAACCCCGTCAAGTCCTCGTCAGGGCCTTGATCCGTCCCACCATGCTGCTTATTCGATCCCCTATCGTCCTCATCATGTCTCTGTACACGGCCTTCGTATTTGGACTCATGTATCTTCTCTTTACAACCTTTACTGAGGTGTTTGAGGGGCAGTATAGTTTCAGTACGTCCATGTCGGGGCTAATGTACCTCGGTCTTGGTGTTGCTCTCGTCTCAGCCATGCTTGCTTTTGGCGCTCTCGGTCACCGGGTGCAAACAGCTCGTATGCGGGCTGATCGTGTGGAGCAGCGACGGCCCGAATATCGCCTAGTGTTGATGATCTGGTTCAGTCCCCTGGTCGGTGTGGGCTTGTTTATCTACGGCTGGACTGTGTACTACAAAGTCCACTGGATTGTGCCCGCGATAGGTACAGTCTTTATCGGGTTTGGCGCTTTCTTTGTCATTGTAAGTTTCACTTGGTGATCTGCCATGCGTACGCAGAGGGTCACTTACCAGTCGCAGATGCCTACGCAACTATACCTCGTCGATCTGTTTGGTTCCGACAGTGCCGCGTCCGCCCTGGGAGCTAACAACCTCCTGAGATTCCTTTCAAGTACGTTCTTACCTCTGGCAGGACCGAGCATGTATGAGGCGCTTGGCTATGGCTGGGGTAACTCGCTGCTGGGTCTTCTTGCCATAAGCTTTGTTCCTGCTCCGATTTTATTCTATAGATATGGCGAATGGCTGCGCGCAAAAACGACAGTGGGGCTCTAGAGCGCATTGCATTGAGGTCTGGCTTGGACGTTCGCTCGAGCACCCCCGTAATCAATTAAACCTAGTGGAGGGAAATCGGCAGATATTGGATAGATCGAAGATGCTTTGCGGTACTCAACTATTTCCAAATTCCGCATTCGGAAATGACTGCGCACGCAGTACATCCAACTCCAACCAGTGGCGGGCGATATCGATGTATTTCAATGAGAGATGATTGGCAATCAAAAGCATCTCGCCTTGGTATAGCCACTGATACATCATGCTTCGATGTGCGTAGGCACTGGGCAGGCCACTTCCCTGTTCGCCTGCATGTAGAGGTTTAGAGTGCCCTGAGGTATTATTCCCCAGTGGGTATGCCCGGTTCCTCTTCCCCGGCCTCCAGAGCATTGCCTTGCGTTCGGGATCATGTACACCACTTGCCCAGACTACGTCAAAAACATCAATCATATTTATGAGAGAGCCCGAGTCCGGCAGGGAGGTACCGGCTTTGCTAGCCCAACTATTGACCGGTTCACATCATGCTGCCCATGTCCAACGCCAACCCGAGCCTTCCCCTGGTCGCCCTCTTAGACCCTGGTAGAAGAAATGGTTAACTTAACTTTGGGTATCTGTGGAGACAGTAGCTTAAGTTGGTTTGAGTTGAGCTGCGGCAAAGACCGATTGGCTGGTCATCATACGATCGCGCGATCTCCCGCCTGCCCCAGGCATTCATACTGCTGTGTTTTCAATATATTGGGCCACACAACATCACCCCCTCCTCTGCTTTGCATTTTGCTGCATCACCGAGAAAAATGGATTTCTGAACCCCAAATGCGTACCTCTGCTCTATTTGGAATATTGATTTGGGGGCCTAAGCACGCAACTCTATCGCTGTTTACCTGCCCCCGCTTCCCTCTTTTCGCTCTTTCTCGTTTTCGGTCTTTTTCATCGTCAGAGAATACAAGAGCCATTCTTCCTTATACGGGGCCCTTATATTTTCGTTCAGATGCATTTATATTATTTGGTAGTTTTGCTCTAGACATTTCAAATGGCGTCGTCAATTTCAGGACGAACACCAAGGGAGGACGTAACTAGTTATTATTACGTAGGCCGTGATATGGCCTCACTGTTCCCAACAAGGGAAAAGGAAAAGCAACTATGATGCCGCCGGCCGGCCTGTTGCCATTCCTTCGCGGTTCATCAGCGTAGCATGGCGCAAGAGACTCCGCGTGGTCAACGTTGTATGGCCGTATACCATAAGTAACTGGGCCTGCTTGTACCAAGTCCTACGAGCCAACTTCGATGGGTGGAAGTCGAAGGCCGTACCAGACCCTCCGGGACCGAGGGTCGGAGACGGCAAGACCGAATATTGGTCGGGGAGGCGAGTGATAAGCTTGAGTTACGACAATGAACAGGGGATTGTACATGTGCGGTTCGTGAACGTGGCGAGCGGTGAGGAAGGCAGCATCAACGTCGAGCTTGCCATCGCCGCCGATGGCGTGCACTCAACTGTCAGGAAGTTATTACTGGTACCGATGCGAGTGGATTATGCTGGGTAATCGCTTCGAGAGGGATTGTATCAGGGAAATTGGTGTCGAAGACTGGTATCGAGTATTTTTCGAACAGGCTTAATTTTATACCGATCAAGGGGTCATACTTCATAAGGTAGGGCCTCCTCCCCCTCTCTTCATCTTCATCACCGTCAACTACTAACTATAACTACTTACTATAAACAGCTACATCATCCTAACCGAGAGCGGCAATGTGGACCCAGGCCGGCGTCTCATCAACTGGGTCTGGTATTACCCCATGGCCGAGGACTCTGCCGAGATGATCGCCGCCTTTACCGACATACATGGCAAACTCCACTCAAACACAGTCCCCCCGGACTTGTCAACCCCGACGTGCGGGCTCGCCAAGCTGCCCGCTTTTTGTCACAAATGGCAGACCACCTCGCAGAGGTAGTCTCCGCGACGCCCAAGCCGTCCGTAACAAAGGTATTTGGGGCGCAGTGCAGCCAGCCAAGCCACTTTGATGGGCACGTAGTGCTGGTGGGAGACGTATTTACAAGATTTATCTCACTTGGGGATGGCCTCTGAGCAAGCAGCTCGACATTGCTGGCAGATGGGCAAAGTGTGGCAGGGCGGGATGACGCAAGAGGAACGAGATAGAGAGGCACTTCTGTACGCAAAGAGATTCATTTTTCTGAACAGGCTCGTTGCGTTGACCGGGCTAGGGCGAGTGTTGGCGCTTCTGAGGGCAGCATTAAGTTATGGACCGTTAATGCTGAGGATGAAGCTAGGCCGTGCTTAAAGAACAAAGAACGGCGATTTTTCGGTGCAGGACACCTTATTATCTACTGTCATTTCTATTCTTGAGGGAGGGATGTTCATCTTGGCATGTCAAGGGTAAGATATTCTCCCCGAGGAGATCCGAGGATCGATTATTAGCGGTCGGCTGAGACGCGGCACCTGATAACGCCAGATACTCATTGCAGAGAACAGAAATTTTGCTACAAACTGCGAAAATCCTTAGGTTATATATGATGCAAGAGTCGTCTCCTAATCGTTAACGTCTTAACAATGGGCACAAACGACAAAACATCAAATGACGAACCCATGTAGTCGGTGGAAGTTACGAATCAGAGTCTCGAGGCCGCGAAGAAAGGTGGCGAAATCGTCAAACCTCGAAGAGAGACAGAGGGCGGTGACTTACCAAATTCCAAGAGGTGACGGTGAACAGATCCTCAACGACCTGCATGGCCAAGGGAAAGAGGAGCACACATGGATGTTGATATCACCATCGAGGATTTCACTCATTATGTACTTCTAGATGGGACTGGCCAACTGATGCCACGAAGGGGCTCGTGTCCATTTTTGATATTTCCGGTTACTTCGACTAGACACTACCTGGTGCTAGTATCATGAGCTCTCATACATAGAGTTACTAAAGGGTGTTTACTTTTTGTTTTGGTTCTATGCCAGTTGAGAGGCCTGGAAAATGAAGGGACTGTGATCCATAGTAGAGTCTAAATTCGAGGAATTACTTTAGTAAATGTCATTATTCTTTTCGTCTTTCTCTCGTGAATCAATTTAAGCCACTCAATAACTACTCCTTGTCTTCGGATTTGTGTATTCAGCTGAAGTTTCTGTCCTAACAAGGAGGTATTAAACTACATGGGACATCAAGTAATCAATCTTCCATCAAGTGAAAGACGTCTCCTGGGGAAGGCAGGGGGCGGATAAAGACATTGCCGAAGAAGACCGCGATGTAACACTATGGCGTCCGCAGGATGCATGAGACAAATGATTGGTCAAATACGGAAGTATGCGTACACAGGTAGGGGAAACATCAATGCTACTTCTTGGGAATTTGCACCACATATTCCTGAACTTACCCCCCATAAGACCATAATTCGTGATTCCGGTGATTTGAGTCGGCTGTTTTGGAAGATGAGCTAACCCCGTGGAAAGCCCGATCTTAATTCCCGATATAGTGGTCGTTGCCAAGCCCCTCCTCGGAGATTGTGAATTACGACGTAGGTTGCGCTAGCCGAGATTAGCAGAGGCGGCCCACTGGTGCTAAGCGAGCTGGAAGTACATGAAGTAGTCGTAAGGTTTAGGTGAGAGGAAGTGTATCTTGGTCCCTGGACGAGGAAATCTGGGCAGAAATCAAGTTTCCCCTGGCCTTACTCCTTCTCTATCCCGGCACTACGAAGTACAAGGGTTCGATTCGACACGGGGGTATTTCAGTTCCATTGAACTTGTTCATTTGTTCGTTGAATAAGTTGAGGGGCAGTCAAGCACAGCAAAACATCATCCCTCCAATTGACGTAAGTCATGACGCTAGGGGAAAAGTGATCGAAGTCATTCCCTTCCCTCTGTATTGCCGCTATTGCTCAAAGGCGCCGAGCAGTGTGACTTTTGGTTCCACTCGACTCTAAAACGAGCCGAAGTTTCCATTGAACATCTCATTCGGCTCGCAGCCCGGAGCAAATCCTAGGTTAGCTAGGAACTGCGGGTCCGGTTCTATGTTATCCACATAGTCTAGCGATGAAAGTTCATCGAGTATGGCGTCATAGTCCACACTACATGCCCCCAGCCTCCCTAGATTCACCATGCCTTGGTCGTCATTGTTTAAATCGCCACCCAGAAGCGGATCTAATCTAACTGCGGCATCAGAACTAGTATCTGCTCGAGATTGAATGGCACCAGGTGCCACGGGGTTGTTGTTGTAGGGTGCTTTGGTATCTGAGAAATCCCCGGCGCGGATGTATTCGGGCATTCCTAGGCTATCGCCCGCGAACATCGGACCTGAAGCGGCCTGGTCTGGAGTTAGACCTTCCATTGCGGATCGCGGTGTCACACTTGGACCCTCAACTGAATGAGTATACCGACTACTTTCATGTCGACCTTTGAGAATGTTTAGAATCTCAAGCATCCGTATCTGCTCATCCGCTTTCAAACACTCAATGCGGTGATTTCCAATTGCAAGCTCCAGGTATAAAGTCAAAAGTATAGGTGAGCCATGTGCGCCTGCGCCCGAGACGCAATGGCTGGCGACGTCGATTAAACTTTCTATCAATCGCGGCATTGATATTGGCGAAATGAGAACTGACGCCGCCAAGAACGCGGCATGAACCAGAGATGCAGCGGGGGCTTTTGGTGTGAGATCTGCGTGGACGAGGGCGTTACAGAAATGGAATGGTGGATCAAGAGACCGGATTAGATCAGCGGGTCTGGATCCAGGAAGGGTTGAAGTTTCACCTGTTCGAGAGTATAGATGGTGGTTCAGAATTCGCAAAAATTTATATTGTTGAAATAATACCGCCAGTGGAGATGGTGATGAGATCGTCCCCAGGGGCTCTTGAGCGGCCGAAAAGAGTCTGAACTGTGGATGACTCGGGTGAAGTGTATTCGGAAGGTCTTCCGGTCTCAGATGAGACGGCTTTTCGAGTCTGAGAGAAACGAGGGTATCTAGTATAAAGCAGGCCATGAAAACAATGAGGTCTTGCTTGGCGAAAGTGGCTTCTTCGCGACTACATTGTCGTGGAAGCTGTAGATGTAGGAAAAGCCGAACAGCTTGGCCTACCAGCAGCCAGGCTGCGTTGAGTTCGTCGTGGGTGAGCTTAACCAAGGAGAGTAGGAGAAGGGAGCGCACGTGAGGTTCGACTAATCTTCCATCTTCTGGCGGGATGAGATGCCGCGCCGTGGAGTAAATGTGAGTATGTGTCTTCCACGATGCAGTATCACTTGGCCTCCCTACGTCGAATGGACTGCCCAGTTGCCTATCGGAAAACAGTGATTGTTGGCGGGAATCCAATGCAGCCCCGACGGCTAACGCACTCCATAGTTCGGAATGTGCACCGTATCCATGGCTTCTCGGATCAGGAAGCAACGCCATTGGGGAGTATGAGGCCATGACCTGCGCCAGGACTTCCTCTTCCAGAATTGGGAACCAGCTGTGGGAGTAATTGTGGTAGACGTCAAGGTAGTGTCGAAAATTAGGCGGTAATTCTAGAGACGCCAACGCGGCTCGATTCTGTAGCAAGTCCGGGGATGTGGCCAGCCATCTGTCCAATTCGCCATTGGCTTCCGCTCGAATGCCTGCTGGTAGTCCTCGATCAATTGATCGGGGAACAAACCCTGCAATATTATCGACTCGATCACCGCCGGCAGGGGGATCGCTTCGGGGTGTGCCTCCATCCTTTGAAATCAGGCGGTCGATGTTCTGATAGGCCTGGCTCTGGTGCCATCTCTTGAGCAGCGCCTCGGCCGCCGGGGAGTCCTTATCGAGAAAACAATCTCGGTATCCCTCTTCTTCCTGTCCGGCCAAAGCTACAAGCAGTACGTTTTCACATGCGGGAACGCACTCGAGCAGAAGGGCCAGGGCAACTTCGATGGCGCGCAAGTAGCCAGTCCTGATTCCTCTTCGCTTCTCGGGATTCAAATAGGTACATCGTCGCTGCATCGAGATGCACCGTTGACATTGTGGTTTTGCTCCATCGCATTTGTCTTTGGCGCTTCGGCAGGTGTCGCATGCCCGCGATACCCTCCGCCTCTTGGGTTGTATGATAGGATCCGAGCTGCGATCGCCCGTATCGGAGGCTGCTACGGACCGCTTCAAATTTTGTGGCATAATGGATATTTCCAGAGGTATCGGGCCATGGAAATAATCAGGAAGTTTCCTAGGTTAATGACTATGAAGTCATTAAGGGGCGTTCCCTTCACCGATAGAAGAAATCGATATGGTCCAGACGGCTGGGTCGACAGAGAAAGGCAGGACGGCAAACGACAGTGCTGCTGGTGAATTGCTCTCATTTTACTGTCTATGTTGTAAGATTTAATGCCAGGGAGCATGAGAACGCGAGGGGAAAGTTGGTGGACCGTTCCTACTCCCCACAGTCGGCTCCCCGCATGGACAGTGCGGTGTGTAGGGTATGGTTTGTGGGGGCGTGTGGAGGAGCCTGGGGAAACAACTTGCGAATAAGTCGTGACGAAGTATCCTGTCGGTCAGAGGATCGGAACCTTTCCTACTTCGGTAGTAGTGCTTGAAGCGGACCCAGAGCGGGGTTGAGGACCGGGGATGAGAGGCCCAACTTGAAGGCAATGATACTCTGAGGGTACTTGGCTGGTCTTTTGTCATTTCAAGATGTGACCCACTAGCGAGTTCCAGTGAAAAGTGAGGAGGATCGATTGCTGATTGTGGGGGGAAACCAGCAACGCTGAAGTCCCTACTGCAACCACCTTGCCTCCTCCATTTCTGACTGCGCTGCTGCCGATTGATGCACCAGGGGATCTGTCAGAAATTGTAGCCTCTTTTTGATGGACGAATTTCATCACTTTTATTGAGCTGCCCTTGTTGCTTTCCGCTTTCTCTGTCTCGGGATAGCGCCGGGGTGAACGGGACACCATCATCCAAACATTCGTGAGCTTGTGTATCCAGCGTCTCTCTCACCTGCGGAACTTGAAATGCCCAGTCAAGTTGACACGGTCGCGGGTGATCCCATCGTCGATCGACCCTGGCTGAACGGTTGGTTCTTCCCATTCTACCATCTCCATGATAAGACGATGTTCTAATCGGCAAAGGCAATGGTATCGATCGCGGAGCCACCGATCTTATCGGAGCGTCGGGTCCTCCAACTACGTGTCAATTCGCCCCCGACGCTTCCATTGTGCTGGTTGGCATTCGAGGCTCTGGCAAGTCCACGTTAGGCGTTATTGCCTGCGCTGCCATGGAACGTATGATGGTTGACCTGGAAAAAGTCTTTCAGCAGTCTGTCGGCTTGACTAGCGCCGAGTTTAGGAGACTCGAGGGACCTGCCAAATGCCAGACGGAACAGGCCAACGTTCTCAAGTCTGTGCTCGCTAACCACTCCACTGGCTGCGTGATCATTTGTTCCTGGCTGGAGCGAAACATCCTGACTCTCCTCCGCGACCTACGCGCCACGAGCCCAGTTATCCTCATCAGTAGAGATGCTGAGGCGGTCCAAGAGCACCTCAAAATTCTAGACAAGGCCAAGATGGCAAACCTTCTAAATGCTAGCGGAGCAGTCTTTCATACCTGTACAAATTTTCACTTCTTCAATGTTACCGAAAGCCCGACTCGACTCTCCACGCCCGAGCGTGATCAAGACGACTCTATAGCTTGCAGATCACTAGCACCGTATCTTACTCTGAAGCGGGCTGAAAGACACTTTCTGAAATTCCTATCCCTCCTTATGCCCCTCGAGTCCATACCTTTTATTGAGACGGCATTCCCACTCGCAAACATGCCTACGGAAGCGAGAGATTTCACGTATGCCGTGTCCATGCCCCTTTCCGCTCTGCTGAGCTCAGATATCGAGATTGAGGAAATCGAGACCGGCGCGGACGCAATCGAGATTGTCGTTGATGATCTCTGGCCGCAGGGGGGTAGCAACAATAGCCCGACGTCAGAGACGCCCCATGCCCGCAACTCCGGGATCAGCTTCGATCGGGCCAGAGAAATCGCAAGAGTTGTTGGAAACATTCGCCGCAATACCGTGTTGCCTATTGTCTTTCATGTTTTAGCACCAAGGAATGTCCACGCAGACACCGGCTGGCAGCTTCTATATATGAGTGCTGTTGGCCATGGTCTCCGACTAGCAGCGGAATTTGTAACCGTCGATCTGCGACTTGGGGATGACGATATTTCCCGTATCATCTCTACCCAACATCGGAGCAAGATCATAGCCAACCTTGAATCCACCACCGGCGAAGATTCCTGGGAGTCACCCATCTGGATATCTCGGTATCAGCGCGCCAAAAGCTTGGGATGCGACCTCGTGCGGTTTGTACGTCCGGCTGCGAGCATGCAGGATAACTTTTCTGTGGACTGTCTACGCTTCTCCGTTAAGAGGCTCCGAGATTTGCCTATACCAGTGATTGCCTATAATTCTGGTCTCCTAGGCCGGCATTCTGCATGCTTTAATCCTATTTTAACCTCAGTCGCGCCAAAACCCTCATCAACCCTTCACACCACCGCGCGAACTCCAGACTTCCCGTGCATTACAGCGATAGAGGCTACCAAGGCACTGTACTCATCCTTTGTCTTCGACCCTATGAAGCTTTACGTCTTCGGCGTTAACGTCGATTACAGTCTTTCGCCAGCAATGCACAATGCCGCCCTCGAAAGTTGCGGGATTCCGTATAACTATTCCCCTTATTCGGCAGACTCTATCCAGAAACTTGCCCCTCTCATTAAGGATCCTTCCTTTGCGGGTGCGTCAGTTGGACTTCCTTTTAAGGTGGATATTATTCAACTCACCGATTCTCTCAGCCCCCATGCCAAAGCTCTCGGGGCTGTTAACACCTTGATTCCGGTCCGCCGCCTTAATTCCGACGGAACCGTTCCAGACGTCAATGTACTAAGTCGAGAGTCCAACAGAGTAGGCCCAGTTATGGCGCTGTTCGGGGAGAATACCGACTGGATCGGTATCAGAGCGTGTGTCCGTAGGGGTCTGTCGCCGGCCAACGCTGTGCGATCCACGTCAACTGCCGTCGTAGTTGGGGCTGGAGGCATGGCGAGGGCTGCTGTTTATGCCTTACTTCAACTCGGCGTGAGGAATATCGTCATTTACAACCGCACTCCAGAGAGAGCACACGATCTCGTGAGTCACTTCACCACTCTGCTCAATGAAGTTGGCCTACCTCGTCTCGGACCAGGACATAATAGCACCAAAAAGGCTGCGAACTTTCACGTCCTAGAGGATAAAAATGGGCCTTGGCCGGGTTCGTTTAATCCGCCAACGATGATCCTTTCTTGCATACCCACCCATAACATTGGAGATCTACCCTCGCCTGACTTTACCGCCCCTCAGAGTTGGCTGACGAGCCCCACTGGCGGAGTGGTCATCGAGCTGGGATATAAGACCCTCGACACCCCGTTATTGGAGCAGACGAGACAACATTCGCACAGAGGCTGGGTCGCGATGGATGGCCTTGACCTCCTCCCGGAACAAGGTTTTGCTCAGTTTGAACTGTTTACAGGGAGGAGGGCTCCCCGACGATTGATGCGGAGGGCAGCCCTTCGAGCGTATCCCATCCTGGAGGGCGAACCTCTCTTTCATGAGATACAGTCCAGGATTAGGACCATAGCGGATCAGGAGCCATAAGGCTGGGGGCCTCCGGAGGGAGACGGACGTAGTTTTTGCTGTGCATGTGTGTTTGTATATCTATTTTTCGCAATGGGTCGGTTCTCCGGCGCAGATGAGCCCAGTCTCCTCCCCAAAAAGAGAGGGCAAAAAATATAAACGATAAGAGTGAGATTCACACTCACGCCCCCGAAGGGATTGGCTCACTACTGGTAGCAGGCTGACGCTTTAACCACTCAGCCATCTTGCCCCGCTTGTTGTGAGAAGTTTCTAAACACCGGTCGGTTTGGTTCATGCTGCTTGGCCTGATTTCATGGAATGCTGGTTGCTTAGGATAAAATAAGGTAGTATTTTTCTTGGAGGACAGATTGGGGGACCATTGCCTAGGCTTGCATCCCTAAACTTGGTCACTCTCCCCGAAACCAGTCCACGAGAGCTCAACGTCAGGCGACAGGGCGGGCTTGTAGGCGCTATGTAGAACGAGGAGTTGACTGGCGAAGGCGACTTTGGCATTGATGTCAATGCCTTCTCCCCAGAGGGTTTCATTTACTTCAATGTTGTTACATTTCTGAAGCGAGCCAGCTTTAATAGAGTTTTGCTGCAATATTGGCCTTAATCACACTTCAGGCAGGACGAAGAAAGCTTCATTTCCATATTCTTAGTAAGCAGGCCGAAGGCTTGACGGACTCTGTTGGTGATATCGTTGCTTAATTGGGAAGAAGAAGGTTTCTTCCTGGGAACAGTGTTCCCAAACTATCTAGCGTCTCGGCAAAGGTTCGGTAGAACTCAAGGGGCCAACCAGCCAATCAGGGCTTGGTTCCCACAGACTCCATCATTGGCCATTCACAGTGGATGATGATGCCTTGGATTGAAGGCCATTCGATTTCCCCCCGCCTATGAAATCCTAATAGTGTTGGTTCGTAGTTTACAACGTCACTGGTTGTGAGTGACTTGTGTCATCTCTTCCCCACCTCTTTCCCCCTCGCCATCATCAATCAACACCCTGGTCCCAGCTCGAGCCTCGTCCTTAGCCTCCAGGGAAACGGAGGAAAGAAATCAAAGCCTGAACCGAGTATGGACACCTTCGATACTATGTCTACGGCCTCCACCGCCGAGGGGCGTCTTACGCCAACCCACACAGTCGCCACGGAAGATTATGATCCTCGCAAACTAGTAGAATCAATTCCGGCCCCAGGCTGCACCTTTATAATTCGTCACCGCGAGACGGGTAGAATAATTGCTCTCGTGGATGGCGAGCTGCGACTCTGCGATGGCAATGGGATGCGCGATGGGTTTTACTGGCGCTGTGTGCGAAAAGACGGCTGGTTGGGGTTCCGCAACTCCGTTTCCGGAACGTACATTGGACGGTACGACGAGAGCAAGAGGTATGTTGCGAACGCGAAGAAGCATTTAGGCCACGAGTACTTCAACTTGTTGCCCAATCGGAAAGGCGGGTACGAATTTTTGACAAGGCACGGCGATAAGCAATGGAGCATGGCGGTTGCGGAGGACGGAGCGACATTGATTGAGGTCAAAGGGGAAGGGGAAGGGGCCTTGTGGGACTTTCTTGAGCCATATTGAAGGAAAGGCGCTGTCAGCCGTCCATTCTCTCTGAGGATGGTCCATCATCCACCTCCTGCGTTGCTCGGGTTTCCTCGGCGCCAAATTCGGAGTTAAATGAGGCTAGACTAGACTCTGTCTGCTTCAAACACCAAATTCCAGGAGTTGGCTTCACTTTAGTGAATATAGTGTAAGGGAGAGGGAAGCGAAGAGGTATGTGGATAGGATAAAGAGGAAGTGGCACCTCCTGTAGCTGATGAGGACTCGAGGGATTCTGTAGCCGACACGTGTATGGCCAAATGTAAAGGATTTCTCTCAGTGGACAGACAACCAATGGGTAATCTTCTCCTAAGAATCTTAGTCTGACTGAGCGGAAGCTAAGGTCAACAATCCACGAGGGTTGCGGCAACTTCAAGTATGTCTGAGCAGAGCATTCCTAGATTGTGGGCTGAGTCCTTTACAAAGATAGGAACATTAAAGAATTGGGTACCGGGCCTGTCAATTTGCCATCTCTAGGTGGCCTGTCGACGGGGTCGGGAGATTCTTGGCCCGCCTGTAGCGCCAACCCCGAGCGCGAGCGCGGTCGTGAGGATGAACAGACTACAAACCGGTGGATCTTGGAGATAAAACGTATTAATTTCGAGATGTGTGGGTTTGAAGTTCGGCCCTAGGGCATACATCTAGCATTCACCAAGGAAAGAGGCGCATCGGGTACTCTCATTGCACCCTAGAATTCGTGGGCTCAAAATCGAAAAGTTTCCGGCGGTCGGGTGGGGTCTAATCAAGCTTCGCATCTTCCGATTCCCACGGATCCTCGGCCGCGTGGGGTACTACTTAACGATGCAGCCATATTTGACCAGATGGAACTAATCCAATATCCAGTGCATCCCATTCGTTCATGGTGTAGTCTAGACTGGGATCTACAGGCGTAGCAGTCCCAGTTATCGCAGTTTCTCACGATTCTTGCGTGCTAAGCGGATAAATCCGTGGACCATCAGAGACATCAAGGTTACTGGGACCCTGACGGCCCAATGCAGGGGAGACACCTTGATAGCCTCAACGGCACCTGTCACATATTGATGCATAATCCGGCGAACATGAGTGGACAATGGACTTGGTTTGTGAAGGCTGGCTGTTCGGAGGTCTGGCATGTACTTTCAAACATGGACCGGAGTGGTCAGCATGCTCGTCGGTGTATAAGGTCGAGGTAGCAGGGTATATAATTCAAGCCATGCCCTTGTAACACTGTTAAACGCTCACCCTTGTGGCTATTATTATCCTTGCCATTGTAATCACACCATTCGAGTCGATATCCACGACCTGTTCTGCCAGAGAAACTCAAATCCAATGGTTCGCAAAACCAGGACCAAGAGCCGCGCGGCGCAAAGGCAGCCTACTAGGCCGCTCCCAGTCACCCTCCTCTCTGGATTCCTGGTACGTTCTCGCAAAAATCTCGCGCAGCCAACAATTTTTCTAACGTGACTTGGGCGTAGGGTAGTGGGAAGACCACACTACTTCAACACATCCTCCAGAGTGATCATGGCCTTCGAATCGCGGTTATTGTGAACGACATTGGAGCGTCAGTCTAAGCTTTCGTGTTTCTCTTCCTCTTCCTCTCCCTTTTCTTTTGTCCCTTAACAGGTGGGAGGGATTAAATGTACTAATATACTTTAACAGTATCAACGTTGACGCTTCACTCATCAAACAGACCCATCGACTCACCAAGACGGAAGAAAAGGTTATTGCCCTACAGAACGGATGTATCTGTTGTACTCTCCGGGGTGACTTGCTCGAAGAGCTGGTCCGCCTTTCTGAATTGCAAGAGTACGACTACATCATCATCGAGAGTAGCGGTATCAGCGAGCCTGAACAGGTCGCCGAGACTTTTGACCGCCGTCTTGCCGAGCAGATGGATGCGATGGCTGACGGTGGTGCCGAACTCGATGCTGATATGCTCAAGGTCCTTAAGCAACTGTAAGTTAACACCTCTTATGTTCATCTTATGCTTTGAGTAGCGTATATGCTAAAACGTTATCGAAATGTAGAAAAAGAGCCGGCGGTCTCGACAAGTTTGCCCGTCTCGACACTACAGCTACTGTCATTGACGCTTTCACAATTTTCAATGACTTTGACACAGACGACCTCCTCTCTTCACGCCGGGATGACGTAACACCCGAAGACGAAAGAACCGTATCGGACCTCATGGTTGACCAAATCGAATTTGCAGACGTCATTGTTCTGAACAAGGTTGACATGGTTTGTGCCGCCCTACCATGAAGGAGCCGAACTTCTACGGCCTAAAACTTACTAGAGCGTTATCTAGGTTGATAAAAAGACCAAAGCTCGCATCATCGAGTTGATTACGAAGCTGAATCACCGGGCGAAAATTCTAGAGGCGTCGTTTGGAAAAATCGATGTCAAGGAGATTGTCAACACGGGAATGTTTGACATGGCTCGAGCTCAGACTGGATACGGCTGGCTTCAGGACCTTCACGCAATGACCTTAAGAGAAGTGAGCATTCCCCATCTTCCACCTTCTCCTAATCTCAGCTGACTTCTTTCTTTCTCCTGTTAGGTCAATGGCCGAAATGTCCTTACTCCCAAACCAGAGACCGAGGAATACAATGTCCGCAACTTCATCTACGCCCGGAGGCGGCCTTTCCACCCCTACCGCCTCTTCAAATTACTGCATGACAAGTTCATCCTTCAACTTCAACATCCGGATGATGAGGAGGAGGGCGATGCGGAAGAAGGAGAGGACGATGATGATGACGTTGACATGAGCATGGACGACGACGATCAAAAACCACAAGATACCTCGGACAAGTCATCATCCTCTCGAAGCCCATCCATCCAGTCAACAACAATAACAGTCCCATCACCCTCCGCTTCTCTACGGGGGTCCAAAGATGAAGTTGACATCGAAATGGTTGACGATTTGGTCCCGCCTGCCAATGAAGTTATCCTCGCCAACAAGAGAGCTGATCCCCTCTTCGCTCGCCTCTTCAGATCCAAGGGTGAATTTTTGCTAGCAACGAGACCACACCGCGCTGGCGAATGGTCTCAGGCCGGCGGCATGCTGACCCTCTCCGGAGGTCGCCCTTGGTTCTGCACCTTGCCTCAAGAGGAGTACATGACTGGAGATCCCGAAGTCGACGCTCTTGTGCAATATGACATGCGCAACGGCGGCGAGTGGGGTGATCGTCGGCAAGAGCTAGTCTTCATCGGTGAGGCTCTCAATGTTAAGGGCTTGGAGAAGGCGCTTGACGAATGCCTTCTCACGGACGAGGAGTTTGCCCGCTGGGAGAATGCCATGCGCTATGACGATAACAGCCTGAGCGACAAGCTGGATAGATTGGCTGATCTGTTTGACGATGGTTTTCCGGACTGGCCGGATGAAGCGGAGGAGGAACACGATCACGCCCCGGATGAACAATGTGTCGTACACCCAGTCGGAAGGCGGTAAATACAGTTTAGACAGTTTAAAAACAAATAAAAATAAAAAGAATGCAATGCCGTTAAAAATTCAGACTGGACTGACAGTCGCTCATTTGTGGATCCTGTGAATAGGAAACCCCTCACAACCCATGACCCGCCAACTATTCGATAGCGTTTACGAGGTGGCAGAAGCAGTCGACCTTTTCGCTTCACTTCTCAAGCTCCTTGCCAGTTCCACCGCCACTGGGTCGGAAAACACCTTATCGTACAAAGCTTCCAAGTCTTGTTCTCCTCGGAGCAATGCACGTCCCTCCACTCTCGCTCTTTCCCATTCGGCTTCCCCTGCACTATCGTCGAGAATTCGGTCAACACAGTCGTTCAGACTATTTGCGACATCGGTTCCCAGTCGCTCTCGTACAGTAGTCGGGAAATTCCTCAGGGCCAAGAGGGGGCTGACGCCAGCTTGTGCTGATAAGATCGACATGACGAAAGCACCTTGTTCCGGAGTCGGTATGACACCGGATTGGATGCCGGCAGCTGAGAGAAGAGCGCTGATGTTTTGGACGATCGCCGCAGGAGTGTCCTGCTCCGACTGCTGGTCATTCGGATTGGTTGGTTGATTGGAGTCAGGCATAATTTTTGATTGCCAATGTCGTTGTGTTTAGATTCTAGATGGCGTCTGTAAGGTTGCATAGAGTTGAAGAAGAACCTTGCCTTTCTCCCTTGGACACCCACGGTAAATGCGAACCATCCTTTATCAACAAACTCCGTTCGGGCGATTTCGGGTTCCTGGGCGTTGTGATTCGTCTTCTAGTTTTCGGTGATTGCAAGTTGGTGGCACAGCATGAACACGTCTTATTGTCACATTGTCACATTCTGTGCCACCCAACTCTCAAGCAAGATTGGTCTCCCCCGGCATCCAAGAAGTTCCAGCACTGCTGCCTAAATGACCGGATTGCGGTATCGGATCACTCATAGTGACCAATGAACTGGACCATCGTTACATGCCTCCGTCCCCCCAAGTATGTGACCAGCTTGCCTCTCCCTTACCGTCATCAATGAACCAACGGGCTCCTTTACTTCTAGCTCGACACTCACTAACATAGACGGTGCCGTTTCCTCCTGCATTTGAAATTACCCATATCCAAGAAGAGGGAGTCTCATGACCGAGGCATGGCACTTCGCGTCGCCCGAGATGCTGAGGCGCTTGAGAAATCTCTCATCACTCACAGCGGTTTGTTATGCCAAGATTTAAGCCACCCGTCTTCTTGAACATCAATATCAATCAATATGTCGTCCGTTAGCTTCCCTGATCTGCACCTCAATGAATCCGTACGGGAAATCGAGGGAAGTTCGTGGCTAATCTCAAATACCCTTCTTCATACACATTCGTCGTCGGCAACACCCAACAAGATTACAACCAACACAACATGCTGGAGCGACAGCAATGGGGGACATTTCGCACTTTCCACTGCCCCTGAGCCCCTTCCAGATTCCAAACCACTCACGGAAAACTCATCTCCCATCCCGAGAGTCCACGCAATTGACAAACAGGCGGCTGTTTGGCGGGCAGGCGAAGCGTTCATCAAAGCGCATCGCATAGACTATCCCGATGTGACCCGAGAGCATATTACTCTCCAGTTTCTCAAAGACCAAAAGCCCCTAGGTTTTGATTTTCCGTACGTATTACATCATTTTGAGATTGGCTCGCTGTATTTCCTCGTCGTCTTGAGGGTTCCCGGACGGCTCCTTAACGAGGCCTGGCCCAACCTGGATGAGACTACACGCCAGTATTACATCAAGACGGTGGCAGATATTTGTGGTCACTTGGCAAACTGGAAGGGTGACGTCGTCAGCGGTGTCGACGGGCATCAGCTACTTGAGCGCCTTCTTATCAAAGGAAATAGCAAGACGCCCGATGCTCTTTCACCACATCAGCTCCTAATGAACTGTACCGAGATGTCTATGGATCTCTCTAATCTTGCCCTATATGACTGTGATCTTAGCCCCACAAACCTCATTGTAAATCCCTTAACAGGTTCGCTGGGAATAATCGACTGGGAGCTTGCTGGCTATGTGCCTGTCGAATGGGTGAGAAGAAAGTTTCGACTCTCGGCAAGAATGGATCTCACTCATGGGGATGAAGTCTCGAAAAGTGACTGGGGTCGTAGGGTCGCCCAGCATTTTACATAGAAAAGATGGGTTTCAGTGATGTTGTGGCTGCATGGTGGGAGTTTCAGGATGTACGTAGGGAACATTGCGTCTACTCTTGGCTCCGCTTCTCTAGACCCCCAAATTCAGGGCTGCATATGCACCAGAACAACTAGAGCTCCCCTTGGCAGCGTACTGGATTTATTGAATGGCAGTTTACATTTGGGAAAAAGCTATTTAATGCCATGTACGCAATAAATTGTTAATGCCATATATTACGCTTGGAGCTTACCAAAGGGGCCAAAGAAAAAAAAAAAAAAAAAAAAAAAAAAAAAAAACCACGACGTGTACTTTTGAGGGAAACTGGTACAGATCCAGTAAAAGAATAAAAAAACGTAAAACCAACGACCTATCACCGTCTTAAAGTTTTTAGGGGCTTCCAATATTTACGACAACCATGAAGTAAGACCTAAAGTTGGCACGCAGGCCCCGGTGTTTCTGAGGTGAGCGTACCTGTTGCTGAGGTCAAACTGATGAATCGACGGAGATGGCCATGCCAGCCATGTCGTGTATAGCACGGCGACCGCAACCGGGGTGATTGCTTAAGGTGATGGTTGCTATTTAGCAGACGGCGATCCTTTCAGACCGTTAGCTGCATAAACTTACGGCGGATAAGGACACCTTACTCAATGATATTTAGGGGGATGGAGAAGTCCAAAGTGATATAACCGGGGAAAACAAATGCGGAAGATAGGGTGTTGAGGATGTAGAGAGGGCAGGTCCAGCAAGAGTTTCAAGTGGTCAGAGTAGCGTCCTCCAAGCAAACTCTCACTCTCACTTGGGGCCCAGACGTCGGCCCCGGAGTTGATATTGACATGCCGAATTAGTCATGCTCTGGATGCTCAGCGCCAGTTCCAATTTGCTTGTCCCATAGCGCCTTATACTTCCCAGCTCTTGCTAGGAGCTGGGTATGGGTTCCGCTCTCCACTACACGACCCTCGTCCAACACCAAGATACGATCCGCACCAACGACGGTCGACAGCCTGTGCGCAATCACAAAAGTCGTGCGCCTCCTCGTTCCTTTGAACGCCTCGAGCGCTTGCTGGATATTCGACTCCGTATTCGTGTCCACGGCGCTCGTCGCCTCGTCCAGAACTAGGATAGATGGATCCCTGAGGACCACACGTGCAATGGCCAGCCTTTGTACCTCACCGCCCGAGAGTTTAACGCCATTCTCACCGACGCGCGTATCATAGCCATCAGGGAAACCAATGATCTTGTCGTGGATGGCGGCAACGCGACAAGCTTCAGAAATCTCGTCGTCGGTAGCAGATAGTTTGGCGTAGCGTAGGTTCTCCCGTATTGTGGCGTTGAAGAGCAACGGATCCTGAGGGACAACGCCTATAACGTCACGCAGCGAAGAAAGGGTTACGTCGCGAATGTCGTTTCCGTCAATCTCGATGGATCCACTCGCCACATCGTAGAAGCGCAGGAGGAGCTTCGTAATGGTGGATTTACCTGCGCCAGTGGCTCCGACGAAGGCCACAGTCTCTCCAGGCGCGGCGGAGAAGGTGAGGTCACTAACAGCAGTTTTCTGGGGGTTGTACGCGAAGAAAACGTTGTCGAACGTGACATGGCCCGCAACAGCACCTATGCTGTGCGCGTCGGGTCGGTCGGTGATGGTAGGGTTCGTCTGGAGGAGGGCAAGTAGTCTTTCGGCATCAATGAGGTAGGACATGACAGCCCGGTACTCGTGCATCAGAAACTTGAGCGGCCAAATGAGGTAGCCCCAGTAGTCTATGAAGAAGACGAAGTCTCCAGGGGATGCCTCGCTTCTCATTACGCGACGCGCAATCATGCAGGCGATGATGACAAAGGTGAAGGGTTCAATCAGCTCCACCGCACCCTGGAGACATGTCACACGGACTGACAACTTTCGGTCAGCTTCCAGTTTCGCATCCACTGCCTGCCCGAATCGATGTCGCTCGTAGCCGAAGGAATTGAAATACGAAACTGTCATCCACCCCTGAATCCCTTGGTGCATGACACGGGCCTCCTCCCTCGACGCCTTCATGTACCGTCGGCGTGGTTCAATTTTCCAGCGAGTCGTCAAGATTTCGAACATCAAAAATGCTGCAAAGGCTGTCATCATAGTGAGCGATACGGATGAGTCGAATCTCGAGTAGAGGATACCGAAGGAGATAATCAGGTCGAATAAAGTAGGCAACATCTCGTTCACAGCCGTATCGAGCAGGTTCATCAGAGCGCCGCCCTGCTCGACGGACTTCATCACTTCGGTCGAATCCCGCTCCGTGTGAAAGTCCATTGACAGGTTCATGACATGGGCAAAGGCGGCGTTCGTGACTTGGCGCTCAGAGAACTGCCTGATGGGAATCTTTGCGAGGTCTTGGATCATATCGAGACCGGATACGCCGTGAGCGATGTTGAGAACGAGCCAAACAAGTAGCTCCCGATAGGGGGGTTCGCTGCCACCCTCGACGATCTTGTCGGTGATAATTCCAAGCTGAGTGGGAGTCATGACGTTGAGAACACGTCCTCCAGCTAAAGCAAGGATGCAAACAACAATGCATAGCTGAACCTGGACATTTCTCCGGGGCCAGATATATGGGAGGAAGATAGAGAAGTCCTTGAGATACCCCCACCATCCACCAGTTTCTTTGAGTCGCTGGGCTCGGCGCTCCTTCACCGACGCTGCGTCGTCGTCAGAATCGGAATCGGAATCATGCTTATCATCGATGCCGAGTGCAGAACCGGCCCCGGAACCATTATTTGAGTCGACTTCCGGGGAGGCCTTTGGTATTCCCTGAAAGGACGAAATGCCGTAAATATCGGGAGATTGACGAGTTCCACTGTTCGGTTGTAGTAAGGGATCGCTCTCGACAGGGGAATGAGGGCGGCTTTGACCCATGATTTCAGTTTCGCAAGCTCCGGCCGGGAAAGTAATTATTTCAGGAGGTAAGGTGCTTTCACATGCAATCCTGTTAACGGCTGGGAAAGGCACGGGGATATTTATCTGCACCTAGCAACCCAGTATCGAGAAAAAAAAAATCTAGGTGGTGGCTCAAATGCGACGCCAAACTTCAGGAAGGAATTGGGGTGTGCTGGACAGACCGGGAGACCAGGAAGCGGGTAGTTAAATGGGCTGCGAGAGTGACGGTCTTCGTATTCCCTCTGTGTCACGTACCTCGAGTGGAATTACGACAGCTTTGACTCCCATCGGTGAGTTAGTGCTTATGGTCATGCAACGTCGGACTGCCAATCAGTCGATCCATTTCTCGCTTCTGGGGTGCCTGAGGAATTGCTGCCTAAATCAAGATGACAGAAAGACTCACAAGTTACCCAGCAACAGTCATACTTATTGCATCTTTTTCAATTGGCTTCGCTGAGCCGCACCAACTCCGAGTCACACTTCAAGGAGAGCGATATTACGCACCAGTGGGCAAGTGAGACTCTTGTTGGAAAAGATCCTGGTTTTAACGAGCCGGGAACATATGACTGGTCCAGTCGCTTTCCGTGATATTCAAATTCCGAGGGGTTCTTGCTGCCACGGGGCCCTCCATCAGGCTTCTGAGGACCGCAAACGGCATTGGAAATAGGTTAGACGTGGGAGGTTCGCCCTTGGGCAAGCAGATCTCCGACCGAAGGCACCCGCAGCCGGTGAAACCCCATGTGTTCTTGTCCAAGGTCTCACATCGCTGACCATGAGGTAATTCGCATCGGGTAAGTCCCAAACTTTTCCGGCGAGCCTTTCTACGAAGGGCACAGCGCTGTACTTGTCCACAGCGCGACCCAACAAGTAGACCCGGATGGACTTGCGGACCTTTGCGAACAAAAAAGCGGTCTCGCAAGTTTTTCTGTAGCATCCAAGTGTTCCTAGAAGATCTCGAGCGTCAATGCAATGTCATTGACGCTGCCATTGGCTTGGATGCTGCCGTCGAGGAGAGTATGTTACCTAGGCTGCAAACTAAATAATGTTGAATAACCCTCACCTGTCTAGTGTGCACTCTCATCAAATGAAGTCTCAAACTTGGCCCAGTTTCTGTTGGCAGACTATCCAGACTTGTGCATGTTGCTCTTCCTCACATTGCCCTGACTGGCTAATCTATCAAACTTAACCCGGTGCCAGTCCCGCCCCTACCCATCGCCAGGCCAGCCCACCTTCATCTTCCTAGCCAGCTTACTGTGGTTAAAATGATCTTCGGGATCGGAATTGGAGTCGGGTTCAGGGTTCTCGGCAGGTCCTGAGCGCAGCAACGTCTTCGCTGTCGCCCTTGCGGATTCCCCTTTTTTTTTTTTTTTTTTTTTTTGCGTTTGTCCCCGCGGCGGTAGTTGGTAGCAGATGTGTTAGCCATGGGGACGGGGGCGTTGACAAGATCATTCTCAGGATAGCCGAAATGGGGGATATTGCGAAGTAGGTCAATAACCGTGTCGCTCCGCTTGAGGTCGGTCAAGGTCTCCTGGGGTGATCGAAGGCCAGCTACTAGCGGAAGCCTGTAGGACAGTGGCATTCCAGAAGACGCGGTGACAGAAGTTGCAGTAGTCCGACAAAAGACGGCCGAGTTCGCCTCGATCGTACGCCATAATAGGAACTGGTGGCTATCGTAGATAGAGGTGTTTGAAAGATGATCGAAGGGCCTGAGTGAGGTGGGACACTGATGGTGACGAGAGGCGAGGGGCTCGAATAAGTTCTTCGATGATGTCTGTGTTCCACCCCTGTTAAGAGAAGGGGAACAAGTGGGGCGTGAGATTTAATTTCATCGGGTTAATATCCTGTGACAATGGCCGGCGATCGTCGAACACCGTCTGGAAGCTATGTTATAAGAGAACAGAACCTGGTGACGATAACCCGGTTCGGCGTTCAAGGACAGACACACATGCAAAGTCTTTTACACTCGAAGTGAAGCCGGAGGGACCCTTCTTAACCAGGGGCAATTCCTTGTATGCTGTGTTAAGATTTAGTTGAATTACGGTGCTCTTCTTTCATTCGCTCTAGGGCAGGGAGATCAGTCTTGAGGCTCAATCTGGACTCGTTACTTATGCGTTATGCATGTGCATTCCAATAACTCAAAACGAAACATGGAAGTAACATTCTTAAGTCGCCAGAATCCGCGCGGCGACTACGATCCCCTTGGCCGTCCTTTTCACCCACTCCCTTGCGACGCTCAGGTCCCCGCCTACAGCATACTGCACCCCCTCCGTGATCCCCGGAAACGTCACTGCTGCATACCCCGTATCCAACCCCGGAGCGGTCACAACATGTCTGTAAAACTCGCGACTCGGCAATCCTCCCTGCGAGACGAAGCCTCTCTGGAAATCACGATACCTGTGGTTCACAACCGTCTTCAGCTCCTCGTCCCCAGTCTCGACAGCTTGACGCTCGAGCGCCTTAACCGTGTCGGCGCTGCGCTTGAACAGCTCGATAGCCGTATCCAGCTCGGAGAGGTCGACATCTGCATTTTCCTCCGCCAAAAACTCGACGAGGTCGTCGTAGTACGCACGTAGCTCAACGGCATAGTTCTGAACGTCGATAGGTAGGATGTCGTCGGATGCAAGATGATAAGCCAGCAGCGCGAGAAATTGACCCTGCGCTGCATGTACATGGAACCCTGGGTCCCCCCACGTCGCCATCCAATGGTACGTATCGTAGTTGGAGTGATAGTGCCAGATGGGATCCTTGGGGCCCCCGTAGCTGCTGATGTCGAGCGATCCAACGCCGCGATGCAGAAAGCCCGTGAAGTCCGACCCGGAGCCAAGAATTCCAATGACGCCACCGGAAATATCGTACCACGAATCGTAGAGCGAGATGTTATACGCTCCGAAGTTCGGGTGGATGACCTTTTTGAACGTGTCTAGCGCCACGCCGTGAAGCTCTGGTGTCGCGGAGAGGCCTTGATGAGGGCCGGCTACCGCTACGTCAACGTTAAGATAGGCAACAGCTGTCTCGGTGAGCCAGTTAGTATGCTCCTCGACCCACTCGACAGAGCCGATGAGACCCCACTCCTCGGCGTCCCATGACGCTAGCACGATGTTGCGCTTTGGCTGCCAGCCGGTAGCGCGCAGCTTGTTTATGGCGCGCGTGAATTCGACGAGCACGGCGGAGCCAGAGTTGGGATCTGCGTTGCCACCGATCATCCACGTGTCACGGTGGTTGCCGATGACGATGGTCTCGTCGGCGTTGGTGCCGTTGATCCAGCCAATGACGTTATGAATGGGAGCAATCGCATCACGCGACTTGACGTCCAAAGTAAGCTTCGCTCCCGGCGCTGGGCCAGTGAAATACCTCGCGTCCAACCCTCCAATCCAACCAGTACGGTTCACGGCTTCCCCGGATACCCCGTGGCCATTGAGCGCTTGCAGGAGAGGCTCAGCAGCCTCGTACGAGAGAGGCAGCGACGGGATTTGCGGAAGGACATTCGATGAGTCAGCCCGAGGTGCACCCTCATGAGAGGGATATCCTGGTGTCGTGGGATCGCCAGGGGACGTCGACAGGAAGAGCGTCGAGCCCTTTTGCACTGATGAAGGGTTGCGTGCCGGGCCATCGGGGTAGGCCGCGTAACCATTCGCGGTGGTGATCTCGCCATCGTCAATGGGGTCTATGAAGATGACGGCCGCGATGGCGCCAAAGTCCTGGGCGTTTTTGACTTTGAGGCCGCGAAACAGGCCACCGTAGCGGATGAGGGCTATTTTGCCCTTTATTTTCACACCCTTGTCTACGACAGCTTGAAAGTCGGCGATAGAGCCGCGGCTGATGCTCTGTTAGCGTGCGAGGCTAATTTGGTGCTCGAAAGAGGGAAAACAACAAAGAAAAGCTCACCCGACGTATACGTATTCCGCCTCAGCCCGTCCGCTCGGCGAATACCCCAACCACGTCTGCTGCGAAATCTCATCCCACCCCGTCACTTCATCCTCCTCCAGGACGTCCTCCCGAAGCTTAACCTCCTCCGTCTCACCATCGGCGCTGGTAAAGTGCAGCGACGCGCTGACGGGATAACGTAAGTAGACATGGTACTCTTTTAGCTCGCTTACGACGCCGTTCTCTGCCCACCGGTCCGCAGTCCACTGGGCTGCTTCCCTGCCGAAGCCAGCGAGCTTGTTCTGCCTGCCGTAGTAGTACGACCACGCATCAATGGAGACATTGTCGAAGCAGTTAACGAGGATGGTCTCGTGTTCGGTCAGAACGGGTGGCCAGGCGTCGTTACGTTTTGCCAAACGTTTACGGTGAGTGTGGGGGGACGAGATGAAGTCACGCTGACAGGCAGTGGCGCATGCGGCGAGGGCGACAAGGATAATGGGGCGCATTGCTGTGGTGATGCGCATAAAGGCTGCGTGGGCTAAACATTGGGAGAGGCGGCCGATAGAAGAAGGGATGGAGATGGTCTTATAATATACCTGAATCGAGCTGTCCGGTTCCCGACTGTGTACTTTGCTCTGGATCTTGCAAGACGCGACCTTCCTAATGCGTTAAACCCGTCGTGCGTACCCAGTCGAAATAAGGCCTGGCTTGAAATCACAAAGGATCAGAAAACGAGATACGCTGGGAGGAGCCAATCGGCTTCATAATTTTCAAGGCTCATCCCGTGGGGTAAGGGCATCTTGGCAGCGTCGGACAGGAGCCTCTCATCGCGTCATTTTGCACTCTTGGCGTCCGGCCGATGAATACTCCTTGGCTCCGGCGGTGTGCCCCGGAAACTAATTCGTAAGCGGGGAATGGCACGCAATCCTGGGGTCGGAGTTCATCATTGCAGTAGATGCAATGCACTTGATGATCCGATTTGAAAATCGCATCCGCTGTCTCCTCACATAAGTCCACAACCCCCACGCCTCTGGGCCGACGTGTCCGATTCTAACTCTTCCCGGTTATTCTCTCTAGCTATCACCACATCCACAAGCATAATACTGCTCAATGGAATATAGACACCAGTTTGAAAACTGGGGGTATAGTTGACTTCGACTGCAAACCGAGGCCATGATTTACTGGTAACACCCAATTGTTGTCCATTCGCACTCGGGCGAAATGAGAACTCCGGGAGCCGCCTCCGGTCCTGCATGACCTATCACATGCATAGCGTTTAGTACTCCCTGATGACCGATCACAGCCAGCTATTGTTTATTACCACAGGGTCCGAACCGTGACTGTGATGGTGAGTATACTTTAAATTACAGCTGAAGCGGACACATTCCGAGCGTCCTGATGGGAAGTACATTGCATTAATAGAGCACGTTGGCAACGAAGATGGTAATATCATATCATGGAGCGTATTACACTTATCCTGTCCGACAGGTTAAATTCTCCATCCAGTAGCAGCACCGATATCAAAGAGGAACTCCGCATTTTCCATGTCCTCATTTTTAACCCTGTTTAACCAAACCTCGGTCGACTTGGAATGGGGGGTCCCATCAGTCTTGGCTAAGGTTTTTGAGAGCTGCTGGCGGAGGAGTTCCATCCACTCCGCATATGAGACGCAGGTGATTTCCATTCTCTCTTGACAGGTTTGTAGTTCCGACCATGATCATATACGACGTGGAGCATTCGCTTCATGGACGTCTGCTCTCTCATTTCTTTGTTCAGGTTATCTCCGGAGAGGAGTGGTGCAGTTGAAGCACACCATTGATGATTATCATCCAGCAAGCGGCCGCCTTCACCAGTATCTAGGCCTATTACATCCATTCAAAATAAACGAGTCCGGGAATCAGCTCTGTCCAGTAATGCGAAGAATGAGCCCCATGATCGCCAAGGACAGCCTGAAGAAGAAATATCTCAGTCCAGTACTGTGGAACGAAGAGACCCGCGAGTGAGCTGTGTCGAGAGCCTTCTTCGCCCTCGGTACACTAATCTTGTCATACGCGAGGAGCGCTTCTTCGAGGTTCTGCGCCTGGCAGAGCTGCTCCGCCAAATCCCAGCCATCTTTCAGTGCCAGGCTAGCTCCATACCCAGCAAAGGGACTGACGGCATGATTCGCATCGCCAAGAAACACAACAGGCCCACTGGTAGATATATCGTGGCTAAAGGGCTGTTTGTCCTTGGCGGGCTGCGCAAAAACTGTATCGATCTCTGTGGCTCGAACAATAGTTGGAAAGGGTTCAGTGAACATATGACCCAGCTTCAGTGACTCCTCGATAACCTCTCGACGCTGTTCATCCGAAGACTTGTCGTTAACGGGGACGCGCTCATCCTCGACGCGGCTCAGTGCCCAGACGAGGGAATTCTGGTCCACCGGCGAGATGAAGCACGCGACTCCTTGGCCGGACATAGCCATTCCCCAGTTCTGATCGACGGGGGACGGCAATCCCTCTTCGAACCTCGCAGACCCTCCCATCTGAACGGCGCCTAGATAGTGTAGAACATCATTCGGCCGAAGCGACATCCTCAGACGACTATTGGCTCCATCCGCGGCAATAAGCAGGTCGCATTCTTCCTCAGCCGTCTCTTTGGGGTCCTGTCGCTCAATGGTAACCGCCATTTTCCCGTTGTCGAGCCTCCGCGCAGACTTGCACGCAGCGCCCCATGTGACAGAGCTTTCTCCCGCGTCAATTAACACTTTCCGTAGGTCTTTGCGCGCGATGCGGATACCGGACGATGGGAGACCCTTGGCGGGCTTGAACCGAACACTCATGATTTGCGAGAAGTTGCTATCCCACACCTTAAAACCTCCCGTCCCGTCAAGTCCCATGATGACATGGGGAAGGATTTCATCGAGAAGGCCCAGCTGCCTGAGAGCGTAAAGACCACCAGTCTCGTCGTATCCTGCGAGGGATAAGGAGAACCCCTGCCGGGAGATGGCAGTGTCTTTCGCGTCCCGCTCGTAGATTATCACCTCGGGAAATTGGAGGGTTGAATCCCACTGTTTGCGTAGGCCGGTGACGAAAGCAAGACCAGCCATTCCGGCGCCGGCTACAATGATTTTCTTGCTTTCGAGGAAATGGCTACGGGTTTCTGCCATGTTGAGATTGCCGATGCAGAAGCGGTGGCTGGAAAGAAGTCAAGATCCGCAATGGAGTATTGTGTTGAAGTTAGGAGTTCAAGGACGGCGTGCACATTATATATGCCCTGAGCCTACTATGCTCTAACCCTACGGGCGGTGTCAACTGAGTCCTGATTCCAGTCGTGGCGTGATGGAGACTGGGGATGATAATACGTAATAATACTTCATGGAGGGAACGAATGTACCATGCACATTCTTGCATCTACTCATCGCTTGAAACAAACACTGCGAGCTGACGTCAGCCTCACTCGGGTTGAGTCGTTGAATACGATAATATATTCTTATGAACCCACCCACACGCTTTAGTGTTGGGTAAGTGGTAGGCAAGTGAGCTGCATAATCTAGCAATTCCCATGGGTAGTGTGACCCATATTCTTAATTCAACGTCCTTGGACTAGAATTTGCGAGCCATGCGGAACGCGTAAAGTACACTGCGATGACGACCACCAATTCGTGAACAATGACGCTGGCATTCTTTCCCAGACGGGGTTAACATGCTTCGGATTGCAGTCACAGTGCAGAAAGTCCAAGATTGTCCCGCACCATCCAGCCACAGACATTAGGTGTAGTTGTGGAAGCCAGTTCGAGTCCTAAGTCTATCGAAACTACCGCGCCGAGGCTTGGAGCATCGTCCGGAATGATGACATCTCGTTTTCCCATTTGAGTGCACCATCTCAGGAACAATTCATATCGCCTCTTCCTCGTCCCTATCGCGGCCGCAGCAGTCTCGTGTTCTCTCCTTTAGAACGGAACTTAAAGGGGATTACTACATCATCACATGTATTCAAGGATCACGTAATGCACTCTCGCGCGGAAAGGGCGTTCAAGTTGTTAGGCGGCATCTGTGGGCAGCTAAGTATCCGAGGTATACAATGGTCTCCAGTCCTTTGCTGCACCTCTAAATCCAGGTCCAGAAGTCCATAGCGAATTTGTAACTTTTGAAGTTTTGGTCCTCGACACCATCCGTGCAAGTACTTCTACTCCTAGTTGAATAAAATTCGGTATTATTCAATAAACCTTGATTAATTCAGTATCCAATATCTCAAGCTGCACCATAATAAGATAGATCAGTGCAGCCCTGACTAAAACATCACATAAAAGAAAGGGAAGCAGGGAAGGAAATAAGGACGGAAGCTAGAAATAAGAAGGGGAACTTGGAATGGGAAGGGAAACTAGGAAGCGATAGTGAAGGACAAGAGCTTGTACAAATAAGCAGTGGGCTTGTCGAGACTTCACAAGTGGCAAGGCATACTTAATGGAAATGAGGAAGAGAATTTTTTTCCCTTGTAGCACATAGTCCCCTATCATAGTAGTTATTTGAGAAATGTTATTTTATTGAAGTATAAAACTTGCTAAGAAATCTGTTGGGATTGGGGTGGTTCTAGTAAAAACTGGAGAGGTCGAGGACTAAAAACTTCAGAAGTTGCAAATTCGCTCCGGACTTGGGTATCCAGGCCCTTAACATACCCCCTACGCTTCTGGTGGGCAGCTTTGCTCCCAGGAGGGCTGCTAGAGACCACGGGTAATGAGCTCCTATTTCCTTTCTCCCGTTGTATGTTGTCAGGCGACACGTCTAGCTAGCAAGAGCAAGGATGGACCTTGGCGACTGGTCACCGAAGAGCGGCGAGTGCCCGGTTTGGTGGTCTGGAATGCGGGTTGGTTGTTTAAGGAAACGCGGGGGCGAAACTCACTCTGTCAGAGGCGGCTACAAGCCATGCTTCTGGGCAGGTAGTCCTAGACATGAACTCGAACCTTAGGCTGAGGGAATCAATAGACTCGTTCCACTCCAAGTTCCTTCTAGTAGCTGATCGGGGAAATCTAACAATCTTCCGCAGCTCAAATAGGTGTCTGTCTATCCCCCTTCTCCTCATTTTACATTCATGCCTGTTATTGATAGCTAACTAGAAAGTTAGCATATTTCCAAAATTGACAGCTATGGGAAAATGAATGAAGTGAAGAGGGGGCGCTGGCCGGAAATCAGGATGAAGGCACAAAATAACAAGTTTATGAATGATAATTGTAAAAAGATGCAAAAAGACATACAACACCGGGGATTCGCTGGTCGTCACCGACCCAACTACTAATCCGGCGCTTCGCAGCTTATGTACAGGGGAGCGGACGGGACCCTCAGTTCTCTGCGAGCTATGGTCGTATGTGGTTAAACGAAGAGAGGAATGGGTTTATAACTGTAGCTGATCCCGGAGCCTCCGATCCACCAACCGTTCATGGGAAATCTCTGGGCTTGATTACGATTTTAAGAACAAGCAAAATGTCAAGCTCCGAGAAGTGGACTCGTTGGGTTGGCCAGGGGTGCAGGTTGTCGAGTCCTAATTGATTGAGGATATCTCTCTTAGAAAGGAAACAGCCCGAGGAGCGAGAAGGCGATTGTGTATAACTCGCTCAGGTATGATGCTGCTGCTACATCGCATTAGGCTACGAAGTAGTATACTACACTGGACGGACTCCGGTGAATTCGTCAGCATCAGGTATTCGGCTGTAAACTTAGTCGGATCTTTTCTTCCATCCACAACCAGGGGCTTCCTAGCGGGGGCAGGCGCACGTTTCAAGGTCTGGGCGGCGCTGGATTCTGCCCACGTTACTACGTCTCGTGCGGGGCAGAGGACAACCGTTCGGACCTATGACCTATCCTGGGATCACCAACGCCATGTGAGGCGACAACTTGACCAGTCAACATGCCCGCCCAGTCTCACACACCAACAGACTGTTTGTTCAATTCGGGCCTACGCCGGAACCCTGTCACTTATAGGCGGCGAGTGATTTACAACTACCGATTTCGCTCCCCCTTGCTTTACGAAACATCATCGGAACGGATAACCATGAAATCTCCCAGTATTTGGTCAGTGCTCTCCGAGTACTCCACGCGGCTAATCAAGGCATCGATTTTCTTCTCGTAACCGACTCGAATAAGACCGAAAGCAGCGAGTCTTCTCAAACCTAATTGGGCTCCTATAGATTTTGTGATTGGTACCGAAGAATGGAGTAAGGCCGAATGAGATCCCAACTACTGCAGTTACGCACGATTCTCACAGCAATACCGTGCTTTATCTCGGGCATATAGTCAGTGCCAACGGAATGCTTTCATGTCGGGGGTTTTTATTGACTGGACGTATTGTATGACCGGCAGTTGGTCAACCTAGCAATACGCTCTAGACTTCTCGTTTATAAAGTCTAAAAAGCGGAGCGTCGGGTTGTCTTGATATTTTCTCATGGGCATCACTCAACTCTTAGTGCCTCCGCACATTGTAGCATGATGGCTCCGGAGGTCCTCCTCGTGCTCTGGCTCTGGATTGCAGCAGCGGCAGCTTTGAACGCTTCCGAGTGGGCCAAGCAATCTATCTACCAAGTTTTGACTGACCGCTTCGCGAGGACCGACGGCTCAACAAGCGCCTCTTGCCAACGAGCTGAATACTGCGGGGGGACATGGCGAGGATTAATAAACAACCTGGACTATATCCAGGGCATGGGATTTACAGCTGTATGAGTGGACTCCTTACCCACCTACACTGAGATCTGTTCATTTCTCACGAGTCTAGATCTGGATCTCACCTATCGTTGCTCAGATTGACGCGGCTGGTAGTCCAGATGGGTAAGTCTGCAGGGTTCTTATCCGCGAATGTTCTCGTTTCTCATTCCGACTTCCGTTCTTAGAGACAGCTATCATGGTTTCTGGGCAAAAGACTTCAACGCTTTGAATAGTCGCTTTGGGATATCCAGTGACTTGAGGGATCTAAGCAATGCTTTACACGCTCGTGGAATGGTAAGGCTTGTACAAAGGTCCATTGGTATTCATGTTGAATTGGCTAATTAGGTTCTATTCGCAGTACCTCATGGTCGATATCGTGACCAACCACATGGCCTACGCTGGTTGCATGACTTGCGTCAACTATGGTACCCTCAGCCCCTTTAGCTCTCAGTCCGATTATCACTCTCCGTGTTCAATCGACTACTCCAGCCAGACGTCCATCGAGCAATGCTGGCAAGGAAGTAATAACGTGGCCCTGGCAGACTTGAGGACGGAGGACGCCCATATACGCTCATACTTCAACCAGTGGATTGCCAACTTGGTCTCCACTTACGGTATTGACGGTCTTCGAATCGACAGTGCGAAACATCAGGAGACGTCCTTTTGGCCGGCATTCGAGAATAGCGCTGGGGTTTTTATGATAGGAGAGGTGTACGAGGGAGATCCGAATAAATTCCTCCCGTACCTCAACGTCTTTCCCGGCCTGCTGAATTACCCAGTTTGGTACTGGGTGCAACGAGCGTTCCAAAGCACTACCGCCACCATGACTGAACTCGTCAACGGTCTGAACACCATGAAGAGCGGAACCTCCCAGACGAATTACCTAGGCTCCTTTCTGGAGAACCACGACCAGGGGCGTATGCCATCATGGAGTTCACAATCCAGCGACGTTGCGTTGATAAAGAATGCTCTTGCCTTTACGATGCTAGCCGATGGGATTCCAGTCATCTATCAGGGGCAGGAACAGAAGCTTGCTGGTGGAAATATCCCCGACAACCGAGAGGCTCTTTGGCTCACGGGCTTCAATAGGCAGAGCGACTTGTATAAGTGGATCTCCTCGTTAAATATTTTCCGCCGCACCGTCATTGCGCAGGATCAGAGATACACGCAGCACCAAGCTATTCCCTGGCAAATAGACAGCCACACCCTCGGTCTGCGAAAAGGGTTCGACGGCTCTCAGGTCATCAGCGTCATTAACAACATCGGCTCTTCGGGTGGTGCTTATTCCGTCTCTTTGTCCTCCACCTCGACGGGATTTACCCCCAATCTGGAAATTGTTGATGTGGTGGCGTGTTCGCTTCATACAACGAGCTCAGCTGGTGCGTTGAGCTTCACAATGAGCTCCCTGCCTCGAATTTTCTACCGCAGGGTCGCATTGGCTGGGACTGGGATTTGCCCAGCGCTAACTGGAGACGTAACGACGACTACCCCGACCGCTACGTCTGTCTCGTCTTCGTCCAGTGCTGGATGCGCTATCCCTACATCCGTTGCTGTGACGTTTACCGTGAGAGTGACGACCCAATTTGGCCAGACAATCAAAATGTAAGTCTCAACATGCCACTCATCGGTATCGGAATTGTAATTCTATAAAATTAACTGAAATCAGCGTCGGGAATCACAGCACGCTTGGCGACTGGGATACCAATAAGGCCGTCTCCTTAAGCGCATCCCAGTACACGAGCAGCAATCCGATTTGGGTAGGAACGGTGAACATTCCAGCCGGGGCTAGCATTCAATACAAGTTCATCAACGTGGCGAGCGATGGTGGTGTCTCCTGGGAGTCGGACCCAAATCGGTCGTTTGCGGTTCCTGCGGCTTGTGGTGCGACGACAGCGGCAGTAGAGGGTAGTTGGCGATAGAAACCGACCGAGTCTTACCCACCGTCCTTCGGAGAACCGAAGGACCAAGCAAACGACAGAAGAAGAAACAGAACGCCAAGCTAGAATCGACTCCAGAACTTAAAGGAAGGGTTCGCTGTCAGGACTTTGATCGACGATGAATTTATGATGGACTTCGTGCAGTAGTTATAACGTGTCTGAGGGGTGCTTGAATCTGAAAATTATCGAGACGGAACGGGTAACGATTCTCACACAGACCTGCGAAAGTGATGTCCGCACATTAAGACTACTATCATCGACAGTCTTTGCGTAGATAACGGTGTCCCTTCACCAACACTACCTTTGGAACACTTTGAGTATCGACGATGAGAGCAGGCTTGGCACTAAGATATAAATGATTAGAGCTAGATAACCCCCAAATCACGCACGAATAACAGTAAATGAGGCTCATATGTGGAACTATATAATCACCGGCTAGAAATAGCAATCACCGGGTCCCGCTTCGCGATCTGGCTAATAGTGAAAGGGACCAACCGGCAGATGTTGCACGATTAAACAAGCCGCAGTTCGTTTAATACCTTATACCCGATGGAGCTTCTTCCCAAGCTCCGTCCCTTTAATAACGGAAATGATGTTTCCATCGTCCTTCGACCGATGCGATCAGAAAAAAATCGAAAATTATCTGCCCGCTCTAATGCAGGCGGCCCCATCAGTCGAGGATTCGACATCTGTATCCCATTGCATCTAGTCCTGTCGCTCTAGCAAATTGAGATGGGCGTTCCAGCACTTGGAATTCGTTGGGACTGCAGCTGCTCATAGCCAGCCGGAGTTAGGCAACCACAAGAGAGTGAGCTAGGACGTAGATCCTGCCCAATCCTAGGACCGAGGCTGGATCCCCCTCCACTTCCAATACCAGATGCGCTTGCTCCAAACACGGGGCACCGAGAACTCCGCACTCCGAATGTGGAAGGCGACGGGCCCGCTGTCAGGGCGGTCTATATTTTCTTCCCTAGCCCTGGCTCCAAGTCGAGATTAGCCGGGGCTGTTATTATTGAAGGACCGCTGAAGCGTCGTGTGGCTACGCAATCTGGGTTCGATTCTATATTTCAACTAATGAAGCATCTTCCTTCTTCGATTTCTTCCCGCCGTGCGGGGAAGATGCCATTGCCCATATATGACAGCGATGTAAATGGGTCCGTCTTTGTGTGGCGGGATCCTGAGCGGAATTTAACTGCGACGTTTCCCACACCTGCGCTGCCCTGCTAATAATTTGGTCTCTCAACCACACCTTTCGCCCGTCTAGTAACTGCTTCGTTTTTTTCTTGCTGCGAGACCGACATCCAAGATGGTGAACATTGGGACCCTCTTGGGCGCTCTGCCCTTCGTCCTCACGACCTCCGCCGCATCAATCGCGGCCCGCCAGGGAGCTGCCGCCTCCCAGGTCGTGAACATCGCTTCTCTCGAGAACATTGCCGTGCGACCCAACGGCCAGATCCTCGTGACGAACATGAACAGTGCCAACCTTTACGCGGTCGACCCCGTCGCGAAGACATCCACCACCGCCGTCGCGGTTACCGGCGCCAGAGGACTGAGCGGCGTCCGAGAAGTTACTCCCGACGTCTTTGCCGTGATTGGTGACAAGAGCATTTACAAGGTTGATTTCACCGGAGCTGCGCCCGCGGTGACCCTCGTCAAGGCCATCTCGGAGGCCAGCAACCTCAACGGCCTGTCTTCTTTCGACGACGACAGCGTGCTTGTGGCCGATGCCGGAAAGGGCAACGTCTACCGATTCAGCATTTCCACCGGCGAGTACTCCGTCGTCCTCGAAGACCCGACCATGGCTCCCTCGGGAGGTATCCCCTTCGGCATCGATGGGATTCTCCACGTCAACGGCACTGTCTGGTATACCAACATTTTCAAGAACAGCTTCCACAAGGTCGAGGTTGACGAGAACGGCAAGGCCAAGGGTTCTGTCACTACCCTTTGGACGAATTTGATGGGTGACGATCTCTGCGTCGGACCCAACGGCAAGATTTACGTCGCGACGAATAGCCCCAACACCGTTGTCGAGGTCGATCCCGCTGCTCCCACCCCCAAGGTTGTCGGACAGGTTCGGGGATCAACTGCTTGCGCATTTGGTCGTGGAGAGAGTGATGCGAATACGTTGTACGTCTCGGGCGCCCAGGGTGTTTTCGCAGTAAACATTGCCGCTTAAGCGGGAGTGTAAACATGGAGTCTAGCGGGGGAAGAATAAGATGGCGGATCTAAACACTTCGATCTCGTATATATTTGCAGCCTTCGTTCTACCTCGATCTCTGTGTTTTGAGTACATATGAATTTTTGAAAATGGACAAGCAATTTGTGCCGTACAGACATGTGACACGAAAGAAGAGAGACTGAGATATGGAAACGGGAACCCCGAGGCTATTGTTCTAGGCTTGACCAGGAAATCGGGCACCTGCGGGGAACAGATATGCCTCCACTGAGGCCAGAAAGCGAATCGTGAGAACCTTGACCAGCAGAGGGGGGTTTCACGCCCTTCGTTTGATGGACCTGGGTAGCATCGGGCATCAGATTGGTGAGTTGCCGGGCAGCATAATGCAATGCACAATGCGGTGTGCAGGAGGAACTTTAAAAGCTAGTGCAGGGTGGTGACAAATAGCAGTAGCGAACTGACAGCTGCCGTGATGCGGAGAAACGCGGGCAAGTAGCTCCGTCTTACTCTTACGTATGGAGGGAGCAGCCTAACCTTGAAATGGAAGCGTCTACTAATTCTCCTCTCGTGCTATGGGACCCCGCAGATCTTCAGGATCTTCGGCTAGATCATAGCGATAGGGCAAGTGGTGGTATAAAGCAGAACCTGATCCCCTCAATGAAACTCGAAACGTTATTTCGCTGGCCCTGGCTCGACGTCCTACTTCCGGCCACAAGCAGCAACAACACCGAATAACTGAGATTGCAACCAAACATGCCCGGCGACACTGTTGAATTAGTGGCGCAATGCCTCTGCAAAGCCCACAAGTATACCGCTTCGGTGCCAGCATCCTCTCTTCCTCTCAGTGTGACCTGCTGTCACTGCGACTCGTGCAGGCACGCAACAGGAGCCATGTACCTGCCTGACACGGCCTGGCCGAACAAGGAAGAAGACCTTTCCGCTCTGGAAAAGTACTCATTCTCTCCGAATATCGACGAATTCTTCTGCAAGTCCTGCGGCACTCGCATGTTTGATCGGGGGACAAAGCCAGGATCTGCGCCGGCTGTAATCACCGGCGTGCTCCAGAATGAGCCGAACCTTCTTCGCTATGAAAAGCATATTTTTGTAGCGGATACCCGAGACGGCGGGGCGTCAATGTGGCTTCGCAAAAGCCACCCCGAAGGCAACGCCGTCAAGCGGTTCACGCGCCGGGACGCTCCGGGCAACGAGCTGCCGACGGATTGGCCATCCGATTTCGAGCTCCCGGATGCTACAGCCACGGCAGGACCAGAATTCACACCACTCTACTGTCATTGTCGGGGTGTCAACCTTCTTTTAAAGGGTGCGGCCGACTTGGCGGGTCCTCCACCACAGAAGGTTCCTTTCTACGTCGATCCCAAGTCTTACAAATACCTGGCAAGCTTTGACGCCTGCGATTCATGCCGCATCTCTATCGGAGCAGACATGACGCTCTGGACTTTTGCATCCCTCACCCATATTGGCTTCCCGGCTGCCGAGCAGGCCTCCACAACCTCTAAGTCTTTCGAAAGTCTCCCGCAAACGACTTTTGACCTGAAAGCGGCCGTCGCCTCTGAGACCCGCGATCCACGGCTAGGAACCCTCGAGTTCTATCAGAGCTCTCCAGACGTGGAACGGTACTTTTGTTCAAGGTGTGCTGCGACGGTCTTTTATGCCGTGCACGAGCGACCTAATATTGTTGACATCGCTATCGGGCTTCTTGATCACCCGAGCGGTTCGAGAGCTGAGGGCCTTCTTCACTGGAGTCTTGGTACAGCAGGGCACTTGGATGACGTCGAAGGTGGGTGGAGGGAGCACTTCTTCAACGGCGTCAAGGAAGAGGCCGAACAATGGAGGATTGAGCGGGGCTACCCAAAGACGGCGCGAAGGATCAAACTTGAGAGTGGAGATACAAGCATGTAGGGCATGCGGGCGCGAGCGTTTTCTCGGATCGTGTCCCCCTCACGAAAGCCTCATTTGCCCCTTATGGTGATAAGTATTTTGAGAGACTAATATACGCATTTCCTAACTGAGTATGACATGGCGTTGGCGAGGGTCCTGCCAGAGCCAGGCCAGTCTTGATTGAAAAAGAGGTGAAACTAACCCAGGCAAAAACCACTGCAAGAACAAGCAAATATCAAGCATCCCAATAGCCCAATCAAGCACTCCATTTCACTCTCGACTCTTTAAAGATACTAACCATGCCCATCGGCAACAGACCAGGCTCAACAATGTTCAGCCCGCCGAAGCGAGCGAATATCTCCTGGCCATACATCATCATCACCCATCGCCAGTAGGGCATCTCCGGGTTGAAGGATGCCATAGCTTTCGCCGGATCCGTCGGCACTTGCCTCAACCGATTTGTCGCCATCTGATTCACAATCGCACTGATCTCTGGGGACTGCTCGAGGTCGATGCTCTGCTCTGTGGGCTTCCTCATCAATGTCTCGAAAGCATCCTTAACCTGGTGCCCGTGGTAGAAGTTGAACTCCTCTCTATACTGGACATACTCGTCGAAAGTAAGGAATTTGTCGCTGCCGAGACCGGGGGATTGAATCATTCCGGAGTGAGTCGTTGACATGCGTTGACTCGATGCGACAAAGGCTTGCCAGGCAAGATTGTAGGCGTCACGCTCGGACTTTTCAATAGCGGCGAAAGTCTCCTTTGTTGACTTGAGGACATCGTTCCGAATTTGTAAAAGTGTGATGAACGGGGACTTGAGGTCTAGGCCGCCGAGCTCAGACGGGAAGTAGAGGAATCCGTCCGGTATGTTTTTGGCCCCGAATCGTTCATAGAGTATCTTTTTCAGGTAGTCCGCGACGCTAGCTGGAGCTTCGCTACCGCCCTCTGGGGTCATCGTGGAAAAGATTTTCTTCTGGATGCGTTTATGGGTCTCAAGCATCTCGTCAACGTGGCTGCGACCGAAACAATTGGCGGGAATTCCAAAGTTTGACGAGAAAAACGTCGCCGCATAGCTATTCCAGGTCTGGATGAACGAGAAGACACTCTTTTTCTTATCCAGTTGTTTCCTGAGCTCTTCAATGTGTGTGTCGACCAAGCCCTGGTCAATCTCGAAGCGACCGGTCTGGGGAGAGAGGACCAGGAAACCCCAGCGAATGCTGCCAGTGGGGAGCGACTCGTCTACTGAAAGCGTGACATCTGGGTCGTTCGAAATGCGAACGGCTCCGGTTTTCCCGGCATCAATGGAGACTCCGGTCACGGCCGTGAATTTCTTGAGCGTCTTCCAAGCCTGAACGGCAGTGCCATGATCGTAAGACCAGAACCACATGTCGTCATGGACTCTCCACAAGGCACTTCCTGAGGTCGATTGGTTCACAGCGAAATCAAGACCGAAAAGCACAGCCTCGCTGAACATGTCGGACAGAGAGTGTGATGCAGGGGCACCGCGCCGTCGATCCCTGGTAGGTGTTCCAGGTTCAGCATCCATCCATTTCAGTGGTGCTTTCAAAAACTTTGAGAAGAATGAGAGCCACTTCGGCGATACGCCCCAAAACTCGAGAGCTGACAAGACAGTCTCGTGGGGGAGGAGCGAGTTCCAACGGTCGAACACGCAGTGGAAGGCTGTCAACTCCCCATGGAACTTTGTATTCAGGGCGATTTCTGTGGACAGCAGGTGAAGAACCCCTTGCTTAAGTGCGAAGGGTTTCTTAACTGGCTTGTGGTCATCGGAATCGTCGGGCGGGAGTGAGTCCACCATCCAGTCATCGCGGCTGGGGGCAGGAGGGTAACTTGGTGCAGCTGTGCGTAGGTGGTATGACTGCATATTTGCGCCCATCGCGGAACGTGGCTGCGCTGCCTGTGTCGGCATTTGCATGTTCTGCTGTTGTTGGACCATCATGGCCTGTTGCCCTGCCATCATTGCTCGCTGCGCTGCGCCCTGCTGCGCCACCAATCTCGCCTGAAATTGCTCGGGGACATGGCGACCGTAATCAACTTCTTCCTCCCCCTCGGCACCGCCTCTCTGTTGGCGCTCGTGGCCAAGGAGATTGGACACAAAATACCCCTTCCCATAGATACGTTGCCGCTTATTTCGTAGCGAATCCGATGCACTAATTCGGTCGCCAAGATAATACTTGAGATCACGCTTCTTCTCCGGAGGGACGTCCTGCCCCATCAATTTCCAAGCGCCGGCGGACATGCGGAAAGCGCGGAAGGCTCGTTTGAAGAAAACCGACCACTTTACGCCGATGAGTTGAAGGAAGATGGCTTGCAGTATATCCTCATGCATGTGAATGTTGTATACGCCGCTGATTTTTCTCTCCTGCTCGACGCCGACCATATCACCCCAGGACCACGAGTCCAGAGCTGATACGCGCATGTTGAGCACGTCGGCAATTTCGGCCAGGATCACCTGGTTGCCTTTAAAGTCCTTAAGGACAGCTCGCTGGTCGTCCGAGAGGAGTCTAGAAGACAACAACCCGTCGATTGCCCATTCGAGGTTCTCCTTCGAGAATAAAGCGGGGTTGGACATGCTCACTTCAAAACTCGTGACTGAGCTACGGAGGACCCTGAGAGCGTCACTGACTTTTTCTTTCACAGGGTCATCTGCGCTAAATAGGTCCTTGAGGTATGCAGACACTTGGGCCGCTTCGACGCCGGAATCGCTGAAGACAGTGTTTTCCCAAATTTTCCTCATTGCAAGCTTTGTTTCGTTTGCCGCGGCTTCATCTGCAGAGGACCCAGCCTGTGGCGTCCCACCGGGCACCGGTCGTTGGTCCTTGGAAAGCCATTCACTCACGAGCTGGCCGTAAAGGGAGGCGTACTGGAATTTAAGGGACTGCATGTCCAGATGTTCAATGAGAGACGCCTCCCACGTTTGCAACATCTCCGCCGAGACGGAGGGGTCATAGCGGGCTTGGGCAGAGAATCGGCCAAGATTCTTAAGCTTCTTCTCCAGACCAGGATGTCTAGTGTAATCAACGGCACCAACTCTGTCCACATTGATGGAGAGACAGTCCTTGACGCCTTTGCTTAGAAGATTGAGCCGGTCGATAGGATCAGCTGTGGCTCTAAGGCCATCGAGAAGATCCGACTTGGATTTTTCAAAGCTCGCATATCTCTTGGACAGCTCGTCGAGCTTGGTGGTTGTGATTTCCTGGAGGGTTTGGGAGAAGACACTGCTTGAGTTGGACATTGTGGATGCTGGCTGGGACCCTATGATTTGGGGTGGACAAGGGTGGAAGGGGTGGAGAAGGCAAGTATGATGTGGAAATACCAGCGATGTGAAAGAGCTGACGGATGAGGATTGTGATATTGGATGTTATCGAGAGGGGCAAGAAGGTCAATGAGGAAATTGACGAAATGGGTGGACTGGATGAGGGAGGGGGCCGGGGGTATTTATAGACGACTGAAAAGTTCAAACGGACATCGATTGTATACTGCTTCTGGGAAGAGAGAAAAGAGAAAAGAACAGGGCTGGAAGACAACGACGTGTGGTTCTGCTCAGGCAGCAGCAGGATCACTGCGCCTCAATCAACGAGCGATTTGTCACGTGACTGTTCGTTGTGATGTGTTTGGTTTCCCCATGAAGAGCCTCCCGATTCCTGAAGGAGCTGAACATCTCAACTGTGTGCGTATGTTTGTCCACAGCAACATTCAATGGCGGTAATAGTATTGAGCTATATTTTTTACATTCTGAGACTGGATGGATGCAAAATCGTTACGCCTCTTGAGTAATATATTTACAAAACAACTCCGGACAGATGCGGGAGTGGAATTGGCCTTTCCAAGGCGAAAAGTTAATGATGTTGCGGATTCAAATCTTCTATAACAACCGGAACTTCATTTGCCATGTTTGCGACTCCTCTGGGCTCGCTATTTCAAGTAGATGTTGTATTTGGCGATGTAGCTCTTAACAGTTCTATCTTCTATATCTTCAACTTACGCCTGGAATAGAATAGCATGAGATTGTTGTGCTTTATATGTTCAACAAGCCAAGGCAGCAATGTTAAAACTCCCTTTTCTTGAAATCAATGAAAGGACCCTCCAAATGACTTGTGAAATACCCCTTAAACTGCAGCTCTCCCTCCCTTTCCCTCCCCCATCCTCTCCCCTTCGCACCCTCACCAACTTTGCCCACGGCACCCTCCGACTTCTTAAAGTCCATCCGCCAAAATACGTTCGCAAGCGTCAGCGTCAACTCCATCAACGCAAAATTTTTGGCGATACACTGCCGCGGCCCGGCCGAGAAGGGAGCAAAGCTCGCCATAAGCATCTTGATGCGAGCCGCTTCTTTCTCCTTCTCGATCTCGTCGTCATTGTCGGTGCTGTGGTTGATCCATCGCTCGATGTCGTATGTGTAAGGATCATCAAAGATCGACGGGTCGTGGTGCAGTGAGAAGATGGTTGCTCCGACATTGAGGCCTGCAGGAATGTACTCGCCATCTACGACGCAGCCGGCGGGCTCCTCGCTCTGTCGCCAGAGGGGTTGCGGTGCGACGGGGCACATGCGCATAGCCTCATTTATGGCAGCGCGGAGGTAAACGCATCCGTTGAGCTCGGGGCCGAGGCGGATCTCGTCTGGCGAAGAGAAGGTGGAGCAGATTTCACGGGTAACCTTGGCGTAGGCGTCAGGGTTACGGGAGAGGTAAAAGAAAGTGGCCGCCATGGAACTGGCCGTCGTATCGGATCCTGTCCGATCCAGTTGAACGGAGGTTAATAAAAGGGGGAGGGAATAAAAGAAAAAGGGGAAGAGGGTTTGGCTTACCAGCGATGAGAAGGTTTGCCGAGTTAATCATCACATCGAACTTGCCCAAAGCCACGTTTCCAGTATCGGGATCCTTGGCTTCGACATATAGCTTAAATACATCATCGGTCGATGGATCCTCGTCTCTGACCTTGAGGCTAGACTTAATCACGGTCCTTGTGTACTTCTTCAGACTACCGACACACCAGGCGAGATGCGGGAGAAGAAGGGCCACAAGAGAATGGAACTGAAGGAGAGGCGTTTGATGCATGACGCCAAGGAGATGGACGACCGTGGACATGGTCTTGGTCACGGTTCGGTTTGCGGTGGACCCAACCAAGTCCCAAGAAGTGGTAAAGACGACCTTGCAGATGACATCCGTGGTGAGGTAGTTGCCTGGTGTCCCTGTCATTAGCCCTGGCAAAATGATGGAAATATGGGGAGAGAAAATGTTAGGAACTCACACCACAGGCTCATATTCTTGGGTTCCGTCCAGCCATCAGGTTGTACGCCGGTGGACTCATTTTCTAGCAGCTTTTCACAAAATGCACCGATTTCTTCGAGAACCTTGCTCTCGTGTTTTCGGAGGGCCACGTCGGAAAAGCCTTGCTGGAAGATCTTCTTCTTCTTGGAGTGGGCCTTCTTATCTTGCATGCCGATCAAGTTACCCTCCCCATGGACCTGGTAGGAATTGGCCTTGCGAACCTTCTTCAGCTGGCCGTAGATGTCTGCGGTTGGGGTTCAGTCAGTCAGAGCGCGTCCGTGGAACATGACGGCCGAACTGAGACCGAACCTGAGACTTACCCTGATACCCATTGGGAGAGTTGACAAGTAGTCCATTGGGGCTATATCGAACAAATTTTCCTAAATGACATTAAATGTAGGCGATGGAGAAAGAGAGTACTGATGGCGATGAGGAACCTACCATATTTTTGGTGGCATCTCTCAACGTCAAGATGGATGTTGCCGAAGTAGGCATGGTAGGCGCCGTACAAAGAAGTCAATTTTCCCAAGAATGGCCCAGGATATTTAGCGTACGGATGAAGCGTTAAGCGATAGATGCAAACAGAAGCGAGCTGTAAGAACCAGCATGCCATAAATTCACCTTTGATTAGCAATGGAATGCCACCACAATGCCCAGAAAAACCACTCACATAGATCGCGCCAGCAGCCGCTGTCGCCAAAACAATATCCACAGCCGACAAGGCTTCCCTAATGCTAAGACGGAACATGCTGGGCCTAGTTTCACACGAAATTCAGTTGCATAAGAACGTGATTTCAATCTTCTCCCATCGCGTCCGGATTTTGTTCTGTTTTCCCCCTTGATAAGGATTTGAGCAATGGAAGAAAAAAATTAACCCTGGGACGATCCTCAGCCGCGAGGACGCCCGTCAGCACAGCTCAACAAATCTCAATTGTTGTGTGCCATGATTGAATATTACAATATGCAAATTAAACAGGATATAAATTTAAACGTATTTCGAAAGCCTCACTCATGGATCTTGGACCATCACGACCATCACGACCATCACGGATACCTCCCGGCAATAAATCTCTCTAATACGACAAAACAATACGGATTCGAAGCAAGAGACGGGCCGCATCAACTCTAGTCTCTCCTCGAGGCCATTGACATTATGTTCACAAAGTCGGTAGTCAGAGGGCCAAGAATTCTCCTATCTACTCATCAACCTGTCTACGCAGCCCCGAATGTTGGTAAAACCAATAATTATGTGAAGAGGACCTGGGAGTTTGTCATATTATGGGTGGAGTTCCAGAGGTTCCCCGGGGTTGGGATGATACAGTTATCCTTACACTCTAATCTGCCCTGCGGACGCCAAACTATCCTGGCCCTGGCCTAGCCATTCAGCCCTTCCGTAACGGTTGGACACCCGTACGCCTCAGCTGCGATCATGGCAGGTTCGGTATTCCCGAGGGCGAAAAACAATGACACCATCGTCTTCGTCGCCAAGCGTGCAGCGCCAAGAATAACGCCATCGAGGACAATGGCTTTTGACTCCGTCTCTTTGAAATGCCTCAGGCGAAGAATGGGTATATAGAAGGAAATAATTTGTGTACGAATAATAACTTGCAAGGCTTTGGCTGAGAATCGAGATCATTGGGAAGGCCCCCACTCTGAATCATATCCACGAAGTATATCGCAACCGAGATGCGTCAGCGTGTGCTCATCCTTACTTACATATGCCGTCAGCTTACTTCAGTTACGAATATGGCAGGTGATTGAAAACGGTAATTGGAAATCTTATACGAAGTATGTTGCATCAAAAATGGGGAAAGAAAGATGGTAGAACTTTCGTTGTGCTTACCTCTTGCTGGCCCGGGGCTGCCGAGTTGTAGGCCTTCATCCGCCTTTGCACCACATAGATTCGCCTAGTTCCTTCTTTGTGAGCTTTGAATGTTTTTTTTTTCCTTTTATGCCATGTTAAACCCTAACTATTAGACAAGGATCGCCGTGACAGATCTCAAATGGATATAAAAACATCTACTCAGGCCACTTCGGATTCATGACGCTGTCCTCAACAACCGATATCACCAACCGTAAGTTTCCCGATATTACTATACTTATTGTGAAAATACGTTTAAAATGGGAGCACGAAGCCATCCTAAGGATACTTCACCATGCCGATTGACACCTTATCCCTCGCTGGCAAGATCGCCATCGTGACCGGTTCTGGCCGTGAGAATGGAATTGGTGCCGGCATCGCCAGAGCTTTAGCTCGCAACGGAGCAGCAGTCACAATCAACTACGTGTCCGACTCTGTCACAAAGCGGGCCCAAGCTCTTGCTGATAGCATCACGGCTGACGGGGGTCGAGCAACCGTCGTCCGGGCTTCCGTTGAAACCCCCGAAGGAGCCAAATCAATCGTCCAGGAGACTCTTAAAGCCTTTGGAACAGACAAGATTGACATATTGGGTAAGAAATCTAGCAAAGACGCCATGGTAAGACATGTCTCGCTCACGTACGTGTAGTCAACAACGCCGGAACTGGATTTCTTGGCGGCACCGTCGATGCCACGCCTGAAGAGATCTCCAAGACGTTTGATCTCAACGTCAAGGGTACTATTTTCGTCACGCAGGCCACCATTCCTCACATGCCCCCAGGCGGCCGCATTATCAACATCTCCTCTACGGATTCGAGGCTCGGCCCGGACGACTTGGCCATATACGGAGCCTCTAAGGCCGCCGTTGATTCCTTGACATGGTCGTGGGCCAAAGAGGCAAGAACCCGCACCCTATAACAACACCATATTTCTCCATCTTTAGAAACTGACACACATTTAGTGGGGCCGGAGCAAGGGTATTACCGTCAACGCCGTGACGCCCGGTCCTGTCGTCACCGACATTGCACCTCCAGAAATAGCCGAGCTGATCCGGAAACCCCAGCGGGAGATCACAAGGGCAGCCTACAGGAATGGCACCATCGAGGATATTGGCGATGCGGTCCTTCTCCTAGTGTCTGAAAAGGCGCGATGGATTACCGGACAGTACATTTCGGTTAGCGGGGGCGTCACTGGGCTCTAACAGCCAGTGTGCGCCGTGGATGGTGTTGGAAGCGGAAAAGCAGGGCAGCACAGACTTAGTATAACGTAAAATTTAGAGTTTTCCGCCTTATTCTACAACCACCTGTTATATTGTTAATGTAGCGCTTTATACGCGGGTGTGAACGTTCACACATTAGAATTCCTCAGCACTTTGGGCGATACTTGAGAAATTTGCGATGAAGGAATATGCCAAACTTGCGAGGCAGATGCTGCCAGGAAGTAGTATTGATTAGAAGGGACCATGGGACAAGGCACCCAGCGGTTCCATGTGCCCAGCGTCATGAGGTTTGTGAGTAAAATCAAGAAGATTCGAACCGGGAAAACGGAGAAACATGACTTGAGTAGTGAAGGCAGTCAGAGTCTTGACACTCGAGTCGCATAGTTCTGAGCTGGACCTGATTTTTCTGGCAGTGGAGTACCTAAACCACATGATGGCATCTCTATCAACAGAACTAAAGGCCCAGAAAACTCACTCGCTGATCTAATGCTAACCTTTTCTGCAGCTTTATTGGGTCTGGTACAATGGTCACTGCGTCCAGACTCTAGAATGCTGTGTTACCAAGCTCGGTGAGTTGGAGGCCCGGCTGACCTGAGCTCATGAACCCTGCACCCAGCACCCTCATTGCCTGGTTCATAATCATTTGGTTAATTTTTCTGAAAACAATTCCGACTTTAATTTGATCGCTTGACTTCGTCACATGCGGATACATATCAAGAGGTGCTCGATTGGCTTGGTTAAATCTCCCGAAAATATACTTCACCGCCTCGCCCAGGTCGTCCCCGCCGCTGTAATCCGGGAAGTAATTCTCAAGAGGAGACCGGTCAAGCTTCTGTCGGAGAATGTCGACTTTGTTAAGAAATAGGATGATCCCAGCCCCCCTGAACCATATGGAGTTGACGGCTGATTCGAATAGCAGGAGGGATTCCATCATTCTGGTTTGCGAGCTCTCCTCTAGCGAGACTTGATCATATGTATCCAAGTCCACGACGAAAATCATCGCGGATACTGAATCAACGTAGTGGAGCCATTTATTCCTGTGGCTCCTCTGCTCGCCGATATCGAACATGGAGATTCTGAGCTCTCCCATCTGAAGTCGGGTCTCGTTGACGCCAGTTGTTCTTGCCCTCGACTGAAGGACGTCCATTTCATTTGGCACGTAGTCCGGAGATGCGATTCGGTCTATTTCATCGAAAAAGCTGTGGTCGTAAGCAGTGTTCGTCATGTAGGGGACAAAGGGACATACTATGCTGCTGGTTCTGGCAGAGACAATTCAGCTTGTCCCCCCATCGCTGTTGTATAGAGATGGCTCTTCAGGATTGACTTGAGCGCGATAACAAACCCAGGGTCCAATTCGGGACAAACTGGGTCAAGAGTGTAGTCCTCGATAAACTTGACAGCTTGCCAGATGTCATCAGATTCCGAGACGCCGAATTTTCGCATGGTAGCCAGAGTCGACTTCGCCAAAGTGAAAGCGCTCTTCAACACCATTGGCCGGCAATCATGTAGCTCTTCAGTAGAATACTGTTTCCCGAGAGCTATCTCCATCTGCTTTGCAACTTCGTGTCTCGATGCGTCTCCGGCCAGGAGGATTTCGTATTCACCTCTTAGTCGTTTCATATCCTCTTTGAGATAACGGTCGATCAATCGTGATTGCTTAAGTTCTTCGGTGGATGAATTGACTATCCTCGGCGTGGAGATTGGGAGGGGTCGCCATGAAGAGGTATTTTCGCGTAGGTTAGTGGCGACGTCATTGCTGGCAGTATCGCCCTGCTGGACTTGAAGACTCTTTTTGACAGAGCCTCTGATCCATCTCTGGTAGATTTTTGAGATAAAAAGCTCCGAGTCAAATTCGAATATGATGGATCGCTTGGATGAGCTTATTGACATGGCGGTGTTCGATGTCATCAAAGAGTCGACATCACGATGCACCACCAGCGAAGCAGTGTCATCTTCCATCTTCTTGAAAGCTTTGCGCGTCTGCGGCTCCTCAAGATACCTCTTCTGCTCCGATAATATAGTGCTAGGGCAAGTTAGAACAGCTCCGGGAAATCGATAGAGAGGCTTACGTATTGCAAGCGGTCAGGAGAAGAGTCAATGCCGCTGTTTGCTGCTCGATCATGCGCTGGACATTTTCAAAGTCTTCGTCTTGAAAAGGAGACGGAACTTGCTTCCAATATCGAGGCGGTCATTGGCGTCCATCGTCAACCGAGATATCTCCACGTCAATCTTATGTATCAGGAAACGACAACATGCCACACAGCGATCCAGATCCATAGCTAGTTGATGGTGAGGGCTGTCAAAACTCGACTCGGCCCAGTCGTTGATCTTGCCGAGTGCAGCATTGAGTGCAGCCAGCTGACTCTCGAGCACAACAACAGTAAGGTCCGCGTCTTGCCACTGGTTTCGAAGCTCTGCAATTGTACGGATGGACTTCCCAAGTACGTCAATGATGTTTGCGACGGCACCAGCTGTACCGAGAATGGAGATTGGGTCCGCCATTTCGGCCCAGTGTCATCCTCAGCTCAGGATAGAATGAGACATGTGACTTGGAAAAGTTCCAAGTTGGAAAGGCTTCAGACCAGATTGCGACAACTTTTGTTTGAGGGGGCTGTGTTCAGCTCAAGGATCACATACAGACTGTCACAGTACCGAGGTACATGGAAATATAATATATAACAGGTATAAAATGAAGTATCTACACTTTGTAACTTTTTCTCAAATTCCTTTCATTGGTTGGCATCTCACACAACGCATTGAAGACTGTCTTATGTGGCTAAGACTGGACTCTGCGGCGCCCATACAACAGGGATGCTTATGGGCAATGCTGTCAAAGTCGGTGAAAATTAGTGGAGTCGAGAAAGTCGATGCCATCCGCCATGCCATGGCCTACCTCGAACATATTCCTGAGGTGAGCTTGGAGTGCCAGGCTATAATTACCTACCCATCATTGCCCGGTGTAACCCGATAAATGGGTATTAGGCAAGGACAAATTCACCCTGCTATTCCTCCTATTTCCGGCAACAATGGTTGAATTCCTGGAGGGAAGACTGTTACTTCTGAGGGCATTCAGATGTGCGCGTTTCCAATTCCACTCTTTCTGCTAAATGGTTCTTGAACTGCAGGAGACTCTCATTGCTTCATGGCGTCGCTTGGGAACTAAGGGAGGAGGAAGGAATCTGGTCTCTCCATGGCCCAACAGTTAGCTGAGAAGATCATAATTGCTGAGCCACAAACAATGAATATTACGATTATCATAGAGGACACATTGAACTTGAAGTCGCAATCCTCACTCACGGATGGCGGCAATTCCCGCGCCCGCCTAAGGTTTCCCTAAATTTAGACTCGCGGCTAAAGCAAGAACAACCCTGACCAAGTTTCCCTCAACACTCAACTCGTGCTTCACAGGATACATATGCGGCAAGCATCACCCGGACATGTATTCCACCACTGGCTCGAGGATATCATTCGGCCCTATGTCGACGTCGACATCGTGGGCAAATATAACGCCTGCTGGACCTCCGTCGCCGGCGCCCAGCGGTCAAGAATGCTTCTTCGCTGGTTTCTCCCAGAATTCCCTCATATGTGGAAGGACCCCAAACTCGCGCCGGCGTCATGACGACGCGGGCAATGACTGCCCGGTCACCGGAGCGTGTGCAAACCATCGACATCACCCTGCATTCGGCAGTTGCGTCCATCGTTCAGGACGCTTTAGTCCGAGCTCGTTTATAGTAATTGGTGGTGTTTTGCGGCTGGAGTTCCAGGATTTGCTCCTAAGAGAACCGCTCAAGCAAGAGGGTCATTTTATGCTCGACACAACAGACCCGCAAAACTGCGCCGCTGTTGTATGGCAGCCAGCCCAATACACTGCGAATACTCTAGAGAAGCTAATTGTTTACGATGGAGGTGTAGGTCCTGAATCAGTATCGACGTTGGACCTATTTATGAGGTTGTTCGGAGCCACGGCCAATTGAGGACTCCGAGAGAATAATAGTGGTGGTTTACGGCCCGCGGGCAGAGGGGGACGGACTCTAGGAATGCTTCCTTCGTCGTCATAATTGTTAGCGGAACCGCAGCGCTTCCGTGCTTTATCCTTGTACCTTCTCGCTCCAAATGATCGCCTGGCTTTATCTCCCCTTGGGACGAGAAGATCTACAAAGAAATTGTTTGTTTGCCCGCAGCGTGTGCCTGGGTCAAGCCGTGGGCGGAATGCGACTCCGATGACCTTTGAGCGGATCAAGCCATGCGACCGGCACGCACCGACACACCCGAATCCTGGTTCCGTATGTCCCCACAGATCTTTCGACATAGGTAAGACCAGGTTTCATCAGGGGGAGGTTTGCATTGTCTCCTGCCCCCACTCTTCCGAACTGTTGGCTGACAGCGCCAAGCTCCTGGGCGCAGACAGCATTATATCGGACGACTCTTGCGTCTCTCCTTGGCTTTCACCTCTCCTCCCAGTAACATCCAGCACCCCAATTTTGGAAGGGTGTGGGGCGGAAGACGCCCGAGAAGTTTCGGCCCAAGTCAAGTTGGGATTGCCCAACGTTTCAAACAATCCAGGGGGATCATGCGGTTAGTGACAGGGGAGGTGTTTCCATGCCTGCCAGAAATTCACAATAATGACGCTTGCACTACCTCTCCATGGTTTAAGTAATATTTATTTCATGGTCTTCTGTCAGAGGGCGTAGCCAAGAGATCCCTCTAATAAAATTATTCGAGATTAAGGCCCGTGGACGCTGTTGGTGACTACGCTGGAAGTACTTTGTAGTTGGCGTCCATTTATGAAGGAGGCGCTTCGGGTTTCATCCTTTCCAGATCGGACTAATGAGGTTACGCCACCGCCTGGACCACTCCTGTCAACGGCGGCAAGCGACGCTAGGTCTGCCAGTCCCTTGATCGCTGCAAGGAAAAGATGAGATGATGGCTGGATTTTCGGGTCGTTCCTCCGGCCCCCTAGAATGTGGACCACGCCCGGCCAATCCAGTCGATCCATGGGCAACGTATGGGAGGGTCGCCCCTTAAATGGTGGAGGAAACAACGGACCAGGATCGGTTGGGATCAGTTTCGTGTTCACAATCCTCACAGGGTCAAGTGTCCCAAATGGAGCTGGTATTGCTCATTATTGCATTCGGTTATGAGAAGAATCTTGGAACTTATAACTACAGGTGACCGCGCCGTCTTCGTTCGTCCGTAGGCTTTCCCTTCCATCCCAACGTGCCTCACGGTCACCTTTCCACGAACAAGTTCGCTTCTTCTTTTCATTCATTCCTTTATTCATTCTTTCGGGCTGTGCCATTTTTCCAACATCCATCCATCCATTCATTCATTCATTCACTCATTCAACAACTTGATACCCGGATATCAAGTTATTCGTTTCACCAAGCCTCTATCTCCAGCTAGGAAGAGTTACATTTTTAGGGAAGCACCCCAACATAAAGCCTACCGACATGTATTACGCGATCGCTTCCGTCCTGGCTCTGGCCAGCAGTGTTTCCGCCCACACCTTGATGTATGGCGCTTGGGTCAACGGCGTGGACCAAGGAGACGGCCGCAACGCCTACATCCGATCCCCTCCCAACAACAGCCCCGTCAAAGACCTCGCTAGCCCCGATCTCGTCTGCAACGTGAATGGCGGCAAGGCTGTTCCCAACTTCCTTTCCGCTGCTGCCGGCGACACCCTCACTTTCGAATGGTACCACAACACGCGAGGTGATGACATTGTCGATCTTTCCCATCTGGGTCCCATCATTACTTGGGTGGCGGAGTACACCGAGGGCGATGGCACCGGTGCTATCTGGTCCAAGATTGATGAAGACGGTTACGACGGCTCCAAATGGGCCGTTGAGAAGCTTGTTGCCAACGGCGGCAAGTACGACTTCACCCTTCCCGCCTCCCTCGCTGCTGGAAAGTACCTCATCCGACAGGAGATCATTGCCCACCACGAGAGCGACGCGACATTCAATGTCAACCCCGCCCGCGGCGCCCAATTCTACCCTTCTTGCGTCCAGGTCGAGGTCACCGGATCTGGCAGCGCTGTTCCAGACCAAAACTTCGACTTCAACGTTGGCTACACTTATGCCGATCCTGGTATTCACTTCAACCTTTACAATGGCTACACTAGCTACACTATTCCGGGCCCCGAGGTCTGGGATGCCGCTAGCGCTGGTTCTGGCGATAGCTCTCCTTCTTCTCCTGCCGCTTCCACTCCCGCTACCCCCGAACCCAGTGTTACTGAGCCGACTGCAGTTCCGACGACTGCTGGTTCGGTCGAAACAGCTGCCCCCACCACCCTCGCCACGGTCACCCGCCCTGCCGCTTCTACTACCGGGGAGGCCGTCCGACCCACTCCTACCCGTGTCTCCCCCTGCAAGAGAAGGAAGAGGAACATGAAGAAGCGTACCCACGCCCTCTAGACTATGGGCCTCTATTGGGGACGTACCACTTGCTTCGGTGTGCGCTGTGTATTATCTGCACACATTTATTCATTCAATTCGGATTAAGCGCACACCTTCGCATTAAATGAAAGGCGTTTCCGCAGCACTTGGATGAACTGCTATTCTATGTACATACTTGTAAATCACAACGCCTGTAGATTCATTTTTCATGTTGGCATATACATCAACGGGGTTTTTTTAGTCTCATTCTTCTCAAGTTTCAACACTGTATCCATTTCCTCCTTGCAACGAACCGTGAACGCCAAGGTGCTGATTAGAAGAACTCCAATCTCAAGACTAAGCTCGCCGAACGGCAAATGTGATGAACTGATGCCGTACTCTGCGTAATAATCCCTAGATTCTCGCAAAATAGTTGAGAATCGTGTTGGACTGAGTTGCGCCGCTGTCAGGTCGCACAACACTTTCGGCACCGGAATCCGATCCATCTTCCCTTGGATCAAAGTAATGAAAATCAGGAGAAGGCGGTCGCGACCGTTGCAGCCTGGGGCCTTGTTCCTCTGGTCGTCGCACCGGGGTCCACAGTCTCTCATAATCTTCCCTTGTTGCCGAGCACGTCAGGGTGATGCCCAGATGGTGGAATTCGTCCCGTAGGTGTTCCACTCTGTCCCACGGTGAGATTTTGGGTCTCGGAACAGAGAAATCTGGTAGATAGCCTTCGGGCACGAAACTGAGATGGATGCAGCCCAGAGGTAGTGGTCGTGCGAGCGCTCCAGTCGCAAACCCTCTTAGCCAGCTCTCTTGTGCCTCCTCGAAGCAAGTCATCTGGCACTTCCACCCAGCTTCGAAGACGAACGCCCAGGTGAATTTTCTCAATTTTGGAGCCAAGAGATTAACTTCAGTTCCAGGTTCGCACCCCGTCGAAAAATATGAGAGGTCGAGTTCCTCGAGACTTTCGAATTCCGTCAAGTCGAACCCCCGGAGGCCTTGGAGATCCAGTGGCCAGATTCCGAGAGTCCGGAGCGTGGTCTTTTGTGATTCTAGAACTGGTCCCAGCTCTTCTAAGCCCCAGGGAACGTGGGAATTCTCGACCTCTCCAGCGGGTACTAGGAGCAGGTGTTCAAGTCTGCAAGGCCAAGAGATGAGCCGTTTTAGGTCTTGGATGCCGCACCTAGAGTCCTCGACCAAGAGGCGATTCAAAGAGGGGTGGCGGCGCTGAGGTTGTACAATTTGCTTTAGCAATTGACATTGGCCCTGAAGACAAACTTGACCCAAGGGTGATACATTAAGATGAGGAGTATGTAAACTAACCTTTGAGACACCCGATATGTCAAGGACCGACGTGTCTATGATCTCAGTAATTGTAAGGTATTTCAGGCTTCTCGCCTGGTTTAGAACCTCACAGACGGGGCCTTGGGCCATCCCGGGACAATGATGGCATAGGAAAACCTCCTCGAGATCAGGCATGTTGCGAACCGCGGCGCTAATAGCCTGCCATATCTCGGGTGTATAGTTGAAGTTTCCGGAAATGCTCAACTTCTTCGTGCCCATAAGCGAGGTAAGCAGTCTCATTGCCACGAGAAATTCAACTTCCACATCTTCCGAGAGCGGAATCATAGCTGAAGTGTTTTCACTCCCAGTGGTCGCGTATATTCTAAGGTGAACCGAGCGGCAATGTCGTCCAAGCCCGGGATTTTGTTTGAGGGTCCAGTGCAGTCTCTGCATTGCGGCCTGCGACATTTTCGTTGAATTGTAGGATGTATCGGCTTTTCCAATAGTAAAGGCCATCTCGCTGTACATAACGGGCATTATCAAGTTATAGAAGCGACGGCATGTCTTGGACACGGAGACAATTTCCGTAAAGAAGGAAGGATGAAAATGAAGGCGACGAGAGCTACAGGATGTCGCTGAGCGGAGGATGTCGAACAGCAATTCGTCGGGAAGTCTCAGGATTCCGCATGCAGATTGAATCTCTGCCGTGGAGTATAGATTGTCCATATTGCGGTGTTTCTTCTTAATGCTTCAACGTGGCAGATGCGCGTTTTTTGACACCGGAAATATCGTCGGTCCTTGGTCGCCTTTTGATGCTGAAAAGCCCTGATGAAAGCCCGAAAAGCAGGGACGACTGAGTGAGGGGAACCCGGAAGACGAAGAGCCTTGCCAACCCTCCAATCTCCAGCCACCCTAATTCCACACCACCATTTCAATGTATCGTAATTTTGAATCCAGTATTTTTGGTGCCATCCCAGATAAAATTTATCATTTAAACTATCGAGGGGTAAAATATTTAAAACCAGTGAGAAGATACATAAAGGGATGGTGTGCAGAAGGTGCCCGACGAGGCCTAGTTTTTTTTTGTTTTTTTGTTCCATCAAACAGCTTTTATGGCATTCATGTTCCTCAGCATTGACTTATTGATTTAATACTCAGTTCCAATCGTTTCTCCGTTCGGACTTGGCAATCTCCGTTCGGACTTGGCAATTCTTTTTTCATCATAATTGTTTACCGCTGTTGGTCAACCGGAGCCTGTCGAACCTTGCAGGAGCTTTGCAGCGGCTTTCTGCGAGTTCTGATTGATGACGGTTGACCACCCCCATTTCTTGCTCCTTTTCGTCAATGTGATATTGAGCCCCTCATCTGTTGGAATTGTGCCTTCGCATAAAAAGCAACTGATGACATTAGTGGCTCGTTTTAAGATGTGCAAACGGGAACTGGATCACACGTTGGGAATTGCTCATGATCTTAGAGCTCCGGCCAGATTGATGACCAAACTTGTCTGTCCTCTCACGTTTGACCGACCATAAATACCTCCTTTACGCGTCGTGACTACAGACTATAACCATTTCCCGCATAACTATAACACTTGGGACAGACCCTAGAGATCCTATTAGGGGACCCAAGCCCTTCGTGTCGGCTCATATGAAGATGAACTGCCCAAGTCCAGCAAGTCGGTGGGTCCAGTCGCTCAATACCCCTGTTAGTACCTCTGGTCGTTGCATGTGCCCACCCTCAAGTTTCCCAATTGCGAATAGCTGGTAAGAGCTCGATAATATTGACAAGAGCCGAGTGGGCCAATCTGAGTCTGCCTAGTGGGAGGGAAGGGCGGGGAAGGGCGAAATAGATCAATAATATAAGACTGAGCAGGGAGTCGCGTCAGTATTTTGAGGATTTCCCCTCCTCCCGAACCTCTTAACGGCTAATCCATTACTTCTGCTAACAGCGGGGCTATCTACAGTCTGTTACTGGGAATGAGGATGAAGTGAATTAGCCTGAGCTATGTTGTGACTGAGACATGAAGGGATGCACGGGACGCGGGTCTCGCCTGAGAAACCAGTCGGATGCCCGAGTTACAAAGAGAGAGCGACATCATCACCGCCATCACGAAATCATTGAATTACGCTTGCATGCAGCCCGGGCTGGGGTTTCTGGATGTGAAGAGGATGCCGAAACACATGCTAGAAAACTGGCCAGGTAGTGAGAGCCATTACCGACCGCCAAGCTTGCCGTTGATAACTCTACAGATTGACCACGATGCTGGCCAGTCGCCAAGAATAGTGAGACTCATAATCATCAGATTTATAATTGTGATACATTAATAGTAGATCTTTGTCGTTATGTTAAGCTGTGCCAAGATGCAAGCCTGGTCAGGATACAAGCATTCTCGCCGAATGTATCTCGGAGGCCGAGCTTGGCGATACAACAGAGCTTACTTCCTAGCTCAGCCGTCCATATATTTTACTTGTAGATGGCAGCTAGAGCGACTTACCCAACGCACACACACACGACTATATTGTTCGAATGTTGGTCAGGCTTTAAATTGCCAAGTACTCCTTCAGGCAGCAGAACGAAGCGCATCGCCGAGGCCGAGCCTGGCAATTCAACCGGGCCCGACCGTCTGGTTCAGCCGTCCCTGGAGCGATTTATCTAGTGTATGGGCATCGCTAGAACCTCGAAGGTCGGCTAGGCTCTATATAGCCGAGTGCCCTGTTAACCAACAGCACCGAGAGTTTCGCCTGGCTGAGCTTGGCTGTGCCGAGTCCAGGCCGACATGACGGCTTGGTTTAGCCGCCTGTATTATGCTTGGCCGTTGGCTTTAGGTTTTGTGCAACGACGGAAGCAGCCCACCCACTCTCAGAAGTGGCTAAGATGCATCCGGTCCCGTACCGTTTCATCAGCTGTTGCGGCTAAATTGGTCCACACCCGTCGAGAACGTCGAAGATACCTCAATGTTCTCTTCCTCCGTCTTTCCTCTATCATATCACATTCTCCTTTCAACGTCCTTTGGTCGTTGTTCCATTTGGGCCAGAATTAGTATTAGCTCTGCATCCTATAACCAACACCCATTCTTCTCTCTCCACTATTTTCTTCGTATCTCATCCGGTCCCTTCGATCCTTTCTGCACGCATTTTACGTTTCGAAGCATACTGCATTCGGTTCCTTGCATTCAAATCTGCATACTGGGAAGATAAATAGTCAACAAAAAGGAATAAAAATGTTTACCTCGTTAAATGCGCTCCTGAGCCTGGCTGGAACATTGGTTGCTGCACAGACTGGCACTGCCCAGCTAGACATTCTCTTCCCACGGCCGAATGAAACATACAAGAGAGTGTATCCATTCCCGGTGGTCTTCGCTCTCCATAACCCAGCTGCTCGGTGGCCCTATGGCTTCAAGTATACCTGGCAACTGATGGCGCTGGATAGATCGACATCACCTGGTTGGGGAACCTTCCCTAATGCTACCGCCGGCGTTGAGACATCTGGAACATTTGAGGGACCAGACCCCCTCATAAACATATTCGCAACCGATGTTGTGGTAAACACAATGACTAAGGCGTGGTTCATCCACTGGCACCTCTTCACGGTTCATAACTGCACCCCAGCAGCCGAGGGAGCTGAGGACACTACACCCACGTTTGCCGAAGAAATACCCCGCACCACTGGCGTATTTGACGTTTACTTCGACGACGACAATGGTAAATTACCAGACATCTACATTCCAAATGTCAGCGATGACGGAGATTCCAACTGCCCAACACCCCTCTGGACGGTCAACATCAAGAGCGAGGAGAGGACAACGGTTTTCCCTATACAGACATCAACGGACTCCTGCCCTTTCCTGGATCCAGAAGATCCCCACCCAGAGCCGCAAGATTGTATGATTCGCTCAACGGAGGAGCTTGCAGACAACGTCACCGCCAAAATGCTCTCAGCAGCCCGCTGCACCAACGCGACAGAGTGGCCAAGCACGTTACTGACAGGATACTGCGGAGACGAGGATTGGGATAGGAGTTGGGCCCCAAGAGCCGCGGACAGGAGAGAATCTGCCATGGTGGCTGCCATGACGGCTGCCATCATAGCCATCCTAAATCACATCATTTAGCGAGGGTAGCGGGTGGCCGGGGAGTCAGTCTTGGGACGTATTGCTCCATAGGCCGCCGTGGCTATGCACTTAATATATTAATACTCATTTAACCGCGAACACGAACGGTATAATACGCACATGTGATGGAGTGAGCTTAGTGACACTGATGATCATCCAGAGCTGTCTCGCCGTCTATCAAGGCTACGCTCTCTTCTAGTTCGCTTGATGTTCCCCTTTCCCTTTTCCTAAGTACACAAGAATATAATACTCGGGTTTATGTACTGGACTATCAAAGTGTAGGTGCGTCTTGTTTTTTCTTACTTCTCACAACCTGTCCAAAAAGCCGTGGACAACCTATCACGTCGTTCCTCTCTTTTCCCCTTATTCTATTAGCATGTATTCCCTGACCATACTGTTAGCCCTGGTAATAGTCTCCAGGGCTCTCGGCCTTGGTCGTCCCAAGCTCGGAGACCCTTGCCCGAACCGGCCCAAGATCATCAGCATTCCCATCAGCGTCGAGGAATCTAGTAGGCCAGTCAGGCGTCTTGCCAGGGCTAGTGTTTCGTATCAAGGAGATGGCTTCGACGTCATGACCTTGTGGAAACTCGTACCCGGTCGTGGTCGACTCCGGCAGGAAATGTTCTGACGTCGGCTCTCTCGGCTATTTGCTGGCCCCGTTTGCGGGGCCAGAGTTGACTGCTTGCTACCAGGACAAGCTTTACTGCCTCTTGAGGATGGCCCCCTTCACCATCAGAACTTGCCCCTACATCCCCCCGTGCATGGCTCCTCCACCTGACTGCGGGTTCAGAGATGGTCCTTTCGAAGCTCTGCCTGGAATTGGCTCTCTAGACCGAGGAGAGGAGACAGTCACCGATAAGGATATCTCCGACCGAACTGGGAACTGGCGTGGCATCACCGTCCACGATCTCGTCATTGCGTATGTTTTCATTTTTTTTTTTTCCCCATTAACGTGGCATTTATCATTTCTGTATTATCTTGTCCCCCAATTTGGCAAGGCCGTAAACTAGCTCGGCAGAGAACAGTTTCTCGCGTCGAGCCTTTAGGGAGCTAACATATCCCTGGCAGGGCGGTCAGCACTAACACTAAATACCCTCATAATTCGGCAATCAGAAACGAGGCGCCATCATCGAGGACAAGCTCAACGTCAACGTCCGCGCCGCCGCCGCCGCCGCCGCCGCCGGTGTTGTTAGGATTCCTGTTTGCTCGTACGAGACGGCATGGAAGAACTGGGAGACCTCGCCGGAGAAAAGGGGAGAGATGTACCCGTGCGACGACCTTTAGGCGATGGAGCGCTAAATTCCCGCCTACATGTGATCGTCATGCTCAGGGTATAAGAAACACTGAGGTGCTGACAGGGCCCGGGAATGTGTTAGTTACCTCCTGAGTCCTGAAACTGGAAGGATTCTTTCATTGTTTTCCCTTACAATTTCGATCCGGTTGCGCAGTTTCAATCAGAACCGAGTTTCTAGATTTTATTTTTGTCTGGCTCTTTTCCGTCATTGTTCAGTTCTCAACACAGTTCATTCCACTCTCCACTTTCATTCCAGGACTTGGGGTTGTCATTCAAGTCCTTCTTTATTCCTTCATGCAATATTTGCGTCTTATAAAGATGTTGCGAAGTCATCTTCTAGTTCCCATTCTGCAGGGTGCCACCGTTTATGTATGCTTATTACTGTTCTATTCAGAAATAGGTTTGGCCCAAATGCCTGCTAAGCTTTGTGATGGCTTGTGGCTGGAGTATTAGCTGGCTGCTGCACTCTAATTCAGTCTATACTTGTGATGTTGTTCTATCTCCTTATACATGTGTTTTTAAGGGCAGGGTAAAAAGTGATACTAAACTTAGAAATGATGTAGAAAGCTGCTGCACACACAGGGAGGTGGAAGATAACATTGAACTATAGAACGATAGAGCGGGTGCAGCCAACAGGGGGAAGCGAGACAAAATATTCAAGCCTGGTAGATCCCGTGATTTGCTCGTGCTCAGGTGGGGTTCATCGAACATCATAAGGAGTCTATGATTCCATAAGCTCGTGCAAGATCAATTTCCGACGTCATTCAACTCCGAGAAAGAACGGACAAGTCCTTCCAGGGTGTTAGCTGGGTGCTGGATAGTTGGTTAATGCCTTCTGGACTGCCAGCCCTGCCAATGATTGGGAAAAGCCGTGCACTATCGCAGAAAAGGGTTGTACTCAGCCACGAGTTATGACAGCGCGAAGCAACAAAGCTCGGGTATTCGTAAGTCTCTACTTCCGACCCGGGGTAACTCGTCATCCCGAAGGAGCAGGGCTCGGTTATGCGAGATTCCACTGGGGCATCTGGGTAGAGCCAAAGAGCAGCCAAGGAAAAGGGACCATCTGCCAAGTCTTTTACGAGCCGCCGTACTCTAACGTTGCCGGCTCCGGCGGTTGGAAGTTTTGCAAGGAAAATTTCGAAAACAAAAGAGCAGACAGTAACATGATGGGACGAATAATGGTTGGAAAAATACCCAACGATGTCACCAAGGAACAGGTGACCGCTCTCCTCTCGGGGATTCCGCTGCCAAGGACGGACACGGAACCCGTTGAAAACTGCGTCAGCTGGACTAGAGAGACTCTGGCAGAGCTCCAGCAGAAAGGTTGGGCCGATCAGTTTGATATTCAGAGCTTCATGGAGCATGCGTTGGAGCGCGCGACGTCTTGGTTGGAAGTCGGCTACTTTCCTCGAGCAAACGTCAAGGAAAACTATACCCAAAGGAAATTTCCATGAAGGGCACTGGTGTCGCCACGGGAGCCAAGTATTCTCGCCTCTTGTTCGACGGACCCCACAGCCGCGACAGGCACAAGTCGCTTATTGCAATAACAATGTCACTTTTGGTTGGCCCGAGCTAATCCGTGATTTATAAATGTCGATGCTCTACTCACCTCTCTTCCTCCGCTTCGCCATCATCTACGGATAGGCCCGTCTCGATCTGCCTCCCACATCCTCACGATAGACAATTTGCTAACTCGATGGATTGCCTACAAACTGAACCACGACATGTGTTGCCCCAAGGGTGAGAGAGTATTCAGGGCCATGGCACACAATACCCCAACTCCTTCAATCGCTCCTGAACAGCCCGGTCCATTTCTCTCTGCTCATCCTCCGGCGCCGTCTCCGAGTAGTAATATCGCAAGAAATCCTTGTGGTCCTGGGCGAAGTCGACACCCATACATAGGGGGCAAGCAAGCAACACACCACAGCCCATGAAGACGTCAAACCTGTCAGCTCTACCCCCTGTACATCCAGGACAGATAAATCTTCCTGTCCCACAGAACCCGCACCAGCCATTTTCCATCCGCGCGATAACATCTGGAATGTCTATATCCCAGAATAAGCACGATGGCTTGTCCGCCTCCTGGCCTTCCGCATGCCGATCCTTCTCCAGCACTACGTCATGGAGGCTACCCGGCCCGGAGACCTCTCGAAGACGGGGCATGGCAATTTCAGAAATGGACTTTTTCTCGGCAGCTTTGCTCATGGAATTAAAGAAAAGCTCGCAGAGGTAGACAATACTGTCATTCTCAGCGAACACTCCGAAACCATGCTGCATGTCGAACTCTACCAGTTGGCAGCGGATGACCTTTCTCGTCGGCGTCTCGGATACTATCGCGGGCTTCACGAACACGAAGTTATCGTCGCAATCGGCAAGGATTCGATCCCACAACTCCGGCGGTAGGGGGATACCACCCTTGCTCGTAGCTCTGGTGCTATCCTTGGCAAGGAGATTCCCCAAGTAATGGCGGACCATGGCGCTCGTATTGAACAGAAGTAGTCTGTCACTGAGGAACGAAGCCGTAGCCTTGCCGAACTTGAGGGGCTTCATTGTGTTCACGTGCCTCGTGCTTGTAGAATGTTGGGTTCTCAGCGTTCGAGCTTTGGTGTGTGACTTTGATTTGGGGAGATGAAAGAGAGAGCTGGTGGTGCTTGGCTGAAACAGAAGGAGGCTATATGTGAGGACTGACTCGGAAGTCCTAAGGCTATGCTTCGTCAGTCAGAGATTGAACATTTCCTTAACCTCAAGACGTACGTAACTGCAAGACGAGAGAGGACTCGAGTTTATCAATGGACTCGAATCTAACACGTGATCGTGTAAGAGAACAGGCAACAACGAGCTGAAGTGAACTTTCCTTCTCTATTCACACTGAACTTTCACCTCGAATCCTCACATGAACCCTCAACAAACTCTGACCATCTCATCAGACAAGTCTAGCCACTACGCACTTGCCCTCGTAATACCGCGTAGACCACGACTGGCGACTGAATTCGAAGCTCTATTTTTTGGCTAATAATGCAAAGATACTTCCACCGTCTAACCCTGTTGCTTCGTTTCCACCTCTCCCTCCTTCCGGCCCATTGATTATTGCGAAAGATCGACGTCAATTCTGCCTCGGGCACAGAGCTGGGGACGCAATCAGGAGGAGCAATATCTCTCCGTAGCACAGCACTTTCATGAAGTAACAATTCCGCCGAGCCGCCGCGCCATGGAATTAGAACATAGATAGACGGGTCGCTGGTCGGAGTACTCCCGCGTAGAGGACTCTGGCAGTCGAGAGGATCTGAATAGACGGCGGCCCTGTGCCCGAGAAACAGACCCCGTTTAGCACCACGCAAGCACATAACTCGGATATAATCTCAAAACAACGATAATCGTTCATATGCACGCGGATTTCTTTAGCGATCTTAATTCTTATTCGTCATCCTGTAGCGTATTAAAACATATCCATACATGATTCATGGCAAGCTCCTTGCTGAGAAATTTATATCGTCCCCGAAACGCAGGGGAGCATCGCCCTAATCGAAACCCCAGATATGGCCACTCTGATGTGAGGTGGCGTGTGTGTAGCCTTGAATACCAGTGAATGGCATACTGTCCGCAATCGAGCCGCCCCCAGTCTGATTGAAGGAGTCAATGAGATCAGTTATTGAAATCTCTGGCGATGTCAGCCACAGCCCTTCCTGCCAAGCCGGACCCCAGAAGGCCGCTTCAATCGACGTACTGTTCCCGGGTATTACAAGGCTTTCGGTTGAGGAATCAGAGCCATCACGATCTCCCTGATTTTGTTCGACAATTTCCTGCCGTTCTGATGGAATGTCGTCGGTTTTCCAGGCTTCTTCGCGGCCACTATTACTCAAACTGAAGAGTTCAGGCATCTCTAAGGTCGGGGCGCCAGAAGATCTCCGCTCAACAGCTTCCCGATAAACCCTCGCTGCTTTGTATAACTTTTTCAGAATATCCCCATACCGCTTCCCTTGCCTAGTGTGGTGTGAGAAATGCTGCAGGATCTCCTCGGCTTGGCGGATAGCCAATTCATTGCTTGCCTGGTAGCCGAGGCGGCCCAGATGAGCGGAACATATCGTGAGAGACGCAACAAACACCATTGCACTTATGGTTTAAAAGGAAGAACCGAGTCAGCTTGAATTTCCAAAGGATCTGTGAGGTGACCTACATGATGAGTACCATATTGTTGAAGAGCATGTGGGTTGTTAAGAGCTCGTGGATAAGTTGGGTGACGTGAATAGCTGAATCTATCGAGGCAAGTGCACCTTGCGTGATCTCCGGGCTGAGAGGGGAATCCTCGCCTTCGGTTGGTGGGACATCAGCCCTGGATTTATCGCCTGCCCGACCGCACTTTTGTTGAATGCAAGAAATCAAGAATGGGCGAGTTAGTATCATCATGCTGAAATAATAGCTACAGGCGACATGCGCATTCCTGATGACATGTCTCTGCTCTGGACTCTCCGCGGCAGTTACGGTACGGAGTTCCGGGGGGATACTCGAGGTGGCCGCTTGCAGTTCTCGAGCAAGAGACTCGAGATGAGCGAGTGATGCTGTGTTTTTGGTGTATATTTCCGAAACCGTGCGCTCGAGGATGGAAAAGGCACGCACGGCCTCGGTGAGAGCAAGTTGCTGGCCCGAGTCCGACCCTGACATATTCTGGTCTTGGACTTGCTTATCTGAATAACAGGAATCTGTGGTCAAGGTTGATGGAGTTCGCCCCATCATAGCGCAGAAGAATAAGTCGTGATATCGGAGAGATCTCCAGATCCGGCTCCTTTAACCCCATAGTCAGAGCAGAACTTTTCAGAGGGTTCCATTATTGAATTGCAATTACCTCAGGTTGGTGTTGTTCTCGGGAAACATGGCGTTGACATCATCGCGGTGAAAGCCAAGAGACTTGGCCGCACTGATTGCTATGCCAAGGTTAAGGAAGGACGCGTTCCGCTGAGAAGAAGCGAGCATGTAAAGCGAGATTAGGACGAATGCCTGAACAGTCTCGACGCTTGGTTCATTCGTCAGCTCGAGGAGCGCTAACCGTCGACCGTGATGGTAATAGTACTGAGAGTACTGCATATCGGCTACACTCCCACTTCGCGATTGGGCACCGTATGCGAGAATCAAAAAGAGCACTGCCGTGCGTCCGGTATCCGCTAGACTGTAGCTCTTCCAGCTCTGAAGGAGGCCATCGACTTGGCACCGATCAATGATGTCTAATATTCCGCAGGACTGCAGGAACGCGTTAGTAACAGGAAGTAGATCCGCATTCGTCGTCCGACTGAAGGTGGAAATGATCGTACAGAGGCAAAGTACACCTCTATTAAGTCCTGCAGATCGCAGACACTCCCAGGTCCTCCCGGCGGCCGAGCTTCCACCTCATAGAGAGGAATCTCCTCAATCGCGGTTAATTTCGAGAAGCCCGAGTGCTCTGCTGAGAGACATAGCTCGCTCTCGAGGAATCCCTGGAGATGTTGGAGAAAAGCGGGAGCGGCGCAGTCTCCTAAATAAACTGCCCAGATATACCAGGTTGAGTCACAAGTTCCGCTGGCCGTGAGGGAAGGCGATCGTCGTTGTACGTACCTATTCTACCACTCGTATCGTAAAGTGTGCGAGACTTTCGGGGGATGTTCAATTCTCTGACGCGCATAGTTCGCTGTGCTTCTCTCGGTTGACGGGTTTTCGACACTGGAGATTGATGTCGCGGTGACTCCTCGTTATCTGTCGACCTCGACGTCGTTGACCCGCGGTTCTCTCGGCTATCTTGATGCTGGACGTTCCGACGGCGGCGGCGACGACCATAGGATCTTTCGAGAGGCGAGTACTTACACTCCGACACTCGACCACGTTTTGAGCATTGGGCGCAAGGCGTCAATCCGTCGCATTTGTGTTTTGCCTCCTGGCAGCGGAGACAGGCTTTGGCGACTCGCCGTCGCGATTCTTCTGTCACTTTGGGACGAGGCATAATGGCGGAGAATGGGTAACGATTGAAGAATAGTTCTAGGGAGGCGAAAGAGGTAGCTCAGAAAGCTCCGAGTGATTACTATAGGGGAAAGATATTGATCTATTGCTTCCACTGGAAGAGAATGGCAGAGGACGTACGGCATTTACGGAGTTTGAGCTTCTCAGAGCAAGAGATAAGAAGGATCCAACACGCTAACGCGAAAGATGAGCAATCTCCACACGGCACACCCAATCGGAGAAGTGCCAAATCGCCCCAAGATACCAACACCTACGCCACCCCCGCATGTCTCTCATCCACTAGGTCGGATTCAAAATAGAGCCAAGAAGAGATACCGATTGTGGCTGGTGTCCTCGTGGCCCAGGCCCAAGATACCAGAGATGAGTGATACATGTCTTCTCTTTCAAGTCAAATGTTGGACCCATTGAGGCTCCGGGGGTACAGATTAGACCAATCGAACGCCAATTGCCCAGATTGTGTCGTGGCGGACCTTATCTATTTCTCGATAGTTTCATTTCAATCCTTGCAGCTGCTGGGCACGGACGATGTGGACGTATCCGGTACGTATCCGGTGAAATGCCAAGCCCAGGCGACAGTGGACTCGGTCTACCTCGGTACTTAGTATTAAATGGGTTGAGAACACCCAGATCCGATGCGTGAAGAGCTGGTCATGGATTCTTTTAAGATACCCTGAAAATCAATAAGTAAGGAATTAAACAAAGGGGGGCTTGGAAGTACTGGGAAACTAGTTTGAAACCGGCCCCGAAGAAGAGGCCTGATAATGTAATGAGAAACATGAATCCAAAGGGAACTTCTTCCCATCAAGGCTGCCTCGCCTAGAGACTAGGTCAGGATACCCGAGGGCTCAGTGAGTGACTCTCTGTTCCTGCACAACCGGTCCTCTTATTGCACGGCGCCACTTCACCATCGTAGTGTGTCTGTCTCCAATCCGACATGCATCTACGTCTCCGAGAAACTCACAATCTCCAGAAGAAGTCGGGGCGCTTCCAGTCCAGATCTTCGATCTGACTCTGAGTTAGACCATCCAGTTCTCGCGCACCATCGCGCCTCTTCCTCTTCCCATTGTCGATCCTAACCCATACAAACATTGCCATCGCCAACACAAGCACCGTCGAGGACGTTGCCAAATTCAGGCCATTTCCAATTTTGTAATCGGGAGCGTCCCAGGGTAAGAAGCTCCAACCGGACACCAGGCCACCAATGTTCCCAAACATGACAGTTGTTGCGATTGCCGCACCTCTGGCCGTATCGCTGATGACGTTGGCGCTCACTTGGCCGTTTGCCAAGGGCGCAAATGGGAAGACAGACAGAGCAACCAGGAAAGTCGCACCATAACGCACCATTGGCTCATGGGAGGCCAGGAACATAATGTATCCAATCATGGTGATGGGCGCACAGATGGCGAAAAAGATGTGCCGCTTGTCGAAGCGCCAGCTCAGAAGCGGGAAGAGCAAGGTAAAGAAGGCACCGACGATATAGGGTGGAACGGTCTGTAGCTGTAAGCGAACAACACTGGCGTCTTTATAGATTGTTGCCACAATGGTAGGTAAGAAGAAGGCGAGGCCCTGGACGGTAACGTTGTTGAGAAGGAATATTGTAGCGGTTCCGAGTGTTATAGGATTGAAAATTCCCTTGAACATCTTGGCTGAATCAATCTTATCGAGCATCTCGGTGGTGCCCACTCTTTCGGCCTTCACTCGCTCCACTGCTAGAATCTTTTCCTCCTCAGAAAGCCAACGGGCTGTTTCCGGCCTATCCGTCAATGTGAGAAGCCCCATCAACCCGAGGCCAATGGTGACTATGCCCTCGATAGCAAAGATCATCCGCCAGGTATGCAGGCCACCGAACCTATCAAGCTTGAGGATAGCAGAGGCAAGGAGACCACCGAATGCACCTGCGAGTGGTGACATGACGATGTAGAGCGAGATTCGAAAGGCGAGCTCGGCGCGGCGATACCACCTAGATAGGTAATACGCCATCCCCGGCATCATTCCAGCTTCAAAAATCCCAAGGATGAACCTGACTCCCGAGGCTTGAGGTACAGTGTTCACCCACGCGGTTCCGAGGGATGCAACGCCGAAGAGGATGGTGGTCAACGGTATGAACCATCCAGGGCCCATGTACTTGCATAGCATGGTAGTGGGAATTTCAAAGACGATGTAGGATATATAGAAAGAGGTGATGATGATGTTGTAGTCGTATCCCTTCATATGTAAATCCTTGTCCATGCCCGCGATTTTGGCATTACCTGTGACGTCGAGAGTTCGAATATATTAGCGCCATAGCAACGTGAATAGAAGCAGAAAGTATACGGTCGACGAACCAAGATTTGCGCGATCAATGAAACAGAACAAATACAGAAGTGCCACAGTGGGCATGATTGCGAGGTCTATCTTGAGACGGAGTTTTCTTTCCACTGAAGGTTCAATGTGCATGGTAGACTGGCTAGATCTGTACGTTGGATACGTTAGTTAGCACGGCTATGGTAGCGGATGGAAACTGTAAAAGCAGGAACTGTGAGAGGTAGACTCGCTTGTCGGTGCATGCAGCCATATTGCTACTATGGGGGGAGGCACTTTGCGCAATGCCCTCCTCCTGGAAGCCGGGCTTTTCGAGATCCATGGCCGAAAGGTGCGTTTCGTTGGGGATGACTGGGTCAGCCGGGGTTGGAAAGAAGAGGAATTGGGGTACAAAGGATCTGGATCCGCCTCGATTTTATAAAGGGTGAGGGATCACGTAGGCAGGATGTTGTTGAAGGCGGAAGCGGAACATTTAAGTAGACGTCAAGCTGGGGAGACAACGTTGTGTCAACGAGATATGTAGCATTTGCAAAATTACGAAGCTATCTTTTACGCTAGGCCATCTTTAGACAACATCCCAATTGGAGATTTGAGATAAGATATCCAACTGCAGCTTCAACAAACCTGGGGAATGGACATTATGCGCACCTCCCAGTTTACAACAGTCACTGGGATGCAGGAGTGGAGTGTGGGGGAGATGGTTTAAACACCGGATAGATGCCCCAGCTCGGATAGACTTTGCCCGCCGTACCGCTCGGATACGTCCCGCGACATTGATCGGATAGATTTCATTGCATCATACGCAGTATCCTCTACAACGCTAAATGGGTAGAATATCCTGGCAGCTGCAAATGCAAAGACGTCTATGTAGGTATCTATTTGAGGTCGGTGAAGGCTGGAGGATGATAAGAAAGTGGGAGGTGGTAGGATCTATTTCGTAGAAACCATAAACTCATAATTGATTTCAAATGTCCGCATTGCAACAAAACGTCTAGCTGGATGGAGCAGCGTAATTACTGGAGTACCGGACCCGGTGATATGGAGCGACGACGTACGGACCATTGCGAGGTTAGTTTCAAATTTCAGGGGGAAAGAATTGTGACAGGCTGCCACAATCTAGGTGGGCCGGCTTCCAACCGCGTCATAGTGCCAGGGAGTCGGGAAACGTGGGAAGCACGACCGTCAGAGGCTGCCAGTTAGCCTCTGACACGATGGAAGCTAAAATAATGACTGCAGACTGCAGTGTGCATTAACGGATAGGTCCTGCACCCTGTGCAGTCCACGGGACTTCAAATACTCTTCGTCAGATAGATTCCACCTTATTAGATACGGATAAGTCCAGCAGCATGAGGTGGGCACCATAGCTGGGCAACTAGGTAAAATGAGAAGCCTCCATTCCTATCTATCTCGAGCATGTTACTAACGGAAGGGCGAAACCATGATAAGAAGAACGTGAATTGATTCGAATAGGCAGCATCATCGAGGAACTAGACAGCTATCACAAATATAACATGATTAGAATACAAGGACAGAAGTTTCAGCAATATAGGATGTATTTCTCTGGATAGGTGCTAATCGATTCCCCACGTCTGCTAACTTAAAGAGATATGGGCTGTGGTTCGCCCGGCTTGGCATTGTAAGAAATACGCCCAGCTGGAAGGAAAAACAATGCGACCAAAGCACCCTTACGCACCTGGGGATAGTGGTGCGTGCCAGGCCCTGGTGAAGTCCACCCAGCTCCTTGCCAGCCCTGCATTCCTTTTAACTCCGCACCCTCGTCGATCTGGACTACGCAGTTGATCTCGCCGTAAGGATGAGCGTGGTATTGGCCGGAGTATTCCTCCTGGCTGTCCATGAAGACCGTTGTGATACTACAATATTTCGTCTGTGCCGTGGGCAAAGCGATCCTTCCTCTGCGATACTTGCGCCCGTCGAGCTCCGTTTCTGCTACCCACCCCTCATTGAGTCCCTGCCGGATGTATGAGCAGAAATCGTCGTAGTATGGGTTTCCCGGGCCATAGTCTCTGTTAAGTCTCGCCTCTAGATCCTTTCCCGGAGTGCTGGATCGTGGCAAACGTCAGAATAGAGCTTCCTTCATTCCCGCAGTTGCTCACTGAAAAACACAGGGAAGCAAAAAAGGTAAAAAAGAAGAGAAAACAAAACGAAAGAAAAAAGGGAAACAAAAAAGGTAAAAAAGAATAGAAAAAAAAAAAGAAGAGAGAAGACAAGGAACTTACAGGTCTTGCACTTCATCTAAAAACTCAGCGCACCGAGCAACAAACTTTTGGGCCGTGGGCCACTTGGAAATCTCCAAAACGCCGGATTTATCCACGGCCATGTTCGCGTTTCTTGTTTGAAGCTCGGAAATTTTCAGATAGATCGGTGAGATGGTCGTGAGAAGATTTAAGCGCAAGTTCACAGTTGTTTCAGGACTTGAAGAGGCATGAGGGGTTCATATGTTAAGCAATTGGAACGAATGAAATCGGGCTGAAGTTTATCCTCTACCACGACCGGTCTATTTGCCGGTGTACGTATCCGGTACAGATCCGATTTGGAATCTAGCCGGAGACTTCGCCACTTGCGGACTTCTTGCGTCTTTCATCCGCCCCGAGTGCACCGCTGCCATCTCCCCCCTTCTGCACCTAATCTCTAGTGCGTGTCCAAGCGTGCTCAAATGTCTATTTCGCTTGTAGAGAATAGGCGGAGAAGATGGAACGGTTCGCGATTGGAGCTGTTGCTTTCCACGGTACCGCAGGGAATAACACCCACATCGAGCCGATCGACTTCCCGACCGGAAAGAAATCTTTCGCGTCCAACAATTACTATCCGCCAACTCAGCCCTGCTTCTCAATATATTTACGGGCCTCCGCGATGTGGTTAATTGGATTTCTACAGCATCGCATGCTTAAAGACACTGAGCAGAGCGGCCTCCCTCTACAGCCCGGAACGGACTCGACCTCGTACTAAATAGCGACACTCAATCTCGAGCACACATTCCCACATACCCTTTTCATATGCCCTCTTCTTTTTTACACTCTCCTAAATAAAACACTGCACTAAGATTGTTCTCTCCTATTTTCATTCTCTCTCTCTCTCCATCTCTCCGCGACAATGGATAGCATGGATCGCGTTGATCTCCTCATCGTCGGGGCTGGTATGCATCTTTCTACACAATCTCCCAAAAGAGTGGTGTCTTTCGTAGCTTCTAACTCCATGTGTTTCTTAACAACAGGCTGGCACGGACTGGTCATGGCCAAGACTTACATCGAGACCCACCCGGAGGCTAGCATCCTGATCCTTGATTACGGCGAGTCGATTGGTGGGACCTGGGCTGAGGAAAGACTTTACCCCGGGCTAAAGACGAACAACATTGTGGGCACCTTCGAGTTCAGTGATTTCCCGCTGACTCCGAAACTCTATGGCCTTGAGCCGGGACAGCATATCCCCGGAACTGTCGTTCACAAGTACCTGTGCGACTTTTCGAAACACTACGACTTGGAGTCCCGTATCCGCCTGAGAACAAAGGTTGACACCGCTACGCTCTTGCCGAGTGGATTATGGCAGATCGGCTATTCTACGTCACCTTCATCGTCAGCTGGAGCGGAAAAGTCGGATATGGAACCCACAACGGGCCGTGGGGAGGTCCTCGCCTCAAAATTGGTCCTGGCCACGGGGCTCAGCTCACAGCCATTCATGCCTCCTCTCCCAGGACGAGAAAACTTCAAGGGCCACATCTTCCACGCCAAGGATTTCAAATCTCGTGCTGAGGACATAGCATCATCGAAGACTGTCGTCGTAATCGGAGGAAACAAGTCTGCCTGGGATGTCTGCTATACCTCCGCCGCCCGCTTCGGTGCCAACGCTCATATGATCATGCGCCGCTCAGGGGGTGGCCCTAGTTGGGTGTGGCCAGCTAAGTTCCCGGGATTCTTCACCTCGCTTGCTGGCCTCTCGTCAACGCGCTTAGTATCGTGGCTGGATCCGAGCCCGTTTGGCCCTTCTGGAAAGGCCATGAGAGCCATCATGAATCGTTCATGGGTGGGTCAGAAATTGATATCGCTCTTCTGGAGCCACCTCGATTCAAAGGTGGCATCTTTCAACGAATACGATGGCCATCCACGCACTAAGAATCTGAAACCCTGGACATCGACATACTGGATGGGCAACTCGCTCAGCATCCATAATTACGAAACTCGTTGGTTTGATCTGGCGAAGGATGGAAGGATCACTGCTCATGCTGCCGAGGTAGTTTCTCTATCGGAAGGAACCGTCCAACTCTCCGACGGGACATCGATAAAGGCGGATGCCATAGTCTGCTGTACCGGGTGGGAGGCTAAACCGAACATCAAATTTCTCCCAGAAGATGTTGCAACCAAGATCGGATTCCCTGGAGAGCTCCCTTCGGATCCATCCCTCAAAGCTCAGGTACGCGAAGAGGTCTGGAACTCAGCGCCAATATTGAGGCGGGAGCCGATCCGAAACCTTCCTGTGTCCCTGAATGCGGAAACTTTGCCGTCTAAGAAAGAAAAGAGCGAGTCTTCACCGTATCGCCTCTATCGATTTGTCGTCCCTTACCACCATGATTTTATTCGGCGAAGAAATTTCGCAATCATCGGCGCACACATCACCATCCACACCGCGATCCTCTCCCAAGCTCAAGCACTGTGGATCACATCTTACTTTGATAGCAGGATCCGGCACCTAGAGGGGTCAAACAAAGAACCAGATTACCATAAGATCAAGCATGATACTTTCTATCATACCGAGTTCGAACGGATCCGTCGCCCAAGAGAGACGGGTGGTGCGGGGGAACGATATCCCGATCTCGTAGTGGATAGCATTCCCTACGCGGATATGCTTCTTTCAGACATGGGCCTGACGTATCATAGAAAACAAAGCTTGTACAAGGAGATTATGGAAGCGTACCGAGTCTCCGATTACAAAGGCCTGGTTAACGAGTGGATCGAGCTACACTCTTGAAGGGCTATTGGTGCCGAAAGTAGTTTGATACACATAAAGTATAACCTAAAATATGGATTTTGTGTCTTTTTCCTTCAAAATAGATCAAATTGTGGTCATAGCTATCGTGATACCTCTCTCAGACTTGACTGGACGCCATTGACACGAGACTCGTTGAGGTAGACCAAAAAATATCGGTCTGTCATTGTCCAAACTGAGATGATTGACTTACGAAAATGCCTTGAACAAAACAAGACTGGAGATGGAACCGGAGACGAGGGGGAAAGGTCATTACAGAAACCCAGGGGGCCTAGAGACAAAGTACTGAGATGACATAGATCAACAAGTAATTGGGGAAGCTTGATAATAGGATAGAGCAAATACTCGAGGAGAAAATCACCCGATTCCAAGTCCAAGAATGTCGACTACTGAAGGAACAGATTTTCAGGCAGCGAGAATCAAGACACAAAAGGAGCACACTCAAGGCAGGCAGATCTCGACGAGGGGACCTGCTAGGGTCCCATTTGAGTCAGCAGACTATGGTATTGGACTTCGCCTTGGTAAGGTTCTGACAATAGTCTAACTAATACGAAGTTCGTCTCGTTTATAAGAAGGGGTTGGGTCGACCATAGAGGAATGGGGGAGGTTAATTCTCACGGCGTCTGTCTACTCCTACCAATGTATAAAAGAAAGCCGAAGGATTGATTGAAAACTAAACTTTCGATAGGACGATGAAGATCGAGGCCACCTAACAGGTAGTTCTTCCCCAACTGACTATTTCAACTATAGTGTCAATCGCTCATGCATCATGAGGCTTCAGGCTAGCTCAGAATTCCTTTCCTCTAGTTGTTCTTCATGCTATTACTACCCCAGAGCGCCTCGCCCTTGTAAAGAACAGCGTTTCCGTCGTTCTGCACTGTCAGCACGACCTTGTCGCCCCCGCTACGGAGGGTAGTCCCGGTGCTCCAGAAGGGTTTGTCGCCATTGTCACTAGAACAAAAGTTTGTCAGTCGAAACGGTAGCCTTCGAAGATGAAAGAAGACGACATAGTAGCTAGGGGATGGGTACAGAGACATTGAATTGGAGAGAGTGGTGGAAAGAAGTTGGAATCAACCACTTACTAAATCACCAAGTTGCCGTCACCCTGCATCTTGAGACCCTTCACATCCCAGACTTGCTCTGCAGAGCTTTGTTATCTGCATTTATTGTCCCAGTAAATGGCAAGCTTGCCATCTAGTTGCATCTTCAACTGGGTGTCGCCATCAGGACTAACGAGACACTGGCCGGGGTAGAGCCATTCGCCGTTGCCAAGAGTGCTGTGTGACATATTGATGGATGGAATTGAAGAGGAACTATAAATTAAATTTCTGGGGCTGTATATCTTCGAGGGCTGGATTGTCGTGAAAATATGATGAGAAGGATTTTGAAGCTCGTCAAGGAAATAGTCGGTGTCTTTATATATTGCAACGGGGCTGACATAGGACCTCATAAATCTCTCTTTTCAGCGCAAGGTCTTATAACTCATTGGCCATCTTGTAGGTTCAACTATGGCAGCCCAGATTTCTCCCATTCAATTTTCTCACCCCGTAACCGGGCCATAGCCACCGATCAGCGACGCGGTCTGCGGCCCTCCCCGCATTAGTCGCCCTCGCCAGCCAGCCACGCGCTCGTCGTCAAAGTCGATACAAGATTGAGGTGCGGAAGCATGCTTCTTATGTGGGGAATAATTACTCCTCGCAGCTTGTATGCGGGCCGCTGGATGTAAGGCCAACACTAGGAGACTGCAGTCCCGGGAGGTTATAGCCTACAGATGATCATGACGTCTCCCGGCAATCAATAGGCAGGAAAGCTAAGGGGGTCACAGGTCCGGGATCACCACGCACACGTAGCGAGAGTCTGCTCTTGGCTGAAAGTCGGGAATACACAAGGAGGCGGTGTGGAGATAACTGACGATGAGGAAGAAACCTTGACCGTTTAATTGTGATAGATCCGCTGTTGAAGGTGGAACCATGCTTCTTTTTTTCTTCTTTTTCAGCTCTATCCGAGTCCGCCCCGTTTTCAAGGATTGAGTCAAGGGCCAACTACAGCTATCTAGTACATAGTTCAAGATCTCCTCTCTATCTCTCACCTTAAGCTGTCTTGATATGTTAATGCTTTACGTAAATCAGTCGGGCGTTGTGGTCGAGTAAAACACACAAATGCGATGCATGACGGCCAAGTTTAAGATGCGTCTGCAAGTTAAAAGCAACCTTGAAAACAGCACCGCAATACGTGATCCGAAGTTTGATTTGTCGAGGCTGCCGGACCTGGGGGAAGATGGTGGCTGGGGGGGGAACACCGATCGCCGATTGCTTCTGCTCGCCGAATCTTCCGACACCACGCGGACTAGCAAATATCTACATCTAGAGATAGTTAATAGGCCGCATCATAACCTCACTGGTACACCCTCTTCCGTGCTATGGCAATGCTGGTGCCGCAAGCTGCGTACATACGTGGTCGGTAGCGACCGAAAATTAACCCGCGATAGACACTTGATATGCTATCTACGTGGTGGGCCAGCATCTCCGCTCTAGGCAATACGAAGTATCTCTTCCCATTTTCAAGATCACCTAGTCTTCATTCTCATTCATAGTCAAGGAGGTATTACGCCACTCTGTAGACCGATGTCGCTCATGGAAGAAGGGACTAGACAAATGCTTTGGAGCCGACAGCCCACCCGGAAAGCGTTTCGTCAGGATAACACTCCGCAAGTGAAGTCCCTCTGTCATCTATATCATTGGCGCCACACTCCGGATATTCTAGCTTCCATTGCCAGGAGCTCCATAGATGTCTCCACCAGAAGACTCATCCCGACCGAACAGGTGTCTCTAGAGAGTGGAACTCGAGAATGTCACGGATGCATGGCATGTATTCAATAGTGATGTAACATGCACTACACGTCGAATGGGGATAATTAATGGGATCTTTGCAGCGGCCGCTCGGCACGGGTTGCCCTTTCTGCTGGCCTGCTGGCTTCCAAGTTGCTTGGGGAGAACCAAGGGCCACATACCCAATATGGCCGATGTATCCCAAGTTATCCAACCAAGCAATATGGCTGATTTGGCGGTGTGAGAGGCTAATAAACGAGGTAAATCAAAGATAGCGACGGAAGTGAAACGGAGGATGAGGATGGGTCAATGTGCAAGATGTGGATGGGGTGAGTTCGCTGATCAGCATCGGCGTCTTTCAGCTTGGGCCGCAAGTCGAGCAGGACTCTTGAGATAGATTGGGGCTGGTTCTCCAGTCGGCTTGAATGGATTTGAGTTTTTGACACAAGGAAATCGTTGCCTCTTTCAAATGGCAATCTTACAAGTGGTTTGATGTCCCGGCGGGTGCATGGTGCCTGCCAGGTGTTGATACAGGACGGATTTCCGAGATGGATGCGGGGAGAACATAACCAAACCAGGGATCTTTTGGCGGAGGAGGTAAGGATAACTTCCTGAAGAAAGCCAGCGGCTTGAAGTAGACGGCATCTATGTCACACTTCCATATTCTAGAGCCAAAGTACACCAGTGCGCGGAACTCTACCCCTTCTCGGCCGGAATCGTACTTTCTTGTGTCAGGTGGGTTAGCATGGAGAAATTTTCTTAAATTATTTTTACGAAGTTCTTCCACATTGCTCAAGCTATCTGTGAGATCTATTTTTCACCGTAAATACTAGGCCTCTCTCTCAAGCAATTTGATTCCATGGAATATCATATCCTTCGCCCAGAAATGAATTTAGTTTTCTACGGGCTCTGGGACAGCTGCGCGGTCCTGATAGGAATCGGATATATTCGCGAAGCACGATCACGTCGTAAGAGCCTATCATCACGTTGCTGAGTGGGATAGTCGTCACTATACTCTCCGTTGAAAATACACCGTTCCTTCATGTCCTTTGCACTACAAAGTCAACGTCCGAGGTTCTCTGGGTTGCCGGTCATGATTCGAGAGCCTGACCCAATCGAGCGACAGTTTCACAGGAGCATAGCACATCCCCCTTCAAGTACATTGTCGGCGGTACTCCGTAGTAGTCCTGGATTTATTGCAAAAACTGCGGCAAATTCCAAGTGATGGGCTTTCATTATCAGCATGTCAGACCAAGTGCGGGGTTTAGGTCAGACACTCCAATTCAAGACATCTGAGACATCACCAGAGTCAGTGCAGCTTCATTCATCGGGTTTGCGTTGTGGTCGACAGACACCCATTCTGATAAACGCCACTGTCTAAAGCACACGCAGGAAAAGTTGGGCTTTAGCACCATGAATTCCGACAAGGAGCTGCCGCCAACGATATCCGAAACAGGGTCCATCATTCGCAGCTGTCAGAAAGCTCTCGCTGCCGCTAATTATCTAAATCATCGGTTAGATAGCGCAAGCAGAGGACCAGATGACAGGCTAAATCACGTTTCGAGAGAAATCCTATTACTGCGGGGAACCTTGGAGTTGGTACAGGCAAAGGCAAGCGAGTTCCCAGAGACGTTGGTCAGAAACCATGTCTACAACGTTGTCTCCTCCTGCAATACCGTAATCTACGAAGCCGAGGACCTCACACATCCTTCCCGCTGGAAAGATGCGAAGGACAGGGACGTTGAGAGATTACAGGGCAGTATACAATGGTCTACATCGGCACTGCGCCTTGCCCTGGAGGTTCTCGCCCTGTACGTAGTCCCCGAGAATCCTAAGCCATCTCAGTTCACGCTAACCATCTTTGTGCTCTACAGGCGGTCGGCAGCTCATGAGGTGCCGAGGTCCATAAACCTAGAGTTCAAGCAAGCTTCCACGACGTCGGAAGCGTTGTCGAGCACCGTTACCGCAGAGGTGAGAGCCCTGCCTCGAGCAGTGACAGTCAGGCTTGGGGAAAGATCAAAGGATGGGACATCCAGAGATTCGACTACTACCGCAACAGTCAATACCATCGCCACGCAGACAAACGATAATTACCAAGAGTTACGCTTACAGATCATTGTCGGGAATAGGGAGAGACGTTATCCTCCGGCACCAATAGTGGACCATACACAAAAGGGGGCGAGGGAGGAAGGGAAACAAACACATGCCGATAAAAGAATAACCGAGAACCCCAGCGAAGATAAACATCCGGAATGTGGTAGAAAGGATGTACAACCAGATAATACCGACGGAAGCCCTCAGAATGTCGCGCGAAAATGGAAGAGTGTTCGGGATGTGTTTTTGTTCAAGGGCCATTTGATTTTAGACATGCCATGTCCAAGGGCTATCCGCAAAATACTGGAAATCGCGCCAGATTCTCGAAGCGAGTATAGCCACTTGCGCTACTCGGCTGTGACTTGCGGTGGGGAGGAGTTCGCAACAGATCCGAGTTGGAAGCTGCGGTCGTCGCTTTTTTCCCAACCAAGGACGACAGGGCTATTCATCTCGGTTGCTGTTTCCAAGTCTTCGGATATCCTCTCTGCGTTGCAGAAGATTTGGGCCACATTCGATGCCATGGACGATAGGGCACGGTTGCGTGGAAACTCTTCTTTCAAGGACGACTGGAAGCGCAGGATCGTTCATATCCATTGCCCGATATATCCTGATGAAGAGGTCCAAAGATTGTTCAACGAAATCGGGGTACGACCAAAAACGCCCGATCGGGCAGCTTTTCTGGACGTCGAAGTGGATTCGGAAGTCTTTTCTGAAACGGAGTCAGTCGGTGGAACAGGCGTGTTGTGGTACATGTATGAGGTACGAAGACTTGATTCCCAAGGAGTACCAAAATGGGTGACGTCCACTAACCATCGAAAAATTACCAATAGTACACTGCAAAGCTCCGTCTTACGGCTGGTCACGATGCGGGGCTAGGAAAAACGGAATACATAGCTTGCCTCAATGCCAAGGCGAGCCCAGTGCAAATCATCGTTACTAACGGCCGCAGGCAGGTTGACATTAGCTGGGGTGGGGATATCAGTATCTCGCCTCCGGCTCTGTTTAGGCCGACATGGAGGGAAGTGCGACAGGCCCTAAGTCAAAAGCTGGGTGCCAAGGTGATTCTCTACGGCGATGGAGAGTCCGTAGCAAAGCATTTCGGCATGGATACGGTAGAGAAGGCTTGGGAGAAAGGTGGGGAGTTTGAGGGGATGCTGGGGGATATCTCTGGGGAGAGAGTCGGGAATACCAATAAGCCTGGACTTGCGTCACGATCGAAGAGATGGCTCTTTGGTTGATATGCTGAGGGATATGAGAGACTGTAATGTTTGCAGCTTGACCCAATAGAGTTGTGACAGAGAAATTGAATTCACTTGCTTTTACCAAGTAAGCGTCGGCACTCGGCGGGCGCGTACGTTCATGGCCACGGATGTGGTCTCGGCATGGTGGGTGCGGGTGCGGCTATCCAGCTTCATTCGCCTCAGTGTTGAAATGGCCCTTCGCCTGTGACGTACCCAATGGGAGCGTGGTCTAATACTTACTTTCACCAGAGTTGTAAAGCTGGATACTATGAATTATATTCCCATTTACTCGGGATGTCTCCGATACGCCAGATCCTTTCTACTTCTCACTTATGATATCCTAGACCTCTCGAATAGCATCATCCAAATCACCGCCCTAAACAACCGAAAACAATATTCTACTGACATGAAACCCTCTCCTCCGCTGAAAATGAACGTCTCGTTGTTTCGATTGCAAGCGACTCTCGTCCTCAAATCTCCTGTCTAAATTCACTCTGTCGACAGGTAGGTCTCACCTCACCGCAAATATTCGGCAAATGCCGAAACATTCATCTCAGCCATGCTCTAACAAGTGCGGCATCACTGGACGTAACTCGGATTTCCACTCCAGTTTGTCGGGTACGAGTATGGCTGGGGAGCAGTCGGCTGGGGCTGGGCATATGGATATGGCTGCAGTTGCGCAGGCGCTTGGGCTTGGTATTGCTTGGGTTGTTGGTAAGAATACTGCTGCTGGGTTGGTTGCTGAGGGGGTGCAGAACCATAGCTTTGGTGCTGTTGCTGTTGTGGTGCAACCTGAACCGGGGCGTTGTATGTCGCTTGTGGCTGTGGTTGGGCTTGGTTCTGAGCGGGCACTTGGGCAGGCTGATATGCGGTGTTGCTTGCCTGGCTTGCCGTCGGCGCGGGTCCATAATGATATTGTGGTGCTGCGTAAGATGGATTATAAGCTGAGGTGGCGCTTGCTGCAGCGACAGGGACCGCAGGCGGTGGGGGTATGTTGTTATTGGGCATCGAGGCATAAACCTGCGGACGGTAAGCTTGGTATGGTTGGTACGGAGTCGAGCAGACAGAAACCGTGGGCGAGATTGGAGTAGCAGCAGAAGAATAAGTCGACAAAGGGGTCGGGCATGACCCAGTATGGGTGTAGCTCACGGTGGAATATGATGTCGCCGAGGATGACGTCTGAGTCGAATACGAAGAGTTGCCGGTTTGCTGTTGAGAAAGGGTACTCGTCTCCTGGTAGTAGGATGAATGTGGCGGGGTCGTGTATTGTGATGCATCATTTTGAGACTGCTGAGGAGAGACAGCAGAGGAGGGCATTTGAGAGCCGTGGGACTGTTGGCTGTCTGATCCTTGGGGCTGAGTAGATGGAGATTCATTAGACTGGTGATCTACCGGCTGAGGACTTGGTTGTTTGTCTTCGGGCTTTTCTGGTGTCACAGTTGGTTGGGGCTCGTAGTAGTCGAAGGATTCATACGCAAATGATGAGCGCATGACTGGTTGGGTCGGGTCGGTAGGAGCCGATGGCGCTGGCGGTGCGGAATGCGCTTCCTGAGGTTTGATGGGTTGCTGGGCATCTGAGGGTGTATTGCTCGACACGGGAGCTTGGGCCTCCAAGCCTCTATCCTGGGAAGCAGGGGTAGCACTGAGTTCGTTCGCAGGCTGTGCAGGTGGTGGTCCGGGAAGAGACTCGGCCATCGATGTCATGTCGTAAACTGAATAGTAAGCGCTTACAGGACCGGCCGAAGTACTTTGAGTAGGGGCTTGGTTGGCCTGGACATCTTGGGATGTCGAAGGGGCTCCCTGTTGAGCGGTCTGGGGCTGGGTTTGTTGGGGGTATCCCGGCACAGTAGCTACGTATGCGGCATGGACCGGCTGTTGGTTGGGAATTGCCCCAGTCGGCTGAATGCTTCGGTCTTGGGGAGTTCCTGACGCAGGAGGATAAGCGACGTTCGCTTGTTGATTGACCTGATATTGCGGTTGGGCTGGACCGTACTGGTAAGAAGGCTGTTGTGTAGCCGCGGTCCCATTCGGGTATTGGTAGCTTTGGGGAGCTTGGGCAGGCGCGGCGGGCGTTTTGGAATCAGCGACGAACCCGGCAGGTGGGCCATTCGTGCTCGCAGTGTAACTTGGAGGAGGTTGCACCCAGGTCTGGTCGGGATATGTTGCATAGGTCTGAGGCTGGGCGCTACCCGCTGGGCCATAAGTATATGGTGGGGCGGCGCTCCCAGGACGGCAGGCATAGGTCTGAGGTTGGGTACTGCTTCCAGGTCCGTACGTGTAGGGCTGGTAGGGTTGAACTGAATATCCGGCCTCCGCCGCCTTGGCATTCTCAACCGCCTTAAATACGCCCGCAGCTTTAAATGCTTTGTGGGCTTCCTTCTTCTTGACGTGACTCGTGTGTAGATGTTCGATGCCCATGCCCGCGCCATCCATGGCAGCATGGGTAACTACCTTAATCGCCGTCTCGTTTTGCACGATTGAAGATATACCGTGCTCGGCGCCATTGGCAGCGATCGCCTCCGCGCCCATCGTTCCCACGCCCAGTGTGACTACGCCGATCGTGCCGCTAAATGCCATGCTGCCGAGGACGTCTCGTTTTCGGGTATTGTGGGTTGTGCCATGCTTCTGCAGGTGCTTTTCGATGATCTCTCGCTTCTTTCTCGCGTTGTGGATCGCGGGCGCTGCCATGCCGACACCGATGACCGAGACACCCAATGTCAAGGGGATGGCGAGACCGGAAACAGCGGTGGATGTGGACGCTCCAGAGATCAGGCGCGTATAGTGCTGCCATTCTCTCTGGAGCTCTTCGGGGGTCATGCCATTGCATTTCGCGTCGTAGGCCTTGAAGTCGAACGGCATCTTGAATCTGGCGGGACCGGAGACAGTGTCGATGCCAAGGAAGAAGGTACGTAGCCAAGAACAGAAATAAAACGGAAACACCAGGGGAAAACGATTCCAACCCCCTGGAGGGGTCTGGAACAAGGAATTAATAGTCCAGGTCTAGGCCGCCTAGCTGAAGAGGAGCATCGTGGCTTGTACTCTGGTATTTTCAGCCGCACTCTCTCTCATTGGGCTATCTCGATCAATATTTCGACGCATGGTGGGCCTGGCCTTAGCGGCAGGGGATTAGCGCCCCCAAGCGTGGACAAATTGATCCTCCCAGCGCATAATTGGACGTATTCACTTGAGCCCAACCGTTTTTAGGCACAGGGATGAGGATGTGTTTCATTTGAAGTGGGCCGATATCGATGCTCCTCACTCGCTCGCTCTGGATCCTGAAAGCGAACACTTGCAGGTCGATTCGCAGGCAGTGCCAGGGACCATCGAGACCAGGCTGGCGTTTTCGTCCGGGTTTAAGAGAAGCGAAGCGCATGGGGCTTTGGCTCGGGCTATTTTGAGATCTGCGATCGTATCACTCCTTCCTTTTTTCCCTGTTCTTCTTTGTTCCCGGTTTCCAGCCGAGGGAAATTTCCCGTGATGGCTTTGGTCGCAGGCTACACGATATGACAGAGCCACATTCCGTTGAGTATGGTGCCGCCTTACCCGAGAATTTTAGCGTCGGAACGCACCGGAAGCACAGCAACTGCGGAGATAAGTTCTTCTAGTTGATGCTATGTCCGTTCTCTGGAATGAGGGGCCATTTTCTTCACGGACGCTTTGCGTGGAGTGGAAACACGAAAGAAAATAGCATTGCTGTGCAACATGTAATATCCTTAAATTTTTCTACCAAATCATTTGATAATTACGGATCTTGTGCCGCATTCTTGGCCTGAAGGGACCGAGGGACTCGAACTGGCCGCTTCGCTGCTTTGAGAGGAAGGACGGGAATCCTCCGGGTAAAGATATATCGAAGTCGTCAGACTTCCGGGGTGGACTGCGATATTAAACTTATCTCCGCGTCAAACAACCCCCGCGTGCGGATGCTCCCGCTAACAGTCTCGGCGTATGTCATTTGACAGGGTGGCGCATACAATTTCTGGCCAGCATTGGTGGGTTCAAGACTTGGCATCGGTTGATCTCTGAATTGTGGGGTGCTCCTCCATTGTCAAGTAAGATTTATCTTCAACAAAATAACATGAAGAAGCGCGTTATCACGGCGATCATTTGAAACTTTAGACCCAAACGAGACCGCATCGACACTTCTCATCATGCAATACCCGTCACCCTCACTCAGCAAGATGTCATTGACGACCTTAGCAAGCACAACATAGGAATGGAGAGAAGATCAACGGCTGAACGAGCGACTGGACAAGTCCTGTAGGTCGTCCCAGGTATATTTGCCCATTCCCAACAGAATCACATCGCTCGGCACCAAGCGAGGGAAACTTACCAACTTGTTGAAGGATAGAGATATTATAGGTCATGTACTGCTGCTATCCGCGCCTACTCCTCGAGTCCGGTGGAGATTACATAAAAGAAAAACGCGGCCGAGTTTTCGGGCGATGATAGAAACACAAGAATCCACCCACAAAGACAAACCGACTACTTAAAGATGGAAATTGATCCTCTTCTTTCCAGCCTTCTCTTCATCTTGGCCCTCGCCGACCTGTTCAACAGTAGCCTCAATCTTCCCCGTCATCAGCTCCTTAACACCACGCATGAACCAAATGGCGACAATTGCAATCACAACAAACGGAATAATACTAGCCCAGGCCAACCGATACGCGTGGGCGTATTCCTTGTACCCGGCAGCAGATGCCGCCGCCCAAACGGCATCGGTGGCGCCCTCAACGCCCTCTCGGACGCCGGAAGCCATCGCAGTCAGCAGGTCAGCCACGCTGGACTCCGGAAGACCGGCACCGATAGCCGCGGCGGTAACAGCCGGTGCGTAATGCCCCGCAAGGCGTCCGTGGATGATGGTGTCCAGGACAGCAGATCCCATGGCGCCGCCGATGGCTCGGGCCGAGAAGGCCAGTCCAGTCGCGGTGGAGAGGAAGGCATGAGGAGCGGTGTACTGGATGGCAGCTGGAAGCAGGGTCAAAGGGCCGGCCTGACCGATACCGGCCAAAACGTTGATAGCGAGCTGCGCTTTGTCCATGCTGGGCTTAATGTTGGCATAAAAGATGGTGCTATAGACCACGAGACGCATTAGCCAAGACTCAAGTAGCATTCACTCTTCACAAGGTCTCACTTACACAGCAAGAAAGATGATGAAGGTAATGAGAAGGGGATTCTTGAGATCCTTGAAGTAACTGGCGTAGCCTGAGAGGATGAGGGGGAAAGCCAAGATGGTGCACTGGAACGACAGCTGCCGGACGGAAATGTCCCACGAGTTATTCTCGAATCCGAGATTCAAGACGATCTGGGGCACAACGGCGTTGACGGCACTGTAGAAGATCCAGCCCTCGACGGCAAAGGCGAAGGTTGAGTAGAAGAAGTTGGCGTTGTGCTGGAAGAAGATGTGGGCAACGAGACCATCATCACGGCCCTTCCACTCTAGATTAAAGAATGGGTAATTAGTATTGATCAAAATATAGAAAGACAAGAAAGAAAGAAATATCATTGGCTAGACAAGTGAAAACCAACCGTAGAGACCGAAAGCAACAAGCAGCACTAATCCGATGGTCAGAGGAGCGACAACATGAGCGTCGTCCCACTCGTAGACACCGCTGGACCAATTGAGGGCCAGAATGGTCAAAGTAGAGCCGGCAATGAATAAAACCGAACCGATAGGGTCGCAAGTCCAGATGTACTCCTTCAGGGCCATCTTGGGGTACTCCTTGTTCTTGGGAGGCCAGTAGAATAAGAGGAATCCAATGCATGTGAGGCCATGGAAGATGGCCTGGATCCAGAAGATCCACCGCCAACCGCCAGAATCGACATTGGTGACCGCACCAGCGCCAAGAGATCCAATTCTAGATAATAGTTTCTTGTTAATGAATAAATGCAGACAGGGGAAAAGTAGAACTTTGAAGATGCTAAACTAGACTTACAGGCCACCGATGGTACCACCCATACCACAGAAACCTTGCGCGATAGGACGATACTTGAGAGGAAGAATTTCAGAGGGAATAGCCTGCACGATGGAAATGGTCGAAAGCGTGGTTCCAATCAAGATGCCACCGCCAACAAGCATATTCATCGAAGTCGCCTTGGCGGAGATGACGGCGCCGACAAAGGCGATCAATGGAGGACCGGCGGCAAGGTATTTCCGCTCCAGAACGTCGGAGAGACGACCGAAAATGGGGGACAAGACAGCCTGCATGAGAAGCGGAGCTTGAATGATCCAACCCGCCAGACCGGCTTCGCCCATATCACGAATGATGAAGGCGATGACGGATCCAGCCGCAACGACGACAAAGACCTGGGAGACAACGCTGAAAACAGATTGTTAGTCAAGAATTGATAGATCACAGTGAGAAGGTATGGTTCCTAGAATCGGTTCAACGTACGCAAAACATGTTACAAGTACGACGACCTAGAAATTCGGAGTCGCGTTAGCAATTAGCGACACTGAAGACCAGCTTTCGCTCCAAAACGAGAAATCGACAAGATCAAAAACTTACCCAAGACCTCCAACTAAGCTGAATGTGAACACCATCGTCCGCAGCCTCCTGGACAATTACGTCCTGATGCTGGGGCTCAACATGTTCCACCTGTTGACCTCGGTCGCTTGCACTCTTATTCGAATCCGCCGCCATTGTGAGGGCGCCGAAGAAAAAAAAAATAACTTCACGTCTGTTCCAACTGAAGCGACTTAGTTATAGAGATTAAAGTTGCAAAATAAATGAAGCTCGAGGAATGCGAGAAAGTCGCAGCAGGTGTGTTACCAAGAGAGGGTATATAGACAAACAACACGCAGCTTAGGGTATCATTCGCTTCAATCAGCTAGGATGCAAGAACCACTACGACGTTGCCCCAGTGCGTAGTGGGCCCGCTATTAAATCGAAACCTGACATCTCGAAAAAAACTGAGACCCCTGACAGGTCTTTTCAACACGTCGAGATGTCTTCGCAATTGCCGTTGCCCTCAGACTCACGATGAACCAGTCCCACTTCACTAGCGTCCTTAGGTCTGAAGAGCCCCACAGTGCAAATGAGTCCAGAATACGCGGGATTCTGTCTAAAGGGGTCGAAGGGCCCCCAAAGAGGTTGGAGCGAGGTGAGGCGACAAAGAGAATGGAGGGGAGATGTGGGTCCTATCATCCTATCCTCGGTTCACTCTGGAGCGTGTTGGGCTCCACCGACACGAGGGACCGCTGAAGCGCGTAACACTGGGGCAATCAGTGGGTGGATACTGGATAGTGCCACGCGGGCCATGCCAAGCATACGCCATCTGGCGAAGAAGCAAGGTGCTGTGTAGGGTTCACTGAGCTATCCCCTCGATGTACTATGGTGTATGGGAAATGAAACGGGGAGCCGTCGGTCAAGGTTATCCACGTCCCAACTAGCATTCCTGCATTTTACACTACTCCGTAACTCCACTTACCCCATCCATGAAGTGGGTAGAAGCTGGGCGGACGAGTGGGGTCAGCTGATAGATTCGGGCATGGCGCGATGCGGAGGTGAGATGCGGGGATTCGGAAAATGTGATGGTGGGCCGACGGCAGATCTTCAAGGCCTGCAAACTACGGCGAAAACCAGGTCCACTTCATGACTCGAATACTGAGAATCCATAGAGTCAGGGGTGTCCTTGGTGAGACTACGCTTACTTCGCACCACCCACCGCGGAGTATTAATGGTGTAGAGAAATGCTCCTCGCGGACTCCAAATGTATACTCCGAAATAGTGCTCTTCTTCATGCGTGGCCTCGCTAGTGGGTAGCTTGTTGCCGGATCTGGCTAGATGGATCCTTCTGGTTCCCTAGGATTCGGATCTTGTCTCGTGGAGTTGAGTCTGGGGTAAGAAGAGATGGGGGGGTCGCAACGTCAAATTGTGCTCCTTGATCGGATTGTCAGTTCGGTGGGCATGTCGTAGAACACCAAATTCCGGCATTGTGAGCTCTCATCTGCGGGTGCACTTGACCCCACTGCCGCGGTTTGTCGCACATTGCTTGCAACTGACAGGGATGTTTAAGATTATTATCTTTGTCAATACGAGATTTCGGATGTTATGATCTTATCGATTTTACAGGGGGATGAGTGGCCTCTCCTTGTGTCTAGGATACCGAGGTATTGAATCTCTTCAATCTTTTGACTAGGTAGTGATGAGAGGAAAGTATGGCTCCTTGTTATGATGTTAATTCTCCAGGCAGCAGGGGTTGGTACAGAGAGATCGAAGCGTTGGACGGGATATTTAATATTACTCCTCTCAGGCGAGTCGCCGACGACCTTCGGTCTAGGACCTGCTAATCCAGGATAACCACCAGCAGCCTGGCGGGGGGTGGGGCTAGGCCAACCCATGGGGCTGCAGCTTGTGAAGGCCCCCAATACGACTCTTAACTCTGCTTCAGCGTGGCGTGGAGGTTTCAACGCTACTGAATGGATCGAATCTGGGGAACAAGAGACATCCGTCTTGCCTTGGCCAGTCAAAGCGCTCCAAATGTAATGCCGATCAGGACCGAAAGACGACTTCGGAAAAGCCAGAAGGGTTCCCACAGATTTAGGGATTGATAATGGCCCCTCTCTCGAAATGAATTACACGCATGAATAAAATGTCGGGAACTCTTCCCGTCCCCGGGTCCCTGAGCCCCAACGCCGAGTAAAGATCGCTTTCCTTTATTATCGTCCATTGGTTTCCCGCTTTTCCCCTCATTCTCCCAATCGGTCGGGAAACTCCAGACCCCTCTTTCCGCGACCTCCACTGCGCCAAAGTCTCAAGTCCTGGCCATCTTCAGACCTCCAGAGACTCTTGTCGAACAATTCCAACAATGTTGAAGCAAATAGACCTCCTCCTAACACATCCGTACGTCTTAACTCTCCAAGAAAAGATCGCCGATGTGAGTGCCGCAAATGTCGCCCTCGCAACCCTGGCGTTCGGCGCCGCCGTCGTCGCCATCGACTATGGGCACATGCTGTACTTGAGGTCGAAGATGCCCCCCGGCCCGTTTCCTCTTCCAATCGTCGGTAATACACTTTCGCTTCCGCAGAACAAACCATGGCTTTTGTTCGAGGAGCTTTCCAAGAAGTACAAAACGCCCGTCATTACATTTTGGGTCGGCCGGTATGTTCTCCCCTGCCGTGACGACGCGGGCAGCAAAATGACAATGAGAGCCCCTGAAACGTTGGCCAATCCTCCACTAACGCCACAACAGAAACCCAACAGTCTGGATCAACGATGCCTGGAGCGCACAGGAAATTCTCGAAAAGAAGGCCCAGATCTACTCATCACGCCCACACATGGTCGTCTTCGGTGAACTCGGCGACGGACAATACAGCCTAGTGACCATGAAAACGCAGAACCAGCAGGATCGTGAGAGATGGCGCGGACACCGTAAGTTGATGCACATGGCAGTGGGCATCCAGACGGTGAGGAAATATCGCCAGGACCAGAATAACGAGAGCAAAATCATCGCGCTCGACTTCCTCCGTGAGCCGAAGGAGTACGTTAAACACTTGGAGCGATATGCCACGAGTGTCGTATCAATCATTGGCTTTGGACGCCGGGTGGCCAGTTACAATGATCCTATCATCACCGAGGTCATCGCCCTGATGCAACTAGCAGCTGATCTCAATGTGCCTGGGAAGAGCTTCCCTATGCTGATGGAGACGTTTCCGAGTGCGTTGCATCTGTCTCTTTTCCTAACCACCCCGCCACAAATCGTGGGTGAAAAGTCAACCCCGGCCTGAGGCTAACAGCATGCGTAGTTCTTGCGAAATTCCCTCGGTGGATGCCTTGGATGAGAGGCCTCGGTTCTCGCGGCAGCGGTGACGGAGATTACTTCTACTACACCCTGAACGAGGAGGCTGTTGAGCAGTACGCCGCTAAATCCCCAGCTGCGCAAGCATCCAGGTCGACACCCTTCGCTCAGACCTTGTTCGATGAGAAAGAAAAGTACAACCTCACGCGGAGGGAGATATCTAGTCTCACATCGAACTTGTTCGGCGCTGGTGCCGATACATCCTCGAGCACTCTCGTCACATTCATGCTTGCGTGCTGCGTCTTCCGCGAACCCATGTTAAAGGCCCAGGCCGAATTGGATGCCGTCATTGGTCCTTCCCGCTCGCCTCACTGGGATGACTCTCCAAACCTCCCCTACGTAAACGCCTTTGTGAAAGAAGTATTCCGCTGGCGCAGCGTAGCCATTATCGGCGGGCAGCCCCATGCTCCGACTCAGGACGATACGTACAAGGGCTGGCTCATCCCCGCTGGAACATGGGTGCAGGGCAACGTTTGGGCCATCCACCGCAACGAACGCGAATTCCCCGACCCCGACAGGTTTATGCCCGAGCGGTTCCTCGAGGGCAACGAGTACAAGAGGCCCTTCCCCAACGACAAGGGTTACATGACTTTCGGATGGGGCCGTCGCGTCTGCAGCGGCCAAGCGCTAGCCGAGCAGGGAACCTGGGTTAGCGTTGCGCGGTTGCTTTGGGCCTTTGATATCCGGAAGAAGAGGGATCCCCGGACAGGCAAGGAGATTGACCTCGACATCTTTGCGTTCACGAACGGGTTGAATATTCGGCCGCAGCCGTTCGAGTGCGACATTATACCGAGGACCGAGGAGATCAAGGAGACGATAATTAGGGAGGGTGAGGAGGCGCTGCGCGAGTTGTCCGTGTTAAATGGCGAGAGCCAGTATAGGCTGAGTACGTATTACCAGACGATGAAGGCTAAGGGCGGCACAGAGCCTGTGATTGACGAGAAGGGGGAGCTGAAAATGGTCAAGGTGAAGGGGTAATAGAGATGGTTTGGTTGGGACGTCAAGTAGATATCATGGCTTGAGATAGGGTTCCTGGAAGGGGGAAGGAAAATAAAAGAGAAATATATTCATGGATGACTCTCAAAATATTGTTTCACCTGCAGCTGATTTCAAAATACATTCAACCTCGGTAGAGCTGAGCACCTTCAGGCAAAAGAAAGCCTGGCAAGATCTCCTTCCATAACCCTCTTGCCGTAAGGGCGTCAGGATACCCTATAGACCCGAGTCCTCCTGTTCTACACTGAACTGCTCTTCATAAGTAGCCCATGCACTACAAGTACTGTTGAGGATGTCCGAATCAATCAACCCGGCAATCTCATCGTACCGTTCGATAAACTGCAGCGAAAATCCTTCACTGGTGTGCCAGCCGATGTGGCAGTGCATGAGCCAGGCACCGGGGTTATCGGTCTCGAAAGCGAGAGCGAGGTATCCCGAGGCTGGAAGCATCGCCGTGTCTCTTCGAGCCGGGTTGTTGGTATTCAAAGTGACGGAGTCACTGAACGTTCCGGACCCCTGGGCAAGGACAAGGAAATCGTGGCCGTGCAAGTGGATTGGGTGTGGGATGGCCAGAGCGGTCTCGATAACAATGTACACCCACTCATCAGCGTTAGGCAACTCGATGACGGCGTCGGAAGTATCCCAGGTCGTCTGCCCCCGCTGGATGGCCAGTAGGGTAGGGTCGCCCCACTCGACAAGCATCGTAGTCGAGTTCAAGTACCAGCGGAATAGGTTCTTCTCATTAAATCCTACTGTTGCTTGCTCAACGCCTTTGCTGCTGATGGAACTGGCAGTCTTCGCGACGTGCGGCACGAGGTTCGAAACGTCCATATCCTCGCACCCCTCTGAGTAGCTGTCGGGTCTAGATGTAGACGGAGTAGCCGTGGAGCTGCCGTAGCGCACGATTCCCCTGATGTTATCTTGGCTCTCATTCTCGCTGCATGCGGACTGTGGAATGGCCCTCATCCAAAAGCTGTCCGCAACGTTGGCTTGGTTAGCTGTGATGATTACATCGTATCTTTGACCTATATAGATATGGTCAGCAGAGTCTTAATACAAGCGAAGAGTTGGTACATTTTTCTTACCCATCCCGATGCTCAGGATATCTGTTGTGAAGGGCTCGATTGGCACAAAATCCGTAGCAATCACCGTCAAGGTATGGTTGTCAACCATGAACTTAAAGTGGCTATCGACTGCAGCGTTGACGATTCTAAGTCTGTAGGAGTTGCCTTCGGTGAGAGAGACGGCGAACCGTGAGCCGACCTGGCCTGCTTCACCATCTTCACCAAACACATTCGTACCGTTGATGAGGCCGTTATTGAGAGTGGGGGGTCCAGTCGTCTGGGCGGCGTGGAATAGCTGATCAACTGTTTGGTGGCTCCAGTCATTCAAGAATAGGTGGCCGAGATCTTCGTCGTAGTTCGAGGTGGCCGGACCGTTGATGACGATTCCGCCGAAAACGCCCTGATATGCCTGCAAGGCGAAATGAGAGTGGTACCACCCACTCCCGTACTGGAGAGCTTTCCAAGTGTACGTCATGCTCGAGCCTGGGGCTGTCGGGCATTGGGTGATTGACGGAACTCCGTCATTCTGGTTGGTAAAGTTTTGACGAATGCCGTGAAAGTGAAGGCTGGTTCCATTTGTCGACTCTGCGATGGAATTGGTAACGTGGACAATGACAGTATCACCTGTCTATTGTTAGATGGAGGCTTAGGGTGGATTTCAGACATGGGAATTCACTTACCCCAATCGGCAATGATCGTAGGGCCTGGAATACTACCATTGATGGCTTGAACGTATCTTTCCACACCATCAGGGGAGGCCGTGGTCTCGGTAATATCAAACCAGTCTACAGATGTCATATAATCAGCGATCACTTTCCCAAGGCAAGGGAATCTCGGGGTTACCAGGCACTGCCCTGCTTAACTCACATTCACGAGTGACACCGGTGTCAGGGGCTATGCTTGTGTAGTCGGTATCAACGGAAAAGTCGCACCATTCCGACCGAGTATTCGCAGTGTTGCCCGAGCAGGCCGCGCGTGAAAACAGCAGAGGCTCTGGGGGGGAAGGAATGGCAGCTGCAAGCCCAAGGAGGGATGCTGAAAAGAGAGAGGCAATCATGTCAAGGAGTGAACGACCCTTTGTCTGGAAGTGAAAATTGAGGCTGTTGATCTTGCTGTTGATCTTGAAGGACCTTTTCGGCGATTGCGGGTGTCCTCTCCAGTTTAAAAAGAAAATTTTATTCCCTTACAGACGTATTTAGCCAACTAACAAACGAAGGCTCGAACGAACCCCGGTCTTCATCGTGGCCTCGTCTAAGCTGTCGATTACCGACCCATGACACCCAACGCGCGTCACTTGCGTCCGCATCATTGGTTGCTGAGTAGAAACGCCTGCGCCGGGAGACAGGGGATGAAGGAGGAGTTGATGGCATTCGCAATCAATCTCAACAGCCACCCAGGCGGACATGCGGAAATCATCCCCACAGGGAACGGGCAAAGAGTCGTAATCTGAAGGTCAAAAACAGGGCTCGAGTAGGGATCGTAGAAACTGCATCGCATGCTTCCCCGGTCAAGTCCTGAAAATATGCACAAGGCCCGGACTTTGAGAAGCCCCAAACCCACAGCCCGGCAGTGGAATTCATCAAGGGTGCTTCGATATTGGACCCGCGATACGTAAGGCATTTACACAAGGGACAAGGGACTCAATCTCGGTACCAGCAAAAAATGTGCAATTGGTCACAGCCATGGGTGGGACACAACTAAAAAAAGAGGTCCCCAGCCTTGCAAACGTTTCATCGGAAAAAAAGGGGCGCTTCGGAGGCTTACTGATCGCATGAAGATTGACACGCGGCTCAGGCCGTGCACTACCATGACGTTGATAGGACGACCGTTGAGGGGGCAGACTGACTCGTTACTCTCCCGGCATGTTTCCCTTTTCGTCTAAACCCCCGGGAATGAGATGAAGATGTTTTCCCCGTTATCGCCGCCGATCTCGATTGTGAAGCCCCCACCCTCTAGACAATGCTGACTTGACATTCCCTGCGACTCTCGAAATATCGTTGTCATGGCCCTCCGCCTATGGAGAGGCGACGCGTCATCCACACATTCGAGCTCGACAAACAAAAATAGTAACGCATTCTGAGTCTCGTATGCGCGATCGCCTGTAAGGAATTCTGAAAACCCTAAACATGGCTGAGAAGATATCAATAAGAACCCGCCCACTTCTTGAATTTTGGTATTACTGCCACCCTTCGTCGATGCCACAGCATCATCCCTTAACTCTCGTTTACCTGCCCTTTCCAAAGTGATTCTACACCCTTTCCGAGCAAATCGAGGATAACCTTGAACCTCCATTATGAAGATCTCCAAAGTTCTCGCGGCCTTGCCACTTGTCGGCGGCGTTCTTGGGAAACCACTCGAGTCTCGCGCTGTCACGGATTTCACGGCATACGCCTACGGGCCTGACGGCATCGGAGGCTTCCCCGTCATTGCCATTGATGGTGAGTGAAATTCTAGTATGAAGAATGAGACTGCCGCTAATCAGGCACGGGAATCCTCTGGACTAGACATTGCCTACATCACTTCCGACCGGGAATCCACAGCTAACGTGGCCAAGAATGTTACCTGTCAGTTTTCCTCTCGACCCTCGAATACAATTCGCTCCCATCTGACATCAAGAATCAGTTAACTCCTTTACCAACCAAGGCAACATCACCGCCACCATTCCTACCCAGGGGACCAGCCTCCTCTTCGTCCCGTCAGAGTCTGGTGCTGTTGGCTTTACCAACACCACGGATGACTCGTCGCAAATCACCACCGGCTTTGGCTTTTATGGGCATGTAATTTTCGTTTCCATAAATGGCGCCATGACTACTGAGTGGTATGCATTGCCAACTAACACGAGCACTCTCTGGCAACTTACTTGGAATGACGAGTCGGCTTCGGCCATTCCCGTTGCCCTTCGAAATCTTGAGCCATCGTAGAGAAAGGTCCGCGAGGTGGAATCGACGGATAGTTAGGAGCTATGTCCTTCGTGGAATTGGAGACACGAGTGCTTGTGGCTCTATGGCGCTGCTTTTATTACTGAGTGTATGTACGCTTATGGAGGCACAGGGCCTTTCTATCCGAGGCCTATCTGCCTCTTTCTGGGAAGACGAAATAGCAACTAAGGGTTAGCAAAGCGCCAGCCTGAACCTTTTTACTTATGGACTGAGGTAAAGCACCGGACTATTATGGATTATTATTTTGCCAGACCCTGTGCTATTCTAGCGGTTAAATGTTCATTAGACCAGTCGTATTACGAGTAACGATCCTATTTGTATAACCTAGGCCCCCTTTTGTCCCAACGCGAATGTCTCGACACTGGTTAACGACCGGATTCTTGCCGGCCATGTCTGCCGGGTTAGGCAACACTATACACACAAGCCCCCTCTCATGTCAATGTTTATGGAGAAAAGTTTTCCCCAAGGATGCATAATAACTGCCGTTGACCCCGACTCTAATACCGCTAATAGCCTCGGACGGGAGTCTTGAGGGAGCCATAATAATTTGGGCGAATCCCACATAAGCCATGTACGATCCTCGCTAAATCCGTTCAACGAGTAACTGAGCCGCTGCCGTCGAACTCGGTGTAGAAGGGCCTGCCAATTGTGAAAGAGGTTGTTTCAATGCAAAATTGCCAATGTCCGTCTCCAAGCAGGTGTCGGTTTTGTCAACAGAAATCTCTGTGATAGCAGTGCCAAACACTACAGTCGCTAAGCATGCACCCGAGGGCATATATTGGCGTGGCCCTGACTTGATACAGATATGAGGAATCTAGAGTCGCGAGTAAATGTGAGGAAGGGGATGAGGTTTGTGTTGGGAGGGTGTCCTCCAGTCATCACACCAGCTCCCGTTGATACAGTCCAGATTCTAATGCTTCCATCGATGGATCTCGAGGCTAGTAATTTCAGATCATCTGAGAATACCGCCCGATTGATTCTGTGCCCCAAGCTGTAGTACCTCCACTTTTTCAAAACCGTGGTCCAAGTCCGCGTTTCCATGTTCCACATTTGCACTTCACGGTCCCCGGACACTGTTAATACCTCCACCTTAATACTCGATGGAACCATGAGTGAAAGGAACACTCCGCTTTCGGCTGCGAATTTACCTTTTTCGTAGTAGCGAGGATTTATTTTCCTCCTTAAGGGAGAAGGGTAATGATGTCAGTGTAAAGGGATTAATCCGAGCCCAAGCCGCTTCTTATTGTCAACGGCTTGGTCCATAATGCTCCAGACGGGATCAATTGCGTAGAGACTGCCTTTGGTATATTGGTTATAGTCTCGAGGGCCTACTGCAGAGACAAAACTGAGGAACTTCTGGCTATTATTTTCCCAAACCACCACGACACTACAACGGAGATTTCTCTCCCGGCAAAATCGTCGCCATGGCGCCAGCAATTGGTGAAATACCCCTCTGTGCATTCTTAGTTAGCTTTGTCAGGCCGGGTTTCGATTGGACCGACGACATATCTGTTGGGCCGGAGAGATGCTTGTCTCCCTCCGCCGGGTGCGATGGACTCCACTTCCGGCATATCCTCGAGAAGAGTTGGTATATCCTTGGCAGGCAGGCGCAGATGACAGTAGCATAACCCTCGCACATGCCCCAGAAAATCGAGTAGTAGAGATCCCCTTTGCGAGTCCTGTTAGTGCCGGTGTAGCTGTAAACGATGTTCGGGATTTGAAAGCGTACATGTGGCATTTCGCGACACGGTGAAATCCCTCATGTATATTGTGCGAGGGATAATAACTCCTATGACACTCCGTTATTCGACCACTGTCAGCACTTTCCCCGCGTGTAACCTCGCCGGAAGTCGTAAAATGTTTACTGGAGGGCTTCTCACCTAGCCCAGGTCGCGAACGCGATGGTGACGCTGATCTTCTTCTTCAGTGGCAGGTGAAGTTTCCGGATCACGGGCAGGGGGATAAGCATTATCCAGATGTCAAGTACGATGCTAAGGACAGCCCCGTCCTTCCACCAGTCCCAGACGAAAGAGACGGGCGTGCACTGGAAGACTAATGCGAAGCCAAGCGATAATCCCACCGCCACAACCACCACCATGGTTACGTATATGACACGCTTCAGGGCTGGGAGGATAATAAGTGGGAAGACGCGGAGGTAGAAGCACAAGATTGATATCCGACTCAGCGTGGTGGTGACCGAAAACATGATCTCGTATGCATACAATACCTGAAGCGAAGGAGGAATGTTAGCCCGGACGAAGCCTTTGAGATGATAGAAAGCTGCTGTCAACGAATAACCTTATATACTGGATTTATTTGGTTAAGTCTAAGGGTATATAGATCTCTGCCAAATCCCTCCTTGAAGACTACCACGGGTTAAGTCAGTGCTAATATTGGTGTAAGTAGTGCCATTATCAAATACTCACCCAACAAACCCAAAGTAAGGAAAGTAACGACAACAAACTGTTGCCAGTTAGCAAAGATATCTCAAGGATTACAAGACGCTGGGGCCAGGAGTAAGTCTAACCGCATTGACTATCATCACCCAATCGTCGACCATATTAGCCCATTGTGTTGGCGCTGGCGGGCGGGACATCAGTCTCAAGACAATACAGGTAAGAGACACCGAGCTAAGGACGAGAGTCGTGACGATCATCCTCCGACGGGGCCTTGTTCTTTCGGGAATATTGCAGGTTATAGCCGTCATGTTTTTGAAAACTAGTTCTCGCGACCGTCAGATAATGAATAAAAGTCAGAGGCCGTACGGGTGGAGAGGCATACCCAGGACGTTTTTCGGCTTGCAGTACACGCCCAAACAGTCCATCAACGGCTGCGACCATATATTCAGGCAGATGCAGCCTTGCGCCTCGGTCGGGCATTGCTCTTGCACTTGCTTCACACAAGGCGACTGGACGTAAAAACACTCAGGTGAACATTCTTTTTGGGGAGCTCGGATATTTAGCTTCCGTAGCTTACGTACTGAACATTCTGGTAACCGATCGTAGAGATCCATTGCGGTTGCGTTGTCCCATGCGGCTGTCCCACTCACGCCCTGAACTGCTAAGGCACCAGCGACCCCGAACCACGTTGGCAACCTCATCGTAAGACAGTCGATGCCATTTAACCGGTCAGAACAATGTGTCTCCGTCCATGTCCATAGGCGCATTCTCGAGCCAAGATAAAGGAAGTTTGGATCAAGCGATCAAGCAGACGAATGCTGAGACAGAGCCCGGGGGATATCCGATTTCAAAACAAGCTTTCTCTAGCATCGTCAACCTTCCGTCAGGCTCTTCAGAATAGACTTTACGCTAAAATATCCAGTTAGCGTCCACCTACGCGAAAGAGCAAGCTGTCCTCATGTGGCGAGGTGAAGATGGTCGGATGACGTTTGAGTTTGGTCCCACTTGCCGGCAAGTATAGCAAAACTGGCCACCACATCCATCAGGTTTGAGTTGAGTCTATTGTCCCATATGAATTCTTAATTGAGCTGTCGCGAATCGGATTGTAGGTACCCTCGGCGGATGAATTTTGATGAGGCTCAAATAAACATTCTAGAGAGCATTGATCCTAGTGCAGTTAGGGCCAGCAAGCAGCTTCTCAACCTCCCATAAAGTTGCTGCAAACCTGTCGGCCTCCTTGAGAATGTCCCGAATCTCTTTCGAGGCACCTTTTGAGGTCGGCGCAGTACACAGAGCTCAAGACGACCACTTTGACAAACAGATCGACAACCGCGATGATATTTGCGGCCAGCCCGAGAGCGTCTGCCATCCTTCGTATCGCACTGGAGGTAGACAAGGTGAACAGTTCAATGAAATCGATTTTCCTTGGGCCTGGATGGGAGAAACCCCCGCCTCATTCTGATTCCACCCGAGAGCCTGCTCAGTGCCAATGCTGGGGTTACACAACATGTACCCGATCTCTATCAGCGCCGGATTGGCGCAGTTCAGTGCAGACCCTGTCCTTGATCTAGAAGCTTAGTCAGCAGTCTTGGATCGTTTGCACGCCTCAAAGCCGAACATGAGGAAGCATGGGTTGGGGCTTGGATTTACGAAAAACATCCCGTTGTTTCAGCCCTTCCAACCTGCTACGCGTTTTCCCTGGTGGTGCTAGAGCAGTAGGGAACCCTGCACATCTCTGTGGGCTTCTGCTTTGATGATGTGCCTGACTGATACTCCAATATGGCCGACACCAGCACTTGGGTGAGGGAATGAGGTGGCCTCGAGATAGTGATTGAGCAGTGCCTCGTCCTTGGACAACCTGGGCCCCGCGCCGGGTATGATAATGGCGGGAAGGTCCTGCTCATTGGGTGGGGTTTCTAGGTGAGAGCGAAAGCGGTGTCCAAGGACGGCCATTACACAGGGTTCCTAAGGTTCGAGGAGAATATTGGGAACGCGGAGACTGGAAAGCTGAAAAGGGCAGAACGATTAATGGTAAAGAAACGAGGTCTGGCAAGTCTGGCACGATGCCTAACGAGACCCAGACTATGGTGGCTTCGTTATTCGCTTTGCTATTCCCGCAAGGACTATGACTGCGTAGATTGAGCTTTACTCGCTAGAGGAGGAAGTCGAGGAGGTTGGTTATAGCCCTCACTTCTTAGCTGTGGGATCCGCTTCCTGCATGTCTAGACCAATACCCGTATCTCTGGGGTCATGGGCCAGTCATACGATTCAATCATGACTCCACAATTGGAATTCCCTGTAGGTTCTTCCCAGACCATCTGGAATATGACCCGTTACGGGTTCCGCTACCATCAGTCAGGGGGGAGGCTTCCGTCATTGGGCAACAGAATATTCATTCTTCGAGGTCAATCCCAATCCAAGAGGAATTCCCATACAAGTATGTGCATAGAATTTCCTCAAACTCCAATCCTACAGAGCAGCCTTCCCAGCCTTCCCAGCCCACCGGGGTCTCACTTAACAGCGTTGCCAGGGACATCAAATCTATGACAGACCTTAAAACTCGGTCTATTTCCTCATCACTGCTTCTCCAAGAACAACTCGCCAATGGGGACTTTTCCCCGTCTTCAGTAGAAGGGGAAGAAACCATCTCCGACGAGGTTGACAGTGCTGTAGGGTGGGTACTATTATCACATCTCCCTGGGTCTGAATGGAGCGGTCCTAGGTGGGAGGACGGTTCTGAAGGAGAAGAACAGATGTAATGATCAAGACTATTAACTGGAGTTTCCGGAGACGCCGACTCTGGCCTTGGCGATGCACTGGTTGACGTCCCATCTTCGTCGTCGGGCGGTTTTGAACCAAAATGAAGCTCTTTACAGCCGTGAGGCGACGGTTCGATATCTGGCATTCCCTTTCTAACCATACGAGACCTAGTTAGTTTGGCGGTGATTTCATTCACTTACAACCGAGTCTCGCTCACCTATTCCTCTGGAAGCTCAGGAAACAATGAAAGCCGTCATGCTTGCAGTTCAGACACGGTTGCTCCGCCGTCACATTACATCTAACTTTTCGATTGCGGCAGGGGACGCAAGCCCATGCCGCTCGTCTCTTGGTTGAGGATCGGAACTTGACTTGAACACCATCCGAGGTTGACCATCTAGGATCTGGATGATTCTGCGGACCGCGCCGCCGGCGGTGGCGGTGGTGGCGGGTCGATCCAGCCGAGGTTGGCTCGGGCGTAGAAAAGGACGGAGTAGTATGGGCCGGCATATTTTGGATCTTAGAAAGCGCCATGTCGACTTCGGTTACGGCTAGTAAGTCAAAGGGACACATTCGGAATATGTACATCCGGCGAAGGTTTGTCACCTGGACATCGGTCAAGCGGTTTCTACAGTCTCGGACCAGAGTTCCTGTTAGCCACCACCATTATCTCTGCTTCCATTATTGTGAGTCGGACAGGTCTGCGGTAGCGATCGGTCTGACACATGTCTACAAGGTCTGGGCTGTGGTCTGCGTTCCTCAGCCCTGTGGTTGAGATAATTCCGCGGAATTTGAACGGAATTGGAGAAATTCCGCGGCCACAACCCCGTTGCACTCCAATGCATACCAAACGAGCCGATCAAAACACCTCTTAGGTGGGGCACCATGGAACGTTTAACACACGAGACTTAGAATCGAATGAGTTCCGTGGCGGAAAGCCAGGGGGACCCCGTGCCCGCCAAGCGACGGGACGGCACTAGGGCATAGTAAACAAGTTACAACAAAGTGAAAACATCGAGAGAGTCGTGTAAATAGCTCCCTGTTGGTAATCGGTTGGATATTGTCCTGAAAAAAAGCTTTCTACGTACCTTGGTTCGTTTGTATTACGCCTATCGTACCACACACGCGTGCTCGAAAGGCCTTACACAACAACATGTCTGAAGTATATCGGTCTAAGCAACGAATCATCATTCCCACGGACCTGTCTGTGACAGAGGCCACGCTTCTCAATGACCCCGAACCTATTCCAGACGACAAGGTCCTCTTTGAGGAAGCCTTCACCGGCCACACTGCCACGTATCTGGGCTTCAAGCGCCAAGTAAAGGAGGTAGCAGCCTGGATTAAGCAGCACCTAAGTCTCGAGGCTGGAGATATCGTTACCATCATCTCTCCTAGCTCGATTGACTATGTTGTCGCCGCGCACGCCGTGTGGTGGCTCGGTGGTGTTGTCTCCATGATCAACGATGGGCAATCGCCCAAGGATCTTGCGCACGGATTGGAGGTGGTCCAGCCGAAATTCCTCATCGTGGACAGAACAGTCATCGACAAAATTAATCGAAGTCTACGTACTGCTTCCCACGTTGTCTCCGATAACCACATCGTCATCTTCGGCCAGACTGTATCGTACCCGTGCTGGTCTGATACCATGCGGAGACGACCAGACGTGAATCCGCCCCCGACTCACAACGACGAGAACAACAGTGGATGCGCCCTGCCATCACTCCTGCAACTAGAACCCTACTCGCTCCACAATGGTGACAATCGACAGGTCCTTGCGGCGATTGTGCTCTCGAGCGGAACAACCGGCCGCCCCAAGGCCGTGATGATGTCGCACCACAATCTCATCGCCGCAAACTACCAGCTTCGCGCTGACAATCCGCAGAACTGGCGAAGCGACATGCGCGAGATCTTCTTCCCCCCTCTGTCCCACGTCTATGCAACATACGTTGTCATGACAGGGGCTGCGTGGCTGGGATACTACGTGTGTTTAATGCCACGGTTCGACCTGGAGACCTTTTGCCGCTTGATGTCGAAGCGAAAGGCGACAGTAGCGCGGCTTGTGCCCCCGGTCGCCAAGATGCTCGCAGAGAGTCCCATTACAAAGAGGTTCACGTACCCTTCGCTTGAATACTTTACTTGTTCGGCCGCCCCTTTGAGTGTGAGTTTGGGGAACTAGTCGAAGCCGCGTTGAGTGGAAGACGGAACACCAGCTAACCTCGAGATTAAGGAAACCACGGCCGCCCATTTAAGGAAGGTATTCCCTCACGTTGTACTCTGCCAGAGTGAGTTTGTATAGAAACGCCTAAAGGGCATTTGGACTTGAAGTCGGCTGACAGCGGGTAGCGTACGGTTGCACCGAGGCCGCCGGAGCATGCGTGCAAAGCGGCGTTCGGGATCGGGATATGGCCAGGAATGCAACGGGGAAAGTTATCGCTAATCTTGAGATGCGCTTCCTGAATTCCAAAGGCGAGGATGTTGGCTCAAAGGGGCCTGGCGAAATTGCAATACGAGGACCGAATATCATGATGTTGGTCTCCATGTTTCACCCGGGATATTTATGGATCTAACACCAGGGCCTAAGCTTTCGCGGCTAACCACAGTATCAGGGGCTATCTTCGGGACCCTCGAGCAACTGAAAGCGCCATGCTTGACGGCGGATGGTACAAGACAGGCGATCTTGGATACCTCGACTCTCGGGATTATCTCGTGGTGAACGGTCGGTCGAAAGATACGATCAAGTACAACGGGTAAGTGATCAAATCCCACCGGCAGTACCTCCCGCCTTCCACGAGTTGCTCTTTGTCTAAAAACGCCAGATTCCAAGTGTCCCCGGTGGAGCTCGAGGAAATTCTCCTTCGCCATCCCGCAGTGGACGAAGTGGCCGTGTGCGGGGTCTGGAGTGACGAGGCAGAGACAGAGCTGGTGAGGGCATACATAGCACTCAAGGCGGGGATAGAGAGAACTGCAGAGACCGCTTCGTCGATTTCGAGGTTCCTAGCCGGTCAAGTATCCGGTTACAAACAGCTTCGGGGAGGCGTGGTGTTCCTGGATGGGTTGCCTAAGAGTCCGACCGGCAAGATTCTTAGGAGACTTCTCAAGGACGTGCCACAAGGGACTAGGAGCACCAATCCCGTCGCTAAATTATAATAGTACCAAGCCTCTCCATAGCTTGAATTCGAGTCTATTCAGTAACCCTCTAACTATTCGAAGATATGACCCCCATCCCCCAGTTGAGACTCTTACGCGAACATAAGGAAATTCACAGGCTGTAACGGCTGCGCCAAACGGATTACCCGCCAGGACATACCTTATAGGTTGTTATCGCGCCATATAAAGTGTGTCGTAACGGGGACGATGAGGCGGTTAGATTCACCGTCCCCGCTTCCGTATATCCGGGTCTGGAGAGACGGTGTCTAAGTCGCCATACCCAACTTGGAGGTCATCCAGTGGGTTGTTCCTTCTTTCTATTTCCATCGATGCACGTCCTGACATGTCGTTTCTTGCGAAAGGTGTGCCCCCGGCCGGTAACCGCCCCGGTACAACTTCTTCGTTATACGTGCCGTCAACGCCAAACACAGGTGACAGTCGCGATTCAACGCTTTGGTGTTCCAAATTGTCCTCCGTAGAAAACAACCTTTCATCCACGGACGAGACGGCCCTGCTGGCAAACCTGCAGGTTGGCGCCAGTTCCATAAGCAAACTATAGCCTTCCTCTATAATCACGGAGATTCTCTCAGATTCCTCCTGGTCGTTTACCTCTTTGCCTAGAACATCAAGGAAGAGGGAGATGGAAAGGACCAGGGCTGTTGTGATGGTGACGGTGATGCCCGAATTGACAGGTTTTCTCGCCGTCTGGCTGTAAAACCCTAATATGGCCCGGATGGTGTCATGCGCAATCCCGCGGCCGTCGCCCGCCTTTCCTCTACTAAAACAGCTGCACACTCCTGGGAATGCCCCCCTTAGGAGCAGCCGAAAAATATTTATATTCTGTGTTTCCCTCGTCTGTAAGTCGTGGTACCTCGCTACCTATGGCGCAGACGCTCGCACTTACCAAGAGAATAGACAGGCGACGATTTAGGTATGATGGACTCCCTTGTCTAATATTGTCTTCTGGTGTCTCCGGAGTCCCCCATTGCAATATCGCCGGTACGCCGGAGGAGCAGAGTTGGAGTTCTGTATCCAGGAGGGCTGATAGTCGCAGGGTACAATGGTGTCCACGGACTGGCATCGAAAGGACTTGATCGGAGAATGAGCTCCATAGATTGCAAATATAGGCCACGACTTGCAGGCTTAGCGCGTCCATGTGAAGAGCGTTGTTGTCATTTTCACTCCTCCAGAGTTCCAGACTAGAAACCGCGTTGGGTGGCAACCGCTCACACGTTTGACCCTGCCACATGGGTGCTTCCAAACCTCGTCGCAGTCCGCCTGGCAATTTGTCGGGGTGGAGCACATATGGCGTCTCAGATATTCGAGAAAGAGTACGGTCGAGAATAAAGACGGTCCACCATAATAAATCTATAGTGTTCCTGCTGCGGCCCTGTTGCCCTCTCCTCCAGCAACTATTAGCGGAATCAATAGTAGGCAACAATCGTGCTGCGGCCGCATGTAACTGGAGCGCTACATCTACCATGTCTGCATGGAGAGCAAATAAGCTGTTTAGAATGTGGCAGCTTATTGTCTCCAGGGATAGAGACCGTACTCCGTCGAAGGCTTGCAGCAATTTTCTCGATGTGCTCCATGTTGCATACCCAGGTACATGGTCAGCCGGCTGATGGCCGCTTCTTGCTTCCCCTAATGGCCTCGATGTGCTTTGGCTTAGTGCAAAAATGGCGCATATAAGTGCCATGAACGACGATGATTCGGAGTCGATGGCGACGACAGCAGAGGAGCCCGTGTCAGCAGCAGGACAACCAAGTCTGGCCAAAGTACGAGACAAACGAGTTTCAATATCCCTTTGGTCGAGGAAGGGATACTCGGGATGAAAATTGTCAAAGTATTGTTGGAGAAGGCGGGATCTTTCAATCGAGGGAGGAAGTTGAAGGTGGAACAAGTTTGCAGTAGCGATTCCCGACGCCTCACGGCTGCTTCGGAAACGTCCAAGTGGAATCGTGGGAAGAGCGGTTATCTGAGGGTGAAGCGAAGCATCCAACGGAGCGTACGGTGCGGAAATATCGCCAGATTCCTCGAGAATCTGTGGCGGCGGTCTCGCGTGTCCTTCCTCAACGGGTGGCGTCCTCTCTGGAAACGTGTAGGTGACATTATCATAAGGACTACCTTGGCTTCCTGCTTGACTATTGGCGCCGTCGCTCCTGGAGGGGATTTCTCTTAGATCCGAATGTTTACGAAGGTGATAGCAGCGTCGCGCTCTTGGTCAGTTTAACCCGATGGAGGACGTACCGGCTGTCGTTCTGACTTCTTATCACTACCTTGCGACCCCTTTTTCTCCGTTCAGGATTATAGACACATTCGGTGCCTCGATCGACGCAGTTAAGGCATGTGTCGTGACCGGAGCACTAAGATACAGTTAGGCTCGATGATTCAAGAGACTCAACCGAAAGACTGCATCTACTGAATGCGCAGCGTGGGCAGACTTACCTTGATCTTACGGTGCCTGCAGGCTTGGCTGTTTCCGGATATGCGGTGAATAGACACCCAAGTAGACAGACACAAAGGCTACGGAGGGCTAGCTTACCATGCTTTGGAGATGTACTTGTCGCGACGGGGCCTCCGTGGAGGTCGAGAGGATTCCAATTGTTCTAGGGAGGCCATTCGAAGTGATGGGTGGGTGGGTGAAGATGTGGTTGTCAAGGCTGGACACCCGCTGACCCTACCTGACGCTCATTGAGCACTGCTACGGGCGGTCGGGGAGAGCACGGAATTAAGGAACATGTTGCAATGTCTCAGCTCTGTGAGAAGTACAGGGTATATGCAGTGGGACGACAAAGTACTCTGTCGTCGGGGGAATCGAATCCATTGAAGTGTCTGTGCGATACCTTTAACCCAAAGAGGAATAGTTCGTGTGGAGAGAATGCGGGGAAGACCCGTTTTGTCAGGCGAGGAACTCTTGGAACCGGCTAGCAGTATCTCGCACTTGTGAGGATGTGTCCTGACTCGGCTGGGTCGACAGCAAGAAGCTTTGAGAGGCCAGGGGCCCACCCTCGATCGTACATTGTATCATTGTATCATCCCTCTTCGCGCAAATCCAGGCAAGGTAGGAGTAGAAGATAAGTACAGAAAGCTTGTAGAACGACTCCGCCGCCATAGCTTCGTCTTCGCGGTTTCGACTTTATCTCTTTTTGTTTTTCTCGCCTTCGCCGGTTATGCCGCAGCTGTTCTCCCAAGGGCTCACGAAAGACTTGATGCTGATGAAGCAGCAAAATACCGGGCTCCGCGACCTTCGGCGCCGCATCCGTGCTGTCCAGAAGTCGCGCTCCCTGGGACGGCAGCTTGGGGAATCAGCACCCAATCCAAATACCACCGACTACGTCTTTCGTGGAAATTCGCAGTCCCTGGCAGACCACGCAACAGAAGACGCGAGCTCCCAAACGGAAATGAGAGACAATGATGTCATACTCAATTTTGAGAACATGGACCAAGACTGTGCATTACGTCCCGTCACTACAAACTCGACCATCAACACTTCAGATACGCTGCGCTTCTCGGATACTTTCCGACATCCTTCCACCAATAAAACCACTATGAGCGGACCACAAACGACTCCGGAAACTGTCCCTGCAGGCCATACGCGGCTCACCACGGACGAACGGGGCCAGCTCCGATACTTCGGCTACTCGTCTTTAATGCGGATGGTCTCTATCCTCCCACCATCTTCGCCTTCCAACTCTACCGCCTCGGCGGCGACGGCGGCGGCGGCCTCTGGAGCTGGCACCTTGGATGATATCAGCCAAGATGTTGCTATATTGGCTGACTCGGGCGAAACCCACCATCATCTGATGGACCTCTTCTTTCGGTACCAACACGCAGCTCTACCTGTCCTTGACGAGGCGGCTTTTCGAGAATCGTACATGCGAGGAAAACGGACAGAATATTACTCGACTTTCCTGCTACACTCTCTTCTCCTAAGAGCGCTTAAATTTTCAGCGCACCCACGTGCAGACCAACTCAAGATCGTCTACCTCCGGCGAATCCGTCGCGAGCTGCTATTTGAGATTGAGAATCCAAGCATTGCCACGATTCCGGCCCTGTGCATGTTTGGGTCCTACATGGCGGGCGAGGGTAGCGATCGCGCATGTTGGCTGTATCCAGGTACGTTTACAGATTTCTTCTCCACTTAACTTGGACCATAGTGTTATTATTTCCCCTACTTACATCGTTTTTCAGGCCTTGCTTTCCGTCTGCTCTATGATTTCGGTCTTCACGAAGACTGCTCTGACCTCGTCAAGTCTGGGCGTCTAACAGAAACAGATCGCCGGATCAAACACTCTATCCTCTACCACTGTTATGTCTTTGACAAGTAAGTAATCTTTCAAGAAAACAACCGAAGGAAAAGATAAAACAACCAATATATATATATATATAAATATATAGAAAACGGGGCACAAAACACGAAACACTAAACTTTAGTAGACTGTATAGCTCCTTTCAAGGCCGACCAACGGCTGTCCGCCTAGAAGATATCTCATGCCCTCTTCCTTCAGCAGATATTCGCGACCCAAGCCACCAGTCCTTGACTGCGTTTGTGCGTCTCTCTTCAATCCTAGAAGAAATTCTGCCTATTATCAACGGACGCCGGCTAGATACTATATATCAGCACGCCTCGGTTGAGAAGCTCTCCCGCGCCAGTGACGATCTCCTGCAATGGTTTAAGGCGTTACCGCCAGAACTACAGTGGAACTCGAGCGCTGTACAGCTTCCATCCCCAGCTACATGCGCACTACACATCCATTTCCTCTCTGTCACTATTCTTCTTAACCGACCGTTTGCTGCCTATATGCTCAAGTCTGCCGATGACAAGGGCGTTGTCGACGGGCGTGCTGGAAATAGGCGCCTTAGCGGGCAAACGCCAGAGATTTCACAAAAGATTTGCACAACAAGCGGCATTCGGATATCGAAAATTCTCTGCGCATACAAGCGCTGTCACGGTGCTAACAAATTCTTCTCCACCATTAACCCAGCATGTCTATCTGCGTCCATAGCGCTCATCTCGGACATTGTCAGTGCCAAGGTCGGAGAGGACAAGAGGGAGGAAAAACGATGGCTCTCCGCCATACTCGAGACATTAAATGAGATCACTCCAACTTACCCTGTTGCTGGAAGAAGCTACATAGTCCTCTGCGCTATCGCCAAGGCCTGCGGACTGCAGGGTGTCGCCCCGCCCCCGTCATCGTCGGGACCGCTTGGAACATCGGACTCGGGAAATGACCTGCTCAGCCAGCTCTTCCAAAACGCAGAGGGACAACAGACGGGCCCGGGCGAAATGGTTTCGTGCGTGAACGAGTCGCTGGGATGGGAGTTCCATCCAATGTTAGGCGACGTGCACGATATCGGGCTCTCAGACTTTTATCCTCGGCTGTCGCCGTGGCCACCGTCGACACCAGACTACGGGAACTGGTTAGTTTGAGGATAGTGATAAATCTACGAGAATTTAGTTTATGGATTGCCTCCGACGAAGAAGAGACCCATTCGCACCACTCGTCGGTGACCTACTTTTTTTTTCGTTGTCATGCTGCCTACTCAAACCATCAAGAATGAAAAGCAATCTCGAGAATAAGTCGCACATTATAAAATGGTACGACAACATAAGCCAGTTCAGATATACTATCCGCTTTCTCTTTTACAACTTTGCCAGCTTCTTCTGCTGCTTGGCAATCATATCCATGAGAATCTCTTCACTGCCACCCGATACGACTAAAACCCTGACATCCCTGCTTATTTGCTCGACACGACCACCAGCCCCGCCCCGTGAGTAGCCCATTCCTCCAAATACTTGCTGCGCCTCGCGACACACCGTCTCGAGGTTGTGCGCGGCCTGCATCTTGAGCAATGCGGCCCATGGCGAGAATGCGAGCGCTGGTGTGGTGACGGAACGCCGCACCAAATCCTCCATCAGATGTTGCATTGGCTCGATAAGGCCAGCCATCTTGCTGAACTTTAGCCGGATGGCCTGGTTCTCGAAAAGCTTCTTGCCAAAGGTCTCGCGACGGAGGGCATAACGGTAGCTGTCTTCAAGAGCCACGCGCGAGAGACGGAGAGCAGTGATGCCAACCCATAGGCGCTCATGTGTAAAGGCTGTTAGTCTGTTAGCATGCCTGTTTAGGTACGGCCGCTGGCGTTCGTCTCCGTGCACCCTAATAGACAGGGTATATGGTACCTACTCGACATGATGACCTCGAAGCCCTGACCCTCTCTCCCGAGAATGTTCTCAACTGGCACGACAACGTTGTCGAGGTCAATGAACGACGAACCGCTTGAACTAACACCCGAATTATACATCTTCTTTCGGTGGATTCCCTGTGTGTCCATGTCGACGATGAACACGGTTAGGCCTTTGTGGCCCGGCCCTCCAGTTCGAGCCGCGACAAGAGCGTGGGTCGCCAGCTGACCCTGGGTAATCCATTTCTTCTGGCCGTTGATCACAAAATGCTTGCCATCTTTTGTCTTTTTGGCCTCTGTCGTAAGGCCCGCCACATCCGAGCCGGCTTCAGAATTGGGGCTGAAGTCAGCAGACATTCGAGAATAAGGCATGAGTTGGCATCTCAATCCAATGCAAGAGGCTTACCATCCGGTTCGGTGACCATAAGGCAATGCTTTTGGTCCCCCGTTAGGAGGGGCCTCAAGTACTTTTGTTTCTGCTCCTCGGTGCCGTAGGTTGACAATGGGGCGCCGCCGGTCGTCGCGCCACCATTTATACCCCAGACAACGCCGAGGTATCCGCAGCGAGCGATTTCGTCGGTAAGCTACCCAGTTGCATGTTAAATAGGGATTAAACGTGAGAAATTAACCGATGGAATATTAAACCTACAACTGCATCGTGGAATTCGTCCCATTCTGCCCGCCGAATATGTTAACACTACGGTAACGATCCTTTGTCATAGTACACTAGACATAATTACCATCAGGAGAAATACCGGCCGGCAACTTAACGCCGCCCAACGAACTCTTAGGCAGGGGGAATACCGCAGCCGCGAGAAAACCAAGCTCGGCATGACGCTTGAAAGCGTGGTCAGGAACGTATCCCTGCGCCTCCCATTCGGCGCCGTTAGGAATGATCTCGCTGTCGACATACTCCCGGATAAAGCGCTGGAGCTTCCGGTGAGAGTCCTTGTAGTAAGGGTTGCCCTTGTCGGTGTGCCAGTTCGGGTCGGCGAAGGGAATATTACTGGTTAGAGCAGAGGCCATGGTGAGTTCTCGTCGATCACGGGCAAAGACAAATGTAGAAAGTCGAACAGGGTTTGAAAAGACAAAAAGCACCGGCAGAGATTGTCGGCAGATGAAGGTAATATCTTATGTCTACTCCAAGATTTCGTAGCTGACCCGTCTGGAAGCCCAGCTCTAAAATATGCCCTTAACATGCGATTTCCGTCCTCTGGAATTGACCATCCGTCGGATGTGGGTGTCGGAATTGAGCTCTGGAGGCAAAATTCCGCGGAGCATCACAGTGAATCAAACTTAATTCCGAGGAATTAAGCCCGCCGAGACAACTTCACCGAATATACACTCAATCCAAGCCACTCCCAGACCCCTGTACCCTTTATGGAATACTACCCTGAAAAATGTTCTAAATATCTACTATGAGGACGGACTCCGGCATCCAATTCGGCAGGTGAACGACAACAAGGGCCCTCTGTATACTGCAGACCGCAATCCAACGTTATGGCGGAAAGACTCCAACAAATTGCTGGACAGCTGCGCCCGGCTCGAGAATCTGCTACCCAGCAAGATTCGAAAGACCCTTCAAGGTTGGCAGATGGCTATAGCAATGCTCGACCGTTACATGGCTGACTCGTGACTGCAGGATCGACGGCTACGTCGTGCTAGTTACCGGAGGTGCACAAGGTAGGCGGCTAAGCTACCAACATGAGCTTTCTTGGCTTCTAAGTGCTGATTCGGATGGGTTTTATTTAGGCATCGGCAGAGCTACCGCAAACCTCCTGGCAACAAAAGGCGCCAAGATTGTGATAGCGGATGTTAGTGAGGAAAAGTCCAGCGAGGCCGTCCGGGACCTTCGTGCCCACGGATACGAGGCAGTGTCGATCGTCGGGGACGCACTCGAAGATGGCTTCGCCGAGAAGACCGTGAAATATGCGCTCGATGCCTTGGGAAAAGTCAACTGTTTAATCAACAATGCTGGGTTCTGCTACGACGCTGCCATCCACAAGATGGACGACGAAAAATTCGACGTTATCATGAAGATCCACAACTATGTTCCCTTTCGCATGATCCGCGCCCTGTCCGCACACTGGATGGATCCCGCCAACCGCGATATGCCAAAAGTGATTGTGAACGTCTCATCAACATCTGGTCTACACGGACAAATGGGTCAAATCAATTACGCCACGGCGAAGATGGGTGTTGTTGGCCTCACTAAGACAGTGGCTTCCGAGTGGGCCCGGTACGTGCTGCGCCGCATCTCCCCTCTCCGACACGTCTATTTATGTTCTAACTGTTCGTGCAGATACGGAGTCCGCTGCAATGCGGTGGCGTATGGTTGGATGGATACCAGGCTCACAAGACCGCCCACAGGCGAGGAGACTGTAGCCACTGGCGGCAAGGAGATAGTCCTGGGGATTAGTGCTAAGGCGAAGAAGTTTCGCGATTTGTCTGAGATACCTCTTGGGCGGTGTGGCACCGTGGACGATGCGGCCGGAGTGATGTTGTTTTTGGCAAGTCCACTCTCATCATATGTAACGGCAACCTGTATTGAGTGTGACGGAGGACGCTTTATGTAGGGATAAATACTATGCCATGCGGGCACCTTGTCGCTTTCTACGTTCGGGCTCGCCCGTTTTCTAGACCACCTTTTTAACTTCTCTTTAGCTATGTTCTAATCCTTTAATTAACATCCACGCCAGAGAGTAGGTGCGACGCCTTGGATGAGGTAGGAGATCAGCGTCTCTCGGAGATCATTGCCAGAAAAATGTAAATTTCAGCTACACAAGACTACATTCAGAATGAAAAGAACTAGTAGAGGCAACAACGGTCGCTTATCCAACAACTGAGCTAGCTAACTGCTCAGTACATATATCGGTAGTCAGGATGATCGTCACCAAGCTGTGCGATTTCCTCTGGAGTCTTTCCCTCCAAGCGATAATTCCTCTCGCCGCGGTTCCTTCTCTTATTCTCACGTTTCAACAACACAGATGTTAAAGCATGCATGACAATAGTGAGCACCATAAATCCTAAGGACCCAGCATGCCCCAAGCGGTAGAGCGGCCGATCCTGGGTTCGGTAAAGGAAAGGGGTGAAAGTTCCCGAAACGTTGGCTAGCGTCATAGCCATTGCCTGCCCTACAGCGCGCTTGTAGTGGGAGGGTAAGTTGCTGGGCATCCAGGAAAGAGGAATGCCAGTAGCAGTGTACACGCCCATTCCTACAATAATACAGCCGGCATACTGCGGTGCGTTCCCCCTCGCGAAAGAAGCCAGAATTATAACGTAGCCAACTGCGCAAGTCACGCCCCCAGTGATAGCAAAGTAGCCCCGTCGTCCCGTTCGGTCCGATAGATAAGCCGTACCCAGAAAGCAGAGGACGCCGGCAAAGTAGCATGGAATCGTCAGCAACTGTGTGTGCAGCCCGTTATAGCCAAGGGCGTTGATAATTGTCGGCAGAAAGGTGTTGTACCCGTAGATGGCCACGGTGGCGCCTAGTTGCCCAACAGATAAAGTCCACACTTTCCAGTCACGAAAGGCAGACATGGATTGCTGCCAATCAATTTTCCCTTCGCCTTCCAGTCCGAGTGAGCTGCCGTCAAGGTGCCGCCGGATTTGGACGAAGGACTTCTCTCGCTCAGTCAGATATGGCGCTTCGGAGGGACTGTTGGCCAGGACAAAGAACGCGATAATCCCAAGCAGCATTGTCGGGAGACCTTCGAGAATCATTAGCCATCGCCATGCAGACAAGCCTCGGACGCCGTCCATGTGCCCGAGACCATAAGCTACCAGTCCCCCGATAACACCCGCCAACGCGGCCGATGCATATAGATAGAATATGCGGATGGCCAGCTCACGCCTGCGGTAAAAGAAAGTGAGGTAAAATGCTGCGCCTGGGAAGTAACCGGCCTCGAAGATGCCGCTGATAAGTTGGACCAGTTAGTGATCGCCCGCGTGTGCGTTCAAACCAGCTAATACTCTAGACAGAGAGGATAGCTGGAGAAGGGGTCGATAAACATACAGCAGCAGACGAACCGCAATCATCTGCGTCTTGTTCTGGACGAATCCAGTACACAAAGATACCGCGCCCCATGCAATTGCAATGCCAGGGATGAAGCGACGAGGCTGGAGCTTTTTCAACTGTAACATGGAAGTCGGCAAATTGTCAGCATGTTAGCATGTCATGGCGATCGCACAATAGACGAACCAAGATATTCGACGGGATCTCGAAGGTTACGTATGTGGCAAAGAGAACCGCCACACAGAGCTGGTAGTCGTCCCCACTAAGGCCAAGGTATTTCTCGAGGTTAAAGATCCGGGCGTTACCTGGCAATCAGATACGGTTTATCAGCCGCTTGACTCGAATCCTTAAGACAGCAGAGGGTAATGATCTGCGACAACTTACCAATGTTGACGCGGTTCAAGAACGACATAACGTAGAGTGCGCTGACAATCGGGAGAATCCGCCAATCGCACTTTCGCACCATGCGCCGTTCCTCTTCAGGAGGCATATCAAAGTCAGGCACGCTGCCAAGCTCCTTTTCCAGGCGCAACTCAGCATGCTCAGAGTATGCCTTATCGTTGGGATCGCCAGAGCCTGGGTCGATATTCCCGCCTGTCTTTCGGTGGACGGTAGCCATGTCTACAAAGTATACTGCAAGGTGTTCTAGGGGAATAGGAAGATAAGGAGTTCACTAATACATGACTCTCCGTTAGATAGAAATGGGCTTAGGGAATCTCCAGTGATAAGTAGACCGTGATACATGTGTGTGCGCCATGTACGGGAAATTGCTCTGGAACATCGCGATACAAGCAGCGGGTTTGAAAGACCGCGGAATATTTACCGGAATTGTACGAAGTTCGAAATTCCCGGGATCCTTTTCCCTTCCCCCTGCTCTACCCACCATGCTAACGCCCGAGCCACGCTCCTAGTACCTAGAAGGCGTGTAAACGACTAAACTGCATGCCGACGTAGCTGTCCGGCGTATAGAAACCGCGATAAAGGAATAAAGTAAAATTGTAGGCGGGGTCTCGTCGCTCAGATTCTACGTACAGGTAGCGACAGTTCCCTGTCGCCGGATCTCTCTGGGGCGTGGTTGGCCTTGTCAAGATACCCCAGGACCAGGCGAAATGTGGCTGTGCCTTCAGCTGCGTCGACCAGGTGGTATGATTCTGCTCAATCGCATTGTGTCAACTGTAGTCTGTCGAGTAGCAAGCACAGTCTCTGGTTGATATCTATGGTAGCTTGGAAGAAGATGATCTCGCTTAAAGCCTCCAGTTTCGGGTCAAAGATAGTAGCACAATGTTCCCGAAGTCTAAATCTAGCTTGGGTATATGGGAAGATGCCGTTTCAATCCTGCACTCGCCTGGCTTCGGGTACATTTACATTTACGAGTCACTCCCAAGTGCTCGCCGCATCCGACTCCTCCAGCTCCATCCGGAAACCGTCCGCAATCTCCTCTCCGTTAGTCTGATACCAACCTCACTAGACAGTAACCCTTGCTTCGATGCGTTGTTATACACATGGGGCGACGAAACCCTCGAAAATGGGGAATTCTATGTGGAGGGCGCCTCGTGAATATTGGCCGAAACCTCTACGATGTTCTCACACGGTTGCGGTCCTTAACTGGAGGTCGCATGATCTGGGCCGACGCGCTGTCCATTGTCTCACCGGCCCCCGAAAACTTCCAGGACCATTTCGGATGCAGCAAGCTCTCCTGTGCCCTTTGCTCGCACGTCATGCACAACGCCGACTACCAGACAAAGGGGACTCGCGCCCGGCTTTACTCAGACTCCGCATTTCCTTTTAGAATCTCGTCTATCGACTGCCACTCTCGACTCGCTATTGCCTTAAAAAGGGTGCAGGACCAGCTATCAGACACGATCCTCAGATATTCAATGACCCAAAATGACGCCTTCACACAATACGTCAGACGCACCCGAAACAAACCCATACGCGGCAACAATTACCTCCAACATCGTTTCTACCGAATGTGTCTCAGACTGAAAGTTGGCAAAAGATGCGGAAGAGGAGAGAGAAGGGGGGGGGGAAGGGATGAAGTTGTGTTGAAGTTGTGTCAGGCCGGCAGTTCCATTGTCAAGAAGAGGAAATTCCATGACACTATGAAAGCGAGGGTTTCCGGCCGTGAGATGAGCCTGGCTCAGCGAGCTGCAATGCGGTAGCATCATATGAAATGGGAGCCCCCCAGTCGCCACACGCGTGGCAAGGTCTGGGTCATAGTAGACAAACAAGTCCCCGATATGCTGATTGAGCGGAAGGGTCTCTTCGGCCCAGAAAAGAAATACGAGAAAACAATAGCATATATCCGGATTCTACGTGCAGGGCCCGTAGAGGATTCATCTTTCCCATGATACATAACCGTAACGGATTATCATAACGGATTACCATAATCGATCACCATGATGGATACCCATGACGGATTCTGAATAGGCTTTTCACATATGGGTTCATCTTCAAGCCAGCCTGACAATCCGGGGAAAAAGGTCATTTTTATTTTGAGGTACATACTTGCTGCTCCTTCGTCGCCCGTACCTTTTAATTTCTTGCTGCTACAGCTGCAACAGGAGCCAAGAGTCGGGAGGTCTTCTGGGGTCTAGCTGGTGCCGAGTGCCGTCTATCGGAGTAGGTCGGAGGCTAGGATTAAGCCGTGTCGAAGGAGCTTACTTCCAGGTAAGTGGTTGGGTTTCTGGGTCATCGGAAAATCAGCATCGTTCGAGAGCTTTGGCGTAATACACCTCGCTCTTTGCGGACGTCTTAAACCCGCTTCCGGCCACAACGCTTACCTCCGCGTCCTCGTTGGGGAGCGTCGTAATTTGTTGACGATTTCAAGATCTGGTGTAGTCTGAATCGGTCTGTTCGAGAATACAACAACGTTCGAAGTACATTCCATCAGCATACTCGGATCCCAAGAACTATGTGATGACTTGGGGAATGTGCCGGTTCTCAGACTTCCTCTGAGCACATACAAATACAGCAGGAAAAGCAGACTTGAATCTATTAATAACTTTATTTTGTCCTTTATTACGCCATCTAACCACCAAGCCATCATGTCTAATGCATTGCAAGTAAGTAAACATGGCCGAAGCCTGCAAAGCGAAAAGGAGAACCCGAAGGCCCCAGACCGCGTCGATACTTCAAGCACTCCCTCTTTACAGGCCCAAGATACCGAGGCACTTCCCCAGCCGAAACTTCCTGGCAATGAAACCCCGGATGGTGGCGTTGCTGCCTGGGTCGTCGCCCTGGGTGCCTGGTGCACGTCGTTTTGCAGTTTCGGCTGGCTCAACAGTATGGCTGGCTTCTATCTATACATCAGCGGCATTTATCTGACCTCAAGTATCAGGTATCGGGGTTTTCCAAGAGCATTACCAAAACGAACTGCTTAAGGAGTACTCACCAAGCACTATTTCATGGATTCCATCACTGCAACTATTTTTCATGATGGCCATGGTACGTTCAAACATCTTTCCATTGGTGTTGAGATTTGGGAAACCCACCTTACTGATAGAGCTTCAGGGGCCTGTGGTCGGCAAGGTGTATGACCATCATGGCCCACGAGGGCTGCTCCTGATTGGAAGCTTGTTGCATGTCTTTGGCCTCATGATGACCAGCCTCGGCACAGAATACTACCAGATACTTCTTGCGCAGGGACTGTGCTCAGCTCTTGGTGTTTCGGCAATATTCCAACCATGTATGTGCATCTGACGTGGGAATATATCAATGCGAGAATCGTCTCTTACCAACGTGGAAACTGACTTTCCCTAGCTGTCGCTAGTGTCGCGCAATGGTTCAACCGAAAGCGTGGTACAGCCTATGGAATCATATACACAGGTTCTAGTCTCGGTGGCGTCGTCTTTCCGATAATGGTTTCGCATCTCATACAAGCGGTCAGCTTTGCTTGGGCTATGCGCGTCTGTGGATTCTTGGTACTCTTTCTCCTTATCATTGCCAACCTAACCGTACGCAACCGCTGCCCGCCGAAACCGCAGAAGGTTACGATCGCCCAACTCATCAAGCCCCTCACTGAGGTCAAATTCGTTCTTGTCACACTTGGATTCTTCCTTTTCAACTTTGGCCTCTATGTTCCCATCAACTATGTCACCGTCAACGCTGTCAGCGTCGGGCTGGATCTGAATCTCGCACAATACCTCATTCCCATTCTAAACGCGGCGTCTCTCTTCGGCCGCCTTGGCGCTGGCGTGTTGGGAGACAGAATAGGGCAGTACAACGTGTTCATTGTTGTCTGCTATTTATCCGGCATTTGGATCCTCGCCCTCTGGCTCCCAGACTCAAGCCAGGCTGCACTGATCGCCTTTTCCGTTCTGTTCGGGTTCTTTTCCGGTGCCTACATCTCATTAACCATGCCACTTATCGTCCAAATCTCGCTGATGTGCGAGCTGGGATTCCGCACGGGGATTGCCTACTTTATTTCTGGCATTGCTGGGCTGACGACTAACCCTATCAATGGAGCTATATTGGACGGTGCAGGAGGATGGACTGGTCTGAAGGTCTTTGCCGGAGTGTTTTGTCTTGTGGGTACGACTTTCGTACTTGCTGCGAGGGTAAAGGAGACCGGTTGGAAGGTATTGGCGCGATATTAGAGGAATGCCCAAGGGATCGATCGGTTCCTTCGTCGCTATCTGCGATGACTCTGGCTGGGGGTGCACTGGATTAGATCAAGCGGTTACACTAATCCTCGCTACCGACAATATTGGGTCTAAACGTAGGGAACGAGTAACAGCTGAGACCCGAGACAAGTTTAAGAGGCTTAGAATTGGTCATTTATGTCCCCAGATTTTTACTGTAATTATCACCATCAACCTATGAGACTACTGCCTCTTCTTTATTTTCATCATCAAGCAGGAGCTTGGCCATCTACAAAGGAGTGGTGCGGCTGTGAGTGGTGGGCATGTCAACGGCTCGCTCAAGTGGTTTTAATTCCTAATCTAGCTAGTTGAGCTGCGGGTTGGCAATAGTGCGAAATCAGCCGCAGCTGGCCCCAGCCTGACCCTTCTTGTGATGAGGACTGGGCGTGCTTTGTGTTGGGTGTTAATAGGGAGAAAAACGAAGCGCGTCGTTTCTTCCAGATCCCCTCATTCCAGATCCATTTCATCACAAACGACTCGAGATTGAATACATGGCGTTTCCACCACCTATTCCTCCTCGGCCGCCCGGTTACGAAACGGGGCCATCTCAACCAGGCCCTACGTATCCTCCTCGTCCACCTCCTCATCCATCGCTGCATTATTTTCCACCTCCACCCCAGCAGCAATACCCTCCACCTCTTATCACACCACAACAGCAATATTATCCACCTCCTGGTCCACCCCAGCAGTATCAATCCGGATATGTTCAATCACCGCTTCCACCCCTCCAGCAACAGTATGCTGGACCGCCTGGGTTTCCTCCGCCGTCTCAGCAACCAGCGCCTCCACCAGCGCCTTCTGGGTGGAACGAGCATCTCTTCTACACAAACGGGCGCCCAACACCAGCCTTTGAAGCCATAACGAGAGAATTTTTCACGAGACTTGATCCTCAGAGAACAGGATATATTACTCCTGAAGTGCTCTCGAGTTTTCTCGACGCATCTGGCTTCAAGGCAGAAGACAACGTTTGTACGTAAAAGAACCTGGTTCCAGGTTTTTGACTTAAAATGAAACAAGAGCCACGCTAACATAATGTCGGCGGCGGGTTTAACTAAGGAAGAATAGCCGCAAGGCCAGTTTCATGTACACGGCCGAGTACATGGCCGACGGTCAGCTTAAAGCCATCCTTGAGGGCTTCAACTTCGACCATAAGGCAGTAGTGCGCAACCCTGCCAGCAAGCAGTTACCTTACGGCGGTATGCAGCTGCTGAGCCTCGCCGGCTTCACAGACTTCCTAGCCCTTGAATACGCTGCAGACCCGGACGAGTACCATCCCGGACTGAACAATGCGTGTCTATGGTGTTTGGCCGGAGAAGGGTCCGGTTCCGCGATACATGATGCCTGCCACTAAACCCGCCGAGGTGCAGTGGCGGATTGATGAAGCGTCCACCCGATGCCAGGGTTTGGCCCAGCAGAGATTGAATACGGTCACGAGAATGAATCAAATTGCCGTGGAGGCAATCCCGTCGAATGTCACATGAATATAAATACCGTTGGTAAACTTCAGCTTGTCCCCTTCTGGTTCTCCATTATCGGATATTAATGGATGGCGAGCCGGACAGGATGAGGGTTTACGACGTAGATAATGAACAGAGCGGGCGATTAGGTTGAATCTAAAGAGAGTTAAATCGTATCCACGCCGCAAGAATACAATAAATAGAGGAAAGGAATGGCATATCCAATATGAGTGTTAGAAGGCAACGTTACTTGAAACCCAAAGTCAGCTGCAGACGAAAACTCAACTCACTGAAACCCTCAACTCATGGATTAATATATGGAGATTAAACGCCGTCTAGCGTCCCTTTTTTAAACGATGTTACCACGCGAGGCAGCGACCAGATTGGGTTGGCATCGGCACTCGAATGCCGCACGACTTCGTTCAACTAGCTGCATTTGGGACATGCAGCACAGAAAACTTCGCCGAGCCACCTGATTTGTTCGAGACAGGAGCCGGTTGATTTGCCGTAAAGTACCCCGCATCGGGAACACTACGGGGGGTTAGACTAGCCAGACCATCCATCCCGCTTGTCAAGCTGCTATAAATAACTTGGCAATCCCTAATATTACTCCCATGATTCAGCCAGAAGACGAGCCTGCGTCAAGCCTAGGTTTCGTCGCCAAGCTCTAACTTTCTCGATCATGTCGGTGGACGGCGGGGAGAAGAGAGCGGACCGCGAGACAGAGCCAAACGCATTGTCACCGCCATCCCAACTTATTCAAGGTACAGTAGAGGATGAGTTCCCAGAAAACGGGTGGAGGGCCTGGTCGCAGGTCGTGGCCTCGTTCGCTCTCTACTTCAATCACTTGTAGGTCTTATTCGATAGTCCCAAACCTTCCCTTCAGCTAACAGGCTATTTTCACAGAGGGCTTCTTAACAGCTTCGGCGTGTTCCAAACATACTATGAAACTACTTTACTGTCGGACACATCGCCCTCGACAATCTCCTGGATCGGCTCCGTACAGATCTTTTGTTTGATGGCGATCGGCGTCATCATCGGGCCCCTGTACGATGCAGGTTACTGTCGGACCCTTATCATTGTTGGCACTCTCCTGGTCACTGCTGGTTTCATGCTGACGAGCATCGGCACTCAATATTGGCACCTTTTACTATCCCAGGGCTTCTGCATCGGACTTGGCACCTGTTGTCTGTCCATCCCTTCCATTGCCATTGTGCCCATGTATTTTAAGAAGCGCAGAGCGCGGGCTATGGCGATAGCTACGGTGGGTAGCGGGCTCGGGTCGACACTCTACCCTCTCATCTTCCAGGAGCTGCTGTCGAAGGTCGGGTTTGGATGGGCTGTAAGAATTATGGGATTCATTGCATTTTCCATGTGCCTTATCTCCCTCTGCCTCATCCGACCACTTATAGACGCAAAGAAGTCCAAAATGAGGCAAGCGGGTTTCTCTCTTTGGTGGTTCGTTGACGTCACGGCCTTCCGGGACAAAGAGTTCCTCGTCTACAGCGTCGGCATCTTCTTCAACAATCTGTCTTTCTTCCAACCGACGTACTACATTCAAAGCTACGCCTTAAGTCACGGGATGCAAGGCACAAACCTGGCCCACTATCTCCTCGCTATACTAAACGCCTCCTCGATCCCGGGTCGTGTGATGCCCTCGTTCGCCGCAGACAAGTTTGGAGTGCTTGAGACGTTCATTATCATCTGTGCCTTGAGTAGCACGAGTGTCTTTTACTGGATCAGCGTTACAAATGTGGCGGGAAACATCTCATTCGCCGTCCTATATGGTTTTTTCTCTGGAGGCGTCGTAGCCCTCGGAGCAGTGGTCCTCACGGCTATTACGACGGATATGAGCCGTCTTGGCACCCGCCTTGGGATGGTGTCACTTCTGAAAGGCACCGGATCTCTGATTGGCCCGCCCATAGCCGGTGCCATTCTCGATGCCACCGATAATTATCTCGGAGTACAGTTATTTTCAGCATTCGGCATCCTTTTGACGGCTCTCTTTACAGTTGTACTGCATTTGATGGTCGTTGCCCGAAAGTCACTCAGCGGCGACGTTTAAAGCCTCCAAATTTTGAAGCTTTTCGGTTCGGCACCTCGATACCACCCCGATCAAAACCTCACGCTTCCCGGTCGCGAGCTGCGATCGACCGAGGTGGAAGTGGCAAGAACTTCCTCATCGACTTCCTTAATATATAGAAAGCAGCATCCGAAACGGCCCATTTCCAAACCACCCATATGAATCAGTTCTTCTGATATCCAATGATATTATTGGAAGTTCTAGAATCATGGCTTTTAAAAAAGAAGAGCGCCCCAAGATTTTAACCAACTAGTGCGTTGGTAAGGCAGCCATTGCTTCCTGGGGGCGATATTTGACCCCTAATACCAGTGATCAAGAAATAGAGCATACTCTAATCTAACGAAGCCAGTGGTTCAGACCCAGCGAGAGGCTTAACCCATGAAGGGGAGAGGGAATGACCTCCTGGAGCGAGGAGTCTAGGAAGAGTGGAGATTAAATAGCCAATTCAATTTTTTCAAAACCAATGTGACGAGGCTAACAGGCTAACCTCGGAGCAATATTATGCTTATTGTCGAGTTCAAGGCTATTTTTTGGAAATTAACTGCGGACATTTTTAAGTGAATGTACAACGTGTATTGTACATATTCTCCTCCTCAACTTCCGTAGTGCCCGGGGCCGCTCCACCCATAAGCCTGCCATTGTCCCGCATCCTCGGGTGCCTGGATTTGGGAGCTCGGTGCTGCTGCCTGGTTCACGTTTGTATCGGGCAGTACTGGTTGGGGCTCGGGATTCGGACCGGGGCCTACACCTGAATACGGACCGGCAGGCATTTCATGGGGTATACCAATTCCAGACATCTCCGCCACTCCAGGACCATTCTGCGGATAGGCTTGTTGGTAGTTAGGAAGCTCGGCAGCCTGCGGTTGTGTGGACGCGACTGCCGAGAGTTCTTGCACCTGAGCTACCGGACTCGGCCCAGAGGGCCCCAACTCGGCCATCGCCAAGTTTGCAGTAGAGACCTCGGCGGGGAGCTTCCCCTGACCGTTTGCCCCCTGGCCATCTAGCTCAGACTTCAACAGCTCAGTAGGTGGTTTCTCCTGACTATCTAGTTCGGGTTTCGAAAGTTCCTCGGCTGTCTTCCCAACCCCTCCCAGTTCTGCCGGTCCACCAGAGACTGGGTCACTCTCTACATTTTGGGCTGCTTCGGGATCGGGTCGCTTCGAGAGACGTCGATAGAGGAAGAAGGCGCCGACGAGAAGACCAAGGCCGACAACGGATCCCACAACTGAACCTGCGATGACCCCGGCTTTGCTAGACTTTTTTCTTCCTTGGCCTCCGCTGTCGCCGCTCGAGGAAGAGCCTGAATCGCTCCCCGCCTTCGAATCCGCTAGAGGGGGGATATCAGAGCTAGAAGGGCGAAGAGAAAAAGGTAGTTTACTAACATTGAGGATCGGAATTAGGAGCGGAAGTGACACCTGGAGCCTGTCGAAACAACGTTCGTGCGGTGATAGGTAGACCTAATCTATCTAGGCAAGTGATCAAGGTAGCTGATGGAGTCACTTGGGGGGACGCTTCGAAGATAGTTAGGGTCGCACAACCGTTGTCCGCGCTGGTAGAGTTAGTATTTGACCAAACCATGACGAAGTCGGGGGTTGGCCAACTCACCAATCTGTATGCATAGAATAGGAGTGTGAAACTGTGTTATCTCCGGTTCTGATGGTCCAAGACTCGTAGAGTTCCTTGGACGCGGAACACGAATACCCCGTCGAGGCGACGCTGTATATCCCTTGAGATACAGTCAGGCATCCGCCGGTCCCATCCGATGTCCGCCATCTTGCACTCTCGCCAGTGCACGATGCCGTTAATGCTACGGATATTTATTAGCAGGCGCGAGGAGCTGAATAGTCGGATGAAGTTAAGACAAAGGGAGTTTTTATCTTACTCTTATCGCCGTCCACATAGTAGCCGATTACGGCCTGGTTGTTGGCCGCGAGGGCAAGAGTGGAGATGGAGAGCGCGAAAAGAAAGGGGAACATGATGAAATCGGTGAAATCAAGCGTACGCGCCTCTCCTTGTTGCCGTTTCGTCAAGAGGCAGACGCTCGGCGTTTCAGGGTGACAATGAATGCGAGTTCGAAGTTCTCGCCGTTTCCATGCACGACAACCTCGAGCACTCCTCGCCACGGGCAAGTGATATCGCTTCATTTGAAGACGCGAACTACCGCGTGGTTCTTGACAGCCCTATGGCAAGATTTAAGCTTTTGTTCCGCAATCTCGGCCCATCGCCAAGAAAGAGTGGGATCGTCAGCATTGCGTGAACCGGGGTCTTATTGCTCCGGTTGGGACAGGGAAGGGCTTCCATAACCCCCCTGAAGGAAATTAAACTGGAGCACTGCCACTATTCAGCCAGTTCAGCCCCACAAATGTAAAAATCCCGAGAAGTGGGCACTTCCTTGGAAGTGCTTCACATCTCAGGATCAACACTCCGTTTGCAGATCTTTGCCGATTTAAAATTGATATTCCCCGTCTTAAACAATCATCCCTAAGTACGTACTCATACTGAACCCCCTATTCGGCACAGTGTCAGGCATTCGCCCACAATCGTAAGGATCTGCTCAGTTGGCTCGACCTTCAGCACTCACCCATTCCTCCGTAATCAGTGCGAGTTTTATCCTTTGAACTTGCCCTAATACATACGACCATAGCTCGCAGAATATTCGTGGTCGGTCGCGTCTGCTCTTTTGTGGGGCTTTTTGGGTTGGGCTTCCCCTTTTTGGGAGACTTATAAAATAGGCCTTGATCTCGGCCTTGATAAACCTAGATGACAGAGTTGCCTTTGATCTTAGATCTTGGCCTCGATAAACCTAGATGGTGGGGTTGTCCTCGATCCCGGATCTGGGCGGAAGCTCCGCGCAGTTGGGCCTCCTGGATCGGGTTTGCGGTTTGCTGCGCATTTTCCCTAAGAGTCTTTCGACTTTGGTGTAAAGGATGCCGAAGATGGAAGCTAGCACCCCAAACCTGGCGCCAGGTGCTAAGCAGAGTCTATTGTACTGACCAGAAACCCCGTGTATCGCGACCCAGGCTATCACAGCATGGCCCCAAAAGGTATGCAGAAGAATCCGGGACCCGGGCTGCAGGAAGTTTATATTGAGTTGCTCCCCCCATTGTGCGCCTGTCTGGAAAATTCCCTAGGGGAAAAAAGAAAAAAAAAAAAATCAAGTCGGCTTGCTGTAATATTGCATTTCATTTTCCCCAGTTTCCGCAGAGCTGCCGTATTGGCCCAATGGGCTTCATTGGGTCTGTTTGCCAGGTCCATTGCCCTACCTTGCCCTGTACTTCGCTTTGTAGGGACACTCTCTCCGCTGTTGGTTGTGGCTGCAGTGGCTTAATCGACGGGCATCGCCCGTCGTATACAGAAGTTGCAGGAAGAAAGACGCCACGCGCGGCACAATCTGGTTTGGCGCTCTGGGCCTGCCAGCCGCCAAAATCACGGCATATGGTGGAGGACCCATCATACAGAGAATACAGTGGCTGCAATACGATGCTGCTAATTTGGCAAGAAAATGAAAGGATTAGCAACGGGCAATCGACGTGGGTGTTGCTTCCGGGAGCGGCCACGACGCCGTGGTGCGGCAGCTTCTCGAGGCCGACGCCAATGCGGACGCTAATGGTTACGATGGCTGGGCACCACTTCACTGGGCTTCCAGAATGGCCACGACGTTGTGGTGCGTTCTTGCCGTGGGTACCCTAGAGATGCACATGGCTGCCTTTACCTTATCAACCAGGGTTGCAAACCCACCGAAGCTCTCAAGCTTCTTGTAATGTATGCCGTAGGGGCATACCGCTGCGTCACATAGACCAAAAAGATCCGTCATATCCAGCATTCCATGCTGGATGTGGCCCGTATCAGCATATATGAAGTCTTGTAGCAACGCTTGCATGTTACCCCATGACACTTCTCGTGGAAACTGGTGAGCGACGTGTTTTCCGGCTCGGTACGTGAATGATGCGGCCCGATCGAGTCACTCCCGTTGTTGTGTATGCCGTTGCAGGGGGCTAAATCAGCCGTCCTGCCCTGCAACGTTGATGTCGCCCACTCAGGAGATCTTGGCCCTTGCAGAAGACTATTACCACTGGACAGGAGAACGTATCCTCAGCGTTCTCACCTAGCCTGGCTGATCGCCACGCCAAAGCTGCCGTCTGTACTTGGTCGAAGGAGAGCGGAAGTCAACACAATTTCGGTTATCACTGGCGGCAACCCTCAGTGAGACTGAAAGCGGCGCGATCTGACCAGGTGATCCGCGCCGCGCCCACATTTATTTGACGGTGAGAGGATCTGCTTCCTTCTGCTCCCTTCTCTACATACTGCTATGTATCAATGGCTAGGTTAAAAAGCATTAGCCACTCGCAAGAATGATGAGTGGCGGCAACGGTTGAAGCGTGACAGGTCATCGAAATCTTCTTCGGCCCACAGGCAGCCTCAATTCCCACTTCCTTTTTCGTTAGAAGCCAGCCAGCTAAACGCAGCAAGTCTTTTGGTTGGGTAATTGCCGCACCACGGTGACTGTAGAAAGTTTGGCAAGGGACAAGCTCGTCAGTCTGTTCCAAGGTCTTTACTAGCGCGTCAGGGGAAATGGCTTGCACAACAGTACATGCGTTTGGGGTCCTATCTTTTGCTCAACAGTACTCTGGGGCAGCCGTACCACAACGAAACCCTGCCCTTCATTCCACTGCGTTCAAACCAATACCAGCCTTTTTACACTCAGCCTTCACAACATAAGGGTCAATATGCGCCTAAGAGCTGGCGGGATCAATTAAAACACCTGGACCATACGCCGTCAAATCAGTAGAAACAACAAATGCCTAAGCAATCAATAACACCTTCTAGTCATCAGGATAACTAGCTGCTTCAGCAGCCTCGCCCTCCATGACGCCATGGATATAAGCGTCGCCAACCAGCACAAATACCCGCCCTTTAGCTTCGTCGGTGACTGTCGACAACTTCTCCTTCCTGTGCCTCAGAATGAATGGTACTGTAGCCCCACTGAGAACATGCACTTCGTCGCCCACCTCACTGCAATCAGGTACCAAAGGCGATTTCTTTAGCCACTCTATATAATAGTGGGCAGGTTCAGCGGCCGCATTTTCTGTAAAGGCTAGTTGGCCAAAGGTTGTACAGTAGCGGCCAGAAGTCCTTGCCAAAACGGAGAGGTTAGTTTGGGATGGCGCGTTTATAAGCGAGCTTTTCCCCACGTTGGGTGGGCTTCTGATGCCCAGAAGCTCCGACGGCGATTCTTCAAAGTGCTGGTCCTCGGGGACAACTTCGGATTATAGTGCAAACTTCATTTCTGCAATGGCATATGGCCAGCAGCGAGCGCTCCCAAGCTACTCATGTGCTCCTACCACCGGTTGCTCTCTCCTTCGCCTGCAACTCCTCTAGTAATCGCACCATGGCTTCCCTAATCAATGACTCGGCCGCTTCTCTCCCCGGAGTCTCCGCATAGTCGAGCGGAATCTTTCCCTCCCGATCCTCCGCCAACACATCCGCTCCAGCTTCGAGAAGAATCCGCACGCATTCTTCTCGCCCTTTGCATGCTCCTAGATGCAACGGTGTCTGCCGGTTGCGGTCCCTGGCGTTGACAGCAGCCCCCTGATCCAGAAGCGCCTGCGCGACCTCGGCAAAGCCCTTGTCTACCGCGAAGTGCAGAGCCGAACGGTAGTGCCCCAGGTATCGGCCATGGACGTCGAACCCCGCTCCGATCAGCCTCATCGCCGCCGTCGGCGTATCGGCGCGGATGGCGTTGACGACGGCCGGCCCTTCTCTCCGTGCTCCATGCGCAAGCAGCAGTCCAGCTGATTCCTCGTCGCCGTCTGACACGGATATTATGAGCGCCTTGGACATTCCTCCTAGGCCGATTGAATTCTCGAGCAGGATGCGCATGACGCCAGCGTCCTGAGTTCGCGCTACGGAGCAGAGAGTGGAGTCCCCGACCGGCCCCGGCACGGACAAGCCCCTTGCTCCGTCGAGTAGAAAGGCAACGCACTCGGCGTGCCGTTTTTCTACAGCCGCGGCAAGAGCCTGGCTCCCATGTGAAGACATGACGTCGGCATTATGCTCCAACAAAACCTCGAGCAGACCTTGCAAACCCTTCGATGCTGCCGCAACAAATGCCCGTCCTTCGGCCTCTTGTCCGCCATGGTCTCTGCTGAGGAATAGCGATACAAACCCCTTCCGATTCATCCTCGCCGCTTTCTCAAGAAGGGAGCGCAGGCTTTGAGGCGCAATGCTGCCGGGGAGGCTAGCCGGCGTATATTCGGAGCTACATCGAAGGATGCAGTTGGCGAGCTCGAGATTGTCGCTGTATAGTGCGTACCACAGCGGGGTACTACCGCCTTCGGGCCTCCCAGGGTTGTTCTCTGCCTCCCAGACATGTGACGAGTATGCCCAGAAGTTTTCCGGACGCGGGGGCCAAGACTTATCTCTGTCTTTGTACCCCACTGTATAAAGGTATTCGACAACGTCGATCCAGTTGTTCAAGCATGCGAGCCACATTGGATTGTAGGGTGTCCGAGTGGCATCTCGCAGTTTTAGGTCTTCCACTTCGTACCCCATGTGTTTGAAGTCCCTATCGTAAATTCGAATGAGTCTACACCAGATTGCGAAATTCTTTGAAAAATTGTTCGAGTCGCTAACGAGAAACGATCGGAGGAGAGGCAGCAATGGATCGGATCTCCTGAAAACCTCGCTCCGGTCAGCGTGGTAGACCCAGTATCTAGCGACGTAATAGACATCGTCCCAACGGTCCTGGATGATGAGGGCGCGAGCGACGCGTTCTCGCAACCGAGAAGTGGCAGCATCTTCTTGCTCCACGTTTTCCTGTGAAACACTAAGAGCTCCCGTTGTTCCGTCTTCCTTTCCTTCCTTTCCTTCCTTTCCTTCCTCTTTCTTCCCAATATCATTTGTTTCTTGGTCAGTTTCGCCTTCCTGGTTTTCCCCTCCGTTTTCCACTTCCAACGCATTTGTAGGCACCTCATGTGTTACTATTACTTTAGTATCGCCTATTGTCGTTTCTGGTCCTTTCGATTCCATATCGGACTTGTTCGCCTCTTCCCTAAGCATATTCAACGCCATCGCAACGGTTGCATCAATATCGCAAGGCAAATCCTGCATACACGCGCAACAAATTTGGATGCCACCGTTGTTGTCATCTTCCATTTCTACTTCAGGCACTTTCCTGTCATGCTCGCCCCTTTTCACCCTGTCAACAAGCTTCTGAAAAGCCGCTAGGACGGTTGCGTCGACTTTGAATTGTAATTTCCTGTGGCAACCTATTCGGAAGACACTGTTGTTGGCATTTGCTTCTATTTGCGGCAATTTCGCCTTTGACCGAGCGCTATTGGACACCTCCTCCAGATCCTGAGGGGCCTCAATGGCTGCGTCGATCTTGCGAGTTAAGTGCCGTAGGCATGCGCAAGCGATGAAGGCGTTGCTGCTGGTTGAGAGAAATGTATCCACGTTCCGATGATTGAGGCCTTCGAGAAACTCACGAACTGATAAATGGGCAAGCTCAAACGATGCTTTCCGCCGAACAACCAGGTTCGCACAGACGTCAATAACTTCTCTGCCGGTGAAGCTGGCGTGGGGTTCACCTCCTGGCGACGATAACGCAACCGACGAGATATCGGCGAATGCATCGATCGTTACAGTCTCTCGAGCATACATCAGCCATTGGAAAGTGAAGACGGCCAGCTTGGAAGCATGCTCTCCGGATTCCATAATCTGCCTATAAACCTCCCAGTAGGAGCCCTCTAGGGTGGCGGGCAGAGAGCCGAGGCGTGCTTCGACATCAGCTGCGACTTTCAGCGGAAGGAGAGACTGGATCTGAAGCTCTACCCATCGGAACCTGCACATGAATGCTCATGTAAGTGGCATCGCACCCAAAAAAAAAAAAAAAAAAAAAAAAGACATGAAGGCCTCAACATACATTCCCCTAGCGCCATCGAGAAGGGTTTGCCTAATATTGGTCCGCAGCGCATCAGAGAGCTTGCCGTGCAAAAGCCGCGCCTTGTCTAATCTCTCGTCGCTAAAAATCAAAACACCGTTAGGAATTCTTGGTCGGATATTATTGGGTTTGAATCATGTCACTCACATGAACGACGAAATATCTCTCGCATTGTCCTCGGCTTCGATGTAGACATTTGGCGACCCCTTTAAGGAGAGTGCGATGTCAAGGTTGTCTCTGCTTGAAATGAAAACCTTTAGGATATTTGGAGACTCTTGAAGCAGGCGGCTGAGGACATCGAGCAGTTCTTGGCGATCATCTCGGTTCACTTCGTCTAGGGCGTCCAGAACCAGAGACGCCGTGGGATACTGGCCCAAAAGGTCAAAAAGAACTCTCTCCGACTCTTCCATTGTCCAGGCCATGTCCCCGAATTCAGCCATGCCGTCGATTGCGTCTTCGTATTCGGCAAGAACCGGTGGTAGGATTGGCCCGCGAGATCCGACGCTCGCAAGTTGCCGCACAAGACTAGCCAGAATCGCCTCCCCACGACCTCGTTCTGGTTCAGCCGGGTTTCGCATGCAGTAGAAATACGCCAAGTTCTCGCAGCCACTGACATCATCGATAACAAGCGACGTCAGCTTCGTCTTGCCGCTACCCGGGATCCCGTGCAGCCAAAGAACCGACGAGCTGCTCTCCTTACGCCACGACCTATACTGATCCTTTGCGAGTAGCCACTGGCCAGAGCCGGCGAGACGACCTTTCTTCGCCGTTTTATGATGGGTGGGATACGGGATGGTAGATATGGACCGCAAAATCTGCCCGCGAGTGGGGGTTTCAAGCCCATCCTGGATATTGGCGGACAGTGTGCCGAGTCGACTGATGGGCTCCTGGAGCTGCTTGAGAATGTTCTCCAGACGTTCATAGTGCTTGGACTCGGCCAGGGTTTGCGACTTTAGTTCTCCTGAGATGCTTTTGACAGACTCCAGTATCTGTTCCGTCTTTTCCGCCTCAGCAAGATGCATGAGGTCCCAAACTTGCTTTCGGGTGCTTTCCATGCAACCAAACTTCTCTTCAAAGTCTGCTTTGGACGTGGCAACACTCTTGATGAACCGAACTGTGGTTCTATCTCCATAATAGTGAAGGACAGCGGATGGATATCGAAGAACGGCTGTGTATAGAGAGACGATAGCCTCTGAGAGCTGTTTATAGGTGCCACTACTAATTAGAGCGGTAGGTCGTTAGCTTTGCTACGCAGTGTATGGCGGACGTAAAAAAAGAAAATAGAAACGGCCAAACAAATACATGGAGGTTTCTCGTCCCAAATATCGAAGCTCGAGAATGGCACAAGTCGATATGACATTCGTAACACTCTCAATCGACATGGCGACATGTCCAAACACCGCAGCATCGCTGACAGTCGCTTGCACAATGAGCCGGATAACAGCCCACGGCAGAGCAGCATGCCCTGGGTCATATTGTACGGCTACGTCGCCCACCGTCTAGTTCTCAGTTATTTAGCTATGAGTATGAACACCACCAGCAATGTTGCGTCCTATGTCATACTCACAAGAATCTTATCGACCCAAGCCGATATCTTCTCCATAACATCGCGCAACACAATTTCTCGCCCATTGATAGTGATCTTCCAACGCTTCTTCATGCACTCACTCTTCTTCTCGTTGGCAGCTTTTAGGACATCTGTCAAGAGAAGATGCATATCTTTTCCAGCTGTGTCCGCCAAAGCGAATTGCTCGCGATCCTCTTGGCTCAGTTGCTCCAATGCTGCCGCCCATGCTGTGCGGGGTAGTGACTGCTTCTCATTCCCAACAGTATGGCTATTCAGTTGGGCCATTGCTGCGTATGATGCATATAAAAAAATGAAAAAAAAAAATAAAATAAAAATAATCTGTCTGAGTGGGAAGCGCGGATAGCACGAAGCTAATATGAATAAGGGCACTAGCTAGAGTTAGTGTTGGCCGTGGGTGGGCTGGAGGTAATCCATCACGGCTTCGTGATGATGCCAAACACAATGCAGGAGGGAATGTCAAATGACAGCTGCTATCAGTTGCAGACGGCTGATGAGCGCACGACAACAGCGAGGGGAAGAAATTCCGCGGCCCAAAGATTTTAGGCAGAGACGTACACCTGCATCAAACAGAGTTTGCAGACATCACTAAATTAACGTATTTCGTCGTCTTTCCACTTTCTCTTAATTTCGTACATCTTTCGGACTGTACTTCTGACAACCACTCTACTGTACGTGCATATCGCGCAGCCATCATTGCGGCAGAGGTTAATAGCTGCATCAATCCCGATTTCTAGCTTGCTATAGGCCGAGTTTCGGGCGCGCAGGTTGCTCTGGGTCGTTACACGTCCAAGATGTCATGTGAATTCTAGCAACCGCTACCCGCCTCACAGCTCCCCTCGGCGGCACCTCACCACACTCGACGGGAATGGCATTTCCCGTGGGGCCCGGTGAAGACCAACTCCCTTGGTAGTGATGCCTGCTATACACTGGAACGGGCTTCATTTCCGTATCGAGAAAAGTCTCCTCGACCAGATTGTTCGCAAGGGCCTATGTCCAATTCTGTAAAGCACTGGCCATGGAAACCGGAGACCTGGCTCTCTTGTCTTTCGCACCATCTCTCGAGAGGCCACCCGGACTTCCTTCGTGGTGCACCAATTTCAACTCGCTGGACAACGGCGGCGGAACCATCATGGAGAAGGATCTCGAGTGGTACCGCAACCATAAGCGCGCGGACGGCACCGTCTACCCTGTACTTCATTCGGCCCCGAGATTTCGCGCGGGACAGTCCGAAATGAAGGCCGTGGTGAAATCTATTCGCTTCTATGATGGATCCGACAAGCTCCACCTGGCGGGCTTCCGTGTCGACTACATCAACGAGGTCATCGCCTTCGACAGGTGACGAACTATCCGGTCTCATGGGGTTCTCAAACGAGCCTCCACTCGATTCGATCAACGGGCCTGGGAGAGGAAGTGCGCGGAGCTCGGGTGCGAGGTATAAAACGGCCCTAACCGTATCGTAGATGGCAGCGGTGCCGATCAACCGGTTCCTGAATGCCCAGACACTCGGAATAAACTCGGCTATTTCTGGCGGTTGTCTTCAATAAAGGCACTAACCAACTGAGGAAATAGACTTTCTTTTCCTGAAGCGCTGATTATGTGGCGAATGCTAAACTGAAATTGATAATGTAATATAATCCTATTTCTGCAAGTTGATGCACAAACGGGAACCCATGGGAAATATTTGAGGACTTATTCTTCTGAGCTGGCCTTTCAACAAGTACTCATCTCTCCTCCGTGGAGCCCATGACCAGCTTAGTGATCTTCTGCCCAGGCGATCACTCTACGAATTTAGATCGGGCGAGTCGTACGCACAAGCCAGACACGTGGTTCGGAATCCAGAGGTGCCCGAGTCCGCCGCAATCCCGGTCCAGTGCAGGCAACTCTCAAGACTATAAAACCGGATCCCTCCCTTGCACTTTGACATCAGACCTCCAGAGCACTTAGACCAAATCACGCAAGACCAAAAGGAGTAAACAACAACCATGTCCGCAACCCCGCTTACCACCCTCCTCTCCATCCCCCTCTCTCAACCCCTTGACCCCGAGTCCCTCAAGCCCCACCTCTCCTCACCCCCATGGCATCAAATCCCGGGTACCTTCAACTTCCGCAGCATCTCCCACCCTCCTTCTGTGAAAGAAAATTTCATCTACCGCTCGGGATTGCTGAGCTCGGTTTCTGAAGAGGGGAAGAAAGAGATGGTTGAGGTATTGGGAGTTCGGGCGGTTTTTGATCTTCGGTTCAATGAGGAAAGAGAGAGGGATCTCGAGCCGGAACTTGAGGGGGTGGAGCATTTTTGGTTGGGGATTGCGGACGTGGATAGGGTAGCTGAGGGGAATGACAAGTGGAGGACTGTAAGTCATGATTTTCTCACTTTCCATTGCGGTCTTGGCGTTCGTGGATGGAGGTGCGATGGTCTTTATCCAAGCATTACTTCCAAGCCAAACGAAGGGGTAAGAAACAAAAGTGGCTGATCATGCTATTGTGATCTTCATGGATATAATAAATCCTACAGCTAGAAGAAATGTATTTCTACTTCCTTACAACTCATCGGCCAATCTTTCGCGATATCTTCCTGCACGTTCTTCAGAAGCCGGATCGACCTCTCTTGATCCATTGCACAGGTACGCTCCCATATTTCCCCCCCTCTCAGATTCAGCCCCAAGCCCAGGCCTTCGCGAATCTTAAGACTGATATAACCTCCAGCTGGCAAGGACCGCACGGCCGTTGCGGTCGCTCTTCTGCTCTCCCTCGCTGGTGTTCCAGAAGAGGTTATCGCGCATGATTATGCCTTGACGAGGATTGGCCTTGAGCCTGTAAGAGATCTTTTGATATCCAAAATCACACGGGGGTTAGGGGATGTGGATTGGGAGAATGGGCCTCTGAAGACTCTGATTGGGTGCGAGTACGTCGTTGCATTTTGTTTTCTTTTTCTCCCCGGAACCTCTTATTCTCTCCGCAATTCATGGAGAGTTTTGTTAACGTTGACATGGTTTTAGGGCAGCAACCATGCTTAGTTTTCTCCGAGCGATGGACGAGAAGTTTGATGGTGGGGTTGAGGGCTTTGTAGTGAGCGAGCTCGGATTCAACAGGGAGGAGGTCGAGGGTATCAAGAAGAATTTGAAGGGCCATGGCGAGTGATGCTAGGAGTGTCAAGTATCCATTAATCCAGCACTCCAGATAGCCAACTGGATCCCGCAATGGCAGGAACTTAGACTTCCTCTGGGGGTGCGAGGCATTCCCCCTTGCGTGGGTAACAATACCCAATCTCAAACTGGTTATATTTCCGTATGCGGGTCGTAATTAAGGCGCATGTTGTTCCTCAATATAACTTCGTTACCGCTTCTGTGCGTGTCATTGAACTACTTGGTTATATTAGACTTTGAAGCCATCAGTAATCGTGAAGAAGTGGGCTATATCTTCTCAACCTGAACGCAGATATTGTGAAAAGGTATTCGTCACCCATACGCCCAGAGGCTAGTATAGGTTATGCATTGGCAGCTTCAGCGCCACCGTTGTCAAAAGTAACTGACAGTGATGACGAGGCCCTTTTTTTTCCCATATTGTTGACTAACATCTTGCCTCGAGTTTGATACCGACAACAGTTTGGTGCGGCGTCATTCCAGCCAGATGTGTGCGCGAAAGTTAAAATACTCAACAAGTCTATGCTGCCGGACATGAGCACCAGGCGAATCTTTGGTACCGAAGCTAAGTTGTGGGAAAAACAGGTCAGTGGGCGATTGAAGCTACGCCTGTCTTCCGAAAGACTAAATCCACGCAGGTTGTTGTTTAGGGACAGAAATGGCAGCGACTTACAAAGATAAGTGGGTTTGAGGAAAGAGAGATGTGGTATTGAGTGAAACTAAGGTTACTGTGGTGTTGATATCGCAAAGGGTTACGGCTTAGGCTGAAGACAAACTTCCTTGTCATGGCATTATTACTGGTTATATGAAAGGCCAGGATCAGTTTATCTGTTCCAATCCCGCCACGATCTGGGAGGCTGCCTCTCCCTGGGCCGATGATGAGATCAAGACGCGCGGTATCCCCTCGGTTCACTGTCGTTTTCGTATTCTTTATTCTTTGTATGTCTAACGCCGCAAAACACGGATAATAATCTTACATTAAGTACCTATTAAGCTACATCCTGCACGGCTCCCAAAGTACCCAGACCGTAGATGGCTTGACGGCGTACATCCTCGCCACTAAGAAGCAGAACGAGCCCGTGAGGAGGGCCTAGGCATCCATGACTGCAGGAACGTAAAAGGAAAGCAGGTGAACCCGGACTGACTGGATGTGAGGGGATTTGCACTGCTCTCCACTTTTCAGCGCACAACGAAACAGCTTCCCAAGCGAGGATCCTGAAACAGAGCAGAGCTGATTTCAACACAGAGAATGGCTCGGGGCTGACTGGACAAGTGCTGGATCTGGAAGGGTCACCAGGTTGGGAATTATCGACCTCGAGAGTGCTTTCGTATTCGGATAATTTAAGGAGAAAGAGGCCTGCGTTTTTTTCTATTATCTGAATCAACTCCATGAACCCTTGATTGAGCATTTGGAACGAAACCCTTTCGCTGTTGACAGCGCAGTTTTCTATCTCTATTTGACGAGACAAATGAGAGTGTCTGTGAGGTTGTGGGGGGAGGTCCGCTCGCATTCGTATTCGGGATCACGACTTCCAAATTCTCGGCATCTTTGTGTAGGCAGTTACATAATCCTAGCCCATTGAGCTTTACATCCGTTCGACAGGCTCCAGAGTCTCGAAAACGAGCCAGCCCATTATAATGGAAAAGAATATAAATTCATTATAGCCCAGATAGCCATTTGAGTCTCAAGGTCAATGTGGTGAGCCTCCAAACCATCAATCCATTCTGCTCTTGCCCTGTTCACGCTCTTGTCCTGTTCACGGCGACTTCCACAAGCCGCAAGACCTCGTATCGCCATGACTTCATCCAACGAGAATCATCGCCAATTATCAGTGGTTAGAGGTACTACCTTTGAGAATGTGCTCCATAAGGGATCTCGTGACACTGTTGGCATGTCGGCAATGATGAAGAAGAACTACGATGCCCAACAGGCCGCTTCCGACGAATACTTCAAACATTGGACTAGCAAGACGGCTGAAAGTGAGACTGAGGAAACCCGAGAAGTAAGGCATCACAGCATCATGGAAGAATCTTGTCGTGAATGCTGACCATGTGTTCTCTCTTACAACAGACAAGACAAGCGGGTTATGAATCGTTGACCAGGCAGTAAGTGTGTCCTGTAATTGCAAATATTATCAGGATAACATTCTGACAGTGCTTGGTGTTAACAATTAGATACTACAACCTCGGTAATTATAACTATTATCCCCTACAGCTACCATTGGACCGAGAACTGAAACGGCGAGTCTAGCTACGGACTTTTACGAATACGGCTTCGGACAGAGCTTCCACTTTTCTCGTGCGGGAATCGGAGAGTCGTTCCAACAAACACTTGCGAGACACGAACACTACTTGGCGCGTATAATAAACATCACGGATGGCATGAAAGTACTCGACGTCGGCTGTGGCGTCGGTGGCCCAGCACGACAGATTGCAAAGTTCACAGGCGCCAAGGTCGTTGGACTTAACCTTAACGAATACCAGATTGAGAGGGCGAGGAGATACACTTCAGAACATGGCATGGACGACCAGGTCCAGTTTGTTCAAGGAGATTTCATGGTAAGCCGAAGATGCGACTGCCTCGCGTTGTCGTAGGACTTTCTTATTAACAGCGCAAACTAGAACATACCGTTCGATGATGATACATTCGATGCGGTGTACGCGATCGAAGCGACCGTTCATGCCCCATCCCTCGAAGCGGTTTATTCTGAAATTTTCCGCGTTCTTAAACCCGGCGGCACATTTGGGGTGTACGAATGGGTTATGACCGAAAGGTACGACGATGATGACCCTAAGCATCGCAAGATCCGCCTCGACATCGAGAAAGGCGATGGTATCGCAAACATGGTAAAGGCGTCTGAAGCCGTGCGCGCCATCGAGGCGGCCGGTTTTGAGATGCTCGCCCACGAGGATCTCGCGGACCGCCCAGACCCGAGTCCTTGGTATTGGCCACTCGATTCCGGAAGTTGGCGCCATGTGCAGACATTCGGCGACCTGTTTTATACTTTCCGGATGACATATATTGGAAGGTCGCTCACGCATCTTGTTTTGAGTGCCCTAGAGGCAACTCGACTTGCGCCTCCGGGTGTTGTCAAAATGTCGGAGAACTTGTGCGAAGCCGCCGACGCGTTAGTATTGGGCGGCAAGGAAAGGATCTTCACTCCAATGTATCTGATGGTCGGTCGCAAGCCCGTAAAAGATGCAAGATAGAGTATCACCTCGTCAAGAAAGTGCTGCATTCTTTAGCTAGTATCTACAGTTCTCCCCCACCGACCTCACGGTTTCCCTCTTCCAAGAGGGTATTCTATATTTTACTTATTATTTTTATTCTACAAAAATATACCTGTTTTTGCAAAATATGAATTGCAGCCTCTCGTTATGCGTTGATCCTATGCTTTGGCTAAGATATAAACTTCTAAAAGGATGTGAGGCAGTGAGGAGTGCGAGACATCACCACGGGAGACCTCTGCTCACCCGATACGGTCGGACCGGTCTACACAAGTAGTAGGCGCCAACACACGTGAGAACTGGAGGAAACCCAAGTCAATGCTTCACCACGATCTTGCCCCCCGCCCCTTGCGAGTCCAGCATTCTATGCGCGCTTTGAATATCCTTGAACTCAAAGACATGTGCAGGTTTAGCGTCCCACTCCCCCTTTTCAATCATGTGGACAATCTTTTGCATCGGAATCTCCGACAATGGGAAATCCGGAGAGCCTAGGACTTTGCTGTGGAACAAGCTAAAATGAACACCAGATTTCATCTGGACCATGGGATTGAAGTCCTTAATTGGGGCTAGCCCTCCCAACCACCCCGCCTGTAGCATTCGTCCTCCAGATCGTGTGAGGTCGATGGACTCCAGTAGTACACTGTTGCCGATGAGATTCAAAGCTTTGTCAAACTCGGGAGCATGGTCAAACTGGTCTTGGAGCTCCCGCCGTTCCTGCTTCACCTCAACTGCCCCGAGCCGCTCTAGCCACGGGAACCGAGACTCTTGTCGTGTGGTGGCCGTCACGAGGGCGCCGGAATTGACCGCTAAATTCAGTGCAGCTTGGCCGATCGTTGATGTAGCACCGCGGATAAGGAGCTTTTCCCCACGATGCAAGTCGAGGATGGTGAAAAGGCACGTGTAGGCTGTGCTGTAGACTTCTGGAAGAGCCGCAAGTCGTTCCCAAGGCAACGCTGTCTCTATCGCAATGACGTTTGTGACGGGCACGTTAACGAACTCGGCGTATCCACCAGGGCGGGTCCTGCCCATGCCACCCATCACGCCCATGACCTTGCTTCCGATGGGAATTTCTGCCCCTGGACAGGCCTCGACGATTCCGACACACTCGAGACCTGTGATTGGATTCCATTCGTCCCATTCCCCCTTTCGCATATGCATCTCGGCATGGTTGACCCCGAAGGCTTTCACATGAATCAGAACCTCGCCGGCAACGGGAGCGGGCTTTGGAAGTCGTTTGTATTGTAGGACTTCTAGACCGCCAAACTAGGTGATGACGATGGCGTCCATGGCGTCTGATAGAGGGGAGTTCATGAACTGCGTTATATGTTGCCACGGCGAATAGAGGGTAGGGAGAAAGAAGACCGTTGCCCGGAATCCTTCTCATTTATAGACCCTGCATTGGCCACGGGATTTGGAATTAGTTATTAGTACTTGCGAGATATGGTAGGATCTGCGGGTACGCCAAAGGGAGAGAGCCGGTTTCAACGTCATAGGAAGGGCGTAATCAGAGGAAGGGCGTGAGAATGCTGGAATGGGATACTACTTCATGTCGGGTGTGGCTCGTGTGAGGTCAATGAAGACAAAAATTATGTCATTGGTCTTCACATTGACCTTTGACTTCACCGAATCGCCGCCCTGATTACAAATTCTCAAGTGTTCCCAAGCCTTTGCGGCGTCAATGAGTTTGAGTTTAACTTTATACTACCCATCGCTCTCACTCCTCCATCGGATTCTGGACGGCTAGGGTGCCTGTGAGAGTTCCTTTAACCTATTAAATTTGAAATACTTCGGCTATGTGCGCAACACTACGCCCGGAAGAGAGCATTTGCTCTCGTTCTGGGGTCGGGTATTCATACGATGCTAGAGAAGATTTGATGAATGAGGATGTGTCCGCCGTCAAGGGACTCCATTTTCATTGGGCTGTCGAACACTGCCTAGTATTCGTCATGCGTTGCGCCTTGGCCGATTCCTCCTTGCTTGGGTCATTGGTATTCAGATCTGGTTGCAGGGTCCACGATGGCTCTCTGCTATCAAGAAATTTCACTCTCAGTCTAGCCTATAGCGATGTAAGCTCAGAATACATCATGATTGTGACTGAAGGGAAGTCCAGCACAGCCCCAGGGACCTCAAGGGAAGACCGGCGTATTGGATGGCACGTCTTGCAAGCATCACAATGAGCAAGCTATGTTAAGATTAAGGGAATGGTTTAAGAACCCTTGGTTCGAGTGGAGATTTCATCGATAGTGGTCACTAGGCTGTTTTCACGGTCGAGGCGTATGTGCCGGGTCCTCTCTTTTAGTCCTCTGAAGATCTATACTTGGAATCGCTATCTGGGGCTTGCTCAATTTCCGGTCCCATTTCATCTCCCGCCTCCTTAACATCATCGCCATTATCATCCCGCGCCTTGGTCCCCTTCCCCTTTTGTTTCGTCACCTCCTCCCACCTCTCCCGACCAGGCCAGGTTCCAACCGGCTTGGAGAGTTGTATTGTAGCTTTCGACAGGATCGGGCTGCCATTCTCGCAGGCATAGTCTGCCACTTGTGAACTATTTATCTAGGCTTAGATCAGTTGTAGGGATAGATGCAGTCTGACATTGCCCATGTGGGCGACCTCTCAGAGGTACGCACTATACTTGCAGCAGGGGGGTTGACTTGCTACAAGGATATATTCCGGCGGTCGAATACCTATTTGTTTTAAAGCAACATAATTTCCTAAAAGATTGTCATCCATTTATACGGTTCGTTGTGCTACCATCTATGTACGTATCATTGGTGAGACGCAGGCATTCGACGTGTTTCTCTGCGGGAGGCCCACCACGCGAGAAGATAAAAGGGACCCCAATGGAGCCCAAACGAAGGCGTCGGGTCAGGCAGAATACTCTCCTCTTTATTTTCGATAAGTTCCTTGCAAATAAACACTTATTCGACACAATTATCATTTCAGTTCACCCATACTACTGCGAATTGTACCCATTCATTTGGGAAAAGTCTAGAGTTCACCTCGTCGCCAAAGCTATCTCCTGCTTATTCAAACAGAATGGGTCGAAGAAAGAGTCTCTTAAACGTCTTCCGGTCGGAGAGGGCCTTGGGGCGTAAAACTTCCGTGGAGGGTGTCGTGGACGCCGGCAAGCCGAGTGACGCGGATAAACAAGATCCCAGCGATATCGATTCGTGGGGAACATCATCTTGCTCTTCCCCTTGCCCTCCCCAGCCATTGAAACTATCGCAACGAGTTCCATCTCATGCTATAGGTTCAGTTCCACCATCAGAAAACAATGGCTTGAAAAGAACCTCGGAGGTAGCTGAAACACTGTCGAGGCAGCTGAGCCACATTGAGCCGACGGTACTGGCGCTAGCAGAAGGACTGGAGAAGTCACAGGAAGCCGTACTGCAGCACATTGATTTCTTGACCGGGTACGACGGGGATCCTTCAGACGCTCGTCAGGCCACCGAGGGAGGGGCGGCGTGTCTTAGCGAATCGCAGAAGCGCCTTCCCCAAGAGTCAAAAACGGAAAACCAAGCTTGCCCCCGTCCGTCGGCGTCGATTGAGAATCCGACGGGACAAGTCTACGACAAAAAAGTCCTCAGCAACCTCCTGTCTTGTATACAAGAGTGTCAAAAGTTTCTAGACACTCTGCAGAAAACGGCTAAATTTGAACATGACTTGTCGACGGATACAAGCGCAAGCCCCGACCGAAACACAGACATGCTCCAACACACCCAAGAACAACTTACACAGGGTCTTGAAGAGAGTCAGTTCGGTCGCAATCCAACCGCCGAGTTGTCTCGGCTACTTGGGGAGGAGAAAGAAAGAACTTCTGCTTTAGCGGTAAAGCTGGAGGAAGTTGAAGCAAGGAGTAAGAGTCAGCAACAGAAATGCATGGCTGCTCACGAGGAAGAAAAGGAACGAATGCTCGACATTTTTCAAAAGGTTCTGGATAAGCTAGAGAAAGAGTCCGAATCCTTTAAGGCTACGAAGAATCGCGAGATGGAAGAGTTGTCGTGCCTAGCCGAATCTTTAGCAAACGACCTGAAGGAGGAGAAAAGTCGTCGTCGAGAAGACAAGGAAAAGTGGCAGAAAATAGAGAACGAGAAACTGGCATTGGAGCTCATGTTGCTCGAGACTCGGCGTCTGCTGCGGTGGAAAACTAGTGTCTATGCCGATACGATGGCCCAGCTAGAAGCAGAGAGACGCAAGACGCAACTTGCAGAGACTCAGTCATTGGCCCTGGGGGATCATTCTTTAACACCCAGGTCCCTTCTAATGATGTTTTCTTCACAGCAACCGGGTATGCCAGTCGCAAGCGGTTCAGAAGTCAGTCGTCTGGTTTTCTGTCCGATAACACCCGGCACCCTTGATCTGAAACTTTCCGGCGAGGAGCTGCAGTCCATGTTCTCACTCCTGAAGTCGCGAAAATCGGCACCCTTCTTGAACTTTCTTAGGACGGAAGTCTCGATCCGTCCGTGCCAAATATGTGGATTTCACAAGTTTGATCCGCCTCCATCCCGACCAAACGAGATTGCCATTCTGGACGAGTATCCCAGGTTTCCCCAGCCTATGCAACTAGAATCAAATAACGTCTGCACAAAATGTCGTCTCCCGCACCTCGTCACTGACTTTGAGAGGCATGTCTGGACTGACATGGCGACGGATGAGATCTTCAGGTTGGTGAAGAATCAAGGAGACTTTGCCACGATTTTGCGTTGCCTAGGAGATCCGGAAATTGGAAATACCTTGCGCACGTAAGTATTGCCACTTCTTTTCCTTCACCTCAAAAGCTCAATAGGCTCAAACTAACTTACTCTACTAGCTATGAAGCATGTATGGATTTACGCCGTGCTCTTTCCTGGCATGACAGTTTCCTACCCGCCCTAGCCATTCGAATCTCATGCGACCTTCATCTCCGGATGAAGAAGGCGGGCATTATGGCGCCTTTCTTTGATTCCCAATTTTTTCGCACTGAGCCGGACGATAACGGTTCGATCCCTCCTTTCGACCCAGGGACTATACGCAACGTCCGAGTATATGCCTATGAAGAGGGAACGTCTGTCGATGTTCCAGTGTTCATGAAATTCTTCAACCGTTCGGCGAAAGTTGTAGAATGCAGCGTATGCTCCGAGAAGTACCGCGATATCCGGCTACTAGAGGAAGACTGGAAGGTAGTCTGCGGCCGAGAATATGACCACGAATGGCTGTGGGCACTTCTCCACTTCCCGCCTGGAGCGACAAAGTCCGGCTGCCAGCACGAACCCGATGTGTGTCGGCGATGCTACAATCAATTCCTTGCCGCCCAGCTGGAGCAGCTTGGCAGCCTTGGATGTGAACAGATCGCGTGCCCGACGCTTGGCTGTGGGAATCTTCTCCAGTACGAAGACATTCGCCGCATGGCCTCGAACAAAACGTTCAAATTGTTAGTCTTCTCTGGTATCAGATTCTCCGCGAAATGAACGCAGCACTGCTGACAAGATCCAGGTACGATCGTTACAGACTCCTCAAGCAGCTAAGTGGCGAAGAAGGCTTCATGTGGTGCCTTAGACCTGGTTGCCAGAACGGCCAAATATACGATCCCGACGATGAAATGGTTATCTGCGCTGAATGCTCCTTTGAAATGTGTTTCCGTCATCGAGGGCCGTGGCATGCGGGCCTTACGTGTCTAGACTACGCGGCTAACCAAGGTGATCCCAATTCCAGCGGAACCCGCGAGTGGATCGAGGGAAACTCCCAGGCGTGCCCTAACCAAGGTTGTGGAGTACGGATCGAGAAGAATCTTGGTTGTGATCATATGACTTGTAAGTCTGCCTTCATCCCTCTTGAAGAGATGGAGTTGGTGTCATGTCGTTAACCTGATCCGGAACGGCAGGTACTATCTGTAGCCATGAATTTTGTTGGTATTGCCTCGGCGAGTGGGACGGGCATTCCCATTGTCGAGAGTAGTGGATGAGGAACGGGTGTCTCGTAATGATCTCTTTTTACTGATGCTGGTTCTGAGATTCTGGGAATACATATTCAGATCGCCACTCACCTCTCGCTGAAATTCTACACCTAGTTTGTCTATCCTGAAACCTAGAATCACAACCTGGGGCGCACCTTCAATCCAAAATCTTTGCGCCAACGACAAGGAGCTTTACCACTCATCCCATCGTGCCCATCCCACGACCGTAGTCGGGGAACCGATACACCATTCTTGGCTGAGATTGACTTCTCCGGGTTTAGAGATGAGGAAGATTTCCATCTAGAATTTTGGCAGACATGCTATGCAGTGGAAGACCATCGAGATACTTCAACTGCTGAAGAACCGGCTTATGAACGGCGACATCATTATTAAAGGGGGTCACGAAGGACAGCAGGCTGGGCTGGGGGTCGACCGAGAAGGAGTCAGAGAGAGCCTTATAAGTGTATCAGTCAGATCAGATTAATGTTGGTTGACTGATCTGATTGAATTGTTTATAGCGCTGGCTGGCAGAAGTATTCGACGCCGAAGCCCATAGAGCGTTCCAGGGATTAGTGGTAGCAGCAGCTATTGGACCAAAGCAAACGCCCATACACCTATCTAAACAACACAGTAGCAGTAGATGGACGACCCAGTGGACTCCAGAACACTTCTCTTAGAGTCTAGATTTCAGCTAGACGAAATACGGGTTTCTCGGTCAAATGGTCCCCAATGGCGTTGCTCTATTGAAAGTGATATGGCGCTGACAAGCTTGCAAAGGAACGAGCTATGTTCGATGCTAACAGCCAAGCCAAGCCAATTTTAACGTGGGCAAAACACAACACCAACAGACCGAAGAGAGATTTCATACAATGATAGAACCCCACAGTGCCATGCCTACTCAGTAGGCCACGACCGACTCATAAGCTTCAAGAGAAGCACGATGCGCAGGCTAACAGCAGGACACTCCAAGAACATAGAAGCTTGGACAAGTTATGAATGGATCCAATTATTTATTGTATTTTATGATTAACACCCTTTCTCTCCAGGACGTTAGTTTGTTGGTCCAGAAGTTTCCTCCCAGTAGATATTCGCAATTGGTAACAATACGTCCTCAACCTCTAAAACGCACGACTGCGTCACTCCGTCGGCACCATCTCGAGCTGCGCATACCTCGGTAGGCAGATCTCCAATCACGGTAGCGTCAAAAAGGAGCCTAAATATCAACGGGACATGTTAACACTCTCTGTTGTCCCGACAAGGTGAAGGACGGAACAATGGCATACGGTCGACTCGGATCTGTGTCGTCACAGTACCACTCAAACCGGAAGCCAACTCTGCCACCCTCCCTCCTCTCTAGCAAGTATTGGCATCTCTGCAGCAACGATGGAAGAGGCGTTTCGCCAGCCCTACATGTACTCCATACCCCTCCGCCATCCGAGATTGGCATGCGGTCCAGACGGTATGTGTCTCCTGAGCCAGGGTTTTTCACCGAGAAGGTCCCGAGGGTCTGGGTTATGTCGCCAGTGCCGACTACGGTCTCAATTTCATATTCTCGGAGGACGAAGCTGGTAATGTTGGAAAAGGAAGCGATCGAACAGCTCTGACTCGACGTCGTATCAATGCCGCCCACCTGGTGCTGCCATGGCCCTGGCGATGCCGCGGCTGGGAGGCCAAGAAGCAAACCCAAGACACAAACGAATACCATCAACATTGTGGTCCTAGAGGTCGGGAAAGTCGAAGAAGCTAGGAATCACGTCTCCCCGCTGGCGTATCTGAAGGATATTGGGCGCTGTCGCATTTTTATTTCAGGCTGCACCACCTTTTCCAGTATGTACCGACACAGCTAAAGCAACGTAATATCATCTAGATGAAGTCAAATGGAAGATAAATAGTGTAGATCCGACTTATCCGCCGCAGACTCACCTTAGCCTATATAGTTGAGGGGACTGCGGGAATAAATACTGATAGTAGACGATGGGCAGCTCCAGGTGACAAGTTTGAGGCCTAACCAGGCGCCAAGTGCTACACGAAAACAACTCCTGTGATCCTCCTCGTGCCAGCAGTTCCAGATAGCCTGCGCGGCTGTAACTGGGATGCCATCTAGAGATTCTAGTTTACTTGTTGAGATGAATCAATTGACTGATGTAATGCTGTTACGGTGGTACTTCAGAGCGTAAATACTTTACTAGTAATTTACGTATTATGCAAGGTAAAGAAATGGTATCGAGCTAACATGTCTGGTCCCGGAAGGTGTGCCTCATTCAGTCCACGATTCGGAGTTAAGCCTATTGGCCATATTAAGAGAATCGACCTTTGATGCCTTTCTACACTTCCCGTCTGACATAAGATGGTGCAGCAAATCAGAGGACAGGATCCCTTTTATCTGTCCCAGCACCGCCACGATCGAGGAGGCCGCCTCTCATTGACCAGACCCGATGAGGTCATGACACGCGGCATGCTCCGTGGGCCCATGATCTGGTTTCGTATTGCTCGTATGTACTTCGTACCACGCCGCAGAATATACATAACAAGCTTACATTTAAGTTCCTGCGCTCCATCCCCATCCTCAGCAACGCCCAAAGTGCCTCCTTTGATTGAACAGCAACATCAATTCTACTGGTCTGAAAGTTATCGTCGCCTTCGTTCTCACTCTAAACAAACTTCAGCCTAAGACTTGCCAACATTCTAAGACCCTTCTTAGCGCACACGTCAATCACATCACAACACTTCTCTCGCCAACTGCCAAATGGATCCCGGCAGCGCCTCCGAGTCTGCCCCCGCGTACGACCAGATTTTCGCCTCACACCCCGTGAATCAGGCCCCCCCTCAAAGAGGCTTTACAAAGGCAGTATGTAGATCGCCCTCTTCGCCGTATATCCCCGGTGATTCCCTGCGTGCTGATACATGTTTTTCTCCCCTCCATTTAGTACGCCCCTGTTGCCCAAGAAGATGACTCCGAAATACCACAACAGCAACAACCACATCTCCACTATCACAATGGAGTTGATCCCGAGGCTGGCGACGCCGAAGGCGAGATCCTGCTTGGCGGCGCCACACCACATACGCATTGCGAGGCCTGCGATAGGATCGCTGCGAGGCGCGAGAGGTCAGACAGAGAGAAACACTGTTGCAGCATGGTTGCCGCTGTCTTCATCATGGCCTTCGTATGTCTGATGGTGGTCGGCATCATTGTTGGATCAAGGGTTGGATCAAGGCGGTCATAGCGAGGCGAGAGTGGTCGATTTGAACGGAGCCCGTGTACAATTTCTGCTATAGCGTTAAGTTGAATGATTACGAGAAAACTCATTTTCAATTGGAAAAGGGGAGGGGGCAGCAAAGTGTTGCGATGTGAAATGGCTACTGCAAAGCAAAACGGACAGATTACCCGATATGGGCGGTAATCATGAGACGAATACCTCACAGCATCGCGAACACCTCACAGGCTCTCCAAGCCGGCCTTCCTCACTACCCCTGTCGACAGACCACCGAAGAAGGTGGGCGGTCCAGGAAATTGGATGCTGCGAATAGCGAACATATCTATATATGCGTTACCAGTATCTTGGTAAGCCCCCGGTTTTCAGTTCCGCGCCGTCGAAAGGATGACCCAGAATGCGAGCCCTGATTTGATGTGAGGATGCAATGATCCACGCCCTCGGGGCCTAGGGTTAAGTGACCCGGGGATGCAGTACTGAAAGGGAGATTATATTCACACTCAGCCCGACCCTTACACGACGGTTTTAATGCACCATTTCCATCTCATTCACCCCGTGTGTGTCTCTCTCTCACTCACCACCCTCCCTCCAAACCATCTCCTATCATCATAGTCGCTCCCCAACATAGCACTTCTCTTCTCCTTAGGTCTCTTTTTTCCCTATACAATCAAGTCGTTCGCCAACCATGGGTCTAACTCGCGCTTTAATCCTCGTCAGGCTTTGCTTCTGGACCTTCTCTTCCAGTTGCACAGTATTGAAGGTTTGCTGATGGGATCATTTCATTTCACCCCTGGCCAGTGACGAAGTATATCTACGGTTCCGTTCGGACGCCTCGATTAGGGCTAGCAGTCTTTGATATTTCTATCCCCAATTGCTACTACGCCACCTTAATGAAAAATCAGCTATTCTGGACCACGCCTATTGGCAGTTGGTGTAATTTCTTCTCCATCATGAAATCTCATCTCCGGGAGGACATACCTGCCCACCAATAATTCAATAGATCGACACCATATATATCGTCCCATACCACGCTGTGAAGATATCTCTCAAACTTCAACCGCGTGTCACATCCCACGAGTTTCCGAACGACTTCCAGCCGTGATACGAACCATATTCCGTTGCCTTTGCTATACTCCTCGGATATAACGGCGCCGACAAAAAGCACCCAGACTAGCTCGGGGAGATGATCCGCCCAAATCGTAGAATGCATTAGGCTGTCCTCGTCCCCAAGCGATTCCCTCAGCCGCTGGATCATCGCCCATGGGAGAGATCTCGTCCACCCGTGATCCTGTCTCAAGGCCCCACATATGAAGAGATGCGCTGCCAAGAGTAAGGAAAGGAGACATTGTTCTTCTGGCGTAATCGGAACATCCTCGACATGATCAAGAACAAGAAAGGCCGCGGAGAATGACAGCGTGCGAACGTCTCTCAGAGTTGGATCCATCCCGCTTTTTGTAGCTGTGATTCGTTGTCGAAGGAGTTGGATTACTGTCTTTACTGTTTCATGTCCTGGTCCGAGGTCTTGCAAATGAGAGAGGCTTGGATGCTCTCCAGCGGCTATGATGTGTTGTGGAAGGCTGATTTTGTCTAAGTTATAGTTGAGAGGGTAAAAGGGTCTTCGAAGCTGGGAGGTAGCTCTCTCGAGGTCGGCACTAGAATGTATTCGATTCAGCTTTGCTTCTGTATGAGCTAGACAATTCGCGAAAGTGGTAAACGCTTACCAGTTTATAAATCTACCGACTTGATAAGTTTTGATCGACTTAATACCGCCTCTGAGATCGACGAGACCTTTCAGTCCCTGCAAGTGAATATCGGCTTCTTCGGAAAATCCCTCTAAACTCTACAGCACCAGAAAAAAAAAGGTCAGTTATTTTGATGCTGACTCGTTAAAAGACTCATAAAAGCTAAATACTCACGGCAATGTGCCCTAGATACGCAATCGCGACGAGCACATTTTCGGTGACCTGGCAATGTCGAAGGAAAAGGTTAATCTGATTGATAGCTTCACCTTTGAGTTTCCATCCTTCCCTTCGCAGATCCGGGCTAAAGGGCGATGAGTGCGCAGTTCCGAAAGCAGCCGTCATACAAAGGGTCACGCGTATCAGGAGCGGGTCTTGTATGGCCAAGGCAAGCCATGTCTTGTGGCGGGGGACAGTTGTAGTCAGGTAGTCGAAGAACACGACAACTAAAGGAGGTAGATGTGAGCCATGGCAAAGTAAGGGGGTAAAAGAGGACTATGAGTACAATGCTTGAGAAGGGCATCGACCCTGCCATTAGAGGGTATTGGAATCGTCCCAAAAGGGTCCAGTACATTCGCCTCGAGCCATTCGATTCCTGCAGCACATTTGCTGCTAAAGTGGCATTGCTTCACGTTTGCAAGCATAGCCTCTTTTCGACCCTTGTCCGGCACTGCATCAGAGAATGTACCTTGAAAGGTTGCCTCGCCCGTCTTTGACCATAAGTTGTCCGTTGGCCTGGCACCCTGGCTATAACTCTTTATAGACACCGTCCCGAGTCTGAACTGACTTTTTAACCCCCTTTTGGATTGTGCTGTCCGCTTCGAATTGGCTTCTACACCACTCACTGCTTCCGAGCCTCCATTGGCCACCGTTTTCGAACGCCTCTTCAGCGCCGTCTTGACGGCATGGCTCCGGACCGCACTATCAGCCGGCCTAGAAGCTCCAGTGGAAACAACAAATGCGAAATCGGCCATGCTTTAGCTTCCTGGACACGCCTTGACTCCAAGAATCGGATCAACACGACTGTTGATGTCGAAGGCAGGGAGAAAATACCAACGGCGTAAGACCTCAAAATTATCAATGTGGCGTTTCGGAATACCACGTGCCACACTCCCTTGGCCCAGGAGCCAATGGCGTCAGCTGGTATTTCATCGAGCAGGACAAACCCATTTGACATGCTCCCTGCTCTACTGTAATGTCTTTTCATTTTTAACAGCGTTTTGTTTCACACTTCACAACTCTCTTCCCGATTCCGGGGAGGTTCACCCCCGGACCTTGTTAGTGGCCCCTCGCGATACTTTGGAAGGAAAGCATACCGTGATATAACGGCCGATAACGTATGAAAATGTGTATAGAGTCAAAGTTTGCCGTTACCGCCTCGTCCTTGCTCTTGATGCAAAGCCCTTCGGAAATGGTCGGGTCGTTTTTCTTCAAGCGGAACAGCCGAGGGACATCCGAATCGTCATCTGCCAGATCAGACTTCACCCAGACGCATTGAGTCCGAGGAGAACCGTGTTATGGAGAATGATCCTTGTTGAGAAAAAAAATACCGGCCACCCTCGAGTAAAAAGTATGCTGATGCATTGGCGCGAGAAACTAACTGGGGTAGAAGCCAACTGCGGTAGGTGGCTTTCCTAATCCGGAAAAAGGTTGTAGTTTACGAGAATAGATTGCTCACACGGCCCTGTTAGCACAATTTCCAGAGAGACCATGAGGAACAGCAAATCGGAAGTCCCTGCATAGTCACCCGATAAGAAGCTGACGGAGGTATACGAAAGTTTGTGCTTTGGCTCATCATGAATGAAATGGTTCGTAATTTTACGTTGCGAAAGGGATGCCTAAAATGATTACAGTCGAGGCTTCCGCATGAACCGAGATGGGAATCCAGAAGTCGAGGTACTTAAAAGAAGCATAAATCCCCCCGAGGAGAAATGCCATGAGAATTGGCCATTTCCTTTGTCTCTGACTCTATTTTCAATTGCTACTAGTCTCAATTCTCGGACTGTGATACCTGCATTACCTATTCATAGCACACCTAACCTACTTAGTACGCGAGAAGAAGCCGCGGCCATGGTGGAACACGCGAATGTGGACTTGAACCTCAGGTGGCAAGATCAAAATGTAGTCAAGAAGGACGGTCAATGGACAGTTGACGGGTAAGTACTCCAAAAGGGATTATCTGTTTCGTCTTTGAGCTAATTTCACACCATTAAGGCGGCCGGTTGTAGATGTTGCTCTCTCTTATCACCAGCATCCCTCCAACCTTCCGGGCATGTCGTGGCTAGGTCTGATTGTTACTGCGCCACCCAATGCTGGTAAGTGAGGGCGTTTGTTTGCTCACTTCGGGTCCCCCATCCGTGCGGTCGAATTGAATCCCCTTGCGATGTCCTGATCCTGATACGTCTGGAAAACGCGTAGCCACGCCACCTCACACTCACGCTGGTGCCGCCATTAATGCCACCGTCATCCGCGGCCATGTCCTAAACCAAATGGTCCACACCCAGGTCGATCCTGTTACAGGAGAAACTCACGCTCAGGATAGTGGTGCAAAGATCTATGGTCCTGGAGAGAGCTGGTTCGAGGCTCCCGGCTGCCACCATGTTCGATCTGAGACCGTGGGCGATGAGGAGTCGCAATTCATCGCGAATCTGATTGTTACGGACAAGGTCTTTGACGGATTGGATATGAGTGCCAAGGGCCTCGAGGCCGATTTTGCCAAGATTGGTCGTGTTTTTATTATCGACAAGGATATCGAGGAGCGGGAAAAGGAAACCAAGAAATAGAGCCACATGCAGGGGTCTGCATAGCAAACAGAGGACAGTCGTCCTAGCCGGCCGGTTATAAACTTTTCTGCTTCTTCCCGTATGTCTATCGGCAGTATCGTAGCTGTCTTCGAGGCTACTTCAGTTCCGTAGGGATCAGCGCAATTAAACGAGGAAGGAAAAGTGATGTGCAGATTGATAAGCCAGATGCACTAAACATATATGGTACGCAAGATAAAGCCAATACTTGGGGGTTTGGGGGGGAAGGGGGGTCTCAGAATATACGCATAGGATTATCGATTATCATTTCAGATTAACTGCTCAGCCCGAGGACATCGACGATCACCTGTAGGTTACTAATCGACTTCGTCGAGGAGACCCACTTGGCTTCGAGCCGGCCTTGTAGCCATAGTTTACAACAAGGCTATGCAGCTCAGCGCTTCCTCCATCGATAAGTCTTGAGCCGTGACGGTTATGAGCGCCGATATAGAGAGAATCGCCCTTGGACTCAAGAATGTGCATGATCTCTGGGCCAATGTAATTCAAGTTGCCCTAGCCGCCTGGCTACTCGAGAAGCAGACGGGTGTTGCCATCGTGCTACCTCTCGTGGTAGCAGCTGCCTGCGGTTATGGGACCTTGAAAATCAGCATCGCGGCGGGCGACCAACAGGTCAGCTGGCTCAAACGTACCGAAAAACGTATCGACGTCATGACTCGAACCCTCTCGTCGATGGGGGACGTCAAGTTGTCCGGATTGACGAGAAAATTGACTGATTCGATATAAGACCTGAGGAATGCCGAGCTGCAAGAAGCAGCAAAGTTCCGCTGGTGGGATGTCAGCGCGACGGCCATGGGCTTTGTGCCCGTCATGATTAATCCTGTTCTTACCTTCGCCATTTTCATTGCGGTTACGAATACAGGCTCACAGCCGCTGGATGCTTCGCGGATGTTTGTCTCATTGTCTTTCTTGACAATCATGTCACGTCCTCTTAGTAGGCTTTTCCAATCTGGCCCCATGATCTCGGCCATGATTGCATGCTTCAATCGGATTGGGGAATTTACCGAGACGAAGGAATGGGACGACCCAAAGGTTGACGCCAAGGAAGACGGTGAAAATGAATGGGAGGTTAACATCAGCGGTGGCTTAGCTGGGCGCAGGAGGTCAAGCCAGTTCTTCAAAATGTCGACGCCTCCTTCCCTCGGGGCAAGCTCACGATGGCTAGTCTCCCCTTTCACGCATTCCCTTCCCATTCCTACGGTACTTTCTGTTAACCTTGAAGTGTCATAGATCGTCGGTCCCGTCGGATGTGGTAAGTCCACTCTCTTAAAGGGTCTCCTTGGAGAGGTGACGTACACTCAGGACTCCCTGCACCTGCCTTCTCGGAGCATCGCATTCTGTGACCAGACCCCCTGGATTATGAAGGGCACTGTCAATAATAATATTACTTTATTCTCCAGCGCCAACGAGGAGTATCATCAATCAGTAGTGGCAGCTTGCAGCCTCCATGATGACCTCGGCCAGCTTCCAGGCGGGGACCAGTCGAAAGTCGGAGGCAAAGACATTACCCTAAGCGGCGGCCAAAAGCAACGAGTGGTACGAGGACAATCGCTCATATTAACCAAACTAATAGTACATAGCACTTTTGGGGTCCCTCGTCTCCCAGCTCAGCCTTTTCTGCCATGTCTTACCGCCTTGGGTCCTTAAAGCGGCCAGCTCCTGACATTAATTTAAAGCTGTCCCGCATTTTTATAACTGTCCTTCATTTTTGTGACCAAGAGGCAGTTGCCTCTTAGTTGGTGTGCCAGCAGGCCAACGACCCACCCTTACACCAACGGGTAAACTTTTCTATTGTGCGTCAGGTTGTAATACAACAGTTGTCTGCCTTGCTGCCCAACCATCCATCACTACCTTTACACATAGAGGTCTCAAGAGCATATAAGACGCAGAAATTCTCCTCGACGTATTAATTTCACCTTTTTCCTCCTTTCCGCTCCTTCTTCTTGCCTGCCCCATTCTTCCAAAACCACTTGTTGTCCTTTTGGCTTCCGTCTGCTCAACTCAGAGAGCCTACATGTCTAAACAACGAGAGCCAGCAGCCTCAATCACCCATCGAATGGACTACACGTATGAGCGGAGTATTGGAGCGTTGGAACTTCGCCTTCTTCGGCCGTTATGAGCAACTCGTGACCACCTCTCGTTCAAAGTGGTCCATGCCGCGCGAGAATTTGCACCAACTTACACTGTTGTTTCATATACTTGGGGTGATGGCACCCCATTTAAAGTCATCTATCTAGACGGCCATGTATTTCGCGTTCGGGAAAACCTATGGTCTTACCTATACTACTTGAGTACGAATACATAGCCTCGGGGTGGAGTTGCTTATGGGTGGACGCTATCTGCATTAACCAAGATGACCACCAAGAGCGCAGTGCTCGGGTCGGCAAAATGGACCAGACGTATTTGAAGGCCACTTGTGTCTCTGTTTGGTTAGGCCTCATTTCCCAGGTTGAGGAACGCCGTCCTCAATGGCTAAAATATGAGCCTATCATGACGGCAGAGGTTGATGGCTTCAGTTGGGCTGAGTCGATAACGGACCTGGCGAATCGCCCATACTGGTCTCATTTTTGGGTCATCTAAGAGTTTTTACTAAACAAAGACGTCGTACTGCATTGCGGCAACAATATGATCAGCTGGCTAGCGTTTCAAGAATGCCTATGTCTTGAGGCGGGTTTCAACCAGTATGGTAGCCAAGCTGAGGACGATTTGCTGACTGGCCTGGTGGACTCTTTTCGGGCTCTACTACTAGTAACTGGATGTCATCCTGACAAATATCCGGAACTGTTGCAACCGCTTCAATGCCTCATTGTTCGTCACCGTGGGTCAATTTGCAAGGATCCAAGAGATAGAATCTTCGCGCTTCTCGGACTTGTTTCGCTAGAGGAGCGAGGACTTCTCGGCAGATACTTTCCAGATTATAAAATGACAAAAGAACAAGTCTGTATCATCACCTTGGCGCACTTGACGCAATACATTCTACCCGGGGATCTACCAAAAATAACGGCCGACTCCGATGAGGTTTTTCTCGGGCTTGGTATTGAGTTAAGAGCAGAGAGAAAAAGGCTGCTGGGATCTGCAGAGAGGTTTGAGAGAAAATAACACTTAGATCCTAATGAAGAAAAGTTTGTTGATACACATGAAATTGAGCACGGCGCGGCGTGGGGTGTAAGTGAAGCTCGTTGAGCAATATCTAACAGAACCAAAGGCCCGATCTTACCTGTAGAATCGCAAGTGCTCTCCCATGGATCGCCGCCGTGCTAATGGCTCTCTCTTAAGTCTATTAGCCTATAAGACGATCCACTATGGTTTTCGCTCTCAGGACCCTTAATGACAGTCTGATCCTTCCTATCAAAAACGAGGCCAGGGTGGCCGAAGCACAGAGCAAAGACAGCAACGACGATAAGTACGCCCTCAAGACCGATAAATAGACCCTCATCAGACAGCGTCTCGCCGCTATATCCCTCCCTTAGCTCATAGCACCTAAAGACGCAACGGGCGAGGATGAGGAGGATGGAAGCGGCTAGGCCTCCGAGGAAGGTATTCATACGCCAGGGGGCCAGGGCGACTGCTTTTGAGACTCCGACATAACCCCCCTTCGAGAATGAGGAGGATGAGGAGTGACGGAAGAAACGAAGCATGTGGTCTGCAAAGAGGAAGCAGAAGGCGAAGATGACGATGACTTGAAGGATGAGGCCTGCGAAGGCGAGGTCTATGCCGGTTTGATTTGAGCCAGAGGAGACGGTAGAGAGGGCGCCGCCACCGGCTTGGAGGAAGAGGCAGATTACGTCGGCGGGGATGAAGATCCAGTAGTAGAGGCGTGGGGGGATGCGGGAGAGGGAGGGGGAGAAGTGGGTTATTGCTTTGGAGAGGGTGATGTAGATTGCAGCGGTGTAGAAGATGGGGCCGGAGGTGATGAAGACTGGAGGTTTACAAATTTTGTTAGTATCGGTATCTCTAAACGGTTTTCTTTGGGGTGACGGTTCCAAGACTTACCGATTTGAATCATGAAGCCGGCAAACATGAAGGGGTTGCCATGCATTAGGACTCGGCCTACGTAGCCTACTATTTCGCTAAGGCAGCCGAGGATCATGCAGACCATGAACCAGATCTGCTTCCAGCAGAAACCGAGGTAGGCATGGACTAGGAGGGCGAGGATGTATAGGGCGATAAAGGTGATGTTAGCGGGTAGGCTTGGGCGGTAGCGGTAGACGGAGTATTCGAGGGGACAGAGGTCGAGGGTACAGTTTGAGGATGGGCCGAAGACAACGATGTAAGGGGGGAGGCCGGGAGGGTAAGTTGAGTCAGACATAGTAATGACCAAGGTATTAAGTCAAGAGGGAGAAGTTAGGATAATGAAGAGTAGATAGATATGAAGAGATATGGTTTAAAAAGACTGGTTAATAGAAACTAGAAGAAGCGAAGAAGGAGGTTTTGTTAACTGGATGCATATATAGATAGGTGTTGATTCGGATGTGAATCTACTTGATGGCTTAATCACGAAGCAAGAATCCTAGAATCCGATCGGGGGAGGACCTAAAGACTTAAATAAGCTCAAGGATGACACTCCATCTTAACTGTGATTACCTCTCTCGATGTGGCTCTGAGAATAAAATAGAGCCCGTGCTACTTACCCTGCCCTGCCCTGCCCTGCCCCTACACCACCGTCGCACTCGCATTTCACTTAATAGGGAAACAGCGTGTAGGTTACGTGGCCTGGCCAAAGTCGTAGAGAGTCTCGACCATGCCCTCCTGCAGCAGGATACGGATAAGAAGAGTAGGTAGCAAACGGCGTCCTTGCCGGCCTTCTTTCCAGCTATATTTAGGGGAGTCATTCCGTTCTCGTTCGTTACATGCGCAGCTGCGTCGACATGACCAGATCAGCCAAAGCATGCTCAGGGTTGAGGCTGGCCTCAAAACGGGGTCAGGGGGCTGGATCAAATGATTGGGACTCGCAGGATTCCTTGATCGCAGGGTCTGGTCAGTGCAGGTTGACTGCCGTGGCGAGTGACACAGCCATCCGTCCTACCCAGCTGTTGGTTGGAGGGTGGAAGCGAGTCCGAAGGAGGCAGTATCTAGTACATGGTTATTGACGTGGGGTTACGTAGCAAGAGCGGGCTGAAGTCTCTGGTGTTTAGGATTCTAGAATAGGTCGCTAGGAAGCCGTGCGGAATCGGGACCGGCCAAATTGTGCCGAGGTCTAATAGGGTAATGCTTATACATACGTAAGTATCTCCTTCATATTGTATCGTTAGCTCTTGCATTCGCCTGCAGGGTTCTTTAAGACTGGTATATTTCAAGCCAAGTCCACAATAATATCTTCACCATCTTTTTCTCGAGCAATATTCAATTCATCATAGGAGGTCTGCTTCGTAATATTCCACCATTTCATCTGTTACATCCTCTCGCTCCGCACCAGGATCTGGGTTGGTGATCTGACCGCGATGGTTATGGTCCGACTCGCTCGACGCTGATAGACCTGGCCGTGATGGCTTTAGCTCCGCACTCGCACTCGCACTCGCACGCCTACTTTTGGTGTGTCGAAGTAGTACAAGTGTACCCTGGCTGAGCCACTTTCATCCGCTCGCTATTGGGGCTGCATCCTACCTAATCCAACGCAACCATGTTAAGCTTGTCTTGGAGACCGTTTGCCTTGTTTGAGCGACATTGTGCGAATCCGAGTCTGCATTCCACCTGCGCAGCAATTCCGCAGTAACAGGCTACAAAGCTGTTATTTCAGTTTCGCAGCATCAAACCCGAATGGATCTCATCCGTGGCGGTCGCCATCCTCGTTCGCTGGTTCTATGTCTCTGTTCAAACTTGAGAGTGTCGCAATCGCAATCGCATCCAAGGTGGGGTGAGATTCTGCTCCTGGCTAAAGTCGATAAGTGGAAATTTCGACAAGGGAAATCCTTTCACTGTTGGTGCAGTTAGTGCAGCGAGCACCTGTGGCCATAGCGGTGGGGCCTATTCCGCGTGACCCACTTCCAGACGGGGCCCGAGAAAACAGCGCCAGACGATCGGTGAAGACCTACTAACTTTTTAGAAGTCAGTTACTACCTCGGTAATCTCCATACAACTAGAGAAACCGAAATCCAGGCTCCAAAAATACTTTAGGGGGCTTCTAGGCCTCCATCCCACTTACTTTCGCTTCATTCTATCCATGATAGCGAACTGTTACCGGACCGGATATCATCGCTCAGAAGTATTATATTTGCCAGTCTCAGCCATTCCAATTCCCCTTATTACTATAGCTCTCTCGTCTCCGTACTCACAGACAGTGGATTAGTGCAAATAAGAGTCCGGGAAGACATCGCCGCTAGTAGTTGCAGAGTGGCGGAATAGGCAATATTAATTATTCGACTACCACGCCTGGAGGTTCTCTTAGGCGTTTGCGCAGATCTGTATGCTAGTTGATTCTAAGAAAGATAGCTAACGACGATCCTATTGGCCCTGCGGTATCACGAGATCCTATAGAGCAGCCTAGAGTCAACGAGCTAGAGGCGAAATTTGAGAATCTGTTCAATACCTTACCCAGGCACATTAGAGGAAGTTGCCAATATTTTGAAGCTGATACAATTCATAGTTCTATCAGCAGGTCCAAACTACTTGCCATGGCTCGGGATTATATTTTGGCGCTTGAACAGGAGCGCCAGGCGCTGGGCGAGGTGCAGCAGTACCTAGTCGCGCTCGGGCGCTTGCAGAATCAATGAGAGGCTCTGGAACGGGGGAAGGAACCGGCCATGTGGTATCTCGAAGCGATTGGTAGAAAGCTACCCTTGGTACTCCATATGTCCGAGGCGCGCGAACGAGACGCTCTTTCATTGAAGTGAAGACCTCAGTTTGTAAGTCTCTGATATCGAGAATTTAGTTTCTTTCAAGTGTTTTTATTTAATTTTCGAAATTCCGGCCCTTAGTTACCATGACAGGTGAGAATCTGACATCGCAAAAAATCTGCTGGCGGGTGGGGCAGGTAGGTCGAGCAAATCTGCAAATGTTAGATCTTATATCTAGTTTTTCAGAATTTCATTTCGTTTTCGAATTTCCGATTACTTTTTTTTGGAAGGGCGCCATGCAAGTTTGATATTTCAGTAGGCGCTCTGCCAAACATCCCTGCGGACAGACGCCCTGCCGCAGTAGCCGAGTTCCAATGACGTGGCCCGTATAGGAAGAAAGTAATTTCCAAGTTAATTCTATATAGAGCCGTCCTTCTCGGAATAGTAAAGCTCCTCACCTCTCCCTAGGCATTTTAACGGGCACTTTAAGTCTCAGCTACTAGAAGTATCATAGCCTATTCCCTACTATAATCAGATTATACGATCTGCCAAACGTAGGGTAAACTAGTTTGTCATTCTTCTAATGAGACTACATTTTAACCCGGAGCACCTAACATCCTACATATCCTCCACCTCTTTTAGAATCTCTTTATTATCTTAGACGCCGTCCCCTCTTCTAATATAGTTTATATACTTCCGTAGATAAAGAAGCTACGATAGTAGGCGGCTTAAGAGAATTAGACTAACCTACTTTAGCGCATATATCATTCTTAGAGACACTGGAGAAGTTCTATATACGGACCTATATTCTAGATATAAGTGAAACTTCTTAGAGAATATTTTAATATAATATCATTTTCTTAATTATTTAGTTGAGGTAGCTAAGTGGCAACTTGACCACCTAAGTATTATACTATATCTAGTTATCCCCTCTACTAATAATAAATTATATTTAGTATTTAGAAGCTTATAACATAGTAATATTATCCTTATTCTATCTATATAACTTCAGCTATCTGTTAGATTGCCTCGGCCTTATTCTAGGCTGCCGTGTTCCCAAAAGTAGGCCTCGCTTGCATTGCTCATCCCCCAATCAACCTAGCTCAGCTTTCGCTCAGCCTTTCACTCATCCCTAATAATACCAGAACTCAGCTTCAAATCCGAAAATAGATTTTAGTCTACGCACTTTTCATCTTTGATTCCATTCGTAAAAATGACGATGTGAGGGTCTGCACTTTTTCTTGGAGGAGGAAGATGGGGACAATCATCATTCACTTCTTGTTGATCATTTTCAACTAGCGTAGGGTATAGCGCCCCTATCACTTGAAGAGTCTCAATAACCTCCTCACGAAAAACAGAAATTATATCTGCAGTAGTTCTCCGAAAGCTATCCTACCAGCTAAGATTTACTCCACAGCAGTGCAGAAGCTTCAGTATACAGACATTCCCCTATCAAATTGCATAAAACGCCACAGTGAAACCAACATAGTCTGGTAAATCAACAATGGCGCCATGGTCTCTAAGAGTTCTTGCTGTTCTATCGTTACCAAATATGGCAGCAAAGTGTAGGGGTGTCCATCTCTGCTTATCTCTAACTTCGAGCTTAGGATATTTCCTTTCGATGAAGTCAACTAAGAGTGACAGCTATTCCCAGGTAGAGATGTAGTGGAGCAAAGAAGCGCCAAACTTATCTCATCCGAACTCTCAAATAGGGCTTCCCTACTAATTCACGAAGGTCGGGTTAGATGGCCCCGAAGTTGGCAGATTTGTGCCAACTAAAAATGGCAGCCTTGGATCCCGAAAATGTGGTGGCCTCGGTGAACCGGGTTCCATGGCGGCACCAGCGCCGTTTCAAACAATTAACGTAACTGTAAAGCCCACCCCAGGGCGTAAAGAATAAACAGCACCAGGCCTTCATATCCTATCAATCAGTCGCGAGTCGACACCCGACACTGAAGCAATCTCGTCCACAAGTTCAAGGGCCTCAAGAGCCTTAATCATGGGGATGACTAGAGTAGCATCATTGGTCACGGGGTTCGAGGTTTTTGCGGGAATAGAGCGGAATTGATAATGTGGTAGACCGTTTGTAGAGGACCGATGACCGAGAGGTTGAAACTTCGCTGCGGCCACGACATCGCGCACGTCCTGGACGGGGCGAATGTGTGGGACGATGATGCCAAGAGCGCCACCATCCAATATCCTCGAGATGAAGAATGGATCCTTGCTCGGTGCGCGGACGATGGCAGCAATGCCGGCATATAGGGCTGCCGTGCAGAGTTGGTTGGTCGTTTCGAGGTCGACGGAGGAGTGTTCCATGTCCACGAATTAGGATGCCGTGCATGGGGACATCAATTGACTTGATTAGGTTAATGGTCAGGATATATGCAACCTCATTTCGTTCTCCTTGATGGAGTTGGGAATCGCCACATTCATTATACTGAAAGGTGGGCTTGAGCGTGCATAGCCTTGGGCACGAAAAGTGTTCCCATTGTATAAAGATGTAAGACGAGGCCTGCTGGCAAGAGAAACGCGCAGTGCCCCTATATACTCTAAGACACCCACATTATTCCGTTCCGCTCTCGTGACTCCAAGACGCACAGATCCGAGCAACGCCGAAGATGAAATCGTGGATACTTGGCCGCCATTCTGGGTCACCTTGATAATCTCGGTGTGAGTCCGCAAGCTCCCACGTCCCCTTCTGAATACCGAGTCGGTCGAAGAGGTCCTAAGGTCGGCCGATGTTGTCACCGTCCACAGGCCAGTTCCAGATCATGAAGAGGACCACCATCGTGATCAACACGGCCAGAGGTGGAATTATTAATGAGTTGGACTTGGAGCGGGCATTGCGCGAGAGACTCATTTGTGGGGCGGGACTGGACTGCCACGAGGAGGAGACTCCTCAGCGGAATAAGTATGGAAGACTCTGGGATCTCGGCGTCGAGGGCACACCGCACATTGGTGCAGCCACGGCAGAAACTCAGATCCAGGCTGGTATGGTAGCTGCTTGCGTTTCCAAAGACATAATTTGGTTGATGGGGAAATCGTCCGCATTCCATTCGATATCCCCGTATACGTATTCCCCAAGCATCGATTGCATATTCCACTGCATATCGTCGTTTAGAAAAGCCCCTTGAAATAAGTCCTCTTGGGCATGGGCTATTCCGAGTGCCCCTGGCTCCACCGCGTTCTGACTAATACTGCCATACGGTTCGTGGAGATCACAGGCAGAAATCTCAAACGTCGATTGACTCGCGCTTGTGTCTGGCCGGTACTTTGCAAGATTCGTAGACAGACCACAGAAGTTGATTTGCTTCCCAGTCCTTGAATTGAGCGCTGAAGACTGTACATCCCCAGTCAACACGAAAGGTAGGCTCTGATTCTGTGTCTGCACACTAGGGAGGTCGACGAGGTAATCATCGGGGCCAAGAATACCCTATATCTTTGCCGATATGTTAAGATGAAGGGCTCGAAGATGGTGACGTATAGTTGAGCCTCTAGTAAATCCTCTGCTATCGATTTCAACGTCTGGTGGCAGAGAGCCAAGCCTTTGGACGATTCGAGAGCGCCTGCTGATTCGCGGTCGGTGCAGACTGCTACACAAAACATGACTGACAGCCCCGCGGTGAACACCATATGAAAGTAGCTTCTCGTAGGTAGAATAAAGGACCGGCGCTGGCAGAGGGTCGAGTACAGTAGAATGGTGCGCAGGGCCGCTTCTCGCAAAAGCTTCAGGATTGTTTTCGAGGGCACACCCTCTCTCTTAGGAACAGTGTCAGCGGCCCTCCGGATAATGTATAGGCGCCCACGGGCGTGCGGCAAGTTATACCAATCCTGCGACTGGTATAAGCAGCGGGGGTTATCCGTGTTTGGGGCTGTCTTCCGCCAATTATCCAATGCCACAAGAAGCTGGTTTAGAGTGGTGTAAATATGGCTAGCCGCGAGATGGGGATGGTACGTCACGGATGTGCCGTGCTTCAGACGAGAAAATGAAGTATGTATTTGTGACGTGATTTGCGGTAGTCTCACGCATAACCGAAATATTTTAATATCATTGGGGAGAAGAGGCTCTACCAAAGGCCGAACGGCGTCCAAATCCTGGACTCGAAGCGCTGCTCGAGCAAGTTCCTCATCATTGACATTGACGGGAAGCCCAGTCTCGATATCGCTATCATCAATAGCAAATGGCCGGTTTAGAGTGGAGGAGCTGTATCTGTTGATCATGTAGAACCGCCAAAAGACGCGCCGCCGTAACTGTCTCTCCAAAAGGTCACCCGAAGAGTCCACTTGCTTTGAGTAAAGACCTTGCTCGATGCAGAGCCGCCCGCAAAGCCGAATTAGATCCCAAATGGATGTTCCTGGCTGGTCGTCAGCCACAAATTTGCAGGACTACGGTAGACTGCGACCAAGAACCGATGTGGTGGTAGATCCCAAACCGGCAGACTAAGAGCAGATCCTGAATCGCGGCAAGACCCCGGGCCAAATATTGGGAATCGAGATGTTGTAGGGCTGAAAGGTAGTAGTAGCCTTCGGGATGTTGGTGATGTAGTCCCTGACGATAAGGGATGATGGATCCAATTGCTAGTATCATGAGTGTCCGGAAGAGATCGTGGCTTGATGCCTGTTCCAGACCCTGAGAGGTGGAAAATATTCTTTGGTACAGTTCTTCAACTTGTGGCTAAGAAAAAAAGGTTTCTGGATGTGAGACCAGCCGAGGCTGAGTGAGGGTTGCCGAATTAGATGATGCCTCTCCCTTGTCGACGTATATCACTGATACATGCACCTACTCCTTTTGAAACAGAAACCCTGCGTCCCCGCGATAAGGCAATGGACACGGCTCCACGACAGCTTCTTGCACTTCTGACGCCTTTGCTACTCTTTGTGGAAGACTTGAGTGTGACTTTCTCCAATCTGGATCTGAGAAAAGCAAAGCAATGAAGCTTATTGCCCACGGATGTGAGTGAATGGTTTCGAAGATGATGAATGCAGCGTAGGTGAAAGCCCGTACCTCAAGCCTCCTTCCTGCAAAACCGTCGAACAGCTTTCCGAGGACGCAACGGTGCCCATGGTCTCCGCAGCACGTTCATCGGGCGAGACAGAACTGCTACCAATAGTTTTTTCCCGTTCGCCCGGCCGTAACCTTTTCAACAGAGCAAGCTCTTGTTGTTCAAGCTCATCGATATACCTGCGGTGTTTGTCTAGTAAATTATTAGCAAGGACATGAAAATAAGAGTGGTCCCTAAGACTTACGCCCTTGTGAGCGGTTCCCCACCCCCAGGATTAAGAATCGAACATTCATTTCCGCTTGCAGCACATGGGCGACACTTTGGCCTTGTGCTATCGCCCTAAAAGCAATTGATACACGCGCCCTAAACGTAAAGGAATCAAGAGGCAGTGCCTACTTTGAGTTTCTTGTAATAGCAGAGCTGAGATGCGGGGAGTCGAGGAAGTTGCCTAGCCACATCCGGCATGATTACAAAAATAAAAGGTAGGACTGGCTGGCAGGTTTTGGAACGAAATATTGGTGTCGGTGTCGGATGCACGATTGCTGTCTCTTTTTTGATGATCAATGGTGATTGTCTCGGTTGGGTGTGTCTCTACCGAGTGGTGTGGAAATAGGCGTTTTGCTCCATCTGACAGTTCGCCGGCTATTACAAGGAGCTACCACAAGATCGGAATCAAGATCTAGAAGCATGTGCATACAATTACATAAACGCCTGGAAGAGATATCCAGTAGGAATCATGGCGACATTCACTCCACGACATCCCATGAAGTACAAAGGAAGGAATAAGTATCATCCTTAAAGTCGGTCAAGAATCAGATGGTTTCCATGTCTGGAGTCCTGTGGTACAGCCCATTGGAGTTAAGATCAGCAGAGGTAGACGAGGTTAACAGCTTGGCGGGCTGTTTCACAAGCTACATGCGGAGGTACATGGGAATCTGAAATGATCCTTCGTTTCGGGGGCAACGAGCTGGGCGGCAAGTTAGAATGCCTTGCGTAAACGGGCAATCAGCTTGTATTCATTATTATTGTCAATATATACTAGCGTCGCCTAACAGTATTGGCTGCTGGCATTTCAGGAATACTTCGGATAGAGTAATGATGAATGTGGCCAGAGGCCCCATAACGGTACTTGAATGGTATAGCGGAGTTCCCTACCGTATCAAGATAAGACACAAATGCTTGTAAGGCTCTAACGAGGCGAGAACTAGTCGCTCTTGCCACTCAGCCTATAGTACGCTGGCGTCGTTCTCACCCGAATCGTCTTCCCCCAAATCTGAAACGGAATTGAAGTCAAGTTGACAACCAGGACCAAGACAGAAATGATTATGGTAGTATCACGCCCTCCGTTGTGGTCGATCCAAGGTTGGATGCAAAATGTGACGGCGCCGCCAAGGACGTTGCGGGTGAAATTCGACAGTTGGACGATTTCGTTCTCGATTTCCGGGTAAGATTCCAAAGCGTATCCCAGGGCTACGGGCAAGCTGGCGCTGAGATAAAAGCCGATAAGGATCAGGCCTAGGCATGGCAGCGTCCAGTGGAGGCCCGCATCAGCTCCGACGCCATAAAGCAAGGTCCCACCCGCGGCCACGAACGGCAGAGGGACGTAGGCCCAGAGTCGGTTCTCGGGCTCGTGGACACCATCGTTACGCCTCGCTAGCCGTAGTATCATCCAGTCAGTGAAGTATCCTCCCCAGAAAGAACCGAGTAAATTTCCAATCAGCAAGGGAATGTACATCAAACCGAGCTGGGAAGGTTTGAAGTTGTAGGGCGGAAGCGAAAAGAAGCTGGCCTGCGTGGTCAAGACTAAGCTAACCACGAAGCTCGAAATGCCCAGCTGAAGGCTTACCCACGAAGCGGCGGGAAGAACGATGAGCTCAAACATGGAGAAGACGAGCCGCCAGTATCCGACTGGAATATCGGCATCTGGTCGGTATAAAGTCAGCTTTTGGAAGTACGTAAGTCGAGAATCGAGAGGTGGAGGACGAGAGGTGGTATCTGAAAGGGCGTGGCTAGGGATGCCGTTGGATGGCTTAAGATCGGCGTTAATTTTTGCATCAGGAGATTGTGAAGAGACTCCAGCGCCGTCCGGGCCTTGGTGACGCGCCGACTCTGATATAATAGACTGGGAAGTTGTATAGGCTTTTCTAGCGAAGGAGCTTTCTTCCGCAGCGAACATCACCACGAGGCTGCTTATACCGAAGAATATAAGAAGGTACCGAAAGCACCACTCCCAACCTTGCGAATCTGTGATATATCCAGCGGCAAGGGGAGGAAGAAAGTTGCCCAGGGCAACCACCAGGGCGTATAAACCGAGGTAAAACCCTTTCTCGTGAAGGAAAGCTACATCTAGTAGCGACGTAACAATGGTAGAGTATGACGGAGCGCTTCCAAACCCGCTGAGGATCATATATGCAAAGAAGAAGTTGATTGAGGTCATATTGAGCCCGAACGCAAGACCGGCGAGAATCAGGACGGATCCGATCAGGTATGGTAAGCGCCTACCGTACTTGATAGCGAGTGGCTGCAAAAGCATGACCCCGAAGCCACAAGTTAGGAGCAGCAGAGCCATTCCATAGTTCAAGAGAACATATGTCGTGTTCAAACTCTCAGTCCAAATCGCCCACGCTGGCGATGTCCAGGCAATACTGAGCGCATGGTTAGCGCATCGCGGTTGGAGGGGAATGCGAGTATGATTGGCTTACGAGCAACTTACCTGGCATTGGAAAGAAAGGCCCAAAGTAGTAGAATAGACGTGAACCATAGTTTATAGACCCTAGACCAATTCTGTTCCACGAAATTAGTCTCGTGATGCGTAACTGAAAAGGTCGGCGTAGCATATGAAGGGTCTTCTCACAAGCGGGTCATTTGGGCTGTTGGTCGGAGGCGGAATAAGGACCAAACAACTTTGTTCCGTCGATGGTTCGCCGTCGTCGATGGTCTCTGTTTGATACCCTGGTCAGTGATTGCAACTTCATGACTACGACCTAGGATCACAGAGATGAACCAACTATTTCTGATCAGCTTGACCGTCCCTGGTGCGTCCATGGCTAGGTCGTCCCTCATGTTCGGAATGTTGGCGATCGACTGTGTCATAATGTCGGTATAAGGGTGATTTTTTTCCATCGACTGCTTGACGAGCAATGATGGAGAACTCATCGAGGTAGCTATGGACAAGGTCAAAACGGACATTTAAAAGATCCGTCTGCTTACCGTGATCAGCGGCCGTGTCCTCCACACCATAATGTTGGATTATTACTACCGCTGTTGACAATTCGGCAATTCAGGATTTAACCCTTATCATTATCCACTGCTAGAATAAGGACCATGTTGGTAGATAGGGACTAGCACCCGCTGTCTAATGAAGCACTGGAGGAATAATAGGGATAAAGTTTCCCTGGCGATGAAGTTCCCTTGCGTTGGTAGGGACTCTAGGGAGACTAGCGCCGTCCTGATAGAATTGACTATTTGGGACTAGCTCATGCAACTAAGCTTTCGTTCCCCGCTTCCCCGCGAGGCTGCGTAACAGCGGCCCTTATCTCTGGGTTACGCGTAGCCTGGAGCCCGGAGACCGATAAGGGCACTTGAGGATTTCTTGCCTTCTTTTCCTCTCGTATCATTCACTTGATCATCCGTAACCCTTTTGCTTATCGTTCTCGTCTCTAACTAGTGCGTGATCGACCCCCTTCGTTATCACTTGATTGAACCAAGGACGTCCTCTTTTTATTTTTTTATGGCCGAAGGCCCCAGGGGCTCTTCCGCCCTTCACGGCCACTAAGACACATGAACCGCACCAAGAGACCTACAACTATGCAGTCTAGGCCTCGGCGAACGCGAACACGCGCAGGTTGTGCCCAGTGTACTAGGGTCAGCCGAAAATGCGACGAGATGAAGCCCAGTTGCCTTAGGTGCCAACGCCTCGGCTTCCAATGCGATTACTCGGTTCGGTATATATGGAAAGTTGCAAAGCCGGGGTCACCAGCCGCCGATCGGGATATTACCGTGTCTCGTGGGACCAAATTTGTGCAGAGCTCGACCCCGAAAGCCCAGCCATGCATCTGCGGGGCTACCGAGCGCGGGGAAGATGTGCTTCGTTTCTGTGAGTTGGGAATTGCATTAATGCGTCGTCGGATAGCACGGTAATGACTCCGAACTAACTTAGAGACTGTGTGTCAAATTAGTCGCTTCAAGCGGTCACGTCCTTCTCCATTGGTCCGACGCACCGGCCAACCCCCTCCTTGATTCCTTGCTATCGTTGAGCCATAAGTATCCAGCTATCCGAGACGGCATCGATGCCCTGATGGGAACGTACCATGGTTACTGTTCTCTCGGCGTCTTAGCTCGGTTCGATAGTGTTATAACAGGCATGAAGGCTCTAGTCGATCCAGCTATGTGGGCTAGTGACCCACTCGCAGTCCTCGTGGCATCAGTCCTTTTGACCCAAATCTCGGTAAGTACCAGAGAAGCGAAGACGTAATTTAAAAGATCAGTCTAACGGAATCTCCGCGTATGTAGATGAGGGCTGGTTACCCATGGACGGGTCAGCTTGCCCCTATCCTTCCGCTAGCGTTGGCGTATCGGGAAGCCAATGCCGACAGCGTGGAGACTGGCTTCCACTACCTGGAACTCCTTGGCGGCCTTGAGATGGACGCCTGGATCGCCGCGAGGCAAACTAAGCCACTGCACATTTGGTCGAGATATTGCATGGGAAGACAAGGAATCGAGGCCTCCACGGCTCTTCCGCGACCACTCCTTGACTTGATTTCCCGTGTCTCGCGTCATGAGGACGTTTCACATGATCTATTCGGCTACGCCAATGGCCTGGCAAAGAGAAATGATTTTCAAGCTCTCCACTGGCGGACCTATGCGTTAACGGCTATTCTACACCTCCACGGCCTAATCATAACGCAGTATGACGCGAAAGAGACTACTGAGCAATTACTGATCGTAGTGCGTCAGCTGATAGAAATCCTGGAGACCAATCGGAACCACAACATCCGAATCCTGGTCTGGCCGATCTATGTGTTGGCGCAGAACGTGCTAGAAGAGGAGGATATGAAGTTTATTGCTAAATTCATCCGGAGGATCTCCGAGACCCACGGCAACGCCCGGCTGCTTTGTGAAGCGATAGGACAATATTCACCTCGCATGTCTGTTCTGATGTCGGGTATTGGTAGATTGACATCCTTGCCCGCAGATTTCTCCAGCAGCGGAGTTGAACTTGGGTTGTGGTGATTCATGGACCGTGGCCAATGGACTAGACTGATGGACATATTAATTGCTATTGAGGCGTGACTGATCCATCCTCACTCGGTTGGTTTTTGACGACCAGAAAATCTCATGAGGACGTTGTTCGTAATGATTTCCGTAAATACGTCCCGCTTGATCAACCCAACAACCCATTCACAGGTACCAGCACAAAAGACCTCGCCTTTCCCTCTTGTGAAGCTAGCCACCATGCCAGACCCATACTCGCGGTCTCTCAAGTACTCGGGGACTTCCATACCTTCGTATGTCATTTCGATTACGCCCAGACTTGAAGCATCAGCCATATGTTAGCCCGGTTTTGTCTTCCTTTTCAGCTCAGATCATTAAAAGATGAAATTTTTTTTTTTACTCACACTTCGCGAAGTGGACCGCCGACAGGCTCCGTACCGCCAGAAACGTCACGTTCGCCAAATGTTGCAGGACACATTGCGATAATCTCTAAGTTAGTGGGCGCACCATCGGCGCAGGTCGGATACGGAAGCCCCTTTTTGAAGTAGTAGTCCACTCCGTCCACTTCGAAGGCGGCAATGTTGACAGGGTCGGCCCCGAACTGATCGCCGTAGCGGAGCTCTGACCCGGCCAAAGCCCAGTGCTCTGGCCGGTATACTTGGAACCCGCCCGAGGATCGCGGGGCAGCCATGCCATACCGGGTGTAACAGCCCATTATGCCCGTAAGGCCGACGGACTGAGCGCCGGGGCGGCCAATTTTCGTCCAGTCCCAAAAGGTGGTGACGCGCGTGGCGTCCGTTGCGGTTATGGGATCGGCTTGCGGGACCCTGTAACAGTACTGAGTCTGCATCGCCTCGTCGAAGCGGACCTGCCATATGTAATTGCCGCCAAACCGAGCCAACTTGCCGCCGGCGTCCACGAAAGCGTCCAAGGTATCCCGCTGTTCCCACGACCAATACTCATCGTGCCCAACCGCCACAGCTGTGGAATAACCCTGGAGACAGTCGCGCTCAACGTGCAAATCGGATTGCGTGAGATGATGAACTCTGTAGCCATTTTTCTCCGCCCATACCACGAAAGGTCGTTCGTACGTGGCCCAGCCGGCATCTGCGTAATGTCTCGAGTACCGGAAATACCAGGCGTACTCTAGAGCAGGGAAGCGTGGCGTTGAGCCATGTTCAATAGCCATAGGCCCGTTCGCCTCGCGCGGCGCGTTGGCTGGAATCCGAAGCATTCCCCGTGCTATGGGCCGCTGGGTACTAGAGAGCGGACTCGGTTCATCGTCTTGATAGCCATCCTTGATGCCTCTATAGTGGTTGGCGCCACCCCAGTCGTTGTAGGCAAGCAGGGTTGACGTAGCATGGATAAGGACGAAGTCTGCGGTATCCTTAGCCGACGTGCTGCGAAGTTTCGACTTGACAATGAAGAATCCCTCGCGCTCGTAGACGCGGCCGTGGAATTCTTTGATGCGAATAATGATAAGATAAAAGGCCGACTCCCATTTCCCCTCTTCTAGATGGATGCTCAACGCTTCGGGCCAACCGCAGCCGACGGCGTACGCATCACCCGGTGTATCACAAAGCTGGCCTTTTAGACCCGTTTGGTGGAACACGGTGTGGGCTTTGTAACCGTCACGGATAACCTCGATGTCGAAATACTCGGCTGTCGTGTGGACTTTGAGAGATACCGTCTCGCCCTCTTCGTAGGAGAACTTGTCACAGTAGACCCATGCCTCTGGCTCGCCGGGGTACATGCCTGGCTTTTCCACGAGACCGTGCGGACGGGACCATGCGAAATCGGCCTCGGTATGCGGCCGCACCTCCTTTTTTTGAACTGGGGTTGTTTTGATCATTTTGATGACTACTGGTCGAGCGGTAAAATCGGTTACGAAATAAAGAGAAAAGGACTGTTCAAAGGTTCACTGGGCAGTGACAGGCGAAGAGCAGTGGAATAGGATGAAAGGAACTGTGATACCTGTCACTCTTGGGAAACGTTTTTTAAGCTGAAGTCTAAGACTGGTGGTAATCATGACGGGTGCCGCGGCGTCCGAGAGGTGAAGAAGCTTCTCAAACTAGCCCAAAACGAGAAAATCCAAAAGGATGGCTAACCTTTCGCCGGATACATTAATCTGATGTTCATGTTAGCCCGGAATCGCACCGGTCATGGGACTTGTCACGGATTGTCCCGCAGTAGATCCCAGCGTGAGTAGATCGGGGCTGGCCGGGACGATCCAAAATAGGAAAATCTAAGAGGACGAATGGATGGGGATGAGCTCGGACACCGCGTCGGATCTTGCGTTCTAGTACTCACCCCCCCGCACCCGAGACTGGCCCCAGGAAAATTGAGTCTAGGGCAATGCCTTAGGATACCGCTCGCTATTCTACAATTGGATAATCCAAAAGGACGAACGTCGTATGCTGAGTCGCCTCACATGCCTCGTCCATACTTCACCCGAATAGCACCCCAATCTGCAAAGGGCAAGTCTAGAAGGATGGCTCCACATTTTCTTGGTATGAGCGCCATACCCCTATGCTACTGATCTTGTGAATTGAAGTGCGGGATGGAGGACGGGACACAGCACGACAAGCCAGCAGCAGGGTGCAACTCATTCCGATGGTGCTGGGGGTCAGGAGACGTGAAATCATGTATCGATTGAGAAATTTCTTCTTACCTAATTTCATATGTATTTGCACTTAAGGATGAGCGGTCTTGGATCCTCTTATCATTGCGTTTGCGAAGCTGAGCAGACATTTTGTTCAGTAATACTCTCTATTACTCCGACCTCACCGCGCGTTGTTTAACTGCATACTATCATAATCATCCTCCAAACATGTCGTTCGTCGCCACTCCCGAGCAGATTGCTGCTTACACAAGAATCTGTAACGACCCTAGCTACTCCCAAGAAGTCATCACGGTGGAGTTTGTTACAACCAAGGAGTTCATCGAAAACGTTCTCCCTCCCACCTTCACACCCGCCGACCAACCTACGGGCCTCATCAGCGTCTCAACGTGGCAGAGCAACGCGTGCGGCGACTTTGAGCTGTCATCCATTTCAGTACGCTGCAATTGCGACGGCAGAGAGGGTTACTACGTTCTTAATCTAGTCTTGAGCGAACCCTTCGCCATCACTTGGGGACGGGAGACGTGGGGCGAGATTAAAAAGGACGGGAAACCGCGGCTCTTTGGGAACGGTAACCGCAAATACGGATATTGTGAACGGCGAGGCGTCACGCTCATCGAGATGGAAGCAGAATTCACCGATTTCCTAGAGCCTGACACAACTGAATGGTTTGATTTTGAGGTCAAGGCGTTTCCGTCTACCAGGGGAGGTGGATTGGACGCGGATCCCAAGTTGACTACACTGAAAGTGGTCGACCATAATGTGCGACGGGCCACTGGGAAAGGGAAATTGACTTTGAGGGGAAGCCCAAGCGATCCGTTGCACACGATCCCCATCAAGGCTATCGGGAAGTTCTCCTATAGCTCTGGGCCGACGCAGTGGCGAGTACTTGATGAGCGTACGCTCTGCCCCGCCGCTGACTATCTTCCATACTTTATTGGGCGACATTACGATGATTTCTCGAGCTGGCCTGTTGGAACGAACATGCCCAACTTAAACGAGGAAACTGCACCGGATCCAACTGCACCCCAGCCTCGAACTTTCTTTAGCTAGTAGTCAGTGATTCAATTAAAATAAATTTACCCCGGTTGATCCGTATTGTCCAAGCGGATATAGACTTGCAATATGTTGTACTGGTTATTATCTGAAAATGTAACAGAACTGGAGAATATCCTACTAGTCCTATGACTAGGATCGCCCGGGAAGACACAACGGACGGGTTTGCGATCATCAGAAGATAGAGTAGTACGTATAGAGATATTCCCGAAGATGTAGACCTCGAGAATTTTATTATGCCGATAAAGATATCAGTATTCCAGGACGCCTCGATGTTTTTATTAGGAAATTAGTTGTGGAGGCGATCATGTATAAATGGAGTCCGGATAGAATTACTGCAATCGGATAGGCGCAGTATATTACGAATACGGTGCGGGGGCAGATAAGATGTATTTCTGTTCTGTTCTGTACTGATTCAACCTAGCGATCTCTTTTCTTCGCCTCCTCCTTTCATTCCAGTAGTTGCGGCCATCTTCTCCAACCATCACTCGCAAGGTTGAAACTATGCACATCTCCCAGCTTCAGCTCATCTCTCTTTGCCTCGCTACCTTCGCCAACACTCTGGTAAGAGCCTATATCTATCTTTTAGAAAGTTATTAGTAAATAGTAAAGTATATAAAGTTTTTATAATCTATTAAAATAGTAAAGTATTTTATAGATTTTAATTTACTTTACTATTATTTTAAGTATTATATAATTATTAAGAGTTTTCTATTATAAATAAGATAATTTACTTTAATAAAAAATATCTCTTTTAATATATAAGTAATTAATTAAAATCTTTCTTTCTTATTTTTTTTATATTAAAGTTTTCTTTATAATATACTTTAAAAAATCTACTTTTATCATTATTTCTTTATTAAAATTAAAGTATATTAAAATAAGAACTTTAATAAGTTTTAATTTTAGCTTATTAAATATTTATTAATAAGTTTTAGCTTATATAAATATATAATTTTTTTTATTAAGTTATTTAATAATTAAGTAATTATAAAGAAATTAAAAATAAACTTTTATAATAATTAATAAATTTTAAAAAAGTTTTAATTTTATAAGTTATAATTAATACTTCTTATTAAATAATACTAATAATTTTTTCTAAATTTATATAAATATTCTTTTTAGTTTTTATAATAAAATTTAAATATTTAATTTTTTAAATTTTAAATTTATATTTATTAATATTAATATATAACTTTATTTTTTATAATTTAATAAAGGTCTTTTATATCTTTTTTTATAATCTATAAATATCTCTTTTAAGTAAATTAAGATATTATTAATAAAAGTATATATAAATTTATTAAAGAATTCTTTTAATATTAAATTAATATATTATTAAAATATTATTAAAGTTTTTATAAAACTAAAAAATATAATAAGTTATTTATAAAGTTTATATTATATTTAAAATACTATCTTCTATTTATTATTTTTCTTAATTTTTATTTTATAAAAGATAATTAAGATATTAAGCTTAATAAATTACTTAATATTAAAAAACTATTAAAATATTTTTATAATTAAGAAAAGTAAATAATAATCTTTTTTAAAAATAGTAGTTAGATTTTAGTAATTAATATAAAATTATAATCTACTATCTAGTTTTTATATAAAGAATATAAGTATAATATTATAATAAAAGTCTTTATAAGAAAACTGTCGTTGCTAAAAGTTATAATAATAGTTCTACTAACTATAAAAAATACTAATATATATTTTAATATTAAAAATATAAAAAATAATTAATTAACTACCTCTCTTCTATATAATATTATAATCCTAATACTAGCCTATTAATAGTATTAGATAGATATAACTAATAATAGGATTAAAATAGTTATCTATTAATAGTAGAATAAGGTAGTTAAGTAGTATTTATAAGATATTAGTAAGAAGTATATATTTAAATATAAAGGTATAATTATATTTAAATTAACTATTAGAGAATTTTAAAAGATAAACTAAATATATA